ACTATTAATAAAAAGTTTTATTTAAAACCTATATAGTACTTTATAAGAACTTAAATGGAAGCTTAAATATAAAGTACTTAAAAAAGTAGTTTACTATAAACTAACTAAAAAATAACCTACTAAAGTAATAAATTATAGTAGCTTATTAAGTATAGTTTACTATAAACTAATTTAATTAGGTAAAATAAAGCTATAAAGATATTCTAAATAATAAAAAAAAGTAGCTATAAAATATAAATAAAACCTTATTTTATAAGGGAAAATATTATCTTTTAATAGCTTTTTAAAAGAAAGTTATTAAAAAACTTTATAAAATATTAATATATAGCTATTAAGGTATTTAAGCTATATACTTAAGGTTAAAATAATACTAAAACTTTCTTAATGTAAGATAAAAAGTAGCTTAAGTTATTAATAAATATAACTTTTATAATAAAAGTAAGCTTATAAAATATAAGCTATATAGGCTATTATAATTATTATTAATGCTAAATAAATTATAAAAATTAATTAGCTTAAACTTTATTATTAAATTTCTTTTATTTAAAAAACTAATAATAAAAGTTAGCTATAATAATATTTTAATTATAATAAATAAATTTATAAAGTATATATACTTTATACTTTATAAGAAAGCTAATATAATAAAAGAATTTACTTATATATTTTTTAAAATAATTATTAGCTAATATAGGCTACTAAATAAAATTATATTTAATTAAAATAAACTATTTATATTAAACTTTTAGTTTTTTTTAATAAAATAATTAAAAGCTAAGTATAGATTTTTAATAATAGTATATTTATAAATAGATAAGTAAATAAAATAATTTAACTAAATATTAGAATAATATATATACTATTATATTAACTATTAGTAAAATAATTAAGTATTATTATTATTATTAATATAATTTATATATAATAGTATAAATATATATATTATTAATATTTTACTATTTTATATTAACTATAGATTTAATTTAAATATTTATTAATATTTGATTTCTAATATAAAAGCATTATAAGCTATTAATTATATAAAATAAATTAAAGATATTTATAAAAAAATTATAGTAAATTTAAGATTTATTTAAAAATATATAGTAAAATAAGTAAATTAATAAAGGTTAAAAAAACTAACTTTTAAAAGGGAAAATATAGTTTACTTATTTTATAAAAAATAAATTAAAACTAAATAATTTAATAATAAACTTAATTTTAAAAAAATTAAATTATTTAAAGTTAAAAAAAGAATATTAAAAATAAATTATAAATTTATATTATTAAAAAAAATAAAAATCTACTTAGTTTTTTATATTTTTATATTAAAACTTATACTAGCTAATACAATACTAGCTATTAATATTAAGCTTAATAATTATAAACTAGAATATAAAATAAAATATATTCTAAACTATTAAATATATAGGAAAATAATAGAATACTTAATTAAATAAAAGAATTATAGTAATAAAGATAATTTATAAAAACTTATTTAAAACTTAATAAACTGCTAAAAAGTATTTTAAATATATTACTAAATAACTAGCTAGAAAAATCTATATTAATAAACTTTATTATAAAACCTTAATTTATAATATTAAAACCTTTATTTTATTAAATATTAAAAATAGCTTTAAACTTTTTAGCTATAATTTAGTTAATAGCTTTAATATAATTAGCCTTTTTAAATATATTTAAGGCAGTTAAACCTTTATTTACTAAATTAGCCTTATAATAAATTAAAAACTTTTTTTAATAATATAAATAATTTAGATAAGCTATTACCTTATTTACTTAATAATAAGCTTTATATAAGGCTTTTTAAGCCTTAAATTTTTAAAAATATAATTTCTTTTTTTTTATAATAATTTAAGATATTAAAGGAATAGTTAAAAAAAAGAAAATAGAAAAATAAAGAAAACTAAAACTTATAAGTACTTATTAGTACCTTAAAGCTATTATACTTTTTATTTTACTTAATATAAGTAGAATAATAAAAAATACCTTTTATTATTTAATAAAACTATCCTTTTATAAAATAAAATAAATAAAGTATAATTTTAAAACCTAATAATTTAATAAATATAAATAATTAATTATACTAATCTAATTTTTTAAAATATAGTTTTTTTATATATAACAATATAATTATTAGCAGAATAAATATAATAAATATATAAAAAGAAATAGGAGAGAAAAAAACTTACTTAGATTTTTTAAGAATAAAAAAGCAATAAAGAAGGGAAATAATATTATAAATATAATAAGAATAGAATTAAAAAAGTACTATTAGTTTTTTAAAAGTGCAAATAAACCTTATAAGCTAGTAGAGCAAGCCTAAAAGGATTCGCTATATAATAAAAGCAGGTTATATAATAAAGCAAAAAAATAACTAAAATAATTAAAGCAACGCTTTACTCTAAATAATTTAAATAATTTAATACTTTTACTGCTTTAAGTAAGTAATACTTTAAATAAGCTGCTAAAAGTAATGCTTTTATTACTTTAGCTAAAGAAATAAACTATATAAATTATGCTTATTACTAATAGATAATATTAGCTTAGGATAACTTTTTAATAGTTAATTTAAATATTTACCTAAAATAGCTATAAAGCTTTTAATCTATTATTATTATATATTATTTAAAATATTACTACCTTAAATATTCCTTAAATATAAACCCGCTTACTAGGTTTATTAGCTAGGAACTAGCTATAATTATTATATATAATAGTAAATATTAAAAAACATTTTTATCTTATTATTTAATAAATTATATAAGTTTTTAATATACTTTTAAAAATAATTAAACATTTTAATAAATTATATAAACTTTATAAAATTTAGTTATTTATTAAAAATATATTAAAATAAAAAAGTTTTATATAAATTATACTTTATATTTAATAAAAATTGCTATATTAATACTATATTTTATAATTATACTAAATATAATATATATTATTAGTATAAGCTTTATTTTTACTTTTTAAATAATAATAATTATTTATACTAATTTTTAATAAATAATATTATACTTATAAAATTTTATAATTTATATTATTTAAATTATTTTTAAAATTTAAATAAAAAAACTTATAATTTTAATTTTAGTAAAAAAGAATTTTAATATTTTAGCTTTTATAAAGGTTACTAAGAATTTTCTACTTTTAAGCTTAAACTTAATAATAAATTTTATAATTTTAAACTTAATTTTAAAGCTAATAATACTAAATTTTATAAATTTTATTTTTATTTTAATAATTAATTATAATATTTATTTATATTTAATTTTAATACTAAAGGAATATTATAAAGCTTATTATTACTTTATTATAATTTATTTTTAATTTAAGCTAGTATAAGTAATTATAATACTATTAGCTAATTATTATATTTAATAAATATACCTTATATTTTTAAAAAGACTTTTAAACTTTATTAGTATAATAATAGAACTCTTTTAAATATTCTTAATATTTATATAAAAAAATCCTTTTAATAAGTAATAAATAAGTTATTATTATAGATATTTTATTATATATAATTTAATAAAGTATTTGTTAAATAAATAACTAAATATTTTATTATAATATCTTGTATAAAAGCTGTAAATTATAAGTTTAGGATAATATAGCTTTAGTATATTAAATTAAGTAGTATTTAAATAAATAGTTTATTTAGTAAGTATTCTTTAATAAAGGCTAAATACTTATCTCTAGCATTAGCTATATTAAAAAGCTATAATAAATATTATATAAAATATTTAAAAAATAGTAATAAATATTATATAAAATATTTATATTAAAAAAATAATTAAAAATAAATAAAGTATTAAAAGTAAATTTTAAGATTTTAATTTAATAAATTTATAAACATTAAAAGGATAAATTTATAATTATTTAAAAAAAAAATTTAAAGTATTGCTAATTTTAAGCACTAATAGTTTTAATTTTTAAATACCTACTATTATTTTTAAAGTACGCTTATAACTTACTTTTATATATAATATTAATACAAATATTATAAGATATAATACTTAATAAATATAAAAGTTATTAAAAATATTATAGTGTTTAAGTGCTTTTAAAGTATGTTTTAATTTTAAAATTTATTAAATAACTTATATATATTAAATGCGCATTTTTTAGAAAATAGTAAATATATAATAATTATAGGGAATATTGCTTAATTCAGTTAACCTTTATAACTATTTACTTAAAAAGTTTAATAATATTAAAGAATTTTAAAAAAGTAAAGGTTTTTATATAGCGCTTAGCTAATAAAAAGAATATAAATATTAAAGAAATCCTTATTAAATTAACCTCTTCTACTTTAAAGATTTATAATACTTATAACTACTAATTAATATTAGTAAATATTTTAATTATATAAAAAATAAATAATAAATAAAGCAATTATATTAATTTATCTATTATATATATTATCTACTTATTCCTTGCTAGTTAATTTATTAACTAGAAAAGGCTAAGTTAAAGTGGTACTCAGTTGTACCTATTAACACACACACCTCACATAAGCAACTCCTAACCACATACTTAGCATTCTAATTCAGACTCCTGAGAATTGAAGACCACGTATGCCAGACAAGTCTGTGCTATCATTCAAACCGCTCTTTGTCGACATACTTACTTGGATTTGTTTGACCTTGGACCCCAAGGTGTCCTCGAACCTCGGAATATCACTGGAAAGGTCACTGCTTCTTGCTTCTTCCTGGCTGATCTCTTGTAAATTTAAAATCACGCTTCTCAAGGAAGCCATTGCCAAATGTGTTTTCCTTATATAGTGCATTTGGACACAAGGACTTCACTGAAACGGGTACAACAAGATAAAGAGAGACTGTAGTTAGATATTTAGGCATATTTTTGGGTTTTACATGTCTGGTGATTCCAAAACCGTGAACCTTTCCTCTTCTTTCCTAGCATAGATGTCTTGATGCCGTACGTCTTCAGTTGGGACACCGATTCCCTTCCTAGTTCTGCTTCTTGACGACCCACACCTGCCCTTTCTTTTTTGTGTTCTGAGTAGTGCACTTGATCTTCGTGCCGTTGTTACCGCTGCCATTGTCAAGAGCCAGGCAATCGCCATTGAACCTGCAACTGTAAATGTACAACCTTTTCAAGTTGCCGGCCTCAGCCAATGTAATGCGCCAGTGCGCCACATTCAAATCGACATCACCTGTCTGCGGGACGACGGCGCCACCATCGTCTTTGTCGCAAATGTTATTCAAATCGGCCAAAAAGTTCTTCAAAATGGTGTGATACATTACCTTTGGCGGCAAGGTACTGGCCAGTCTTCTTGTTGATAATTAGCCACTTCCCATCGCCAATGTCAGCGAGCTGCCAGAGCTGGTTGACGTTGGAAATGTTGAATGAGTCGCCAAACTCCCTATTTAATGTGTTAGTATTTTGTATTTGTTGGGGAAGGATGTTCGCAGACCATCCGTGAATCACCTGGGGCTTGCCGTTGCGGTCTTCGTCAAGTGCGGTCTGGCCGTCGATGTTGAAAATTGCATAGAGACCAGGGGTTCCGGCCCAGGGAGTCGCATTAGCTTCGTCAAAAGTTGACATGGCGGAGAGTTTGAGTGAAGTTGCTTAGTGATGATTTTTTGGCTCTGGTGTTTTGCAGAGGTGCTGAGATGATGAAGATGAAAATGGTGGTCTCTTGTGTGTGGGAGAGAACATGGACATTTATAGAAAATCCCGGTCCTCAACAATCAACGGGGACAGAAATATTTTCGTTCGTCTTTGACTGCAGAGAGTACTGATGGTAACATACTGTGATGTGCAAGTATTCTGCAATACTGGTGATGGTTTTCACGAAGCATGATACGATTGGACTGTAGAATCCACCGTCCAGCGGTAAAGTAAATATGCAATGTCTGTCGGATGTCACCCACAGCGGCATACTGCATCTTTCCCAGCTCGTCAAAACATGAAAGTAGTTACTGGCGGTAGGCAATGGCTGGCCGTGAGAAGTGGCTGGCTGTAGTGAGTGGCTAGCTGTATGGAGTGGCTGGCTGGAGCGGCACGAAATTAAGGGTGGGAAAGACGAGAAGGGATGATGTGTTCAGCTTAGGGAAAAGAGAGAGAATCACCCCAACAGCGCAGTCATTTGAAGTGCCAAGTGATAGAAAATTGTTTCTGTCAGTAATGTGACGTGCCAATTGCTTTGCACATAGGAAAGACACGCATGGGGAAAAACGAAAAGACCGGCATTCAACAGAGGATTCTACTTGACTAGTCTGTCAATTAAAGGGAAGATGATTGCCTGCGTGAGCATGTCTCCGTGATAATTGTCAAATCAGAAAACTCCATAAATTTTGCTCTTCAAAACCTTACCGCAGCTGAATACTCACAATGGCGGTGTATGCCAAATGAAAGACCAAATGAATGTTTTTGCAGTTTCTGAGGTTCAGCTCTCTTTGTTTGAGTACCGTCACAGGGAAGAGGTTTTATACGAGAGCGCCACACTTCAAATATCACATGGACTGTTGCATGCATTTACGGGAATAGAAGGATCGACAAGTTAAAATGTCTGAGAACAAATGACAGTGAACCAGAATATTTTTGTTGTCTTTTCTCTGGCCCTAGTCTTGGAGACCTTTGAGCACAGAATTTTGCACGGGTCTGTTCCCACCGAAATCATCACTCTAGCTCACCAATGAAATCACTTACCCGATGATGCCTCTGGACAACCCTTTTTAACTTGTATTGCTATCGTCGTCTAAGTTGTGTAAATTAGTGCTGAATATCTATGTCTTTGGATTTAATTCTAGTTTTGTGGCCCCTTTATAAGTGTTGGTGATGCGGCTGTCATGTTGCTTGTGATACCCGTCCGTACAATAACAGACTAACGCAGATTGATGTGGTGGACCGCTGCGACGTTTGGCCGCACGGTAATTTGCTCACGTCACTTGTCTCGTCACGGTTCCTTCTTGATCTTGGGATGCTTAAAAGAGTAATCAGCCGGCGCTTGCAGAAAGGAGGGAGGGTTGCAATATGCATGCAACAACTGACAGACGACGTGGCTGAGCGAGTTGTGTCATTTCCTCTGTTTTTGGTGCCAGAATTTCAGCTGACTCAACTCTGGAGAAGTCCATGCTCTCTGTCAATATATACCAGATGAGGAATGACTTGTAAGGACAAGACACAACCATGTTCGTGGTTGGGCGAGTATTGGAGAGAGGAACATTCAGTTCCGACACCGGTGAGAGGTGTACCGGCCTTGGGTATCATTGCACTTGCATATTGGTTCCTTGTGCGTCAGACATGGATGAGCACGGTCCAGAAACGCTGCGAGCAATAATCGCCAGTCAATTCTGCGCTCACACGTCCGTACTTCGAGCCCCAAGGGAGCTGTCATGAAATGATGAGAACGCTTCATCACTGGATCACACTGACTGGAGTGACACTGCGACTGCGATGAGGGCTAGACATTGAGGAAGAACTTCGAACGTTGGAAGTGACCATAGCACAGCCATATTCCACTCAGGATACCGAATATCCGGAAGTGGGATGGGCGCTGCAAAGTTATGCCTAGGCTGTAGTTGTACTGCGTATTTCACTTAAGTAACCTCCTTGAGAGACCGATGAAAGTTCCGTCACACGACACACCTGTAAAACTGAAGAATAGGGCGCTGCAGACATGTAGACACCATTGATCAACATGCTGCTCTGTCCTCGATGTTTTGTTATTGCAAAACGGCTCATTGGGAATCTAGGCATGCACCATGTCATGTACATAGGGCATCATCGATTTGCATACTCGAACGCTTGCGACATGAAATTGGCCCCGCACATAGAAATGACGCTGATGGAATTCGCGCCCTTTATTCCTCTCTGGTTGCGCACGAGGTGCAAGATTCTGTTCTCATTCTGCGATTGCTGAGGGAGATATCCTTTCATCATTCCTCGCCCGCCTTCATCGTTCCTAGTAGGCGGGTCTCATCTCATCTAGACTTTTGCAACCCTCCTTCCCCCAACGCGCGAGAGAATTGCTCGTCAAGTTATAAGATACAAGCCATATCATCATGGCATAGCCTCTGCGTCGCGTCGCCTCATCACCGGCCACCATTCACTGAAATGCGCTGGATCTCGCTTTGATACCTCATCTTGAAACCATTCGTAAGTGCCCTCACATCTGGGTACTGGTTCTTCAAGAACTCGAAACCGTTCGGCACGACACGTACCGGCCAGCCCATGACCCGTGACGCTCTATTGGCCTTGAAGCACAGCCAGAAGTAGCCTGCATGTTTACTGTCGATGCAGAAGGCGTAGCTCGAACGATTGGGGTTGGCGTCCATGTAGGTGGTGAGCCATTTTTCTGCCCGGGTCAGTTAGCAGATAAGCAGGAATAGGGTAGGGGTCTGAGAGACATACCAAGCTCAGCCTTCGAGCCTTTTTGAAACTTCTCGCTCTGCATCAACTCAGAGACCTTCTTGGCCATGGCCTTCACGTGGTCGACGATCAACTCATCGAGATCGGTGTACGAGTGCTTGCCACCCACACGGAGCAAACGGCCGACGGAGAATTCATTCTCCTTCTGCAGTTCGAGCACATCGACGTGCTGATAGACGCCGTCTGCCACCTTCCACGTTATTGCAAGATGATCATTACCCTTGGATGATGGCCTGATGACTACTTCTCCCGGGGACTGGGATCCGAGCCACTCTTCGGCTTGTGTGGCGTTGAAGGGCTTGAATAGGGGATGTTTGATGACACGCTGCGTCCGGCCGGTAGTCCTATCCTTCTCTTTGAGCTCCTCCTTGTCCTCTTCTTCTTGTCGGAAGTCCCACATGTTGCGGTCATAATCGTGCCTCCTATTGGGTCGCCGTAGCATATCCTCGCGGACCGTCAATTTGGCCAGAAAAGCCTTACGGTCAATCTCCAGAAGTTTCGCCTGAACCGTTTGGCCGACGGACAGGACATCCTTGACTGAAGAACGGTATGACACCTCGTGAGCTTCGATACGACCTTCGATGCCACAGTCAAGCCTGACTATAGCGAAGTCGTCCTTGACAATCCGAACGTTTACGGGGATGATTGAGTCCTCCGCCAGAGATTCCTTGGTCTCTCCAGTAAACATAGTGAATATCTCATCAGAACTAAGGGTCATGAAGTGCCGTCGCAACTCTTCGTATGGCGCCTGCAGTTCCGCCCTGATAGTCTCAAGCGTTGCGCGCTTCCGCTGGCTGTATTGCGCCTCCAGCTGTTCAGCGTATTCCTCAAGAACAAGCTCGTTGACCTTTTCTTGCTCGTCGTCCCGGAAGAGTTTACGAACAATAGCACCAGGTCCGTTCTCGTCGGTCTCGGCTTTGACATCTTCTTCGTCGAGTTCTAGTGCGTCAGCCGCCATCTTGCGTCCGAGCTCGTAATCCTCTGGGTGTACTCGAGTATTGTCCAACGGTTCCGAATGGGGATTGGAGGTGTCGTATTCGATAAACAGGAAACTGGCGCAGTTGTCCCAGACCTTCGGGCCGACGACGGGGAGCTTGTTGTTGTCGGGATCACCCACGAGTTCGTCTCGCGAGTTCACGACACCGCCATTCATGTTGATGCCCTTGATGACGGCTTGCGCTTTCCGTGGGCCGAGACCAGATACGTACGGCAACAGATTAGCAGTGTAGGGATCCTTAACAGCCTCATTGATATCGACACCGCAGAGATTCACCATGTCCACCATTGCCGTCTCGAGGTACTTGTTCAACTTCTCTGGAGGGAGCAAGTTTTGGCAAGGGTGGAAAGACAACGATATTATATCTTTGCCTAGTGCCGCATACTCTTTGAGCGGGTTCTGAAGATAGTGTGCAAGGGCAGCACAGTATCTGGTGAGAGAGGGCAATGTCGGGTGTTCAGCTATCGCTCGGGGACTGTCTTTGTAGAGGCGGGCGACCTCATCGTTGACAACCATGACTTCAAGCAAATCTGTGCGGAGTTCGTTGGTTTCCTGGTCGTCATATTCAGGTCCCATGAGACCCTTCTCGTTGACGAGGTTCTCTAAGTCCTTGACGAGTTTGTGCGTGTCGGCGCAGAACCCACTGGCAGCGATGACGTCGGGTTCTCGTCTTCTAACCAGTTCTGCGAACTGTTCGCGAGCCTCCTCATCCCGAGCTAAGTTACCCAGCTGGCCGGATTCGATTACGCGACCGTCTTCCTCGACCCAAGCATACGAGATCTTCTCTCGGCCCGGATCACCCATTCCGTTTGAAAGCGCGAGAACGCGAGGCGTTGTGCCCAGAACCATCCCCTTGGGCTTGTAAGGTGCTTGGTCGAGTCTGCGGGTATATTCTTCTCGACAAATCTTGAGAATAGATTCCTGGCACTGTGTGCGCATACCATCTTTAACGGCTTTAACCATCATTTTGTCTAGCTTTGACAGCGCGGAGTCCAGTACCTTCTTGCGCTCGTCGTTCCAGGCGTCTGCTTTCTCGCTGAAGTTATCGGATGCAAAGTCTTGGAAAAACTGTCGCCTCAATTCGCGTTCATCCTGAAGGGACAACTTGACCTCGACCAGACCTTCTTCTTCAGCCTTCATCATCTTCAAGAAAAGTTCTGGCCTCCGAGCGAAATCTTGCGGCTGGAGATTGATGGCGTATTTGATCTCATAGAAAGGGTGCGACTCTTCGATTCTGCGCAGGCCTTTTTCGGTACGACGACAGTTGAAGACAGCATTCCCAAAGTAATGCTCACGCATCCACTTGCGTAGCCTTGGACTGGAAAACAACTCCTCGGCATACAATTGACGAGCAGCACCAATCACAGAATCGGCAGTGGAGAAGTCGCCGTCCGTCAAGCTGTCTGCCAAGTCGACTGGATGCTCCGATGGGTCATCAGCGACAACACGCTGATTGTTCATTTTCGCGTTGAGTCGATTGGATACCACGGTCTCGGGGGGCAAGCCGTAAGCCAGGAAAAAGTCGTAGGCCTTACTCTTGCGGACTCGGTCAAACAAAGATGACCGGGCTCCAGGTCGCTTGAGTGCTTCGCCATCCGTAGCTGTGACGTCCTTCAACTGAGTCGAGTATTTGAAGTTGACATAATCGAGCAAGTCCTGAAGCTCTTCCATCTGCTTTGCCGCCGTTATTTGTTCTTCAAGCATGCTATCCTCCACATCGAGGCCGCGGAGGCTGGCAACATTCTTCTCTAGCGCTGCTCGCTTCTCAACGAACCCACGGAATTTGCTTTCAAGTTCCAGGATCTTCCAGAGGTCATCCTGGTTCAATAGTTTCTCGGCTTGTACTATGAATTCAGACGAATCCTGATCCCGCCGGTTATAATCCGGGTTTCTCGCCTTTCTGGCGTGAATTAGATAGTCCTTGCGGTGCTGGAACACGTAGGGCACTTCGACCGAGTCGATGATAAAGAACTCCAGAACCTTGCTGACGGCTTTGGCGAAGTGACCTTCCAGCATTTCGTCCATGTTGTACTTCTTGAAAGCCCACATCTGATCCGATATCCATTTCGTCTCTTCTTTTAGATCTGGTTGGATCTGGGACTTCTTGAATGGCCGCCGATCAAGCTGGAATCGCTCCGGTTCGTCTGTGGCGCGTATCTCGTTGTCCTCGTCCGTCAGAAGCCTCTCGGTCAGCTGAGAAGGTTCAAAAACGTCCTTGAGCTCGAGCTGCTGTTCTTCGACACCTTCTTCCTCGTCTTCCTCTTTCTCTAGAGCCCATAGATACTCTTCGCCGTTGCCGAAGATGGCTTCCATGTCTTCTAGTGTCTCTTTGTCCAGGCCGGTCATGTCGCCGACATCAAGACGATCACGCCCACGAGCGACTTCCATATCCTCTTGCTGCCTGATGCGCTCCTCTTCATCGCCGTAATCATCCTCGATGAAGTCATCGAACTCGTCGACGGCAGCGCGGCCGTGGCTCGGGCGGGCGTATTGGCGATCGTCGACGGCATCATCTTCGTCTTCTGAGAACATTTCCTCCAGTCGGCCCGTTCGTTTATTGTGACGGTCTTCATCGCGATGACCGCGCTTGAGGCGTTTGAAGTGCGACTGTGGCCAGTATTAGCGCATGTAACAGTACATATCATCGTTCTGCGTAAGGTATTCAGCCGTACCTGAGACTGTTCTCTGCTCTGGAACTCGGGGTTGGCCTCACCAATGAGGTCTAAGTCTTCCTCATCAAGCTGAGCCTCCTCGTCGCGCTCCGCTCGCCTGCGCTTTCTACGTCTTCGACGCTCTCGCTCATCGGAGTCATTCGCTTCTTCGTCTTCATCGTCGTCGATGATGAACCCCTCGCGAATCTGCAATTGACCGGTCAGCTTGGGACTAACTGGAACAGGACATTTCAGCCCGCTTCTTCACCTACCTTTCGTGCCTCCTCTTCGTCATCGTCGTCCTCGTCTTCCTCGCTGGAGTCATCCACAGGTTGGCGCTCTTGTCGGCGGCGAGGCTGAACATCATCACCATCTTCGTCTCCAGCGAAGGATTCTTCGTCTTCCTCATCATCCAGCTCAGCGCGGTCGTCGATCAAATCTTGCATGCTCATCTTGACGGTTGCGATAGTAATTTGTGTTCTTTGTTGCCGAAAAGGGTGCGAGGTTATTGACGGGACGTGGGTGAACTTGCGCAAAGCAACCGGTGGCTCAGGCAGCTCGGAAGGAAGTTGGTTGAAAGACTCGAAACTAAGAGTCGATCCGCCTCTCAAGGGAGACCCGATAGGCTGAGATGGGCTGTCGAAGGAGACGGCCTGAAGCTGGAGTAAAGTGATAAGTTGCCTGTTTGTTTGGGCTGAACGGGGGAATTTTTGGAGCCAGCAAGGTAAGCTCGACCACAGGCCGCGCTGAAAGCAGTACTGGGTCTTTTGCCTGCCGGCCTCGGGCTGTGAGCCAAACCACTCTAAAAGGTACGCTAGATAAAATTATGGGGAACAGCTTGGGAATGTTAGCCTGGGGCTGGAAGGGTTGGGGTTAGGGGGGTGGCACCTGGCGCTGCAGTTTAAACTTCTCTGGGAACCCTTAGCTTGGATTTGCTTCACTTTGGTCACTGAACTATGATGGCCACTGAAGCTTCCACATCGACCAGTGAATGGTAGGTCACTTGTTGCCATCTGAACTTACTGCCTTGCTTGTCCAACTTTGCTCATAAGACAATGGTACTGGGGAGCAATTGCGCTGGGAAAGCACTTTACGTTTCTGCTGGCAACACTGCCTGCTTGTGCAGCACACCAAACAAAATGGACGGGGTTTGACGAGTCTTATCATGACCGGGCAGTCAGCGCAGCAATCCAATTACTGGCACCCTCGTGACATCTGCTACAATTAATGGTGGCAGTCTCTACACCTGGGCATGTGTCACACCGTCCATTCAACGGCAAGACTGTTGCACATGGCTCGACAGCAGTTCAGGCCAAGCCATGTCAGAATCGAGACAATGTAGCAGGGCGCATTCTCGCTGGGATGAACCCCAAGTCGAGGTAACAGCATTTAGTGTCTTTGCAACAGCAAACACTGCAAGGGTTGCAGCCCCCAGACCAAACCCCCTACAGCTTCTATATACGAGAGTGTAGGTGGCGCACAGAACAGCGTGGGGCGAGGCTTGAAGTATATGAAGCCATGTTTCGACGGCCATCGTGGAACGGGCAGGAACTTCCCTTTTGAGGAACATTGCCTAGGTTAAACAGTTCGTGGGGATTCGAAACGTTGGCGTATAGCTTGACCATTATACCCTTAGAAAAACATCGTATAGGGCAGCATCTTTCAAAGGAATAAGATTGTTGACCACAGAATGACGGCGACAGCTCTTTTGAGTCTGAGTTGACAGACGTTCTGGTGTCTTTTCCGATCCTCTTCATCTAACATGCAGCCAGTGTTGGGCCGGACTATTGTTATCGGAAGGTTGATGGACATGACAAGCCTAATCAGCCGTGGGCACGGAGTCGAGAGCCATTTCGAGGAGTTTTTATGACACCCTGGACAAGCCCCATGAGCACGAGACTATCTAAGTGAAGGCGAAAGTGACGTCGGCAATATGTTGCAGGGCACTGGGCAGCAGAGTACTGGTAATGGCATGAATGTCGCCCGTAGCCATCGCCGACATGGGCCCTGGATGCCTTGATGACAAAGGATCCAGGTAAACTTGTTATGTACCATGAAATCAGCAACTCTTGTTGCGGACATCGATCGAGGCGAGGTACCTGAGGCTGGGCTCGACGCTTGAACTGCTTCCATGAGCTGCTTTGGGGTTTGCATACCTCTAGCACTTATATTGACGCCGAATTTGAGGCTTGAAAGACACAGCTTACATAAGTTAATATAGAAGAAATGGCGATTTGCCCCAGCTTCCCTGCCGAAGTTCCTCCAGGTGGACGGACGGGCTTGTCTTCGGATTGCTCCCCCGTTGCGGCAACCCGTGTCATGCGGTTTGGGATATCGCCATGTTCTATCAATGTGATACAACTACCAACCCTGGTGCTGGGCCAGGAGTGGCAGGCTCAGCGGTTGCTCGTACAGCAAAAATGTTTCGAGCAGCACCTCGGGGGACATCGTCATTGCTGCAGTGGGTTGGCCGTTTGCCGCAAGGGCTTGCGCCTGGACAGCCAGCCACACAGAGCGGTTACTGAGCCGCTGAGGTGTTGATGGGGAGCTCACGGGTGCACGTCCGACGGCCCCCTGTTGGGCACGCAGCACCGGCACCTACGCCGTAATGAAGATTGGATGGCCAATGGAGAGGGCTAGTGTCCGTATTTGAGACGCCAGCCCGTTTTGGGCGTGCCACACTCAATGGCTTAACTCCACTAGAACCATTGGGATGGCATCCATCTCCTCGTCAACCCCTATTCCTCTCCTCGCCCGGACGCAGCTAGAGAGACAGAGAAGCTGGGGAGGCATGCGCGGGAAAGGGATGGGGAATGGGGGGAGCTCATGATCGATCACCGAGCTGGCCTGAGAGTCAGCCACTGTGCACATCAGCTCTCGTCGGGGGTGGTACATGCCAGGCTGCTTGCAAGCTACCGTAGTATCTAACGAGAATACTGGACGGCAGAAATGCGCCCCGACGGCGTCAAAAGACGAATCGCATTCCATGACATGCAGGACCGTTGCAGCAGGGACCCGATTCGCGACAGTCTATCGCCCGCGAACCGTGCCGTACCGGAAGTCATGAATCCATAATAAGCGAGGTGTCGTATCCGCCTGCAGTATCAGAATTTGTCTGTTTTGGGTCTCGACTCTCTGTCGGGGGGCAAACCAGCGTCGAATCTCGCCCGTGTCGCCCGTGCGAAGGCCCAGTTGACACCCCACTACCTCGGACACTTGCACTGATTCAGTGGACCCAATCCGACGAGACTTGGGCGGGTTGGAACCAACGAACGACCCTTCACTCTACCTGGCCTCGGACTTGTTTCCTCCTGTTCTTTTCTACTAGCCAGTGTTTCAACCAAGGCAAAAAAGACATTCTCATCGAGCAGACCGTCAGGTTCTGTACACTGACAGGCAGAGCTCTCCACAACGTTGGCATCTGGAAAAAGAACAGCCAGGTTTGCATATTTCCCGCTCACCCTACCGCCTGCATTGGAACATCGTTGATGAAAGCGGCACAGTCCCCGGTATCGATACCCTGCCGCTTAGAAGGCCCCCACCAGGCGAACAACTACCTCCCCGTCTGGCTACCCAACCGTCCTCCGACCTACCTTTCTGCCTTCTCAAAGAGCTGTTTCAACAGCACTAGAGCTACGCGATCATTGATCAACTTCTGAGGCTTCAGGTTCAGGCACCTGCACCAACAAGTCGGGAACAGAGGTGTCTCGCAGGTGACTGGGAACGAACAGGTCATCCGTCAGACTACCCCTCCAAGCGCAAGGCTGATACAGCCTTTGCAACCACCCGAGGCCTGCACGAGGGTTTTTGAGACGACTTCGCGTCTCCTCCGACCGACATTCAAAGACTCCATCCAGAAAGTCATTCAACCCTAGCCACAATGGCCGACTTCGCGCCTCGCTCTATGAAGCGCAAGAATGTCAAGGGTCTTGCCCTGACGCCTGCAGCTCCCAAACCACCACCCACCTCCGAGAATGCCAACTTCCGGCATTCCAGGAACAACTACTCTGAGGATACCTCAGCGCAGCTGGAGATTGGCATCGAGTTCAACCTCGACCTGCGCCCAGAGGATCTCGAGATCATCAAGGACCTGGGCTCTGGAAATGGCGGCACCGTGAGCAAGGTCAAGCATATTCCCACCAACACTACCATGGCCCGCAAGGTGAGTCGCTTCCGCCACTCGAAATCCTCTTCTCGCCTCTTCTAACGCCATTCAAGGTTATCCATGTCGAAGCGAAGCGGGAGATGCGCAAGCGAATCGTTCGAGAACTTCAGATTATGCACGGTTGCCATTCCGAGCACATTGTCACCTTCTACGGTGCTTTCCTCAACGACAACAATGATGTGATCATGTGTATGGAGTATATGGATGTTGGGTAGGCTACAGTCTCTTGTCTACTGTGTCAAATATGGAATACTGTGCTGACTTTGATCCCAAAGCTCGCTCGATCGGGTCTCTCGAGTCTTCGGTCCAGTCCGAGTCGATGTGCTGGGCAAGATCGCTGAGGCAACTCTGGGCGGCTTAACATACCTTTACTCGAAACACCACATCATGCACCGAGACATCAAGCCCTCCAACATCCTCGTCAATTCTCGTGGTCAAATCAAGCTTTGCGACTTTGGTGTCTCCGGAGAGCTGGTCAATTCCGTCGCTGATACCTTTGTTGGGACATCCACATACATGGCTCCGGAGAGAATCCAAGGCGAGAAGTACACAGTCAAGTCAGACGTCTGGAGTTTTGGCCTGTCCGTAATGGAGCTCGCCATCGGCAAATTCCCCTTCGCCGCCAGCGAACAGCTGTCTGACGCCGAGAGCGCGCCAGCTGGCATTCTCGACCTGCTCCAGCAGATCGTCCACGAGCCAGCGCCCAAGCTTCCCAAGAGCGATGCCTTCCCACCAATTTTGGAAGACATGATCCAGAAGTGTTTGCAGAAGACGCCAGATGACCGTCCGACGCCCGAAGAGCTTTTCGTGAGTTACATTGGGACTTGTTTACCGGTGCGCAGAAAGCTAATGCTGTCTAGGAACGGGACCCCTTCGTCCAGGCCGCCAAGAGAACCCCTGTCGACCTCCGAGAGTGGGCAGTGAGCCTCATGGAGAGAGACAACCGCAAGTCGCACCTGGCGCCCCAGCTCTCCCCGTCTTCTCAGGATTTACTGCGCTCGAAGGACTCTCCAGACCCGGCCGTGGATGACCGCGCGTTGGAAACACCCACATCAGGTGAGATTCCCATTGTGGGCGCTATCATGTCACCTCGTGACCAATATAGCAGCGTATCGAATCGATCCCCGACACGATCAGAACGGGGGGCAGGGAGCAGCACTGGCCGATCAGGTGGACCGCCTGTACATCCGGGACTAGGTCAACGCGGAACGACGACGAACTCGATACCGAAGATGATGCCGCCTCCACCTCCGCCTCCTGGTCGACACAGTCCCAGCCCGTCTGCGGGCTCGATCAACAAGCAGACTTCCTTTGCCCTGCCCCTTCGTCCCCCTCCCGGCGGCCCCTTACCACCTCCACCTCCACGGAGACAGACACCGCAAACCCCCGACGAAGTTGGGAACAGCATCCGAGGAAGCAGGCGGCAAGCGACTTTTGGCATTCCACAGGGCTCGACTAGTGCATACGGAATGGGATATCCAAACCAAGTAAGGCGAGAATAGGACACGCTTTCTTATGTTCCCAAGTCACGCGCCACTCAAAGGACCCGACAGGCCCGCGAACTGGCACCTTCTAATTTCCGCCTCCCAACCCCATCATGGATTGATCTCACTTTTCTTTCTGAACTTATTGAAGCACAGTCTGGCTGCACAAAGCTTTAAAAAGAGTACAGATCTCTCACCTTCTACTTACATGGTAGTTATTCTTGCATTAACCCGGCGTAACCGGCTTCGAAGGATCTGTCCCGAGGCACCACAGGCGCCCTAGGACTTTTGAACATTGTCACAACAGTTCTCTCGAGCACGTCTGCTCCTGCGAGTCTCCAAAGGGACGGCAACTATCAGGAGTGGAAACATTGGGGGCAACTGTGCATTTCGGCATTTGCGACGGTTTTTGTTTGAGGGGTCCGACCATCTTGCAGCGTTGTGTGGAAGCAAGCGTGGAGAAACATGTTCAGGGCTTGGCAATTCTTGTCTATTTGGCCGGCTGGCAGCATTTGGAAAGGGAGGAAAGACAAAAGGCTGCTGGCCTGTAGGGCACATAGCCCAGACTTAGACAACCTGAATACGATGTGGTTGAATGCTCGGCACGTTTGGCTCGCAATATTCCATGATGTCCCGGACTCCCCGGGGTTGCTTGGATGAATAGGCAGCTCACATGCTTCTCATCAGACTGATCTTTATCTACGATCTAAGGCGAAACCCCCATCATGCCCGGTCCCGTCAGGCGAAATCTATCATGCCAGAAATTGAGGCCAATGCCCCCAAGTGAGTCTACGGTATAAAACCATCTCCAGCCATCGAGAACACCCCTTAGGACCCACAGGCCAAGCGACGACAATGGACAAAAAGGCTTCCTGATGCCCTTCATCGCGTCTCCCTTCCAGTGAACCCATCCTCCAGGTGACGAATCAAATCGTCCAGCCGGCCTATCACCAGGTCGGTATGTTCGTGCTCAGCCAAGTGCTCATTCGCGGGGTTGACAAGCAGCACGGTTGCCGCGCCCGCTCTGCGACCGGCCGTCATGTCGTCTATCGAATCGCCCACCATGATCAGCCCGCTAGCATCGGCCTCATCATCCTTCCCCTCCCGCTCCTGCCCAGACGCGCGGGCGCCGTTCTCCACGACCTCGGACCTGACCTCGGCCCCGTCGTCCATGAACACCTTCCTTAGCGGCTCCTCCCCGCCGTGGCCCGCCGTGCCGCGGCCGCGGGGCTGCGTGAGCCCCCACGAGCGCGCGATGTGCAAGATACCCGCGGGGTCGGGCTTCGGGGGCCGGAACTCACGCGTGATGATCGGGTGGAACGGCTTCACGGCCGTGAGGAACTTGGTCAGCAGGTGGTCCACGGGCGCGTCGAAGTTGCGCGTGCAGATCCCCTTGGGCAGCGACTTGCTGTCGATATAGGTCATCAGCTCGACGAGGCCTGGCTGGGCCTGCTGTTTGGACATTGCAGTGCGCTCAATTTCGCGGACTGACTCCTGAGAGGGGCATTAGCTAGTGATAACGGACTCAAATGGGGCCTTAGGGTCTCTTACCATGGCCTTTTCTCGGTCTTCGGGCGTGGGAAGCGAGTATATGTGCTCGAGGATGTCGATTTCTTTGGTGATTGAGAGCGCCTTGCGCATCTCACCGAACATATAGTTTTGGGGTTGGCTACAATTGGTAATATATTAGAAATTTTGACACTTATTCCCTCGATGTTTCTCTTATACTTCTCTCCAAGTACGTTCTCCACTGGTCGAATGAGTGTACATATGCTGTTCTGCACGTGCTTGCACCTCATGTTGTAAAGCTCGAGTCTGGACTTCCAGAGCAGGAGGCAGTGAAAGGCCAAAAGACAAGCTTGAAAAGTAACGAACCAGAGCGTCCCATCAACATCAAATACAATTCCCTGCGCAAGTACAATTAGAAAAGATGTGAGTGTGCGTGAAAGAGAGAATGACCCACCCTCAGTTTAGGCAGGTGAGTATTCGCAGCGGCCCCCTCCTTGAGAGGAGCGAACTTCCTTGCTCCAGAAGCCATCGTAGACAGGAACCTTCGCATGGAAAGTTTTTGATGATGAGGAGAAACTAGCGAAGTACTGTCTGCTTCAGAAAAAACTCTGGAAGATGTGACCAGGAGCCAGGGTTGCTCTGCTTGGCTCGGCCCGACCCTCGATGGTAAGGAAAGCCTGCGCGGCAGTGTGTGATGTAATCCTGAGATATTGGAGGCGAGTCAGACACTGCGTATAGGAATCCAATGCCAAATCAGTGTGACCTGTACATGAGCTCTCTCTCGAGACTTTTGACGGGTGTGACTTGCAGGAGGAGCGAGCATTCGATGTCACAATGGGGCCAGTGCACGGACCACAGCTCCGAACCGGGGATGTGGATCTAGACTGAGGGACAGCATTGAGCAGGCCTAAGCATTCTGGCGTGCCCAAGTGTTGCAGGTCAAAAGTCCCAGAGCTCTTTGGGGGGATGGATACGATATACATGGGCGTATATAAATGGTGTTTGCAAAGTTTGTCCCTACTCTCACTATCTGCCTCATGTCTTACAGGACTGTTCCTTTAAGAAAGAAAAAGCACTTGCTGGGAAAAGCGACGTGGAGCGCATTGTATGCAGGATACGCCAGGCTGACGAATGTTCAGTCACCGGGCAGCAATGCATGTAGAAATTACTAGGGACGTTATTGAGAGTCTTCTTGAAATTACGGTGCTGGACTGGTTTTGAGACCTTGTACTGTAGATGCTCTAGGGAGTGGTGCACCGAGTATCTGCTGAGGACGACCGAGGTGGGAAACCAATAAATATATCAACCTAGGCAATGCTCCTAGCCATATAATTTAGGCAACAAGGGAACAGCAGAAGAGGACGCACTTCCAACAGTCGATAATGTTGTGAAGGATGATAGTCAGGACACGATTTCTAGGTGGGTATTTTATAAAAATAATACAATATGATCTCATATGTCAAGGGGGCCTTGCGGAATGGATCGGTGAGCTGAAATCCTCATCCCTAGCATAGCTTCGCTGCCGATGCTACACAACATGCTCGAACGAGTAGAATAGATGTCTCGACTTTCGATGGTAGCACATGATGTAGTGTAGCAGAACAGCAACAGCGAGTTGTATCATGAGCAGCTATGAGATGTGTAGATAGCACTGGCGACTCTGTGTGGTGGTTGGATGGCGTGTGTGACCTTGATGAGAGTGCCCAGATGGTGTGGGAAGTCAGCAAGAGCGCAGCCTGAGTGGGACGGACGACAGTGGGATGCAACATGGGTGGCGTTCGCCAAGGTGGCAGCAGCCGGCCGCGCTAGATTCGCACCGCACGATGCGGGCCAGGGATCACAGCTGGAGTGGAGCTCCATGCCAGCCATTGCCTTCTGCAGGGCTGGGCTCTCTTTCTCCGCAAATCCCAGCGGCACGGGTGGGCTGGTGGCGTGGGTGGGTAACATACTGGTCACTTGCTTGGCCAGTGCGACCAGGCCGTCGTCAGTCGCGGGCCCATTCCAAAATCAGCAACACACCTGGGCATCCATCCTCTTGCAGCCCAGTACCCACCGCCCAAAAGTCCAGTGCCGTCTTTGCCTTGAGCCTCAAACTTTATCATCTTCTCATGGAAGAGAGACCATGAGCTTTCGCTTTTTCGACAGGACCCCCAGGCGACGTGCACTTAGGTCGCGTAGAAGGAGAGCTTGCAATGAGCTCGTCGTCCCCATCCCGCTCGGCCGGCCCGCCAGGGCCTGCTGAAAGGCCCTCCAAGAGGAGTGTAAGTCGTCAAACATATCCTGCCTCGCGCCCAGCTGCTGTATGGCTTCTCTCTGACCATTCTCGCCCCGGCAGAAAATGCCAAATGGCACCTTCATCGATCCACAGACAGGCCAGCGATCCCGACGACAGTTCACCTTGCGCGGTGCCTTCCGTGATCGCGGTCGCACCAACACCGGCGACAGCCATGTCTCGATTCGCCCTTTCTTCTCGCGCGAGAGCTTCTCCGAAAGAATAGATGCGCTCGGCCATAATGCCAAGGCATCCGTTATCAACAGCTGGGCGTGGCTGAAGTCTCCCAGCGGGAGGGGCGTAATGAAATGCGTCCTGGCCTACTCCCTCGGGAGCCTGTTCACCTTATGGGAGCCACTGTCCGACTTCCTGGGCAGGCCGGACGGAAAGCATGTCGTTGCGACCATCACTGTCTATTTCCACCCGTCGAGGACGGCGGGCTCCATGATCGAAGGCACCTTGATCGCCATTATAGCCGTCATCTACGCCGAGATTGTGTCCATATGTTCGATGGCTACCTCGGTCTTCTTCGGTTCGGCTCTGCACATGGTCGCTGTGGCGTATGCCCTGGTTCTTTTGATTTTTGTCGGTGGCGCTTTCGGGTTTGTAGGATGGGTGAAGCAGAGGATGAATAACCCTCAGGTCAACGTCGGGAGCACTCTGGCTTCGCTATCTATGATCAGCATCTTGACGAAGGAGAACGCTGTGCAGGAACACGTCTTCTCGAACCAGAAGATCGTCCAGGTCTTGAAGATGCTGATTTGCGGCATCTTTATCACGGTTGCTGTCAATCTGACACTGTGGAGGACATCCGCAAGAGCACAGCTGCGAGACGGCATGACCAAAGCCTCGAGCTCGCTCGGCGAGATGTTGACCATGATAACGCATGGCTTCCTGAGTGGTTCAGAAGAGGAATGGTCGACACCCGAATTCGCGAAGGCCTCGGCTGGATACAATGCCGCCTACGGCAAAATGTCCAAGAATCTTAGGGAGGCAAAGTTCGAGCACTACTTCGTGGGCGATGAGAAGATATATCAATTGGACAAGGCCGTCTACAAATCGATGGAGAACTTGGCACAATCGATCGGTGGCTTGAGGAGCGCGGCCAATACTCAGTTCGCGCTGCTGAAAGAGGGCCCCGAGCCTGGATCTGGCAATGTTTCGCCCGGCCAGCTTTCTCCGTCCCTATACCGGACCTTCTCATCGAGCTTAAGGAGTCATCTCCCCACGCTCTCAGCCATCGATGAGGGTTCGGACGAGAGTGACGATGAACAATCTGTCAATGGCCCTCCCAGTAGCACTCCAGTCTTTCGTTCACCGAGCGACATCTTCAACTTGTTCATCGCGTTGCTAGGGCCGTCCATGAAGTCCTTGGCTTTCACATTATCGGAAGTCCTGAGCGAGCCGCCATTCGGAGAGGCGCCGAATTACGATATTACCATCAACGACCACTTCCGGCAGAGTCTCTTCGACGCGCTAGCATTATTCAACGAAAACAGGGCAAAGGCGCTTGAAGAACTATACAAGAACATAGAACATGGACGATTGAGATCCGAGAAAATTAAAGCCGACTTTGAGGAGGTGGCTGCGGCTTGTGGTCACTTCAGTTTCAGCCTCCAGAGCTTCGGCGAGGAAATGAGCAAATACCTGGACGTTTTGGACGACCTCAAGTACGCGACTGAGCACAAGCGGCGGAGTTGGCAATTTCTGGCTTTGTGGAAGGGAGTTCATCAGCGACAGACTCGAGCTCCACTGCTACCTTTCGAGGTAGAACGAGAAGCGGTGGTCAGGCCGATTAGGAGGTCGCAGCTGCCACGAGGAGTCCCTGACCAAATGATTCGACGAAGGGACACTTTCAGCTGGGACGCGGAGCCTTCGGCCAGTGATGTCGTTAAAATGTTGTCACAAAAGTTCCTAACTTTCCTGCGGTTTCTAGCCAGGGATGACAGTAAGTGTACTCTTGATAAGCTTGTGAGATACGTACTAACAGTATGGCTTAACAGTTCGATTCGGCATCAAAGTTGGCGTTGGCGCCATGCTCTACGCTATGCTTGCCTTCATACCCGAGACCAAGCCTATATACATGCACTGGAGAGGCGAATGGGGCCTGCTGTCTTTCATGATCGTGTGTTCCATGACCGTTGGCGCTGCCAATACCACTGGTACCACCAGAATTCAGGCGACTATATGCGGAGTGATATTTGCGGTCATTAACTGGACCGTCAGCCAAGGCAACGGTGTTGCGCTCCTATTTCTCGGCGCTCTTGTTGCGTTTGGAAGCTTCTGGATCGTTATCGTCCAGAATAAGGTCTCTTTCGGCCGAACTGTGCTCCTCGCCTACAACGTCTCTCTGCTGTACGCCTACCTTATAGCGAATAAAGTTGAGGACGATGACGACGATGAAGGCGGCGAGACACCTTATATTGGCGAAATCTGTCTGCACCGAGCGCTTGCCGTTTCTGCAGGCATCCTCTGGGGTTTGATTGTTTGCAGGCTCGTCTGGCCTATCTCTGCTCGCAAAAAGTTTCGCGAGGGTATCTCGGTGCTCTACCTGCAGATGGGACTTATCTGGAAGCGTGGGCCACTGGCCATTCTTCTACGCAGCGACTGCTCGCGCTCCTACCTCAAGTCGGGTGAACAAGCTGCGATGCAGCGATACGCCTCTCGCCTGGAGGTCTTCCGGCAATCCGCGCTTTCCGAGTTCGAGCTCCGTGGGCCATTCCCCTACGAGGCCACGGGGCGGATCATGCGCAGCACGAACAGGCTGCTTGACGCATTTTACGCCATGAGTCTAGTCACCCAACGCCGCGGCCAACTGTCGGACGGAGAGAAGGCGCTACTGTTGTTCACGGCGAGGGAGCGTGCTGTGCTATGCGAGCGCATATGCCATGTCTTCCAGGTCTTGGCGAGTTGCTTGATGCTCGAGTATCCCCTTACGGACGCAATTCCCAGCGTCACGGGGATCCGGGACGAGCTCCTCGGTAAGATCTTCTTGTTCCGCAAGGAGCACGCCGCGGCCTTGAAAGAGAAGAAGGAGCGAGAGGCGGCTGAGGCAGGAGAACCGACACAACTAGAGGTCAACGGCACTAATGACAATGGCCATGCTCATACCAACGGTGATGGCCCAGGCTCACCAAAAAGCCCTTCGGTGGCTAGGCGCGGCAGCAGCAGTAGCAAAAGGAGCTACAGCGCCGGCCACTCGGCTCTCAGCGGGAGTCTGGCGGGCCAGGTGCAGCTGGAGGAAAAGGACTACGCGCTCCTGTACGCGTACGCGCTAGTCACAGGTCAGGTGGCTGAAGAGCTCAAGATTGTTAGAAAGGAAGTCGAGAGCTTGTTTGGCGTGCTGAACGAGGAGGCGCTGTTGTTGCAGTAAAGCTGGAGGAAGGCTTGCTTTTGCGATATGGGCGGTCATCATGGGTCAGTAAACAGTGTGAAGAGCCTCGAGTAGGGCCTTTTACGGTGGGAGTTTATGGAAATGGGAAAACGATATTGGTATTTTGATATACGGAAGTGCGCTGGATATAGATACTGGCAGTCCTGTTTGTTCGAGCATGGTGTTTCGGTCAAACTTGATGGACTCACAGTACACGTTATGACCCAGAGATGAGAATACATATGAGTACTTTTAATCTTGCCATCGAGCCCAACTCACTTTTTTTTAATCAAAACATCCAAGTCTTTCAAGAGATGTTCGGAAGTTGGCTCATGCTCCGGATGGATGAGCCTGAGATCGCTGGTCAGCGTTGCTGAAGTCCATTTCACCGCAATACCACGCTTGTCAGACATTGTGAGTAGACATCTTATCATGGCCAGACTGAACAAGCCTTTATGAAAGGTAACTTGGCAAAGCTTGTACATTTGTAAAGAGCAATAGGAATGCGACTTGTCAATCCACGTTATCAACTCATCGACCATTTCCAAGGTCTGCCCACAGCCAAGCTTCCAGACGAGGAACATAACCGCAGTACAACGGTGCAGGTCCTAGTTGGTGCGAAGAATACCCCTGGTATGTCCGGCGCGGGTACGTAATGCCAATGCATACATTAGCCCGTCTCCGTCTCCGACACAACCGAGATTTTGCTTTTTCTTGTCACACAATGGCACTCTCCTCCCCAGGGTACATCCCATGTGATTACGGACAGCAACCATCAAATTGGCCTGGCTTCGGCACCGGCGCGTTCGGCGCATGCGGGCGGCCCCGACGGGCGCCCCTGACTCGCTCGCCACACGTGGGATGCCCATCGATCTGGCGAGTGACAACTCGCACACGATACGGAGTGCCTTTGCTCCCCCGATGGGCACAAGGGGTTGCGCGCGTTGATTTGGTCTCCGGCGATGTATCCCACCTGTCACCCAACACAGCGGAGTGTGGCAGCAGCTCGGAGCGCATAGCTATATTAGAGGTGCCAGGTGGCTACAGGCTGTTGTGGCTAGCCGTAGCTCGCTCCCGTGAACGGTTCGGCTAACAAAAGGCTGTAATCCCAATGCGACCTCCTTGACCTAGCCGGGCTGATCACGACAGTGGTGTTTTCGCTTGTTCCCCTCAGCTCGCGTAGTCATGGGGCTCACCCCAAACTTTCCACGGAAGTAGCAATCTGGCTGTATCCTATGCACCGGCGATCAAAATAGATATACGCACAATGCCGCATGAAGCATTGATTGCCCTCCGCCACGGAATGTAACTCATCAAGGTGCGGTGTATGACTAGCCTTTTGCACAACATGATTAGCCGAAAGTATATGCAAGTATAATAGGGCTAGATAGTCCCCCACGAAGCGCGCAATTGCTCACGAGGGGCAGGTATCTTTGGTTGCAGCCGAAAGGTGTAGACAACCATATAGTGATAGGCTGTAGGGGCGGTGTGTGGAGTGCCCTCGCTATAGGTCTCTTTTGCTGACGCCAGTTTTCTCCCGCATAGTTAGGTTCCATTAGTCCTCACATCCGCGTCTTCGGCCTGTTCCACAAGGGCGTGGGGTTTTGTTGTGGCTTTCGGTTTATAATGTCCAGCATGGACACTCCTCTGGTTGGTAGAGGCTCGAGTCCTCAGCCTAATTATCAGACTGTCTCCTCTCCGATGGCCGCACAAAGAGTCACCGAGGCCACGGAGGACCCGGCTGTAGATGCCAAAACGCTGTGTAATGTCGGAGACGCTTCGGCGGAGGCGAGGTCCGTCGACGACAGGTTCGCTGCCAACCCGTTCTCGGACCCTGCGGTCGCGGAGCACTATAGGACGGTTTACGAAAAGGCGCAGTATGAGTGCCGCCACGCCTTTGATCCGGATCTGGAATGGTCGAAGGAGGAGGAGCGAAGGCTGGTCAGGAGACTAGATTGGCATGTTTGTACCTGGGCGTGCATCATGTGCTTCGCGTTACAAGTAGACCGCGATAATCTGGGGCAGGCCGTATCAGGGAATATGTTGGACCAGTTGAACCTTTCTACGAACGAGTACAACTACGGCCGCACTATTTACTACATCTCGTTCCTCCTCTCTGAGGTGCCGTCCCAGCTCGTCTCGAAGAAGTTCGGCCCCGACAGGTGGATTCCGGTGCAGATGGTCATCTGGTTTGTCATTATTTGCGCTCAATCTACCGTTGGCTGATGAGTATCCCAACTGACATGAGAGACCAGGTCGGCTATCACTTGCACACAAGCTGGTTTAACGGGCAGAAACGGCTACTACGCCACAAGGGCATTATTAGGTATCTTCGAGGTATATGGACTTCTGAACATCCTATTACAGAAGGCTATTCGCTGACGTATACAGGGCGGGTTTATACCGTATGTATCTATCTTCTCAACTTACGGTTAATGTTGTCCTTCATTTAGGTTCTTTTGCGGTACGTTTCATTGTCGAATATCATTTACTGACAGACCTACAAGTGACCTTGTTCTCTGGCTCTCGTATTTCTACACTAGTCGTGAACTACCAATGCGGCTCGGCTTCTTCTGGACAGCAAACAGTCTCACCGGAATCGCCACATCTTTACTAGCGTTTGCCTTGCTCCATATGGATGGAATCAAGGGTTTGGCAGGCTGGCGGTGGTTGTTCTTGATAGAAGGACTGGTGACATGTACCGTGGGAAGTAAGTATTGTGTATCAATCAAAGTCTTTTTTTTCTAACAACCTCAATTCTGGCATTGCTTTTACATAAAAGCAGCAAATCCACAGGAGAAGAAGTTCTCGTGCTTTATGGGGAAGAGTTTCAAGAGTTCTCGAAGGAACGCGAAAATGCGCTGACAGAGTCCTAGTGGCGTCGTTCTTCCTAATGCCAGCTTCCGCTGTCCAGACGAAGACGTGGTTTCGCCCGGACGGCTGGTTTACCGACCGAGAGGAGCGCATTGTAGTCAATCGTGTGCTTCGAGATGATCCATCGAAGGGAGATATGCACAACAGAATGCCGATCACACCCCAGCGGCTATGGCGAGCAATGACTGACTACGACTTATGGCCTGTATGTTCAGTCTCCAATTCGTTCCTGCATTCCGTGAGATGACTAAAGTATTTAGTTATACGCCATGGCTTCTGTGATATTCATTCCCACCAACCCGCCTGAGCACTATCTCACCCTGACGCTCCGTGAGCTGGGCTTTGATCCGGTAAGAATACTTTGCGACCGTCGGCTTTAGGAGCATTGACTAACAGCTTCCAGTTCGTTACAAATTTGCTCGTGATCCCCAGTACTGCTATGGGCATCTTGACCTTGCTGGCTATCACCTGGGTCAGTGAGCACATCGATGAGCGCGGTTTTGTCTCTATGATCCAGGGCATCTGGAGTCTGCCATGTCTGCTCGCCCTGCGCTTCTGGCCAGGCACAATGACCGACGCGTGGGGCACCTACGCCGTGGTCACGGTGCTGCTTAGCTTCCCGTACTGTCAGGCCATCGTGGTCGGCTGGACGAGCAAGAATTCTGGCTCTGTGCGGACGAGGGCCATCAGCGCCTCCGTCTTTAGCATGATGAAGCAGGTTGGGTCTATCGCCTCGTCCAACATCTACCGAGAGGACGACAAGCCGCTGTATCGCCGCGGGAATAGCGTGCTTATTGGGATCAACATGTTGGCGATTGTGCTATTCCTCTTTACCAAGTGCTATTATGTTATGAGGAACAGGTGGAAGGCACAGCGTTGGGAATCCATGAGCGAGGGGGAGAAAAGGGACTACTTGGAGTATACCAAGGATCTGGGAAATAAGAGGTTGGATTTTAGGTTTGCACATTAAACATGTTGCAAGGCATAAAGATATATCTGAATAAAGAGGAGTGCAACAGTACCAAAATGTGTTCATGGTGGATGCATGGTATAAATGTGTGACTGACACTTAGTTGTGTGCGTGGATATGCAAAAGTCAGCTGCTCTATCAAGTCCCAGACACAGCATTTGTCCTAGAGATGCCATCTAATTGTCTATATGAAGGAGTTTTGAGGCAAGCGGCTTGCGACACATGGGATTTCGGTCGATATCAAGGCCTTGTTGGTTTGGTCTCAACAGGACCGGCACTCGGCGCCTTACACGACCCGACGGACGTCGTTTCTCAGCCGTTGCCCGGTCCCTTGAGCTCCAAAAGCCCACGAGTTTTTTCGTGTGTCGATCGGAACTATGACACGCTTTGATATGACCACTTTCCCCCTAGTACACTCGATTGGTGGCAAGGACAGGGTCTGTCTCCTTGGCCCTCAAATCGTCAGCCTCGGTTTCAACGGCGCCCGTGGGTGAAAACATATGGGCAGATCTATTTTGGCCGGGAGGGCCGCTGCGCCACTTCCTTTGGCTGACGAGATGGGATTACCCGTTGTGTCTTCCGGATGTCAGGCCTTATTCGGTAACGCCGGATGAGGCGCGCGTTCCGGGACAGAGAGGCGCGGAATGTGTGAGCATGCATGCATGCAAGCTGCAGCCACAGCACTACCTAGGTATGAGCCGCGCAGCCGGGGGATTATGACGTGCGTGGGGTGACGCTGGTGGGGTGGGGGACAGACAGAGTTCAACTCGATGCAGACCTACAGCACAGTACCTAAGACGACCTGGATAAATGGTCATAACAGCATTCGATTGACCCTTACAAGCATGGCGTGAAAGCTGAGGTAAGACAGGACAGATGGGATGAAATGTACGAAATGTTGCACAAGAAATGAACCAGTTCTGTAGGACAAGGCCTATTGAGGTAACCGAGATGGAATGGAGGGGACAGTCAGAGGAAGCTGAATGAGGATGCGCAGTGAGCGATGAGGGGCGTGTAAATAAGCAAATCAGCCAATAAGCCAATAACCCTGGGTGAGCTGCAGGGCCTATTGGCTGACCTCCCGGCTGTGCTGTTACGTGCATAGTAGCTGCTTCAGGAGTAGGAGTACACGGAGGGCTGGGAGCTGTCAGATCGGAAACGGCAGATTCTAGCGAGCGGTGCATCCGTCGCAATCTGACCACGCAGCCAACGGGGCACAGATGATGAGTAGGGCATTGACTGGTTACCACGCCGCTGGGGAGACATCAGAAAAGGGTAAGGCTGCCTGGCTAATAATAAGGGGGGCGCGGGAGCTAAGCACGATGCCACCCACGCGGGTTTTAAACGGTTACGTGGTCCGCCGTCAACAAATAATCCAACAGGCATCCCTTCCCTGATTTCCAACCAGCCCAGCCCGCCAGCCAGCCAGCCAACAAACCAACTAACCAACCTCCAACATTCGTTACGTAGGCTCTCTCTCAGGAGGCCACAAGTACATACATATTCAGGCTGCTTGCACTGTACTACCTGGCCAGCCTTGCGACCGACCGACCGATCGCCCACTTGAGTCTTGCCTCGTTTTGTCCTTCGTGGTGCTACTCGCCTGGTCGCTGCATCCGCATCCGCATCCGGGATCGTCGTCACATCCCGCAAAACCTCGACTTGCTGTCCCGCTTACCGAGCATCCCGACCGCAAAAAAAGGGGCCAGGGCCACCATCCGCGAGTCGACCGTCCATCATATTACCTTTGGTGCTCCCAGCCGTGGCTCCTGTAGTTTGGCCTATGGAGCGAGGCCGCATCTGAGCACACCTCAATTGGCTTTCTTTCACTGTTACGTCAGGTGGAACCAGTCCCCGACCAAAACCACCGCCAGGCACCATGGCCGGTATCGAGCAGCTGGAGATTCACTCCAAGGTGGGTTATGCGTCTCAGGAAACGCGGGCTATCCAGGTGCTACCTCGCGACCCCAAAATCACGAGGCTGACGTCTTGAGTGCCTGTCACAGTCGTACATTGTCCGCTGGGTCAAAGTAGACGAGGGCCACACAATCTCATGGAGTCTCCAACCGCACAAGAAGTCCATGTGAGTCTTTCCTGGGTCCTAATTCCAGTTTCTTGCCCGTGCCACCACCTTGGAACCACCAAGCTGACGTATCCCATCTGAAAAATAGTAATTTTGGAATCGTCAAGCACCCTGGAAGCGGCAGCACAAACCTCACCGTCAACCAATCCGAAGAAGCGACCGACGCCCTCGATGGGACCTCCGAGAGCGGCAAGAAAGGCGTCTTCGCCAAGAAGGATTCGAGCAACGCTCAGGAACAACTGACCAAGAAGGGTTTCAAGGTCGTCCACTGGCACGGGAAGTGTGAGGCCGACAAGGTTTCCATGGGGACCTGGGACGTGGAACATGATCACGGCGGCATGTACGGCCTCATATTTGACAACACCTTCTCTAAGCAGACTTCCAAGACCGCCACTTTCGTGCTCTTGACGTACCCTACCGGCGCCCCTCCGCAGACTGCGCGTAACTTGCCCAACCTGCAGGCCGGTAACAGTGCGAGCGCCAGCAGGACGAGCTTGGGGAACAAGGGCGGCCCAAGTCCGAGCTTAAGGCCTAGTGCGTCCGAGTCGGTAGACAGTCTTCATAGCCAGAAGACGAGAGGCAGAGCTACCTCCAACGCGCGGAGTGAGGCCGGCCTGTCTGTGACCTCGGGCAATTACCACACAGGTCTTTTGCTGAAGAGGAGGCGCAAGAAGGGCCAAGGCTATGCAAGAAGGTTCTTTTCGCTCGATTTTGCGACTTGTACCCTCTCCTATTACCACACACGGAACTCGTCTGCGCTCAGAGGAGCCATCCCATTGAGCCTGGCAGCCATTGCCGCGGACGAAACGAGGCGGGAAATCAGTATTGACTCTGGCGCAGAAATTTGGCATCTCCGGGCTTCCAATGATCGAGACTTCACGGACTGGGCGCGAGCATTGGAGAAGTCGAGCCGAATCGCCCGGGGCTTGGATCCGGCGTTCCTGGAGCCTGAGCCTGTCAAGAGACAGGTCACACGGCGCTCCCTACTGGCCGCGCCGAACAACCAGGAGGAGGAGGACCGCGAATGGCAGCAGGTAGAGGCCTTGGTTAGTCGCGTTGTCGGGTCACGCGATGCGCTTCGACGGCTGGTTAAGGATATGGCTGCGCAGAAGCAAACGCATGGTCCCCGGCCACCTTCATCCCACCTGTCTCCCGGGACTCCTACCGTAGCAGAGGAAGGTGATTACTTCACGCCTGCGCCAGAGAGAAAACCATTCTGGAAGAGGAAATCCAGCGCCTCGATAACACCGGGGATGCAGCCCTCCGTGTCTTCCGCTTTAGCGGTCCCGAGCCCGAACAGTGCTGTAACGGCTCTCGCCAACACCGGGACAAGCAAGGAGGAGAAGAGGAGATCAAAACCATACATCCAGGATGAGAGCACCACGGCCGACCACTGCAACGCGTTGCTTGTTGATCTCGACGCGGTCGTTGTAGAGTTCTCTAATCTGCTGTCCAATAGCAAACGACGCCGATTGCCGGCAGCGCCGTCCGCCGTTTCTCGAGTCAGCATGGAGTCTACCACTTCAGACGAGTTCTTCGACGCTGAAGAGGCCGGTGGAGATCGGTCGCAGCTCCTAGTTATTGACCACCAGAGCGAAGAGGAGACGCCCGCTTCGGAGGTTGATGAAGCAGAGGTACATGATGCGTCATCTGTTTCTAGCGTTGATGGTGACGAGGAGGTCGTCGCCGGTCGGTCGGAAAATCAAGACGACTGCTTCCCTAGCAAGCCAAAGTCGCTTATACCGCTTCCTATAACGGAGCAGGTCACCCGGCGCAAGACCATCCCTCCAACCAAGGTCATGCCGCCGAGTCTTATAGCTTTTGTGCGCAAGAATGTCGGTAAAGACCTGTCAACTATCAGCATGCCAGTCTCCGCCAACGAGCCCACATCACTACTCCAACGTGTTGCCGAGCAATTAGAATATGCCAACCTCCTCGACCAGGCAACAAAACAGGCCCAGCCTAACGAACGTCTTCTTTACGTTGCTGCCTTTGCCGTCTCCCAGTTCAGCGGGAGTCGTGGCAAGGAACGTGCCATCCGCAAGCCTTTCAACCCATTGCTGGGCGAAACGTACGAGCTCATCCGGAGCGAGAACGAAGTGCCCGGCGGGTTGAGGTTGATTGTCGAGAAGGTAACGCACAGGCCCGTCCGCCTGGCGATGCAGGCCGACTCGGCGCTCTGGTCCTTCGCACAGAGCCCTGCCCCTACCCAGAAGTTCTGGGGCAAGTCTGCTGAACTCACCACCGACGGCCGCGTGCGTGTCGTGCTGAGGTTGCCGGACGGCACCGAGGAGCGGTATAGCTGGAACATCGCGACGGTGTTCCTGAGGAACGTCGTCATGGGCGAGAAGTACGTGGAGCCTGTTGGCAACGACATGCACATCGTCAATGAGGGCACCGGCTCCAAGGCCGTTGTCGAGTTTCGCTCGAAGGGCATGTTCGGCGGGCGAGGCGAGGATGTGCAGGTCGAGACATACGACGCTTCCGGGACACATACCGGCCTGTCGCTGGCGGGTACGTGGACAACTGCCCTCAGGAGGGTGGAGGCGGGCAAGGCCGCTGGTGGTGAGATCTGGCGAGCCGGGAGCCTGGTGGACAACTCGGCAAACACGTACGGCATGACGACCTTCGCGGCGAGCCTCAACGAAATCACGCCGCTCGAGAAGGGCAAGCTGCCGCCGACGGACACCAGACTCAGGCCGGACCAGAGGCTTGCCGAGGAGGGCAAGCTGGACGATGCGGAGACGTGGAAGGTCAAGCTCGAGGAGGGGCAGAGATCCCGCAGGAAGGTGTTGGAGGACAAGGGCGTGGAGCACAAGCCCAAGTGGTTCACCAAGGTCGCGACGGACGGGGATGGCGAGGAAGTGTGGAGGTTGAAGACTGGCAAGGACAGCTACTGGGAGGAGAGGGCCAAGGGGCAGTGGGCTGGCGTGGAGAACATTTTTGACGTGTGAGCCTGGAGTTCTGGGCAAGCGCAAAGCGTGTGTATACATTGTCACTGTATGATTGTCAATCGAATTGATACTCTTCAAGCGCAACTAAGGCTGGTCTGAACATCCTGAATGCCTGTTTGTGAAAGGAAGAGGGGCAACGAACCCATCATAGGGGCCAGCGTATTCTCATTTGTAAATTTGTGGAGCCTTTTCATGTTGTAAATGTGCCATACGCATTATCAATGTTCTAATTCTCGCAAGTTCAGGGATTTGCACGTGTTGTTGTATGCTGTTTCGAAGGTCTTGGTAGACCGGAAGGGGTGATGAGATCGGCGGTGTACACACTGCGATAAACTCTTTTCCTGGGCTGAGCACGAATACACAGTTTTTAAAAAGACAGTAGTAGGAGGCTAAATCTGAAAGGATGATTGTATTATGAATAGGTATTGCTCGGAAATACTTCAACGGCAGTGGACTAGGACTCCTTGCTCGGCGCCTCATTGCGTTGGCCGCTTGATTATATCTTCACAATTGGCATCAAAGCGCATGTTCCAGAGACGAACAGATTGCATAAACCTTTCGGTTTTCTCGAGCTCCCGTTCTTTTCCGAATATCGTCTTCACAAACTCCGTGCCGGTCTTTGAGGCCAACGGGGCGGATCTGGTCTCCTTTGCCTCGTTCTTCGCTGCTGAAAGCATTTGTTTCTCACAAATTTTAAGCACCTTTCGAAGCTTGTCGAAAAGACGCTCGCCGGATTCGATAAAATCCTCGACTAACTCCCGACCATCCGAAGACCGGATTCGAGGAACAGTCTCTTCGCTGCGCTTCTTCTTGCCTGCCATTTGGATCAGCAGGAGCCACAGCTCACCCGCCATCTCTGAGACCGGTGTTGCGACCCCGTGTGTGTGCACGGTCCAGTCGTAAATCCATTTCCCTAGAGTATTGGCATCAAAGACAGAACCCAGGAGAAGTATTGGCTCCTCGTCGGGATCCCAGTTCTTGAGGGAGTAGCCCGCGGGAATCCCATGTCTTTTTGCATCCGCGTCGGTTGCCTTGCTCTTCACAAGCGGAGCTTTTGCAGGCGGAGCTTTAGGTTGAGCCGCTACTGAATGCGCAGCCCGCCGCCGACGAGGCTCCGCAGCGTGACGCGGACTTTTATGCCCGTCAGGGTAGGCAGGGAAGCGGCTGAAAACACCATAAGATTCACTATCGTCGTCCCTTATATAATGATGTCGTTTCGACTTTGACTTCGCTGGTATGACGTAAGTGACACCATTGACCTCTACATACTCGTTCTCATCTTCGTGGTTGTGAGCGTCATCATCCTCGCGGTAGTATGAATAGGAGCTTCGGCGGTATCGCCGCCAACTCGACCTTTCGGGATCTGCAGAGGTGGTGCCACCAGGCTTGACGTTCTTGTCTTGGTTCTTGTCTTTGGTGGAAGCATAATCGCGTATGGACGAGGCTGAGTAATACCCATCACTGGTGTACCGTGGAGAGAACGGTGGCGGGGTGGAGTATGTGCTGGCATATCGAGAATAATGTGCTCTTGTTGAAGGCCGCCGACTCGATTCAGAATAGTAATAGTAAGGTCGGGAAGGGGAAGGCGTTCTCTCTTGGTACTGGTAACTTGCATCACTGGTGCCGGATTGCTTTTCATTTAGAGATGATGACCCATGCTCATCACTGGGATTTCCATCATCCTTCTCTTCAGAAGCATGTCGGCTCTGCTCACTCTGCTCTGGACTGGAGATCCCAGAGTCACTAAATGGATTTTCGCTGTCGACACCGGTTTTCAGCGCAGCATTTTCGCCAATTGCCTTCTCAGACCACTTCCAGCCATCTTCCGGACGAGACCAGAGCAGTCTCCTGTCCGGCAAATCCTGGCTATGAGCTGCAGGCATAGGTGAAGATTCCTGCGCATAAGCCGTGAAACTCACTCCATTCGTGTCAGTGGCCCAAAAGTCTGCAAAAGCGTTCTTAGATTCTTTCAGTCGTTTCCGGCGGGACACCAGGGTAATACGGCTTAGGCCCCTGTAGTCTTCCTCATCAGACCCGGACTCGGCCTCATCAACAGCCTTCCGTTTGTTATTGCCTTGATATTTCGATCGCTTCGGTCGATGGCACTCATTGCATGTACCTTCACCCTCACTCTCTGGATCGCGGCTTCGTCGACGTTTTCTCCAGAGATCCTGAGGTGGTGTAGGACCGAAAGAAGGTTGTCCAAACTGTGGAGCTCTCTGTTGTTGAGGTGGCATTGGTGCGGCCATCAAGCTGTCTTCATCCTCTTCGAGATTGACGATCCTTCTGTAGAACATGTTGCAATTTTGGCTGGACGTAGTCAGTATACAAATGATTCATGACATATGAGCATCCATACAAGAAGAACATACCATTTTACCTGGACGTCCATGCCACTTGTTGACATTCTGCCACAGAACGGGCAGGTGGATGATTGATCAAGATCGATCTCTGTCGCTGCTGCCTTGCACATGATACTCATATCTATCCGCTGGTAAGGTCGGAAAGCATTTTCCCAAGCTGTAGTGCGTTCAACATCTGTAGAAGTCGTGCGCTCACTGAGCAAGTATCGCCTGCGCAATACCCGGTGCGCGCCCGTCCTGCCCTTGAAGTGTTCCTGAAGAATGTATTCAAATAAGTCCCAAGACGTCACTGTCTTCAGAGGGATAGGAAAGGCCCGGCCGGTCGCGTCTTCAAGAATGAAATGTTCACCTCCGAGAGGCCATTCAATCTTCATAATCATAGACCGAAGCTCAGCTACCCCAGTCGAGATGGTAAAAACCAAAGACAGAACCTGAGTGGTTGACTTTTGGATGTCTGTAGCTAAGCGCGAGAGGAAATTCAATCTTGCAAAGACCTTCTTTCCAAAATTCACCAAATACCTTGAATTGCGGCCGTTTTGTTGTTGAAGCTCCTGGGTTTGGGACGCGATGGCGGAGATCTGCTTTGTGGTGTTATCGTTGTTTCGTTCGATGGTATGCCTTTAGTCCGGTCAAGTGGTTAAGATCAGCGACAAATCTTGCCTCAAGAAGAGACGCAGACATCAAGCTCTCACATTGTGGAAACCTCCATCAAAGTCGTTAGCAACATATTGTATCCTATGATCTCTCGCTGGAAGTTCTCGATGTCCTTCTCGTCAAATTTGAATTGGATTTTCCTCGCAACATCTTTCAAGGGATTGCCAGAGCCTCCAGGAGAGAGACTCGTCGCATACTTTTGTAGCTTTTGGCTGTTGAAGTCGGCAAGACACTGGTGGATCCGGGAGATAACGCGTATTGCCGTTGTAGAAGTGTCTCTGTACACCACAAGCGTCGGATTCTGATAGGCATGTTCAACGTGACGGATCGTTTCTCCTAGGATCTCGAGTCCTTGTTTCAATTCCTGGTACTTATTTGAAGATCCGCGGCAGTCATCAAGGGCAAGGACGATATCCTTAATAAGAATTGCAATAGAAAGGAAATCGCCAAAGGACCCAAAGCTCGGGGCGAACGCCATGCTTGGCAGCCCGGGACTACAACATCGGCGGTGAAAATGCTCTTGGAAGAGAGGATTCGGAGAAGTGAGGGGCCCCGTCAGGTTTTAAGCGCTGACATGTATTTATTCCACAGGGGCTGTGTAAGCCTCAATCTGCATGAGTGGTGGGCTATAAGGCTGTGCTTGCGAGCTAGGTACTATGTGCCTATTTGCATTTGATATGTAGGGCTGTTTATTCACGACGTTGTATATGATAAACACCACACGCATTGAACGTGACAATTTAAGCAATGTGGGTGATTTTGCTGGCTGTGGACCCATGAATGAAGTGCAGCTATTCAGAACGCTTTTGGTGGTGGCCGTAGGCCATTTGTTAGAGTGACCCGTGCGCTTATCGCCTTATCGTTCCATGTACAGATGGCCTGCAGGAACGGCACCCCCTGGCAGCCTGCCACATGGCGCTTGTGAAGCTGCCAGCTTGGAAGCTCTCGATTCCATCGTCATTTGCGAAACTCCCCAGCCCATTTGATCTTGTCCTTCTTGTTGCGCCACGATCCAAAGTCATTGTCCAAAAGAGTCTCAAGTAGGAAGCGAAAGAACATCGCTCCCAAACAAAACACCACCGACAAAATGGATCCCTACTCCTCGGAAGGCGAGCTGATCAACATCCACGCCGCCTTCCACCAGTACCAATACCAGTCCGTGCTCGACGACTTCGACCCATCCTCCTTCTCCGCCGAGAACCACCTGCCGGCGCGGGTCCTACAGCTGCGCGCCCGGATCGCGCTGGGACAGGGAAAGGAAGTGCTTGACAGCGAGGTCGCGGGGGCTAAGGAGCCCGAGTTGATCGCCGTCGGGGCGCTGGCGGAGCTGAGCCTGGGCAAGGATGACGCCGCCGTCACGTCGATTGAGAAGCTGCTGGCCGAGGGAGGAGATGCCGTCGCCGAGAATGCTATTGTGCAGGTCCTTGGGGGCACGGTGCTGGCGAGCGCCGGCAAGGCGGATGAGGCACTGCAGCTGTTGGGGCGGCATCAGGGGAATCGTGAGTTCCTCTATCAATGTTGCTTGAAGATGTTCACAAAGTCGCTAACGCCAGCGTGATCTTACAGTCGACGCGGTCGCCCTCATTGTACAGATCCATCTTCAACAAAATCGCAACGACCTGGCGCTGAAGGAGGTCACTGCCGCCAGGCGGTGGGCACAAGATAGCATCCTGGTGAACTTGGCAGAGTCCTGGGTCGGACTGAGACTGGTACGAGCATATATTCTTACAATGGTAACATGGGCGACAGAAGAGCTAATCCGTGTTCTACTTTTCAGGGCGGCGAGAAGTACCAGCAATCATTCTACGTCTTCGAAGAACTCGCGCAAGCACCATCCACCTCCTCCGTGCAGACACTCGTCGCACAGGCCGTCGCAGAGCTGCACCTGGGCAGGACAGAAGAGGCGCAGTCCGCGCTGGACCAGGCGCTCAAGAAGGACCCGGGCAACACAGAGGCCATCGCCAACTCACTGGTCCTACAGGTGCTTATCGGGAAGGACCCCGAGGAGCTGACGGCGTCCCTGAAGAAGGTGGCTCCTGGGCACGCGCTCCTGACAGACCTCGAGGAAAAGAGCGGCCTTTTCGACACGGCGGCGGCAAAGTTCAGCGCAAAGGTCTCGGCGTAAGGTGGCGGGGCGGCATACATGATCAGACGAGCGAGAAGGGAGGGGGCTGTCACATTATTTGTTTACCGGCAGCAAAAAAGGAAATGATAGACTTCATGAAATCAACCATACCTAAATCAGGAGCAAAGAAGGGCGGCGTCGGCTCCCGTTCTTCTTATGGCCGTGCAAAGTCCGGACCGTCTTGATTGTCTGCAAAACTTCACAGCGCAAGCAAGACTGAGCCTTCGGTATTGAGCACTCCGAAGTCACTGACTCTGGACCTCACCCAGCCTGTCTGCAAGTACCTGTCTAGTCTGTCAGCCTGGAGGCCCCAGGGGCCCCAGCTGTGCCCCTGAACGAAACAAGCATGCGAGTGAGGATTGGTCGTCTCCGCCCGCGATCACTGGGGCCGCCGCGGGCGCCGGGGGTTATAGTCCGGGGGCGCGTGGGCCATGAGGAGACCAAAAAAAGGACGTTGGCGTGTGAGTGGTTCAGCCTCATGTGCAAATGTGTTCGGACTATGAAAGCATCCGAAGCTTCCGAACCGCGTACTGGCGATAGAATAGATATGTAAGCAGCCGCTCGGAAGAGCGAAGGCCTTGGTCGTTATTTAGTTACCTTGGTCCTTCTCATATTTTTGCTGCTCTGACTGATATTTGCGTGCCTGTTTCTTCTTCTTCTTCTTCACTGCGGATTTGTGGATTACTGGCATGCGCGGCGGTTCAAATAGGCAAAAACACCTAGTGGTGACTGCTTCCCAGACACACGCAGGCTATGGACGGTCAGATCAAGGGCGCGGTTGTCCATACCTACTTCGGTACAGTACCCAGATCAAAGACAACCCCCTCACCCCCTCCCACCTGCATTTCAGACAATTTTGTGAACCCGTGAGTTTCGTTTTCCCACAGCTGTTACTCGATCTTGCCAACTCTCTTCAACCACAGGATGCAAGATTTGATGACCTGAGGCGTGGGGCCGCCATTTTCTCTCTCCGTGCTTAGTTCACCACGCGATGCTGGTCGGCGAAACGAATACTATTCGCATGAGGCCCCCTGAGTTACTATTCCACCGAGGACAGCTGCAGCGACGACCAGACTCAATTACAAGTGTACTGCTGCATTTCTGTCGCCGACGCAGGGCACGCTAGCCTCGCCACCAACGGAGTTCTTTGGGAAACTGGCGTTACTGTCCTGCTATTGCTGGAGGCACGCAACAGCGTCGGCGGTCGGGAAGGAGGACGACCCAAGTGGGCTCGCTTGCCGATCCTCTTGATCACCCGATGACAGGACCGAACCCGACACCGACGAGAATGGACCGTGGCGTTCGATCTCGAGCTACTAGGACGTCGACGCGTTCTTGTTCTTGGACAAAACCACCGCATGCATTAATTGCATACTCGAGACGCCAGAGGATGGAAAGCCCATCGGCACCGCAGCGCCTTACTAGTACCCCTGTTGCCAGAGAGCGTGGGATTGGCGCAATCCCGCCGATTTGGAAAGCTGAGAGAGATGTTCGTGGCTGAACGGAATAGGAAACCGCTTTGCGCCAAATTGGAACTCAACACGAAGGGCGAAATCATATCAGGAAGGTGATGTGGGTTCCGATGTGTGTCTTTGCCAACATATGCCAAGAGCACACTCGACTCGACAGCGAACGAGGTCAAGCTTTGGCGTGCTTCGACCTGAGCGACAGTCTTTCCTCTCCGCAATTGGAACCGAACGTTGGGCGGGGGTGCAAGCACCGCTGGAGGAGGATGAGCCGTTGCACAAGAAATCCCTCACTATCTCAATGGTGACATCGTGCGGCTTGGGGTACTAGTCGTGGCGAGGCCATTCTATATCCCCAGAGGATGGAAATGAGGACGTGCAGGTGACAACCGCCAGAGGCTCAATAGTGCCAGCGCACGCAGGGTCACCCTCGTGGCCCCAGCGGAGCAGCTCCAGGATTAGGTGCAACCCTGCACTACCCGCGACAAGACGGCCCTACTTGAGGAACATACGATAGCGGGATAATTTGAAGTCATTTTGCGGCGTACAAGACACGGTTCTGGGTCGATTATGGCGTGCGCGAGTGGGACGGGACAGCAAGCAAGCAATCAATCCAACACCCAAACAACCCTACGACACATGTTGGATCCGATTCTCGCTCGGAGATGGCCGCAATGAAAGCAAAAGGGGAACAGAAACTCGATTGTTCACCGCAGCCACCACCCACACACCCCTTCTCCAAGCTAATGATGAATGGGGTCCATCTGCGGGACGCGGGGGGAAGGGGCACAAGTTTACCAAAGAGTTGGCCCCGGAGGAACGGAGGCGCATCGTGCTAGATGCTAGGTAGGGGAGTTCGCCGAGACTTTTGGCCAAGCCACGAGGCGCTGCAGCCCGTCGAAGTTTTATCCCCGTCCACATGACGACCGAGGCCGTGAGAGGGATAGGCTGGAAGCGTGTCCCGTGGCCCACCCGCTGCTGGAGCGTGGACAGCCCACGGGGTGAAGAAGAAAGAGATCAATTGGACGCGCCTCCCTGAGCCTGGAGAAGGACCGTGACAAGGCACAGGTTTCCAATACGTTGGGAACTTGTAGTTGGGAGGGAGCTACTCCTCAGCTCAAGTGGCGAAAGGAAAGAGAGGGAGAAAAGAGCGGCGAGGGAAGACCTTGAAGAGGCTAGGGCGGCGGGACGGAAACTTGATGGGATGGGACAAGGCGCGGCAGATCCAGCGATATGCCTGTTGTGCCAGGACTGATGAAAGCCAATCCGTATGGGATTGTTCCGGTACATGATGGAGGACAAGACGTGAGTGGAAAGGCAAGAGATTGCTGTTGTATCTCTAACCGTTTCAAGATTGGGACTCTGGATTGATACACGCAAATATGACGGCATACGCAGGTACCAGCCAGGCAGTGCAGTATTGTATCATTTCTTTTCGGTTTTCCTTCTTTCGCCTCCCCCTGCCTCTCCCACTCCCCATCTCTCTTTCTGTCTGTCCCTCTGGTCAATTGTGTTTGCCTCCAGTATGTGTCAGTGGCACCGACCAAGGGTCTTCTAGCTCAGGCTTGTTTGCTTGGCTGGACCAGCCAGCCCAGACCAGTTGACGCGGCGTCCAGGGCGTTTGGGGGGCGGGCCGGGGGTGGTGGGCAATGTGGGGCTGGGGCGCAGCCTCTCTCGCTTCAGACGCTTGGAAGCTTGGACGGCAAGGTACAATTCGTGCAATCCGAGGCAAGCTCGAGCCAAGCGGGAACCCACGAAATGACTCTCGGGCCCTAGGGCCGGAGGGGAGCGACAATTGGGAAAAGTGGACAATGGAGCACATGGAGGAGAAATCTGGATCAATCTGGAGCAATTTGGTTGGGATCGCTTGGGATCGCCTGGGATCAATGAGGGACATCAGGATTCAGGGTCCTGGGGCCAGCTGGGCGATCCCCGTCGCAGCCTTCTGTACTGGTTCTGTACCGGTTCTGTCTGTGTTCTGGTCTCTTTTTAATAATTTTTTTTGACAACGGACTGACAGCAACATGACGGTCGAGCTAGTGGACGACACAATAGCTCTGCTCTTCCCCCCCCCCCCCCTCAGCCCCTGCCCCAGACCCGGCTCGCACAGCTCCAGCTCCCCAGCAGCTCCCCAATCTCTCCAATCTCCCCAATATGCTACCTGTTTGGGCAGAGTACCATCTCTTTCTTTAGCAGTCCCGCCCACCCAGTCGCCCACGCGGCATGTTCTGGCCGCTCTCCTTGCTGTTCTTGCTCTGCTGCTCTGCCAGGTTTCAGAGGCCCTAGACTGCCAGGTTTGGCCCCTATTGCCATCCCCGTTTTTATTTCTGCAGGGTTTGCTGGATACGGTAGGTACGAACCCGCCCACCGCGGCAGTGGTGCCTTCGCCGCGTACGGAGTACTCGTATAGGGTACGTACGATACGGTACGGTACGGTGGTGTGCTGTGCACACACACACGCACACGCACATGTGCAGCTACCCCTACAAGTAACTTTTTGCTCTCGACCCAGACGGCCGGAGTGACAAGGGTGACAACAAGGAGAAGGGGGACGGAGCAGGAGCACAGCACAGGACAGAATTGGACTGGACTGGACAGCTATATGGGAAAATGGCTGTACCTACAGTATACCTATCTGCTCCTACTCCGTCCCCGTCCCCGTACGTACCTACCTATATATCGCCACTGCCCAGCTTTTGCAAGTATTTGTGTTGATCCTCCTCCGTCCTCGACGTATTCACTCTCTTTCACTCTACCCAGGCAGTCACAGTCAGTCCTTTGTTGCAGGTAGGGAAAACAAGGCTGGTATCAAGTCACTCGTCCACCCTTTGTGCCTCTCTCTCTCCGTCGTGCCCACCTGCCCACCGACTGGATACCATACTACCTGGCCTCACCTACCGGCCTTCCTTCACTATCGAGAGCTTCTGAGGTCTGCTTCTACAGCTTGACCCAACCTCTCCCCAGCTTCTTAGGCTAGGGTATTCGAGATACTGCCCGCCTCGCCTCACCTCGCCCACCTCGACTCTACCTAGTATGAACGACCGCAACCGCCTCGTCTCAGCGAGCGAGGTCAAGGAGCTGATCGACGATGGCAAACTCATTACCATCTACGAGGGCTATGCCCTGAAGCTGGACAGCTGGATCAACAGACATCCTGGTGGTCGGTTGGCCATCCTCCATATGGTCGGTCGAGATGCGTCGGATGAAATCAACGTGTAAGCTTGGTTACCCTTGATAATCCTCTAGAGCTTTCCCCCGCGCTCCTTGCCCCCAATGGGCCGACGACCACACCTCCCTCCCCCAAATACGTACTCAAAGATCCATTTCGGATTCCACACCTCTCGAAACACATCATGGGCGCACAACTAGCTACGTTGCTATCCGTTGTGTGCTCTTTTATGTTTGATTTTGACCCCAATGCAGGCCTGCATATGCATGCATGCAGGTCGCATTGCTTGCTGTCCTGTCCCAGTTCCCAATGCTAATTATTCGCCGATTATGCAGGTACCACTTCCCCAAAACCCTGGCCACAATGAAGGCCTACCGCATTGGTCGAGTTCAAGAACCCTGGACCAACCTCGAGCCTCCTATCCGCGCCGGCACTTCGACATTCAAGAGCCCATACACGGACAAAGCCGCAGACGAAACCCCTTCGTCCGCTTCCTACGACGTCGCTACCACTACTGATGACGACAATGACGATGACGACAACTCCATCTTCAGCAATTCGTCCAAGCGCGACCCCCTCAGTTCCAGCAACTCGAGTGTGGGTGCGTCAGACTCGGACACGAAGCTGAGCAAGAACGAGGACGGCGAGTGCAGACGCAGGAACGTCAACGCGAAAGCTACAGCTGCTGCCAAGACTGCAGAGCTTCTGCCCGCCAAGGGGTTGTCGCGCGAGGCCTACACGGCCGCCCTGGAGCAAAAAGAAATCATCGATAGCATTCGGGACTATCCTTCTCTTGATCCTGAGACGCAGCAAAAGATCCGAGAACAGTATCGTGCCCTTCACAAGACCATCCAGGACCGAGGCCTATATCAGTGCCCATACTCAGAGTATGGCAAAGAAATGATAAGGTACGGGGCGCTGTTCGGGATGTTCCTATACCTGCTTCATATCGAATGGTACATGTCGTCCGCCACCTTCCTCGGTTTGTTCTGGCAGCAGATCATGTTTACCGCCCACGACGCCGGCCACCGTGGCATCACCGGCAATTTCGTGATTGACACTGTCATTGGCGCCTTCATCGGCGACTTCTGCTGCGGCCTTTCCATCGGGTGGTGGAAGAGTTCTCACAATGTGCACCATTTGGTCACCAACATGCCTGAACACGACCCTGATATCCAGAACATCCCCCTCTTCTCTAACACGCCTACATACTTCAAATCCATTCGCAGTACATTTTACGACTTCACCTTCGTCTGGGACAAGGCCGCCGACATTATGGTACCCTATCAGAAGTATGTATACTACCCTATCATGGCAGTTGCACGCTTCAACCTCTACGTCCTGTCGTGGCTGCACCTGGTCTCGCCTCGTGCTACCCAGCTTGGCTCGGCCTGGTGGACCCGGTGGCTCGAGGTCGTCTTTATGGCGTGTTACTGGGCACTTTTTGGCTACGTGCTGGTCTGGAAATCGCTGCCTGACTGGCAGACGCGCGTCAACTTCGTCCTCATGTCGCACGCGATGACCATGTTGCTTCACGTGCAAATCACCCTGTCTCATTGGGGCACGCCCACTTCCGATCTGGGCCCGACCGAGTCGTTCGCTCAACGCCAGATCCGCACCACCATGGACGTCGACTGCCCGGAGTGGCTTGATTGGCTGCACGGAGGCTTGCAGTTCCAGGCGGTACACCACCTCTTCCCCAGGGTCCCGCGCCACAACCTACGCAAGTGCCAGACACTGGTACGCGAGTTCTGCGCAGAGACGGGTATCAGATACCAGTGCAAGGGCTTCGTCGAGGGCAACCAGGTCGTGCTGACACGTCTGCAAGAAATCTCCAAGATGGTGGATACGCTGGTGCAGTGCCAGCTGCACATGGCGGAGACTGGGGAGAGCGGGTTGCACTGATGCATTTTCTCGGGCGTTTTGATTGATAGAGCATTACTTTAGAGAGCACTTGGTCCACTTTTGACCCCGATTCTTGGGGATTAAGATCCACCTGCGTTGCCAACGCAAATATGGTGGAATGGGACTGGTAAAGCGACTAGAGCCCTGGCGATACCCGGAATAATAGAAGCCAGATTTGTGTGGAATTGCATTTCTCGTCTCACCGTGCCTGTCTCCACGTGCGCCCGTCTAAACGTCAAGCGTGCATCGATTGTGAAGGCTCTTGAAGAGCGAATCGGCCCGTCGTTGTGCCCATTTTCAGCTTAGTATGTATACCTGCCTGGGTAAAAAGTAGACTGTATAATTGCAAGAGAAGAATGCACGGGGTACAAACTGAGTCAGTCATAGAATTTGCTGACGTCTCGAGTCGAAATGACTGAGATGGCAGAAAGGACTCCAGCATGTGAACGAGGGAGAAAGTGGAAGCGGAGGACCCCTAAGGACCCCTAGACCCGTGCAGTTGGATGGACCCTTGGACCCTTGGACCCCTAAAAAAAAAAGACAGAGAAAACAAAGTACCCGCCTCGCATGTCCCTTCCTGATTCATGCGGCAGCTACCGCATGAGCGAACCTTATCTGGCACCGGCTAGTCAGTCTCCTGTCCGTCGAGGAAGATGGGGGGGCCTGAGAGGTTTCGGGATGTTGGGTGGGGGGATTGCTCTGCGTCGTCCGCGGGATGTCACTCCGTGCAGCTGCGCAAGCTTTTGTGACGAAAGTCTGGAAGCGTCGTGGCCCGGCGGGCAATGCCGTTTCGCAACCTGGCATGTGTTCAGGTTGATGCTGATGGGTGGAAGGATTCATTTGGAATCTCGGGGGTTAACCCCTGGTTTGGCTTCTTCTATTTAGAGACAAAGATACGGTCGCATTCCGGACGGTGATCAATCATGACAGGTAGCAATCCTCCTTGACTCAAACGGTGAGCCAGAACGTTAGATGCTGTTACAAGTACCACAGCAAACCACTAGGATGCGACGCATGTGGGAATCTGCTCATGACTGTCGTCGAGGTGAGTGAAGTTACCGATAGCAGTGACCTATTCAACTTGCCTCGAAGCGCCTCCAGCTTTACGGCCCGTCGTTGCCCAAGGTGGGCTCTGCAAATTGTAGTAGTCAACTGTCCACCTCAGACTTAAACACGGTTGCTGCTTAGAATCGACGAGGCGACCACCAATATGCATCGAGGCAACATCAAATGGCTACAACCGTAATTCAATGATATTATTTTAGGAATTTGCAATCCATAGGTCCTGATGATTTCATCTAGTATGACGTTGAGGATTTCATACGCGACATACTAGATTCCCATTTCTAAAAGGTTGCGCGTGCCATGCCGGTAAGCAGCTTCCGAGGCGTCGACTTCTATTACAATGCAGTTTGCTTCCAGTCTCAAGTCAAGAGGCATCTTGCAAGGTCTCAAAACTTGTTCTTACGAAAGTGTTGACTAACTAGCACCCGATGCTGTAGAAGATAGGCAGCATCTGATCAATACCGTAGACAGATATCCCAAGAACAAGAAGTCATGGAATAAGGTGGACGTTAAGCACTCGACGGCGCTCGATAGGTTGACTTACATAGATGTCGATATTGACGCGAACAAGTCCAAGGGGCACGTGCGTGTCTACAGAACAATATGCCGGACTTCTACAGATGGGCTCACAACAGAGGGATTAGATGAAGATGTATTGGGGTGCGATCCCAGGAGCCCAGAAAGTAGCAGCTCGTGTCCACGTCTTTCGCACACGCGAAGTAGTAGGGGCCAGTTTTCCTATGCACAAAATCACTCTCTAGATCATCTGTCGGCACATAGTGTTACTCTAGGATTTGTATCCTCTAGAATGAATGTGGGATAATTATCTGCTCTGTGATATCCACTTCTGAGACAATGGCTCCGCTTGCGGCCCCACGTTGTAGAAGACACAAGCGATCCATAGCCATACAATCGACATCTTCGTACACAGACTGGATGATTTCGCGCTTAGATACCATTTCCTTGATGTGACTCCGATTCAATGCAACAAGATATGGCATTTGGAGCCCTAAGGGCATCTTCCCGTACAAAGTCGAAACATGACAGCAGGGCGCATCACAGGCGCCGAGTCTTCGGATCCGAAGACTGCATCGATTGCATCCCGCAACTTCAGCTTGGCCGAGACCAGGTCTTCTGGTCCAACACCTGCGCCGATGGTGGTATTGGGCGCCGTATCTAGCGCCAGGAACTCCTCGATCCTTGCCTTGTCATCAGCAGCAACAAGCTGCACCCGCGCATCGGCTAGTAGGCCAAATAGACCCGCGGCAGTCTCAGCGTCGGCGTGCACAATGACGGGTGGTAAGATGATGACCGTCCAGCTAGGATTTGTGCGTAACAGGTCTGCCAGCTCAGAACGGGTCCATCTGTAGTGATCATGGGGCTGGTTGGGATGGTGCTGAAAGCACTGCAAGAGACCCAGCGTGAATGAGAGTTGGCGGGACTCGGTGCGCGCTGCGTACCACATGAGACAACGTACTGGATCGCCCCAATCGTAGCTTTGCCACTCGATATCGTAGAATGGGTCCCAGTTGGTGTGGACGAAGTCGCGCGTCGTGTCGAGCCATCGGTTTCGAACCATATTATAGTTGAAGTCCTGAGCATCTTCATTGTTCGGGCTTGGTAGTGGCTCAGGGCAGCCGCTCTCGAAGGCGACGGCTCTCGATTCACGGCAAACAGAGGCAATGACGGGAGGGGCCTTATTCGTTGATGTTATCCGGCTGTTCCTGCGACACGGTGGCTCATCCCATACGACTTCGTCTTGTTGATAATCGAGCTCCACAATTCGATGAGGCAGGCAAAAGCGCCAGACTGCTAGGCGAATCTCAGCTGGAAAGCCAGGAAATAGATGAAACCTACGGTCCGACATAATCGATGAGTGATGTGGGCGACATCAGGCCTGGAGCTCGCTGTGCTCCTCAATTCACATGCTGAAAGGATGACTCGAGTGAGACAGAGGGAAGAGAAAAGGCTTGATTGAAGAGTGAGATTCCGGAGCAGCTGGAGGTGGCTTGTCCGGGCAATGGAGGCCTAATTAAATTTGCGATAAGCAAATGAAGGCTGCCTGACTGCCAGACTGCCTGACTTGCACTTGGAATTACTTTTTGCACTGCAGCCAAGCCCAAACCAAAGACTTGCTATTTCGAACTTGTATTAGTCTTTTATACAGCACATACAAGCAGAGGCTCACTCACCTCCCTATTTTGAGCCGGCAGGCCCTTTCCAGGCGTTTAACATGTTCACCTGGAGTGTGGTCTTACTTCCCCACTTTGTTCTGTGCGACGAAAGACTTTCCCACCTATTGCACGCACTCATTCATTTCGAACATGTCTTCTGGAGTATTATTTCTAGAAATACAATAGGTGCCTCACATTAACTCGTTACTTGACAAATCTTCGATATCATGCGCTCCAGCAACGATACGAGGCTCCTCGCCCTTTAATACTACATCATTCAACTTCAATTGGTGAACGTTCATTATTAAACGCAAAGATGCTGAGCAAGTGTTGAATTTTCCGCTGAAATATTCTATCAGCAGGCCATAGAGATCATTTTGCCCAATACTGTTGTATGGTCACAAGCAGAGTTCGACTGGAAATAGCATTATTCACGGAAGTAAAGTCTTACAGAATATAATCCTTCGGGCACAATTCAATTCTTTCAAGAAGCAGAAGCTTTCTATTCAGTCAAAAGGGCTCGGAGTTGTATACTCCCATGTTCTCTACTGTAGGACCCATAGTCAGGGTCTAACCCACATGCAGGGCTCTTAACCTCGGAACTCAACACTCCAGCGCTGACCGATGTGATCCTCCTCCATACCCTGGAAATTTAGGATTAACCTTCCAAACAGCTTGTTTCGATGGGATTTGAGTGTCTGACAGCACCCATAATCTCACGCTGGAAATTATTCCGGGGCTCAGCACACTGGCATGTGTGCTTTGGACAAACCCCTCCTCTCAATGCAACATGACGGCATGTCATTCACCGGCAAATGCTATTCGATTTCAATGTCCAGTCAACGGGTATGCGAATGGGCCAAACAGCATTAGGCTGAGGAGCCTAGGAGAAAGGGGCCCGGAACGAATCGCTCACCGCTCCCTGGGTCGCGACTGTGCACGCCTCCAGGGGACTGGGTCTGGCAGGCTCGGCGAGGCCCCGATCCTGCTCTTCCAGACCACTCCAGAGGCCCTGGGCTCCATGCGGGTGGGATGCAAGTTGGGCTGGCAGATTAATCCCCATGGGGTCAAGCGCGGGCATACCCACTGCTGGCGGTTGCGCGAGCCGATGCTCCTCTAAGCGCAATGACATCACCCAAGTTCTGCAGCGATGAGGGCAAAGTCATCTTGAAGCCTTTTCTTGCATCCCATCTCGGTCGATGTTGGCGTCAGGTGTGAATGAGTTCTTTCCCAGTAGTTCACACTTGGACTTGAAAGATGGCATGTGAATATCCTCCCACCGTCGCAGTCCCTGGCCAACCCAGGTGGTGCCTGTCTATCACATTTGGGATGGTGGCCAGAACTGCCTGGCCACTGGCTGATCCCAGCTCGAGGTCGGATTTGGAGCAGAGCCTCCTCGCCACCGGCGAATGGGCGAACGGCCGAGACCTCCAAGTTCTGCTGCAGGCCTGGCCGTCCGAGTCTGGCCCGCGAAGATCTCCGGGCCCTAGGCCGTGGGACATGCCTGCAGAGCGGCCTATCATCGGCCGGCCACCCAAGTGCTCCAGCAAATGCTGAAATGCCGCAGCTATCTTTGGAAAAATCCTTTCGAGCCCCCCGACGACAGGCTGTCTCTCCTCCGGATGAGCTGGCCTCTTCCAACGCACCAGCTGTGCAGTGGCGATCCTCATGCCGGGGTTTGGCGGCAAAAATGAATGCCTAGGTGTATCAGACTGAGGTTGCCAAAGGCCGTTGGATGTGCATGCAGTCTGGCAGTCCGAGCACGGATCCCTGCAGCAGCATCGTGGGGGACATTCACCCTTTGTTTGCTGACGGGATCGTCTGGATTCCGATCTTAGCCTCCATCGTGATGCTCGGTTTTCCATAATCCCTAGTCTGTTTCTGTAATGGTCATGGTGGTAACGAAACCATTTAGCGTCTCAGAGCCCCGGGTTTATGATGTTTCCATTTCTCTTCTCACATAAGTAGCGTTCTCACTGGTTTCTGACTTCCCTTCGTGCTTTTCTTTTTCTGAAGCCCACCAGTCTTTATACCATAACACTTTCATATTCTCCTGGAAATAATTAGATATTTTCGACTTTACAGTTATTGCTCGGAAGGAAGCTCATCATGGCGCCTGCTGCCCTCATACCCACCCCCATCGCGGCCAAGGATGTGCCAGTCGAGTCGACGAATAAAAAGAGGAAGATTGTGTGTTTTTCAGGTATGTTACACTGTAGAGATCCTTTTCTTTCCCTAGCACGGACAGCTAACCAGCTTTTGCAATTTGAAGATTTCGATGGCACTATCTTTATGCAAGACACAGGCCACGTCCTGTTCGACAACTTCGGATGCGGCTCCAAGAGGCGCCAGGTGCTTGACGAGCAGATCAAGAACGGCGAGCGGTCATTCCGCGACGTCTCTGAGGAGATGTGGGGGTCACTGAACGTCCCATTCGACGACGGCTTCGAAGTCATGGAAGAGTCGCTCGATATCGATCCCGACTTCCGTTCATTCCACTCTTTCTGCCTCCAAAACCAGATCCCCTTCAACGTCATATCCGCCGGACTGAAGCCTGTCCTGCGAAAAGTCCTCGACACCTTCCTCGGAGAGGAGCAATCAAAACACATCCAGATCGTCGCCAACGACGCCGCCATCGCGGAGGACGGCTCCGACTGGAAGGTCCTATGGCGGCACGACACAGAGCTGGGCCACGACAAGGCGCTCTCGGTGCAAGAGGCCCGCGCGGCCGCCGAGGCTGAGTTGGCCGACGAGGACGGCGTCATCCCTCTGATTGTCTTCATCGGTGACGGCGTGTCGGATTTGCCAGCGGCCCGGCAGGCGGACGTGCTCTTTGCGCGCCGCGGCCTGCGCCTCGAGGAGTACTGCCAGGAGAATGACATCGCCTACATCCCCTTCGATACCTTTGCCAACATTCAGGTGGAGCTCACCAAGATCATGGATGAGGACGAGAAGAAGACGGCCGGAAAGGGTCTGCCGGCCCGCTTCAACCCCCGCGCCAACATGTGGCGCCGCGTCTCGAGCAAGTCCGCAGTCCCCAGGCTGGTCGTCATGTCGCCGACCAAAGAGGAGCGTATGTTCCTCTGGCCCGAGGCATTCTCGGAGCTTAAGACCCCGGCTCTGGACGTTACCAAGGAGCTGGGTGTTGTTGCCGAGGACCAGCCCGTCGCTGTGCCGGCCGCTTAAGGCTTTCTACTGGATACCGTGTTTTCCAAGGCAAGAGAATGTTAGAATCTTGCTTTTGCTTCGGATCGGCATGAACATCGATATATGCATGATGAGAACGTAAAGAATTGCGCTGGAGTTCGGTGTGTTTGAGACGTTGGATTTAGTCTTTTTGGTTCTTGTCCTTTGCTTATACTTTTTGTTTTTCAAAGACTTGTGCAGCCGCTGGATACGCAAAGGATGAGGCATGAGAACATGTTAGCCATACAACTTACAACAATAGACCAAGAATAGGTAGATTGTCAATACACAATAGATGTAAGGATTCAAACAAAAGTCACCGCCAGATTAGTGTCCAGCGACCAGTTGACGGACAAGACACGATCTTCGTAGTGATCATGCGTCTCGCATACCGGATGAATACTATGTACACCTTGGGGATATGAGACCCGTGAGTCGATAGACTGCAAGGTCAGCCTTCTCAACATTTTATTGCCCTCGAGGAGAAGCGTCGTGTCAGCTACTATCGAGGTACGATCGAGATAGAGAAGGCTGCAGCTGAACGTCAACTTCATAGACTCTATATTATCTGGCCTCCATACTAGTCCCGTTTGATGTTTGTACCTACACTGGTTTCTGGTTGACAAGAGCAAGGTCTGCACGCCCAGCCTCCCATCCTTCATCTTTGGCATTACGACGGCTTTTCCCGTGGATGCTCGTACTACTGGCATCTCAACAGATGCAGAAAGCTGTATTGTCACCGATTACTTATGCATTTATGGAACTTTCGCCCAGAGTTGGTCGCGTGGGCCCCAGCAAGGCACTGGATAAATGGAGGATATGTTGGAGTCTAGTTGTTTTCAGAGTCTGTATTGCATTTTTCTCTGCCTTGCCCTTCTCTCACTTCTATCAGAAGGAAAGAAGGAAAGCCTTCCTTCTTGAGTAGAAAAGTACATACACAAGCCTAGGTTGCCCAAACAAAGAACCAGGCAGCCTTAGGCAGCATAGAAGAGAATGTGTGAAAGGGGTTCCAGAAACAATTAGTCTGAGTGAACTTTTGAGCGTCATCAAAATGTTTTGCGTGCAGAACATGAAGCCTGACTCCCAGAAGATTATAAGAGGCAGATTGATTCAATCGTTCCGTTTCTAACCATTGCAGGCATGGCCACGCTGGAACTGCACCCGTACTCCTCGTACTACGTGGCTGAATAGGCGGGAAGGAGCTAGTGTCGCTGACCCGCATTGTGGCTTTGATCTCACAGCCGACCTCAACTCACATGTGCAGTCGGTCAAAACTTCTCACGTTGCACATTTATATTATCTTACCTCGCATGAGCTGCTCAGGCCACACGATTGCAGCGATAAAGACCTAGATAGCCGCTCTTATTCCTCATCCGCCCTACACACATCGAAGCTAATCGACCGCAAGAACCTACCATATCACCTACCTGCTTCCTAGGATCATTGCGATTTGTATGATTACTCAATATTGGCATCTTCAGCAACATGGACGACAAAAGCAGGCTTTTCGGCGAACCCCAGGCAGAAGGGCCGCCACCGCCATCATTTCTGGAGGCAACCACGTCGGCAGGCCCTTCCGGGGGTGCATCTTCATTCCAGACGCGGTTCGCGTGCGTGACCCTTAATATGACCGATCGTATGCGCTTTATCAACTTCAGTGCACATGAGACTAGCGCTCTCAGGGGCGTACTGGGGTCGGTGTGGCCAATCCAGGACGTGCGGGCGTACGGCGGTGCCGACGAGATCAAGTTCAAGGGCTTTCCGTGGCAGGAGAAAATGAACGGCGACGACATGGCGCGGCGGCTCATCAGGAGGTTGCTCGAGGCGCTGTACGATATGGGATGGGTGTTGCAGGCGGCCGTGGACGTCTCGAAGAAGGAGATGGACAAAGGTATGTTGGTGCCTTCGGGAGGGCGCTCGAGGGAAACCAGGATCACGAAGCTGATACGGTACATCAAGACTCCCTGATCTTCCGATATCAGAATCCGCCCCCACCGCCTTGTGACTGGCTGAGCATCTCGTTCGATTGGACCGACAAGATGAAGATCGTGGACGCGCCGCCGGGAGACCTGACTGAAGCCATCATCGCTGAGTTCCGATCAAACTACAGGCTCAAGAGTCACGAGCTCGAGAGCGACCGGCTGAAGCTCAAGTTTCACGGGCAGCCCTGGCAAGCTACTGGAGAGGAAACGGTCAGGACGAGGATGCTGTTGCTGAGCTTGCTCGGGATTCTCGAGAGGTTCGGGTACAGCCTGTACGCCAGCATCGATCAGGTGAGTAGCAACGGCCTCGAGGCAGACGTGTTGGTTGTGACGAGGCAGAAGGGGTGGAAGCCTGGGATGCCGATATGGCACCGCTGAATGGGTGAGTTGCGTGTGTGATGAGTGATGTTAGCTGTAACTAGCTTGAAAGGGTGGTGTTCCCACATCTGCGGACCCTGAAGGCAACAGGGCTGATGGCTGGTGCGACGACCTGAATATAACATCAATAAGGGGGGCAGCTGTCACGGCACATGGACGTGGGTGGGCTGTCGCTGTGGGTAACTGGGGAGCAGTGGAGTCGGCCGCAGACCTTTGACGCGTGTTTCGTGGTGCCAGAATTGCCACTACCTGGGAGGGCTGACGACCGTATTATGGTATAGTAGAATAGGACCCCTAGGAGACAGCATGGATGAGGCTTTGGGCATGCGGGAGACTAGACTGGTGGAGTTTAAGTCAATGCCATGACCACATCCCGCAGTTAATTTACACCTTGTACACGTATATACGCAGCAGGAGTGAGCCACCCTGATAGTCTAAGTTAGGATAGTTTGGCCGCGGGATGTGGGATGGGCACCAGGGGGAGCCGGTCGAGCTGTTACGTCAGCGGGGTTGGGGATTGTCAAGCTGAAGGAGAGTTTCCCTGCGACACTTCTCCTGGTGGTTGAGTTGACCAGACAGGGTAACAGTCTCGACAAGTGCTCATGTCGTCAAATGCAGGTAGGATTGCATCGAGGCATGCAACTGCTTCCAGAGCTGGAATGGCAGAGTGGCCCCGAGGAGCAGGTTAGCGTGCCGTCAGAATGAACCGAGTGCAGCTTTCTTTGATCCGAGCCGAAAGAGGAACGTGGCAGCGAGGCCGATTGAGGGATCTGCAATATTGTGCGGAGCTGCCATAACGGAACAAAGATTCCCAGGGCGGGGCGTGGCCGGGCTGGCACTGGCTGGCACTGGCTGCTTGCCGCTGAGGTGGTTCGATTTCACGAGGCTCACTGTCCACATTGCGGCTGGAATGGCATGATGCGCCGCTGTGAGTCGTGACTGCCGGTGCCCTCTGTCCAATAAAACACCCAGCGATATGACTTTGCACCTCGTGTGATTGGCCACAGCCGGAAGTTGGGAGGACAAAGGGGCCGGGCCTGGCCACGACAAACTCTGGGCGGCCAGGCAGGTCGCAATAGTCACAATACGGCGAGGGTGGGCTGTTTGATCTGTTCTGGTGGTGCCAAACCCATGCACCTCCCCTGCAGCCTGGTGGCCCAGCGTGCCCAGCTGCACCCACCTAGGCCACAAACTGGGCCCTGTATTTTCTCCTGGCACACGAGTACCTACCTAGTCCACCTGCCTGCCGTATCCCAGCTCCGTACCTACTGTACCGTACCGTAACGTACCCTGTGTGGGTGGGCTGTGGCAGTGGTAGAAATATAGTGGTAGTGTTGGTGGTGCCTAGGCTGGAAACATCCAAACTCGACAAGGTGCATCAGATTCTCCTTTTCCCCAGGTGTAATATTAATTCACTTACATCCCCTTGAGTCCAAAGCCTTGCACATTCTGTTGCTCTTCTTTTTTCTTCAACGATCTCCGTCCAACACCAACAGTCTCACTCTTGTGTCTTGCCTCAACTTCTCTGCACCGCACAGCCAACAACACATCAACAACCAGACCAACCAAATACTCACCCTCCACCAACACCGCCAACAACAAAACAACAATGTCTCCCACATACACCATGTCCGCACACCTGTGCAAGCAGATTGCTGCATCCTGGAAGGAGATCAGGCACCCGCTCGAGCCTGGCCAGGCCTCTCCCACCACAGGCGCCTACTTCCCCTCCAGCTTCCAGCGTGCCTCTTCCCCAACCGGCTCAGACAGCGGCAAGCGTTCCATGGACAGCGACCGCAGCGACTCCTCGGCTCCCTCCATGACCCGAACCTCCTCCAACTCAAGTTGGAAATGGGGCACTCGTTAAGCTCAAGGCTCCTGCAGGACTGGTAGTGCTCCTCGGGGCATCTCGTCTGAGCGAGACTGATTTGGGACAAAAACGACACCACATCAAACCCGGCAACCACCACCACCTCCACATCCCACACACACACACACACACTCACCCACGCACATACACACACATCTCATTGTACTCTGCTACCCCTGCACCTAATGCAAGCGACACCCGATTCGGCTCTCGACCACTTGCCAATTGTATTTCTCAGCAGCACCCTGATGAGCAAGCACGCCTGCCGCAACTTTGGACGGAGCCCGTCACACGAATCAAGCAACACAATGTAGTTGCGCATAGCGCGCCTTCGCAATATCTCACCCACATGTCGTCATCCCCTTGGATTCCTGTTCTGCCAGTCTGCCCATCAGGCGGCGCTGTCCGAAGGATAGGGACACAGAAATCACCCCATCGAACGGATTCAAGGGCGGAACCACTTCCAGAATCGGCAAAAATGCACATCATACCTGTCTCATAGGTGGGTGGGCATTGGTGTGAGAATTGGCATCCCCTGCGCGCCAAAATGGGCCGCCGATGAGCGCCGCGGGTGGGGCTGTATTACGTGCTTCCCTCATACTCACTGAAAGGGGGATCTACGGGGTGAATAGGAGGCCACCAAACGGACGGTCCTGGCATCCAAGGCGTCGGCGTTCACAGTGGCTTAGCAGTTGGATTGATTGTTTGATTGATTAACTTGATTTATTGATTCCTCGGAATGCGGCGGAGGCGGAGGACAAACCCGGCTTGACAGGACGGATTTAGAAGCATAACTTGATACCCTTGAGCAATACGAACAAATCGACCAAGAAAAATAAACTCCCGATGGGGTCGCGTGTGACCTGCCCTACCTTGCCCTGCCCTTTGATCTATGGTCGATCTACTGATCTTGTTTTTCTGGTTATCTGATCCGATGATAATGCACTCATGGTCTCCACTTCCAAGCTTAGTCTGCAGGCCGGATCGCCGCCGATCTACAGCCCATCCTGTCGGGCCTCACCGAAAATCTTACGTTCCGCGGCTCATTGTTCTCCCTGCATGTGTCCTCCCTGTTCTGACTCCTCCCCGTCCTCCGTCCTCCCCCGCCGAGCGGGGAGGAGCTCCTCAGGGTCCTTCTTGAAAGTTCTTGAAAGGGTAAATCACGTCTGCACAACAACATAAGCAGTGAGTAGATACAACAATTTCAGATGCTGCGGCTCCTCATTCCAGGCGAGAAAAAGAAAGCCTCAGACGCCTTCAGCCGTCGTCATAGATGAAGCCAGTGATTTTGTCTCCATGCCAAGCCACCGCTGAAGCATTCATCCTTTCTTGCCAGCCTCTCCAGCCTGCCAGCATGACGCCGTTCTGCATGCAGATATGGAGAATATGCACATGCGTGCATGTTTACTCAAGCTCCTTCCCTGCATATTCAGGTACAATTACGTCTGGCGCATCTCTTCAACTGGGCCGCTCTCGCATCGGTCCTAAACCTTGGTCATGTCTCAGCAGAGCTACCTCATCATTTTGATCCAGCATGAGGCTTTCTAGGGTCAACGTCTAGTACTCAAAATATTCCGGTCATTGGCTCGATTCACGATTTAATTCTCTCAGCATCCAAGCTTGAGCGGTCAGAGATCTCCACGCTACTTCTTTGTGCAAGCAAACGGTGGGACACCCCCGTCCTCAAACATGCTATTTTGACATGACAGACACAGCAGAAGTTCTGTGGTCACCTGGCTAGTCAACTTTCAGACTTCACACACGGATTCCCAATAAATTTGCCTTGGATTGTTTTTGTTGTCATGAATAAGCATGAAGGCAAGCAAGTCTTTTCACGTATAGGAATGTTCCTTGCCTGTGTACATCTCCTCTAGATATCACAAACTCCATCAGGTAATATAAACAAAGGATTGTGTCCACTGAGAGCGTCAGAACCTTTCTATTCCAGCTTTGTATTCGAACAAAGTATACCGCATCTAGCTTGAGAGCACGAGTCTTCACAGGGCATAGATGTATTACCACGGACTATTAGCCACTGTATAGTCGTTTCGTGTCAGAGTCTGAAGCCGATGCCCATATACTTGAGTGAGATTTCATCGAGGGGCCTGAACTGTTTTCATTTTTGCAACAGAGGTCCTATATACACATCTAACGCATTCCTCAGACCTTCTTCTTGAGAAGAGTAGCCGCATGCTCGAACCCGAGCACCTGATACTCGGTATCGTTGTAGTAGATCGAGTTGACATCGCCCAGGGTCTCCCCAGGCACACTGAGGTCGTGCGAACCAAACTGCCAGACCTGATCGGCCGCGACACCGCTCTTCACCACGGTGTCCTGCCACGGCTTGTAGATTGGCGTGTGGTTTCCCGGGAACGGCGCGCCGTACTCCTCTAAGATAACGGGCTTGCCGGACTTCTTGCCCACCTCGTCGTGCTGCACGATCCAGTCGTTGCCCCAGGGGTACTCATAGCCCCACGAGTCTGGGTACAGGTGGAAGGTGCCGTAGTCGAGCGTGGAGATGCCCAGGTTGGCGACGAAGTCTACGCCCTCGCTGCCTGAGTACGCATACGAACCATCGTCGCCGCTGAGGGCCGTACCCGGCGCGAACCAGCCCTCGTCGCCCAGCGTAACCAAGTGCTTCGAGTCGAGGCTCTTGATGTACTTGGACACATCGGTTGCCCACTTAGTGATCACAGAGGTGGGACATCCATTGCACCGCGGCTCGTTCCCGAGCTCCCATGCGAAGATGGCCGTGGACTTCTTGTAGCGGTTCACCAGGACGTTAATATAGTTCCGGTAAACCTTCTGCGAAGTCGGGTCCGTAAACCATTCCGTTGCGTTGGCTCCGAACGCGGTCGTGTACGCTTTGATCCCTCCGTAGTCGTTCCAGTTGTTTATGAAATTTAGCACCAATTTTACGCCATGCTTCTCAGCTGACGAGACCGCGTAGTCGAGCCTCTGCAGACCGTCTGGGCCATAATTGATGTAACTGCCAGTCGAGTTGAGGACCTGGAAGTATACCTTGTTTGGGTCCCCGTTGCTTGGATCCGGGAGCGTGTTCACGTCGCCGAAGCCCCACACACGGAGGACCTTATACTGGGTCTATATTCCACAACCGGTCAGCCCACTCCAACAGCCCACTTCAACTATCGGGTGAGGCAATTTCCGTACCTTGGCCACCTGGCTAAGAGCGATGTCAATGTCCGCGTTATTGCTCAAGTGAGCAAGCCACCATGCATTGCTTCCTGTGCAAATCCACGTGTCAGCCAGTTAACAAGATTCGAAAGAGGTACGCTAGCAGAGGCAAGATTCCAACCCACCCGCGAAATAACCCTTCTTCCCGTCAATTTCAAATACTCGGCCAGAAACCTTAGCATTCGACCCTTTTCCTTGCCCAATGGGATGCGCCAGAGGTGGCTGCTTGTTGTCTATGTGAAGAGCTGCGGGTAACGCTGAAGCCGCGATGGCCAGCACGCTCCATACTAGTGATGCCTTGAACATCATGATGGCGAGACAGTTGCCAGAAGATTCTCTATTCACATGACTGGAACATCGTGGACAGAGCAACCCAAAAGCAATTCAATTACTTATATTCCTAGCTGCAAGCGCTTGCGCAGGCACGTGCTATCCACGATGATGAAATCCTCCTGATGTTAGGTGACAGTCATTTCGGCGCAGAGTCCCGAGTGAAATAGCCCACGGTATCCGTTTCGCCTAGCCTACCGAATCAGGCTCATTAGTTGCGTCGAAGCGAGGCTTTGTAGAGCCCGCAGACTGGGTTCTCCGCACGTCTAGCATGCGCGGGCTTGAACGAGTCTGGGCAAGCCCCATAGCCCAAGACTGGAGAAATGATCTTGCACGAATTGCGGGGGCTTGAAATGGCTTGAGCATGCTTCCGTGGTCGGGTGCACGGGAGCACTTCCGCCGCCATGTCTTGAGAGACTAGCTTAGGAAAAAGGTAAAATATGCTTCCAATTCTCTTGCTTTTGAGCACGACTTCGGAAAGGCCTTCCAGGATATCAGCGCCCAGCCAATGGTACAACAAGAAAAGCGAACTCATTGGAAGCTAGCGGCGGCGCCTATTCCTGCGAATTAAGTAAGTTGTCTCCCAGCTGCGTATGGACTGTTGCTTTTGACTGCTCGTCAAAGCAAGAGCATCAACATCAACAATTCACCATGGGCGTGTTCCCTTCTGTCGGCTCTTGACTATCCCTTTGTGCACACTGCGCAACGTGTCTATTACACCTCAAGGTCTCGTCCAACACTTCTCTCAAAAACACCTGCGTTAGGATTGAATACGATGTTATCTGTGAAACCTTTTGTTGTTCACACAAAGCACGCAACATGAATTGATACATTCTCTGAGTTTCTCTGTCAAACTATCTGCCGCTGTTTGGCGAGTTCAAATCCATATTGCCCACCTCCCCAAGAAAAGAACACAAAAATAAAGGAAAGAAGAACAGACAGGAACTTGAATCTTCAAGTCAAGTCCACGAACCTAATTGAAGGCTCGTGTTTTTGAACTGTCAATTGACAGTTCGGGTCTATTTCAGGAGCTCATTTAGCCAAGGAGCCTTGAAACAAAAGAATTGGGAGCTTGTGAAAGCGCATTGTGTATCGAGGCTACCACTAATTTCCTCAAGAAGCCACGTGCACGTAGTCTAGGATATGACTCGACTGGTGGATGTCCTCCCCCATCTACGAATTTTTTTTGAGATACCATGAGTTACATTCTTCAAAACCGGCAAAAGATTTGTTTTACTAGTTGCTTACGCTTCAAGTTGTTTCTAGCAGTGACACGCCATAGACATGAAAATGTTGTTAGAAGGCTGTCACTTAGGTGTACCTACTACTCATTCAAAATTGATTTATATATGATAACGTAACAGTTAAGACAAAGTAGAGGCGGTGTTCAATGTCTCAGCAGACTTAGAGGATTGGAAGCACATATCACTAAGGAGTATCCATTCTGACTTGATAGCACTTGATACAACCGGGAAAGATAGGTTCTTAAACAAATTAAATGGCTACGAATAGGACAGCACGTCCTTAGAACCTCGTTCTTTTTTCAACATTTTAAAATCAGCGTTTTACTTTCTTCTTACCATGTTCACGTACGTTAGGTCTGTATCTTGACGTAGTTACCAAAGAAACATGTGCGCTAGAAGCGGCTTCTTAGTCTAGTCAGTCTTCGAACCATTACACTATATCTCTGCTAAATTGGTCTACGAAAATGCAGCGGAGCCACTTTCAATGATACCTAACCCAACGACATTGCATGATGAATTTCACACTAGGACAAGGGGTGCCTATCTAAAGCAGGCGCATAGGTTCTAGCGTCGCAGGGAGTTAATCGCATGCAGGACGACATACTTGTAGGCGCGACCAAAGGTTCTGCCATACACCTGATGACTTCTTCACTTAGAGGACCATAACCCCAGAGTACATCCTGCTCAAATATGTATGCATGCAATGACTACTAGTCGCATGCATAGTCGATTGAATCAGCTGAATTGGAGATTATTCACATCTCTCACGGGGTAGTAATGTGCTGACACTAAAGACATCTCATTCTCAAGTACTATACAAATGTATGTCTTGGACACTCCTCTGACGCCCGCTGACTCACAGCTTCCATTCCCTTCCATTGCCAAACGATAACCGACGCCCAAGTGATATGGCTCTCAATCTAGACGAACTAGTACAGCCGAGTGAAGTGAGACCGAGTTGAGACCCCGAGTCCTCAAGATAATAGTAACAATGTGTACAACAAGACCATTCCGAATACAAGCAAGAACAACGCCGCAACCGCTAGAGACAGTTTGGACTCCTTACAGCGACTTGATCCATAACGCCAAGGCCAGAAATATGCTTTTCGCAGGCGCATTTCCCCGTTCCCAAATGAGCGCCTCACTTTTCCAGGGTACTTTTTCCCCGCCTTTTGGTTGTCCCCATTTTCGAGTTGACACTGCTTGACCGCGAGGTGCATACTGTCTTTGGCTTTTTTATAACCCGAGGTGTGCGGGTAGTGAATGTGAATCCGTGAATCCTCCTCCATTAGTATTGATAATATCCCCCCTCCCCTAGATTGCTCCAGGTCATTTTGTTTCCTCTCGGCGAATAGGCGTGTCCCGCATCCCATCATTCGCAAAATTCGATAGCCTAGCGTCTTGACGACGACGTGCTGGAGCCGCTTGACTTCCGATAGTAACCCCGGTCCCGGAAGCCCTGAATGATGACCTTCGCTGTCTCGTAGTCATCCGGGTCGTAAGGCTTCAAGCCATATGACAGCATGAAGTGGTGGATGTTGTCCCACCCGCCATCTCTGATGATACGGTAATTCGTCCGATCATCCTCGATCTCCTGTGCAGCCCTATCGAGGTTGTGGTGGGCCTTTGACCTCCTTTGGCTGGAGGATCTGTGGTGGCCGGAGCCTCTGGAGCTGTGAGAGCTTGAGGACGATGAAGTTGATGTAGTTGAGGATGGCATTGTAATGGCGCAGAAGATGAGCTCTAGTAAGGTTGATTGCGATTGAACATGTGGCTGAGAGAGCTGAGAGAGCTGATAGACATGACGACAAGGCGAGAGCAAGCGGAGAGCGCGGCTCGCTGGAATAAAAAGGTGTCGTGACGAGGTGCACAGACGGAGGGGAGCTCGAAGCTGAAACACATGACGGTTGGGCGCAAGGTTCGGACCGGAAACCATAGCTGTCTTGTATCACCCGATAGCCGAGTTATTTCAAGAGTCGTCCCTTGTTCGCTAGAGCCGATACGGCAAGCCCACATTGCCTGAAGGCGACGTCAAACTTGTTTATGACCTGCCGCTCCGCCTCTCCCGGTTTGACGCATGAGCTTTATCCCTGCTGCCGCGGACTGAGGAGCGATATGCCAGATGGTCTCGACCACATCAGGCTCAAACGCTGGGCCGACACACGGACAGGCCTACCGCGAGGTGAGGTTGCATTGAGGAAACAAAACAAACTGAGCGCGGAACCCTTCCCCGGACGCGGCGGCGGGCTCCGGAGGGACAGGAGACAGCCAGGCACAGAGTCAAGCTAGGCAATAAAATTGGGACCGTGGGCAGGCAACTGAGGCTTTGACACCTGTCTACCCCAGCATATGGTTCAACTTTCGGCGGGCCATATAGGGGTCCGAAGTATGGGCGACTTCCCCGGGTGGATTTCTCAAACCCGTGCATTTCACCTCTCAGGACACGAACCATAATTTGGCATTCGGTCGAGCCGGCGCCCTCAGACATCAGCTTACCGGAACCCGTTCCGCGGCCCGCGACCAGCGGCATTGGCGCCAACTGAAAACCTCGTGTTATATTATACTCAGCCTTTCCGATAGTGGAGCTCGGTGGACCACTCGATAATGCTCGCCCACGTAATCGTGCTCGAACCGTCAAAGAAGCTTTCGAGCACGACTTATGTCAGCGTCGAGCCCTGAAACGATGCTAGACTCGGTGTGTCTGATCATTGCACTCATTATCGACGCATGCTCGCGTGTGCAAAGGCAACCTGCGGAACCGGAGCTTCTGGATCGCGGCTACCAAAGTGGCGAGGGACGTGCCAAAACCCTGAGTCTTGTGCTGCACATGTGATTGGTATGGAGTTGTCCAACCACCTTGAACAAGACGTCCGGGCACTGGTAAGTGCTGGGAAGATTCAGGATTGGGACTTACGTGATCGCAATGTATTTCAACTCACTAACCGCCTTGAACAAGTCTGTTCACACAATAACGGTCACGCCTGTAGGTCAATGTTACGCTCCAAGCGTGCAACATCATTTTAAGGAAACTGCACGGCACCTGAAGGCTGCCAAAGTCAGGGACTTGGTGATCCGTTCTCAGGTGCTCTGGAACGACTTCCGCACAAATTTTGCTTTGATTTTTGAGGCGAGCGGACTCATGTTATTACAAATGAAACGAACAAGCGAGCTTTCAAGGTCACCGGGATCGAACCCGTGATGCAGAGCCAGGACGGCAGTGTGAAAGCTAGATATGTCAGGCCCCGACGGCACTGAGACCACGCAAGCCTCGAACCACCATCTCAATGCATGTCATACTCTGTTGCTACCGCAGAGACTTCTCATGCTGATGCACAGTTTTGTTTCTCATTGACGGTATCGGGACCATCCGAGCGGACAGCCGAGTTTGCAGGGAATCGACATGTTTGAGGAACCGGCCGACAGCGAAGTTTCGTCCACTGTGTGCAGCAGTGCATCCGGAGTTTCTGCCTATTCTTAATTCTACGACACCTGCATGCAGTATGGATGGCTCGGAGAGGATCGCAAAGAACTCTCAGTCCGGCGACATCCGGAGTCTGAAAGACGACTCTCGAAACTGGTAGACTTTTCCTCAAGAGGTCAATATTGTACCCGATCACCTTTTGTGTCGATGGAACAGCGTCGGCAATAGGACGGCACGAGTATCTGCTTTTCCAGCTCCACAGAGTCTCCAGAATGTTGTGACAAATGCAACACAAGGGCGGATAGAATTTCAACCGTTCACCGCTACATGATCACGATCTTTGTGCCCTCGTAGATACCGTACTACACACTCAGGCTCCGAATCTCACTCTAGTCGTCGTTGACATCCCTTGGCACGGCACAGCACTTCCTCAAGATCTGGATCTAAGACACATTTGTCCTACTCAGTCGCTGAGACATACGGCGTGTGCCGATTATTTCGCTAAGTGGAATGAAATGTCTCCGAAGCTGCCAGATTCGGCTCTAGGCACGCCAATATGCCATGTAAAGTCTAGCGGCAGTTTGAAAGTGAGAGCATGACCGGGAAATTTGATATTGGATGCATCAAGATCCTTCCAAAAAGAGAGGCACACAAGGCAATGAGGCCATATATATATACACACAATAGTCGAATAGCATGTATAGGCGTTTTCCAGTTAATAGGACGGCCTTGCTGATGAAAATCCACGTCCCAAGATGAAGTGTTCATTAGAGATCGGCGCTGTGATAGTACTCCAGCTGGGTCTCCTGCCCTGTGGAGTCAGCGCGTTCTGGAGAATGGGTTGTTCTACAATCATGAATGCTCGCATCGACCCTATAGTCAATCCTGGAGGGCTAAGTTCTCACAGCCACACAATTGTTGGTGCAAGCAACATTGGCATCGACAGCTCCTACGAGAGTTTGATAAATAGCGCCTGCACCTCTTGCGAAATTCAAGCGGACAAGTCAGCTTACTGGGCTCCCATATTGTACGTGCTTAGGATTGAGCGATAAGGCCGTCTTGACAGATTTGTTAGATTCGCCTCTCGTTTTTGTATACAGATCAGACTGACTATCCAAATTCAGATATTACCAATATGCCGATGGTTCCTTCCACGATGTTCACCAGTCTGGATCTGTTGTCTACTATCTTGGTCGCGGCCCAAATGTTGGAAAGACTATTCCTTTCCCTGAAGGGTTCAAAATGATTAGTGGCACTACTTCAGCTAGGAGCTTGGATACCAACACCTATGTAAGTCCACAGCACAGATTTTGGCAATTCCATGCTTGCAGTGCTCTGAGAAAGAACGGATTCAGCCTGACTTCAAGATCGGAATAGACCTGGGGTGACAAGAGCAATCCACCACGTCTTGTCGCCGAGGCCATCAGTTTCGCCTGCTTAGGAGCCAACAGAGCCTTACCAGAAGAGAATGGCCTAAATAACACTTCCTGGACACCATTCGACTGTATCAATGGCCTCCGGGCTCAAATCCATTTTCCAACATGTTGGAACGGCGTCGACCTTTACAAAGTTGATGGCTCACATGTTACTCATATGAACCAAATCGACAATGGAGTGTGTCCCGAGAGCCACCCTCACCAATTGCCCCACATCTTCCTAGAGACCCTATATAGTGTCGACTCAATACCGGGAGACATAGTATGTACAAGTTTCTCCTATCACTACTATCAAGCCACGCTCCGCATAATTCTCTAGTAGCCCTGGCGTAGGACCGCAAGAAAGATTGTTAACATATTCCAGACAAATGGTCGATTCGTTTTTTCCAACGGCGATTCAACAGGTAGGCATCGTACACGATACTATTGCTCGTTCCAAGGATCAAAAAGGAAGCCTGCTGACAGCATACTACCAGGATATGGTTATCACGGTGATTTTATCAACGGTTGGAACTCAACAGTGCAAGCACTTGCGATGGCGAATTGTCTAGCAACGGATAATTCGGGCCTCATTAGTTCCTGCCCATACCTACAGGAAAGCGATACAGACGGCTACAGTAGCAATTGCCCACTGAGGAAGTCCCCTGTCAACGAGACCGTCTTGGGCTTGTTAGCGAAACTTCCTGGATGCAATAGGGTTACAGAAGGCCCCTTAAATGCGAAACCCGGGGATTCGACCTGCCCTTCGTCTGTGACCCCGCCTTATATAACTCCCACGGTGAACTCGGTGGCCCAGTACACAGTTCGGCCATCAATTGGTACTTTCTACCCACCCGGCTCGCAGCAAGAATACCTCGGATGTTTCAACGATACGACTGGTGGTCGGCGGGCCCTCGACGGCAAACGCACCTCCATGGGGGCCATGGACGTCTCGACATGTCAAGCGTACTGCAATACGCTTGGGTATAGACTATCCGGTGTCGAGTACAGCACCGAGTGCTATTGTGACAATATGATTTCCAACTCCGCGAACACTAATCACCTCATTGCTGGATTTGATCAGTGTACTTGGCTCTGCAGCGCAACGATCGCGAGAGACAACGGCACTCAGGAAGTTTGTGGTGGCTATGCTTTCATCTCCATCTACAATAACACAGATCCTTTGTTTGGCCAGGCATCATCGCAGCCATACCCAAACAGTTATATCGGCTGCGCCTCCGACACATCCTCTTCACGCTCACTGCAAGGAGCTTCCACCTCTGCTTCAGGTATGACTGTCGATGCGTGTGCTGCCTTTGCCCAGACAGGCAACAGTGGCGCGGGCTACAAATACTTCGGAGTGGAATTCGGTTCTGAATGTTTTGTTGGGAACACACTCATGCCATCCAGCAAGATATTGTCTGAAACTTCGAACCCTCCAAGCACGTCATGCAATATGCAGTGCTCGGGAAAAGATTCCCAGATATGTGGAGGCGCTGGTTTGCTCTCGCTGTACTACAATCCCAATTACACAGCAAACTCGGCATTTAGCCCAAACATCGGCAGCTATCAAGCCATTGGTTGTTTGACGGATTCCCAATCCAGTAAAGGCCTACGCTCTTTAGCTGCCGCCTCGTCTTACTCGGATGACATGACAGAAGACAAATGCGTAGCGTTTTGCCACATGAAAGGCTATCGATATGCTGGGTGAGTAGTTCGAGTTTTCCTTTGCCAGAATTGCTGCGAGTCGTGGAAGACAGCTGACGTAGTGAAGAGACAGTCTGGAGTACTCCACACAATGTTACTGTGACAACGAGATCGTGAATCAGGGCGAATTGGTGAACTGTAGCAACTACGAGTTGATGGCTTGCCGTGGAAATCCCAAGCAATTTTGCGGTGGTTCAAATGTCATGAATCTCTTTCAATCTAATTAATTAGCTTAAATGTTTTCCCCGGAGGTCATATTTTTTACTCTACGTGATTCAAAAATCACAGAACGGGTCAGTCCGTTGATCATTATATTTCAAATCCATGCAATGTTTCATCCTGTGCAAAAGCCCACCATTTGAGTATTCGACATCGCACTCATCCTTATGTATCGTACGAAAGTTCCGTGCGAGTCCCAAAGATGTAGTTACTCTACTGGACAAACTCTATGCCTCGACATTGTCTTGTTTGTGCCTCATCGTCTAGAAGCTGAACATCAGAGCGAGAAGCCCTGATGTGCGGGAAACTTGAATACTCAGGCAAGGTTTTCGTGACAGATGCTTCCCGCAATCTGTTTTTTCCTACCAAGTTTTAATGACCGACCGGAGAATCGCGAAGAAAATGAGAATCCTGTGCAGCTCCACTCTATCATGTATATTCTAGCTCTGATTTGTTGTTTTAGTCCACCATCGGATTCGCTACAAGCTATCAAGCTATGCAGCATCGTCACCGAAACGTACACCAGCTTCAAATATTGGATCGTATTCGTGCAAGAGTTTCACTGCACTTGCCGATAACATGTTGTTTGCAATATCCTGGCACAGTTTGCTTAAACAAGGGCCTGTAAAGACTTTGTGTGACAGACAAAGTAGCTATTCCTGGAATAAAGTTATAATTATGGCGGTTTCGGGAAAATACTCTGATACGGATGTCACCGTGCCTCATTCTTCCCCAGCTGTATTGAAGCACTGGACATGCAACTGTACGATTTTGAACTATGAACAACACCCAGTTATGTACCTGTGTAACATGTGAGTACCGCCGTCGTGTCGGAAACTGCCCGTGTTTGTTTGTTCAGCCCTCAGGTTCGCGGCGCCTCAGTCGAGCAGGCGATGGGCTGAGCCATTGTCCCACATGGATGTTTGAGAGTTGACTGCCGTATGCTTGTGTTTGCAGGCACAAAAGCGGCTGTATGTAGTTGGGTCGTCCAGGAGGGCAGCAAACTCCAGCAGTGCTTCGCTCACTAACCGACGATTAGCATCTTAGCGCTTATAACCATCCTAGGCAGCAAACATCAGACCGTCCAGGCACAAACCCGGGAAATTCTATTTGTGAATCCGTCGATATAGACTGCCGTTGTACATGCGACTAGCGACTAGAATTAGATTTACTGAATCCCTAAGTCTCCAGCATATCACAGGTGTTGAGAGTCAGAGCTACAGTAAATCATTGCGCCGCTGGTATCACTGGGCGCATGCGCTATAATTCACATGGGCGTGGCGTCTTTCGTTCCATTTAAATAAATATCTCACTTGTTTGTGATTGATTCGACAGTTGTTTCTCCGGTTGTCTGCGATTACGTACACCTTGTTCGAAACTCCGAAGCCCTGCCTACGTCTTATCGTGCTTTAAACCTTCTGGCGAGTGCTCAGCTGAAGCTCAAGTGACGAAGATGGGGTCTTACGTCTCGGTGTTGAGATGTGAATCCCATTATGGCTTGAATATCACTTGCGATGGCAACTTCAACGCAACAAAGGAAAATAACACATTATTCGCTGGAGACTATCCCAAGGGTGCAGTCCCTGGTGACCCTGACGTTGCTGGTGTTGGGGTCAGTGTCCCACCTACTAGTCGTGCTACTAGTTACTGATATGCTCTCAGATCATATCTGTATTTATTTCGGTGACCTCATTCGCTCTTGCTCTAAGCTTTATTGATGTTGTGTGGAGGATGTGGAAACTTCGTCACAACCTCCCTTCAACTTCAACGTAAGCCACGTACTCCTTTTCTTGTGCCTCTCTCCATCATTGCTGACTCTCAGAACCATAATCTTAGTCGACAACAATTCAGTTTGACCGAGATATGTGAGACTTTAGTCCTGTCTTGCAGCGACCAACAAGTCTTTACCGGGGGTGCTTTCGCGATATCACTTCGGTATTGGAACGGATGTTCCGTAACCGCTTATCACTACAATGTGATTGCCAACATGCTGCTTCTAACGTGTGCAACGCACCTGTTGTCACTGTCGATCGTTCGCAACTATTGGCGCAATCTTTGGCAAAGCACTTTGAGAGTAATTCTCATTTTCGGGATTGTACTGGTCACGGGCCTAATACTCTCGAATCAAGATGCAGGTAGTCAAGCAAAATTCCCAACGGCTATACCACCTCTGACTCAAACAAATGATGGCTCCTTGTTTCTACCTGCCGCTTGCTACCAGGAAAATGGTCACCTTTCGAAGACCTTACAGGAGTCTCTCAATAACTTACCAGCCCTCAAAAGCGCACTTTTCCAGAGCAGTCCCGGCAATCATATACAAGGCTGGAACTTTTATCTAGTCATGCTGCTGTGGTACCTGTTTGCCCTGCTTGTCACCTACGTGCGGCGCTTTTACCATATCTTCAGGAAATATGGAATCTGGATCGCGATCGGTAGGGCTTTCATTCCTCTTTGCTGTTCGAGTTGGGACTTCGAATTAGAGGATGAGAAGAGTCACAAGCGCCACGAGAAATTCTTCAAATGGCTGCATACTATTTATATGCTCTTTGGTGTAGCTCTTGGTTCAGTGACTGCAATCATATCAGCAGACTTTATCATGAAATTGAGAAGCTGGGTTAGACATTCCGGCTGGCTGAAATCCGACTCCACGAGCTTAGGCCCTGAGGACAACGCGACTTCCTTTGGGCAAGAGGTACCCATTCTACTTACATTGTTGACTGTATTTACCGCCGCTCAGACTGTCAATGGTAAGCATACTACCTTCTGAAAGGGACAAAAAGGGTTGGATACTAAAACTACCACAGAATTATGGGATAAAAGGCATAGAAAACAGGCGTTGAATACCGCAGAGCCGCCAAACACAATGACAAGCCCGAACAACTCTCAGGACAAGCCACCAGGGAAGCCTGATCTCGAATCCACAGACTTTAATGGCACGGGTCTTGTTCACCAATACTTGTGGGAGACCGATCGTCGACCCAGAACTTTTTCACAGCCGAGTGAAGATCAACCACAGATGGCGCGCCCGATTAGATCCCCGGGCACCGCGACGGCAAATGCAGTGCCACCCAATTATAATCACGGCTCATCATCTCAGACAACTTACTCGGGTGAACCTGCCACGGAGTCTTACGGCTCTATCTCACCGGTGTCTAACTGAGGAGAGCCTTAATCATAATTAGACACATTTCATCCACGCTCACATCAATGCAGTCCTTTGGATCAAGCCTCTCTTCATGGTCCGGGCTCACGGGCTGAAGCTTCTTCAGAGTCCGCGTGCTTCTTGCCTCGTTCGCTACCACGCTCAAATTGAAACTTTCCCGGGAATACTGCACCATTAAAACCGTGCCAAGCCGCTCATGGTCTCTTTGGCTCGTATTTTGAGTTCTGTTTTTTTTTCAAAGTGGTCCGAGAGACCAAGGCGTACTATTTATGAATTTAAGTGCTAGAACATCAAAGTTGCTGACTATTTCCTTCCAATCATGAGAGACACAGCTGTCTTCGCGCTTCTTTGTCCTGACATGTCCTGGTGGCGAAGCCAAAATTAGCCTTCGCTATGGTACCTACACCTTGAGTTCAATCAACAAATTCTGTATTTCTCTCCCCGTATGGCTGTCTCTTTCACCGCCATCACTATAATCGGAGCCACATATCGGGCTGATGTGTATGTAAGCAGGTGGGGGGGGGGGGGTTAGCAGCCTACCTGTAATCCCATTAAGTGGGTGGGTGCTATAACAGAAGTTGTTGTATTCATCTGCCCATCTTCTTTCTGTCGCTGTGGAGTCGTAAGAGTTGACACTTGCACGACCTGACAATGATGAATGGGCCCTGATCAAGTGTGCCGTATCGAAGCGGAACCTTTGCATGTTCGGTAGGGCATAAAATGTGTTGGGAAAGGATTTCAGACACACTGCCACTATGCACTCAGCCTCAGAATCCTTCTTAAGTGTTTATCCTTCGCACCACCTCGGTTGCTTCAAGTCATCATTTTTGAACATCAATTATAACATCAATCGCACAACTCTCAAAATGTCTGTGCAGTCCCTGAGCCACAAGATGCAACAGCAAGCCGTGACCCATAGCCGTCTCTATGCTCCTCTCAATCCCAAAACCCCTGAGATTAGGGTAGTGAAGCTTCTTCCTTCACAGGATTTCAACGCTCCAATTGAATGCGAACTCTCACACCGTCCTTTATACAGTGAGAGCGATGGCTATGAGTCTTTATCCTACGTGTGGGGAGCTCCGGAATTTGTTGGAGAGATCCTGCTGAGTGGCGAATCGCAACCGACCACTCGGAACCTCGAAATGGCCCTGCGTTACCTGCGTCTTCCTTCTTGTACGCGAACGCTCTGGGTGGACGCAATCTGTATCAACCAGAGCGACCCCATCGAACGTGGCCAACAGGTCCGGTTGATGCGAGACATTTATGCAAATTGCAAAATGGACCTTGCCTGGATGCTGAGCTACAAGTGTACGTTGGAGCCCCCAGAGACCGGAAGGGACGGAGAAAGCTCAGTGTCGCATCCGAGCAAGGAGAAGCAGCTCGAGACTATTCACCAGGAAATGGAAACAATCGGAAAAGCAAGTAAGTTCCATTTCAACGAAGCGCTATCTTTCTTTCTGCGTGACAATTCAATCAGACTCGGAGCGTTAGAGATGTAGGCGCGCAATTTGCTCTGCGACGTCATTTGAACCCTCTTGTTTGATACACAGCAATGAGAAAAGTTGACTAATTTCATCAAAGTGGAACTCATGAAGAAGATTAATGTGAAAGATGCGACGACCCTGGATAGGATGATATTAAATACAAAGCAAAAACGCTTCGTCTACGAAGAGCCCGAAATAGAAAGCGAGCTCGACATTCCTGGCAGAACCAGGCTTGTGGACAAGCTGGACGAGTTTCTTTTGAGTTCCGAGCAATCATGGCTTCTTTCAACCGCCTTTCATGACGCGCCCATTTGGGCACGAGTCTGGACCATGCAGGAGCTCTCTCACGCGCCCCACGTCGTCTTGGTTGCTGGCCCCTATCAGTTGGACTGGGAAGTTGTGACGGGATTCCTGGGGGAGAAACCCTACGCCGACGCATTCCATGCCTTGTATGGCCACGGAGACAAGGCAAAGGCCCTCGAGAGCCATTTCGGCGGGTCACAGAAGGTAGACCATCAGCGACGAATCATGGAAGCGGGCCACAAGTCGAAGCTTTTAGATGTGCTGGCACGTTTCCAATCCAACCGTGCTACGGATCCAAGAGATCGAATCTATGGTCTGTTGGGGCTAGCAACGGACCAGCATAGTATTGTGGTTGACTACAAGAAATCGCCCGCACAGGTTTTTCAAGAAGCTACATTGTCTCTCATCGAAGACGCCAGGAACCTCGACATACTTTGCCAAACAACCTGGACAACTAGCAACGCACTCACTCATTCCAGACTTGGGAGGGGTGTGTCAGGACTGCCAACTTGGGTGCTAGACTTCTCCCGAGAGGTTGTTTACAATGAGCACTTGCAGATCCTGTTCTCCCAACGAGAAATTTACAAAGCCGGAAAGCCTAATATTTATGTGCCTTGCAAAGTTGTGGATAATAGGTTCTTGCAACTACAAGCTCTTATCCTGGGCCGCGTAAAATGCGACGTCGTCTTGGAAGGCACCAGAGCGCTTTGGAACCACGACAACGAGTTTGCGCCTCAGAATTGGTTGGCAGAGTCTGAAATCAAGACTGAGATCACAGATAAGAAGGAGCAATATAAAGGAACCGGAGAGGCCGCATTTCGTGCTTACTGGCGCACGTTGTTGATGGACTGCGCGGCCTATCCCATCACACGCCTCACCAATGACGAGGTCCTGGCTGGTGATGCTGCATTCAAAGCCATCCTTCAGTACACGATTGAGCAAGACAGGTTTGACAGGAGTCAAGGCCGTAGCGGCAGTCTAGAGGATGAGGACCTAACCCAACATTGGGACCAGCTTCCTCAGTCGATGAGACGCATGTGGAGGCGGAACTACGAATTCTGGACATTTGCTGTCACCGAAAACGGGCTCTACACCATGATCCAAAATGCAAAAGCAGGAGACGTCATCGCCTCTGTAGAGGGAGCTAAAGTGCCCTTGATTTTGCGCCCACAAGGTGCGTATGAAGGCAAGAAGATGTACGAATTGATAGGAACAGCTTACGTTCACGGTTTCATGGACGGAAAAGCCTTCGAGATGATGGCCGAGCTGGGGCTGGTTGAGGACCAAATTCTCCTCCAGTGATTTGAAAAAAGTCTTTAACCCAGAAATACTTAGAAAGGGTTATTAATTGACACGGGAATTAGAACGGCTTGAATTGGGCAAAGAAGTCCTGTCTGTCCAAAGTAGCTGTCTGCATTTGTAAAAGGTCTGCGATAGAAGTTATGAAAATTCAGGTCAACATTTTTGCGTAGACCAAGCATATTATTCAAAAGTTGAATTCTGAAAACGGCAGACACAAGAAAACACAAAGGGTTTCTAAGATGACTCAAAAGCGGTTCTTCAATTATATTTCGCAAGCCTCAATGTCGACTTTTCTTTGTTTTACCGTATTCGGCGACTGCCTCCAGATTATGAACCTCTACATTTAAGTACTCAGCCTTTCAATGGTATCAGCGACTCAGAAGAGTACCGAAAGGTATGGGAAACGGCCTGCCTAGAAAGTAATTCACATTTCAGCCATTACAAACATCAGAACAGACGCTGTCCGGAAGTGCCGAACATTTCCCTTATGTAGTCTCACCAGCATCGGTTTATGTGTCATATGTATGGATTTTTGAGCCTCAAACAAAAATTGACAGCCGATCGGTGAATGTATTCTCCTTGAAATCACAAGAGCAGATATCTCGTGAACGCCTCCCGCCATGACCGGCCGCGGGGCCCAGGCGGCCGCGCCGGCTGCCCAACTCAACAACCCAAGGCGCCACCAGTTGGCAAGAATGCGGGCCCTGCAAAGGATATTGAACTCCCTCAATTCATGTAACTGTCCTCCCGATTGTCGTGGGCCAGTTGGTGCACCGGCTCAATCGCCCCGAACGCCTCCGCCGCCACCTCCCCGATCAGGCGGAGACGGCGACAGCGACGGAGATGACGATGACGATGACGACAGCGATGGAAATGGGGATGATGATGGGGATGAGAGTCGCTTTGCTCCCGGACAGGTCACCCGCAGGGCAAGTGCGCGCATAAATTCCACGGTGCTCGCCGGAGCAAGAGGGACAAGGGACGTGCATCTGGAAAAGGCCGGCATAGGGGCACGGCTACGAGCGTCTCTTCAAGTACACACTGACCCGCAGGGCAACCGCACTCGTCTGGGATACTACGCGGACCTCTTCTGCAAACTTGATGGGGATGATCGGGAGGAACACCACATTGGTTACATCACAAGCTGGCGTCTCTCCAAGCCGCCCAGGCAGCGGCAATTCGAGGGAAACCCTCAACCGTGGGTTGAGGAATGGTTGAGTGGCGACTTGGGAAGCCCAGACGATGTTTCCAGACCATTCAAAGAAACGCTTAGGTTGTTGTACGATGAAACTGGTCAGTGGAAAGCTGTCGAAAATGAGACCTTCCAGGATGCCTTGAGCGATACTGGGACGGAGCTCGTCTTCATTGACATGATATGGATCAAACATAAGAATGCAACAACTGGTTTTGAGGTGAGTCTTGATACGTGAACCATCCGAAACCTTCGGGAGATCAGAAGCTAACTTTTCAATGTCCAGTATTCAAGCAAACGCATTGGCGCATACTTTTTGGACATGTTCTACAAACTGGCGACAAATGGAACTCTACCAGCGTGGTACAACATCAACCTGCCTGTGACATTCATCATGAGAGTAGGCATGCCGTCTGACAACAGTTTGTCAGAATTGTGGCTCGACAAACACCCTCAGCAACCTGAAGAGGACGCTCAACTATATTCCGACAGGATCGGTGACAAGATCGAACGATGGTTCCAGATCGTGGAGCACTATGGCTATATAAAGATCCATATACATCACCGTATCCTGGCACAAATCTTCCGTGGTCAGCCCCAATGCGAAGGCCTTCGCTCGCTTGACAATGGCACTGATCCTGCGCCGCCGCCCACAGAACCAGCTCCGAGGTCTGTACTTTCGACCATTCGATCATGAGCTAAGGTGTAGCTCATGCGTGTTAAGGCTTTGCGAGTCCATTCTCTAGTTCGCAAATATATCTACTCTTAATGACCAAGTACGCATCGCCCTCGTCATTATGATAGGACGTATGAATGTCTCCTCATATACTCTATTTTGCGATACCATAGTCTTCTTGAATTTGATTCCAAAAAATCTAGCTAGCACCTCGAACGAGGGAGATACTCAAAGAGCGGATAACTCAGCGTTGTGTTTATCACTTAAGCCAGGAACATTGAATAGAAGATAGTCTGAATCCCATTTCTTCTCTTCTCATGAATACTTCCAGATAAAAGGATTTCGCTGAATCGGGTGAGAACTCAAGTACATTATGCCGTGTTGAATTAGTCCCCTTGAAATTTTCCATTGGCCGAAGCGTGAGAAATGTGAGTTTGTTTCACTCTCACAAAATCATTGAGTGTGTGCGATCAAACTTAATTAAACAGCCCTAATTTGAAACTACGATGATTTTACTCCGCCCAATTTCAAAATCTCTGCAATAACATCAGGGCTTCCCAAATACTGTTGCCGCTTGAGGACAACGTGAGACTCCTCACCAGCCTGACTTTGCTTCCAGCTATCCCACTCCGCTATCCCCTTCTTCAGAAGGCCCAGCTGCGCGAGATCATTTTCATCCCTCACCCGCCCCTTCTGGCGCTCCTTCCAGTCCTCGAGCTCTTGAATAGAGACTGCCACGTATTTCAGGCTCCTTTGCTTCAGAAGCTGGCGCACTTCCCCGTGAGAGCTGACTAGAACGATGGCACCCGATGAGCCTCGCGCTGTGTCCTGGATATCGTCGATGTATTTGATTGTCCCAGCTGGGCTCTTGAGGTCGTAACCCGACGAGTCGAGGTCAACCACAGTGTGCCCCGTCCATGTTTGCGCGAATGTAGTCTTGCCAGCACAGGGCCAGGCAGAGATGATGAGGGTTTGTTGGGTCTGAGAAGCCATGGCAGCTGATCTGACTGTATTCAAAAAGCCTCGGTAGATGAGAATGTATATCAAAAATCTCGCCAGGTAGTGATATTTGTGCAGTGAAGCGAAAGGCTGTACTGTCTTACGTAGTCCAATATGAGCGTACTCATATTTCAGAAGAAATCTCGAGATAATCAGTTCCGACAAGATTATTTCTAGTCTGGCAAAATCAAGCGGTAGCCCGCATCACATATTGAACAAAGAATGAAAAGACAAAAGAGATTCAAAGGACTTTTCCTTTGACAATACAACAGGCAGATGGCGTAGCTTGTCATTTGTTCGATGCAAACTGGCTCTTTTGTAATGCTGCTGAGGCTCTCCATTCGTTTTAAGTTCTTAGTTGACATGTTACTATTGTTAACATTATCTTTGCTGCATGGCAGACATCAGACAGAACGTCATGCCCGGGTCTATCCCAGGTCTCTAGTCTAACAAATATGTATATGTACAAGAGAAAGTAAGTAAAAACACAGTTGAAAAGGAAAGTTCGCTGTAAAGCCCGATTTTTTATAGCCTCCCACGCGCCATATGTATATGTGAATGTACGATGTCCAAAGTAACAAAACAAATGTCCACGCTGAAGTCATGCTGCCATAACACCAAGCCGCTCTATATCATATTCTGGGATATACTACTGTTCCGTCGCCTCGCGTAGATCGAGCTGGGCCCGGCCTTCTCATTCAGCGACGTATCGAATTGGACCGTCTTGGCACCAGAGACGTGAACCATCTGAGGCGGCTGCATCATCGCATCGGGCGGCGGCGCCGGGCTCCGGTGGCCGTCAGAGCTGCCGGGGCTGGGCACAGGCGAGCCGTGGTAGCCGAGGGTGGGTGAGTGTCGGCCGTAAGGGCTCGTCGCGCCCGACGCAGACGACGGGACCAGGTAAGGACCGTGCGAAGCCCTCTTACTGGGCCCATACCCCGGCGAAAGGGGCTCAAATGGGTTGCGGGACGAGGGTGCAGGGGAGATTGGGCTTGGGGGCGTGGGTAGAGGCGAAGTAGCGCTCGTGCTCGGGCTGTACGGGCTGCTGAAGGAGATGGTGTCTTCGCCGCTGCCGCTGATGTATGAAAACCGAGCGCTCACCCTCTTGCTCGCCCTCGCGTTCGTCTGGGCGCCTACGACAGCGACACTCATGCGCCTCCCGCCTTCCACCTCGTCCTCGTAGATGGCGTTTTGGTTCGTGACAGGGGTCGTCTCCTCCAGGCGAAGGACAACCTCAACGGCTTTCTCGTCCTCAATGACCTTGGGGTGCCTCTTTGCGAAGTAGCGCGCGTACTTGTACAGACTCCAGTAGCAACTGGCGACGTTGACCAGTGTCAGGACGAGTTTGTAGGGCATGTAGTATAGCAACAGCACGTCCCAACCGATGCGCTCGTTCCTCATTCGGAGATGAACTTCGTTGAAAATGACCACGTTCGCGAGGTAGAGCACCACAGTGCCGGCAAGCAGATACCCGCAGAACGCGGGTGCGACAAGGAAGGAAATGGGCAGGATGAAAGGAGTGAAGAGGTACAACAGCGTCTCGTAGACCTCTTGGAAAACAAAGATCTTGGCGCCAATCTCCCACCAGCCGAGCTTCCAGCTCGTGAGGATGTAGTGCATGTTGTAGTACATGCCGTTGACGAAGAAGAAATTCCATCGCATGAACCGCTGTTTGAAGACAGTCATCTCGCCAAACCCGCCGCGGCTGCCACCGCTGCTGAAGAACACAGCCGGCGGGGTCTCAGTCTCGACGAAGACGGATGTGCACATCTTGATCCTACCGCCAAGTCGGCGGCAGCTGTGGCCAAAGAACCAGTCTTCGGAGACGGAGAACCCAGGGTGGTCGTGGAACGTCTTGATGAGGAACTTGCGATCCCAGAGCGAGATCGCGCCGTGCGGGAAGGTCGCGCTGCCCATCTTGCCGGCCAGGGCGCGCTGAAGACCCGAGATCTTGTACTCTAGGTCCTGGGCCTGTTGGCAGTATGTGCCCTTGGAAGAATTCGGCCCGACACTCTTGATGGTGTAGCCGATCGACCGTACCTTTTCTGTGAGGCGCTCGGACACGATGGGGAAGTTTGGCGGTAGCGCGCAGTCGTCGTCGATGAGCAGGACGTTCTTGAAGCCCTTGGCGGCGTAGCATCCCACGAACTGGGCCACAATCTTGGAGCCGACAGGAGACCAGATGTGATTGACACCATAGGGAATGCAGACCTCCTCAGTGTTGTCGAGAGGTGTCTCGGAGTTGCCGTTGGCGATGACGAAGATATGTGAAGGTGGGAAGACTTTCAGGGCTGCGGTGAGGGTGGCCCCTATCAGGCCCGCAGACTTGTAACAGGGAATGAGAAGGGCCGTGTTAGCGACGCCAGGCAAGGCGGTCCGGTCAAAATCATCCGGAAGTTCGAGGACTGGTGGCTCCCTTTCGAAAAAGATGAGGAGAGGAGCAAACGAGTAAAATGCTGCAATAGCGATGGTGATGGACCATCCCCCAGCGACGACAAATTTTGTCGATATTAACCAATACATCCAATACACTGCTCCCTTCCAGAGAGGCATGCCGATCAACACGAAATAGATGAAGCAGATCAATATCGTGTAGATAGTGATTTCGAAGAGAACCTCCACCCACCGCTTCCGTTGCAGCTCGATACCTCTGGCCTTGGCCTTTTCATATGCCTCAGCTATTGAACTTCGGCGTGCTCGACCGATGACATTTCGTGCTGTCTCTTGTACCTTGTCCGGTACTACAGCATCCACGACCCTCCGTACAGTATTATTGCGCCTGGGCACGTCCTGTGGGCTGTATGTTGAGGAATCCTCGTCGCCCCAGACAGAAGATATAGCATCGGAAGAGCGATCCTGAAGCGGGAACCTATGCTGAGGTATAGGCTTTGAGTCGAACTCAGGGAAGGCCTCTGTGTCGTTCGGGTGTGGCAGTCCAGCTTCGACGTCCTTGTCTGCGGCCTTTTCCAGGTAGACGGATTGGTGGACAGAACGTCTGTCGTGATTCGTCACCGGGTCACTGGTTTTCCTCGGCCGCCCTGATGCTTGAGTCTCTTGCCATGACACCCTCTTGTCCGAGGGTGGCAGGAATGACCGTCGCCTGTATTCATCGAGGACCTGCTGGACTGGTCCATACGTGTCCTGGTCTTGGTTTTGATCCTCATGCTGTCGATGGTGAGACCCACTAGGCAGGAAGCCATTATGTATGCGAGAAGGCTGTCTTCGGTGGCGAATATGAGGCGTGTTCGAGAATGATGGGAAGTCGTCACCTCTCCTTGAGACCGACAACAACCTCTGGGGGATGATCACATCCTTCTGCACCTTGACCGATGCGGATCTCTTCATGCCTCCACTCATTTTGAATTAAACGATCGAACGTTGGCTAAGGGGCCAACAGTGAAGGGCTGACAAGCCGATACAAAGAATGAATGACTAAGGGTAGTAAAGAATGTAATAGAGCCAGAGGCTCACCTTGATCGAAGGGATGGGTCGATATGAGACATAAAAGAGAACGAACGTCTATAGTCCCGAGGAACTACTTGCCCATAGCTAGATGGACTAGAGGTGACTGAAGAAACGGGAAGCACGGAAAAAAGAAAAGATGTGAGTCTTGCCTCACACACCCACGAGTATTACGCAAGAGGGAGGAAGCTATGCCGTCTACCCAGTAGGATCTGTTTCGGTGGACGCCCTAGCGATCGACGGCATGGATTACATGGGAGCAACGGACTCACCAAGGGGTGGCGCTGTCGTCCTCTTCCCGCGTCCTCGTCCGATGCCCAGGAACAGCAAGGAAAAGATCTCTCCCACCACTAAGGGGACGCGTGGTAGGTCTGTGGCACCGAGTCAACCTCTTGTGAACCCAATCTTCTCAGCCTCATTGAGGACTGGGGAGTGGGTATCCGCAGTAGCGTACAGGCCACCGGGACTCGTGGTACGGTGGGGGAAAGGGGACCCACGGGCCATGGGCCACGGTGCTGCAGTTGTTGTTGGTAATGGAAATTTCGGACATGCCCCATCATGACGCTCCTTCGCGGCCGTGGCACAGAGGCTCACCTGCATGGCGCTCGTGAGAGGTGCCGAAAAGCCGCCAAGCTGAGCTTGCGTGCGGCGACTTCGTCTTGTGTGATACGGTCGGCTTCAGCCCGAGGAAAATCCCGAGGTCGAGGCTGTCGAACCCAAATGTGTCCGATCCTTTCGTATCCAGAGGAAGGGCGAAGGACGTGCCGTGAAGGTGAAAGAGCCGTGGAGCCTAGGAGCGGTTGGGGTCTGGAAGTCTGTTGTTGATGGTCGAGTCAGTCGGAACCTAAAAACGTTCTTTTTTGGAATGAGGGCCCTTTCTCACCGCGGCGATGAGCTTACTTAACTGCGACACCCCCTCATCGGCCCCCTTTCCCCAGTGATTCTTTCACCTATATCATCCAAGCAAGGGAGTGCTGTGCAGTATAGTTACGGCCCGTGCCTTGGCTTATTTGTGTCCAGGTAGCTGCCGTCTCATCTCTCTTCCCCGAGACTCATGTGCGTAGAATATGTCCTGTCCCATCTACACTGGCAAATTCGCCAGGTTGAGCAGACATTGGTGCAGGAATCAGACATCACACCCCGGAAAGAACTAGACCTCGAAACCCTAGCAACTTTTCATCAGTCTGCCTTCGCTTGAGTGAGCTCGTCATCCTTCCTGGCAAGGCTGCGGAGGAGATATCCGAGGACATGACGAATTCTCGACCCGAGACCTATGCGCTAGTGCGCTCTGCGGCACCACCGTCTACCGTCCCACCGTCCCAGCTGCTGTACCCCAGCGCTTTGATGGTTGACCACACGGCACCCATGCGAGTGGAGAGAGAAGAGGTATCCAGTGCTAGGCAAGGTGGGGATATCCATGCACTAACAAAATTTTGAGATGAACCGTTGCTTCTTTTTATATCTCTTCCGGGAGAAGCAGCATCAAGATCCCGCTCCGGCAGAGACGACGCGCTAGAATTTATAGCACTGCACGGCAACTAAACTCACTCAGACATGCACTCTCTCCCTCTCGCAAGCATCCCGGATTCAGTCAGCTCGTGATGCCAGTGACAAAAGTGCCGGTTGTCGACGCCCCTCTGTAGTGCGTGATGCGTGGTACGTACGTGCCTGACAGGAGCAGCCTGACCCAGCTGAAGACTGCATCTCCACCCACGTGGGGAACGGACATCGTCTACTAGGTTCGGGAACTTCCTGTCAGCCTCTCTGCGCCTGTGTCAGGATCAGATCCACTTTCTCTCCCACCTTCCGGTCGAGGGCCAGGGCTTCTGAAACGTGGGAAGAGCCAGACAGCGGCGGATTGACCAGAATAGGGTGTTTGCTCTACAATGATGCAATATTGTATATAGAGGAATGCAACATATTTCTTTATTCATTTACATTCATGATTGCTGTCAACATGGCCGAGGAAAGGTTGAGCCAAGACCAAGACCAAGACCAAGACAAGACTACCATCACCTTCCAGTAGCGGTCAACAAGACCTCGTGTTCGGTGTATCGCGCAATCACATATGCTCTCGCTTGACCCCAGACCGACGACCAATGTTTCTTTTCGCCGTCTTCCACAACTTCGTCAAGGCGTCAGGCCAAACCCAATTGGATGACCAAGCTAGCACCTAGCCCGAGCCCTACCCGGCGGTTTGGCTAGCAGGGGGTGACTCGTCGCTGTCGTCCTCTAGGTGGTAGTTCCCTTGAATACGTCTCTTGGCCTCCCGCTTGTCCTGTTCCGTTATGTCTTTCTCGTCCTTACGCATGTCGGGTGCCCATTGAGACTCGCTGGGTGAATGGCCGACGGACATGCCGACACGGATCTGCTTTTATGTTAGCTCGGCAAGAATTTGCACATAGGGCAGTCAAGGACTTACCAAGGTCTCGAGGGCGCCGTTCGAATTGTCCACCAAGTCATCATCAAACACCATCTTGCCCTCCTCGAAGAGCAGCACAATGGTGCTGCCACCGAACTTGAAGTAGCCAAGCTCTTCAGCCCTCTTGACGTGCTCGCCTTCTTGCCTGGTGATCACGGTGCTGCCCACCATCATGGCTCCCACACAGATGACCATTACCCGGCCGTGGGCCACGGTGTCGATTGGCACGATGACACGGACGTTTTCGCCGTAGACATCCAGCGCGGATCGGATGGCCATGGGGTTGACAGTGTAGTACTCTCCTTCAATGGTCTTGGGCTTGCCCATTACTCCATCCACGGGAATGTGGAAGCGGTGGTAGTCCTGTGGCGCGAGGCGGAAAATGCCTAGTGCACCTCCGTTCTCATATCGCACTGCGTCTTCTGGGTAAGCGTCGCCAAGCAGTCTCTTGACTGAGAACTCGCGCCCCTTGATCCACACATTGGTGGCAATGTCGACGCGGTTGAAAACCACGGAGCGACAGTCGGCAGGTGACACAATGATGTGGGGGTTTCCAGGCGCTGAACATGGCCGAGCATCTGGCTTGAGCGCCCGGTAGAAGAACTCGTTGAAGTTCTTGAATTCCTCAACGGGCAAGAGGACTTCGGACATGTCGAGCTTGTGGAATTCGATGAATCCCTCAATCTCTGCCTTTGAAGCCGGATCGTCGTACTTCTTGCCCTGCTTGATGCTGAGACTCTTGAGCAATTTGCGGACTAGTTCAACGTCAGTCTAGGGCTCTTGGTGCCTTTTCTATGAAGGGATACTTACTCCTCTTATTCTCCATGTTGTTCGATTTCAGCCCCTTGTAGAGCAGTCTGATGCCAAGTCTGACGTACACGCTCATCTTTTCTTCACTTATTTGTCCTGTTATGCGATCCTGCACGAGGATGTTGGCAGAATTGGCACCCAGCTTGTAACCTCCATATGAAATCTTGGTGATGACCTTGGAGTACCACTTCCGCTGCGCCTGGCTAGCGGTCACAAACCCAGCCATCACGATGTTGTTGACCTGGCGCCAATCCTGGCTGGCGCAGGTGGCTATATGAGTGATGATGTCCGAATCGGTTCTCTTGTTCAAACGAGGTTGGTGGCAGATGGGGCATTCCCTAATCTCAACCACATGCTCTTCTCCGCGGTCATTGAGATCGTCTCTCTCGGCCAGAGCTTCGCCTTCCTCACCCGCAGTGGAAAACTTGGGAACCGTAATGGTAGACGCGGAGATCTGACTGCTAGGTGCCGTTTCGGGACCAGGGACTACCTCACCCGAAGCTGGCTCTTTTCCAGATGTGTGCCCCTTTGCGAAGTCAGGCAATTTGTCCTTCAGACGATCAGTCATGCTTGGTTTCGATTTTGACAGGAGTTGATCCTCCAGGCAGATCACCGCCTCGTCGGTTGTAAGATCACTTTCACCGCTGTTGGCAGCGTGTGGGAAGCGTTTGAAGAAGCTGTCAATGGTAGAATCGCGCAGAGTGGAGCCAAGAGTGTCCAGCATGGTCGTCAACTCAACCTTGCTGATGCTCCCATTCTCATCGGTATCGTACTGCTTGAGCATAGATCTCCAGAACTGTTGCCGCAGGGCAGGGTAGGGCATGTATTTGGCCCTCAGAGTGAGCACTGGGTTGTGCTTTGCCTCCCACTTCTCCAGATTTTTCATCTTCAGGGGCACTTCGAAGAACACAAAGTCAGGATCTTCGCCATCCTGAGTCGCCTCTACCCCGGTTCCGACAGTATTGGGGTCGACAGGCGCCAAAAGCCCGGGGTTGGGGACAGAGAGCTGCGTGGGGTCCAGCGCCCCGTCGCCTGGTACAGATGTAGGCGCCTGTGACATTTGTGAAGGATTCTTGCTAAGAGCGGGCCGCGCAGATTTCGCCAGGCTCTGCTGAGAATTTGACCTTGACATACCCAGTCTCTTGAAGCGGGACTTTTGCGACGAGCTGTCTGGTTGCACATATTCCGGTAGCTCCCTCAGCCTGTAAAGACCCGTCTCTGGGTCGGCACTAGGGGCCGTCTCCATAAGATCCTTGAGGGGAAGAGATGTGGATGCAATGAAATCGTTGCCGGTGTAGCGATCCCGATCGATGACAGTGAAGGCGAAAGAGTAGGTCTGTTCATGCCCGAGCACGTTGAAAATCATCTTTTCGTTGTAGACCGGGTTCAAGTTATGTCGCACGACCTTGGTACGATAAGTCTTCTTGCCCAAAGATGCGACTACGAAAGGATCCATGTCGAAACCGGTCTTCGTGAAATTTGATTCCGGAGGCAGATCGGTGATTTTGACAACCTCGAGGAAGATGATTCCAACGACGTCCTGGCGGTCTCCATTGGTAAACTCATACGGGTTGTCGCGCTTCTTGCGCTTCAAGCCCTTGATTCGGAGCCGCCGCTTGCGTTTCTCGGCGCTCTCGGGCTTCGTTGGGTCTTCCTCCTCTGGCGTCTCGTCATCATAAACGTCATACTCAGCGTCATCGTCATCGCTGCCATACTCTGTCGGCCGCCGGCTGATGGGCGGCGACGGGGAGGTGCTTGGCTTCGTCGGAGCCAGGACTGGTGTGCGGGTGGGTGTCGGGTTCTTAGACGTGGGGTCGGCCTCAGGGGCAGACTTGGCCAGAGCGTTAAACTTGGCAGCGATATCGACGTCGGTCGCATTTGGGTTCGCGGCGTCGTAGAGAGTGAATTGCAACAGGACTTCGCCGGAGACTTTGGTAGCTTTCTTGCCTGTCCTCTTGCTCTTCAGAGGGAACCATTTTGGTTCCTGCTCGTAATGGCCGTCCGCAAATATTTCCTCGAGGGCAAGATCGAACTCTCCGAGATAGTCCTTGCCAAACCTGTCCTTGTCCCAACAGATGATGTCGAGGAGCAAGTGCCGGGTTTCATTCACGTGGAACTCGCATTGTTCGTTCCAGTGTGGGTTAAGGGTTTTGGACACAGAGTGGGTTTGGTGTCTATTTTCGCCGAGGGTTACAACAAGATACTGCCAGCCAAGTCAGTCTGCTAGCTCTTCTCTGTTTGCTGTGGAGGAGAGAGATGGGCTTACTGGGTCAGAAGTACCACTTCGATCTGCCGCAGCGAGATTTCGTGCCTGGTGTACACTAGTTAGACGTGTCCATTGTATAAGTGGGCAGGAGGCCAGCTGCATGTCAAACACATGGTTATTATTACCTTCAAAATTACAGTGTTAAGCATCAACCCCGTCTCCCTCCGCCCCTCAGGGCTTGCTGAATCTCCTTTGTTTCTCATTGGGCTGGCGTTACGACTATTTGCGGCTGAGCCGTTATTCAAGCGTGATGATGATTTCAACCGTTGTGGAATGATGTTAACCATATTCAAGAGGCGTGACAGTCGGGGGGCCGGCTACGTTCGAGGAGGATGGAATGGGTGTTCCGTCGTCTCTCGAGGGTGCAAGTGCTGTAGTAGTAGTATGATGGCTTCGTCGGAAGTGGCGTGCAGGGATAGCTCCAGGGAGAGACGGTCTTGACGTCAAGGTGGGGGAAGCTTCGGGTTTGCGGTATTAATCTCGAAACCGACGGTGAGGAGGCTAGACAGGTGATGCTCTCAAGAGTCTTGGTTCGTATGTGATAGCTAGGGTGGAAAGGAGGACGATTCTTGATTCTACTGCATGATATCTGTTGCTGTCAGTGACGGGCGTTCTGATGTGGCCTTGAGGCGTGGGCAGGGGATGACGGCTTGAGGCCCTGCTTACCTGATGGCTTCGAATTGTGTGTCTTCAGCAGCAGGTCGTGGCACAGACCAAAGGAAGCAGTGGAGCAATAGATTGGGCAATTTCAAGACATCTATCTGACCTGTTTTAGGCAAAGACAGAGCGAGATAGGACGGTTCTGGGTCGGGGGGTGGGTGCAGGCTGGGGGCTGCGTCTGCGTCTGCGTCTGCGTGTGCATCCGCATCTGCGTCAAATCTGGCTGCCGCTGACTCCGACCATCAAGGCGTGTAGGGCTTGAATGTTTCAATTGCCTCAAGGTCTCGCCATGGCAGTGCGAGAAGGAAGGACGGGTTGCAGGAGAGGGAGGGTGGATTAGATGACGGAGAGGAACGCACAGGGCCGAGGAGTGGGTTTGGAGGATACAAGCACAGGCACAGGCACAGGCACACACAGTCAGAAGGGAAGGAGGTGGCTCTGGGAACGGAGACCAGAGCTGAGGGACGGATGGTGTACGCCAAGACTCGAGCAGGACAACAACGTCACACTTGCCGTTTGCACAGCACCAGTACCTACATGAAGCAGCCAGGACCTGCCAGGTTGGACGGAGCTACCGTGGCATAGCGGCTGCTTGGCCCTGGACGCCGGCCAACCCCTCTCAGCTCTCTGTGCCCCCCTTTGGTAGCTGTTACCCCCTCACGGTCGGGACAAAAAAGAGCGCACTCACAAACTTCCCCGCACCACCCACACCCACCCACACCCACCCAACTTCTCTCTCCCTCCATTACAACCACCAACTTTACTCCTTTTTATCTTTATAACAGATTTTTTTAACGCCATAAAAGCTAAACCTTATAATACTCTAAAAAAAAACTAATTAATTAGTATAATCTAATTTGCAAATTTATTACCTATATATTATTTTAAAAGCAATATTTTTAAATAATTTGGATTTAGTAAAAGCGCTAGTTAGTATACCCTTTATAAGGGTTACCCTAATTATTATACCTTTAACTATGCTTTTAAGGAAACTTAAGGTTAAAAAAAGGCCTTTTTTAATAAAAACTTTACTATTTTTAAGAGGTTTATTAAAATAAAAGGCTTTAATACTTATATAATACTATAAGCAGCTATACTAGCTATTGCTAGCTTAAACCTTAATTTATTACTTTTTAAAAAAATAGTCTAAAAAGCTATAAAGTTTTATAACTTTTGCTTTTATATTACTTATTAAAAGCAATAGATATTACTAAATTTAAGTATTAAATAAAAAAAGTATTATTACTAAATATTTAAAAAATATTTTTATAGTAAAAATTAGTATTATATATATTTTTTTAATAAAATATATTTTAGCTATAATTCCTAAAAATATATATATATTTATAAATAACTATAGAAAAGATTTTATTTAAATTATTTAATTAAAAAAAAATAATTAAAAAAAAAGTTAATATTAAATAAAAGCACTTTTATATATAAATAGTAGTTAGCTATAATAGGTTTTATAATAGCTTTTACTAATATAAAGTTTTTTTTAATATAAATAGGAAAATAAACTTTTAAACTTATTATAATAAAATTCTTTAGCTTATTATAAATGCTTAAATTACTTATAATAATTGCTTTACTTTAAAAAAAATAATAACTTTAATTATAAAGGAAGGTAAAGAAATAATATTATTACGCGCTAAAAAGAGAATAATAGTTTTATAAATATCTTTAATTACTTTTAATTACTAAACCTTATTGCTAGCCTTATAGAAAAAGTATAGTATAGGTTAAAGAAGTATATTTAGCAGTAACTTTATTAGGATAAAAAAATGCTTAAATTTATAGCCTAAAAGGGCTTTAATACTATAAAAAATAAAACTATAAATAAATAGATTAATAAAATTTCTTAAATTTTATTAAATTATATAAAATTAAAGGGTGTAATAACTGGTTATTAATTTTGTATAGGGCTATAGTATATTTATAATAAAGGGGTATTGGCAATAGGTAGTGTGGGTAAATTACTGAGTGCGCTCTTTTTTGTCCCGACCGTGCCCCTTTTCGAGGGCGGCTGTTAGTGTCATCAGATTACGGGCCACCTGAGAGGTCCCCAATCCTGCCGAGGCACTTGAAACCCGCACCTTGCCAGTGCTTGCACTCTATTTGTGGCCCACACTCGGCGATCGATCCAAGATCTTCGACCAGGAGTGCTAACACAGAATAGTCAGGGGACGGTATCGCTACACCGACGGGAACCCGGCGCCATGGTTTGTCTATGGTTGCATTGACGTACATTTGTGTGTGCTGTAAACGTATACGACAACACCAGCAGAACAGCCAGTTCTATGTTCTCACGAGGCCCAGCCGTCCTGGTGAAGGCTCCCCGTTGTCACCAACGCGCATTCACCGAGAAATGGTTTGCTCTGTTGGAGTGTTGATCCTCCAACGGCCAAAAGGCAATTTGTACAAACTAGGTAGGAAGATCACGACAGGCGGCCAATTTGGCGAAGAACGGGGGATTCAGTCTGGCCCCCGTCCAGGCCAGGCCGGGCCAACTGATTGCGTGCATTTATTTACGTTGCAGCAGAAGTTCCCCCCGAAATGGTTGTCACTCTGCGCACCCTATGTACACGCACAGGCTCGCAGTCACAGCAACAAACTTCCAACTTATCAGAATTGTAATAAGTTGCTCCTGCTCGCAAACAACGGCTTCATCTGAATTGCATGCCCACCCCGCTGACGAGAAGATTCCTCTCTGAATCGCCAAGAGCCAGAGGACAGCTGCCCCAGTGTGGCTGAATGACGCACGACACCCTCCACAGCCCCAGGCCGTGCCATATCTGGCCTTATTGGCACTCGTGCAGGGCACAACGTTCGCCATATCCTGCTCTGGGAATCTGTGAGAGACCATGGCTGCACTGTGTGGTGTGTCCCAGGCTGAAGCTTCAGAAATTCAGCCCTGTCTCTTCGGTTCCGATTGAGTTTGGCAACAGCTCGTAATTTCTCAGCTGCCTCACAGGCTGCCAAGCGCCCAGGTTGGAGCTGTCAGGCTGGTCCCGTCTTCCCGCTCAACTCGTGCAGCTTATGACAAGTCTTCGGCAGTCAAGTTCCGAGCTGTCGAGCTATCACATCCTCCCTCTGTCTGTCTGTTGGCAACGCCGTCGGGAAGCAACATCAATGATACCCAACATCCTGATTGAACCCTTAGTGCAGAATTGTGCCACCCCTCACTTAGCCACCTTGCCCAAGCCGTACAAACCGTTCTCTTTCTCTGAAACCATACATCGTCCTGTCTAATACCGCTGTCTTAGATTCGAGACAGCTGATTCAATGCTGTGTCGGGCTCACCTTGCTTCTCCGATGCAGCCACTCGATCCCTGTCCTCCAGCCACGCCGTCTTCGACGCCACCCCCTGAGTTCAACGACGATGAAGGCATCATAGGTTGCACACACACTCGGTGATTGACGACTGTGACTCGTTACAAACTCTGCAACTATCGTGTTCGAGTGATGCAGCGTAGCCATGGCGCTTTTAACTATCCATCGTGGCGGGTTACGCTGGGCGTCAGCAGTCGCATGGTCTGAACCTCTTTAGCATGCAGCGCCCCGCTCAATTTGGCAGAGATAGGGTCATGTCTCTGCTCACTTAACTCTGCTGCAATGAAAGACCTCAGGCACCCTAGGCCTGGACCGCTTATGGTCGTCGAATCGTGAGTTCATCCGACTCAAAACAATTGAGACCTACCCGTGGGTGGACATTCTACCGTGTGCCATGCATCAGTCCTACATGGTGTGGGAACAGTGGAGACAATTGTATTGAGGCACTCTCCTCACAGTTGTGGAGATCAGTGGATTGCGTTTAGGTGCAAGTATACACAAGTGCATTCATAATTTCTCGTTGCAATCACTCCAAATTGTGGGCAAACTGTACCTTGCCCAAAATTCTGATCTCAAAGCCAATCAATGTCGAAAGCAACATTCTCGGCGTAATTTTCCTCCTTCGTCCCTCAACGAACCATATTTTCCGAAATACCACACGGGAAGGAGTCCGACTCATGAGCGAGCACCCGTCGCGGTTTCGGAAAGGCCGACGCAAGGAGAGCAGGGATAGCACCAGGGGTGTTAATGAATGGAATCCCGCTGCGATCTTGTGATCACTACTCAACCTTCATCACGGCTCTCGCGGGAAAGTCCATGGCCTGCCGGCCGGCCTTTCTTGTACACCAACTTCTGATGATTGGTACTAATTGGCGCAACCCGATGACGGCGTTTGCTGTGGCCCTTCCTTCTGTGCCTGTTCATATGTAGGTGCTTTTGAGGCTGTCTTTCGAGCCTGATAAACTAGCTTCTGGACAAAGAGGACCTGGGATGTCTTTTGTACATGTGTTCCGTGCAAGTCCATGTTTGCCTCGCCCGGCGAGGAGGCGATGTCGGACAAATGTTTCTCGAATGCGGATCTTGTTTGCCGGAAAAGAAGAACTAATTTCTCGCTTGTGCACAATTCAAGCCTCTGTTTCTTTCAGTGTTGTTTGTCTTGGTACACCAATATTAGCTCTGAAGTTGGTTGTGCCAATGGAGCAACATCACAGTGTCTGGGAGGATGAAGAGAGGTAGCTCTGCAATGCCAATGACTGTGAGAAATAAAAGGCTGGGCAGTGAGGTTCGTATTTGAAAATGATGAAACTGGTTCGAGATTAACACATGTGGTCATGAGGCGTATCGATTGCTTTCCGGTGTAGATTGTGAATAATGCCGGGGAAGTCATCAAATTGTGCACTATGTGCTTCGAATACCCACCATCCCTGGATCTCTTACAGCTGACATCTGTGACTGTGGTGGATCAATGTGAGAAGATAACCAAAACAAATGGAGAAACTCTATTTTATGCATCCTTTATAGTTTATCCTTTACGAACGTGTCCACCTCTTTAGGTAGGAGCCGTACATCTTTTCACCACGTCATGGAGCTTCATCTCAGATCAAATTCAATACGGACCGTGATGTCTTGTAGTGAGTTTCACGAGCACTTCAAGCGACGTATAAGTCACAACACGACTCAAATCCCAAAGCAAAGTATAGAGGAATTGAGCAGTCTCTTATTAGTCGTTTGTGATGATGTAATTCGACCGACCACAAATGAAAGTGCAGCTAATAGAACATGTGCCTAGGCAAGTCCGGAGCCAATGGGAAGAGCATTGCATCGTTGCAATGATCCTTCAACATTGGCCATATGTAATCATAACAGTGTCAGGACTTGTCAGGCCTGGTAGCTTGATTGGTCTCAAATGCAGGTGAACGCTCCTTATGCATATAGTGAGTTACATTCTACAGGCCTGGTACCCACGTCGTAATACTGAAACCGCAGAGACTTATACACAGCCCATGCATATCTGTAAGCTCACCTTTCCCACCCCTGACGCAGGTCACCTGAGTTTTGGAACCGTCCTACTTAGGTAGATCTACCCCATCATGGCCCACTTGGCCCTATATACTTGGATCCATAATACGTGCCGGAGAGACTCTGAAAAAGAGTCACATGGCCCAGATTTGATTGGCTTGGCTTGAGCTCAGCTTGGATCCTGTCAGCGGAATCGAATTAAGAGTACCTGTGGCATGTGAAGACAACGTGCACTCGATTTGATGGTGGTTATCCTGATACTGACTTATGCGCGCCAATTTATCACTACTTCACCCATTGCAACCGAGTTAGAATTTAGAATTACTCAAGTCTGTTCATTACTGCACCATGACTTTGGTCTAGAGTGTCTAGACTCATTCAGCATTGGCGAAATGGCTGCATTTACTTGAACAATACGAGCCGTACGAACTGCCATATCAAAGTTTGTGTGCATTCCAGGATAAACTTATCAGGTAGCGAGTTTATCACTATCGGTGTCCGACGATTGAGGGCGCTGTGAAGTAGTAGCGAAGCCTGGTTATCGGACCAAGGTGAATGGAGTAAATTTAAAATATGTGTACAAGGAAAGATCTTGTGTTTCACATGAAAATGAGGTGCCCATGCTCGGGTGGCTCACATACCCTGTACGCAGTCTCCACAGCGCCGAATTTCCAGTCTTTACCGGCTTTTATTACTCTAAGTTCATTGTACGTAATAGTGACCTCGAAACAATTCTTGTGACTCTTGAGAGACTTCTTAGCCCGGAGTTATGCAACGCTCAAAGATCAAGGATCAGATAATCCCCTGCATTCTGAGCCTATCTTGCAGATCTTACAGGGTAGCTCTTGAGGTTTATCTATATTACATGATAAGGTTGACGCCAACGATGAGATATCATAAAGCTTGACCACAAGAGGCAAATCTGCTTCCCATTTGATGCAGCTCAAGTGAAAGTATCAGTTCCATGGAAAGGGGTTATGGCACGTGGCGGCCCCGGTTTTTGTCCCGAGGGGACGGTCCGCCCCAGGGCTCAAATTCAGACCCAGAAATTACTGATCACAGCTAGCAACAGGAGATTTGCGAACCTCCATGCTGATCAACAATTCCCTAAGCGATTGGCTGGAATCAATCACCGCGTACCCGGCCCTGCGAGGATCAGGGGCTAATTCCGAGTGTGCAGAAATGATTCCTTCGCCTTCTGTTTCTTTTCTGCAACTAGATGCTGCAGTAGCATTCCCCCTGCCTGTCACCACTACTCATGCGCCAACCCAGTCAGCGTCTGTTACAGCCCCCGAGTATCGGCGAGATCGATTTACGATGGCGAACAAGATGTCTATGGTCAAGATAGCCGTCCTCGGCGAGGGCGGCGTTGGCAAGACCTCCCTAACGATCCAAGTAAGTTCCAACGCGCCCGAGCTTCCCCTAGCGTAGACCACTTGCTCATGAATCTAGATGTCGCATCAACATTTTGTTGAAGAGTACGACCCCACACTGGAGGACTCGTATAGACGACAATGCGTTGTCGACGACGAAGCATGCCTGTTGGAGATTCTCGACACAGCCGGGCAGGAGGAGTTCACTGCGCTACGGGAACAGTGGATACGCGACAGCGAGCTCTTCCTCGTCGTCTACAGTGTGACATATCGCCCAAGTTTCGAAGCCGTACAAAAAGTGTTCGAACAAGTCTGCACCACGAAGGAGAAGTATGCAGCGCCCGGAGGCTTCGACCCCAGTCTCATCATCCTGGTCGGAAACAAGTCAGATCTGGATCACAAGAGGACGGTGGGCATCAGCGAAGGAAGGATGCTGGCCAAGAAGCTGGGATGCTCCTTCATCGAGACCAGCGCAAAGACCCGTACCAACGTCGAAGAGGCCTTTTACAAGGTTATACGCGCCGACCGCAAGCGGAAACGAGACATGAGAGAGCGAGAAGACAGCCGCCACAAGTCCGAGTTAGCAGACCTGGGTGTCGAACAACCGAAAACGAAGAAAAGCTTTTTCAAGAGGTTTTTAAGTCGCAGCTGAGAGTCTTGATTCCCTAACAGCATTGAAGGCGTTTGGGTCAGGGATACTAATGTGAGGTAATTAATATTCTTGGAATTTGTGAGGGTTCGGCCGGCGGTAGCCTTGGCTCTCAAAAATTTCATTCTCTCTGCCAATTCGTCGTTGGAGAACGCGAGCGACAGATACTTGTACTTAATTGACCTTCTCTGAAGGCTATAACAGGGGCGAAGAGACCAGGGCAGTCCTTCAGGCCCCTGTCTTCGTTATCAGACCTGTATTAACATCTAATGCTGGACAGAAGTGGCGCTTCTAATACCTGTATAATGATGCTGCTTTGCAGAAGCTATTTATAGTGATAGCTACGGAATATATGCCCATGCACAATTAATTGGTGTCCTGAACGGGACCGGTCGCCGTTCGATGTGCGGTGCCGGTATAGTCAGCCGTTTTCGCGGCGCTAGTTCCATTGTGGTCAACGCGGAGTTTGAGGTCCGGTTCGCCGTCTTCTGTGTGACGTAGGATGCATGTTGCTCCTCTCATAGACGGAACCTTCTTTAGGCTGTTATTAAGGCTGATTTGCGCATCACCTGGACACTTGTTTGTGCTGTCTTCGGAGAATTCGTGGACCATAAATGAGCTTGCACGAGCGTGAATCCGTGGAAATCCAGAGCTCGCGGTATCCAAACCCATCGTTGAAACGCCAAGCCGACATGTCGGAGAAGAAGAACATCGTCATCACTGGGGGCGCTCGGGGAATTGGACGTGCAGTTGCTCGCCATCTAGCGCTTTCGGGCCACAGACTATTTCTGATTGACATCGACACCGAGGAGCTCAAGTATACGGCGAATTCGCATATCCCAGGAGCCTTGACCGGCCAGGTCAATGGCACGAAGGCTCCGAGCAGTATCGGCCACGGGGTTTGCGACCTGCGAGACCCTATAGCGATCAGAGATACAATCAAGGCCGCGGCTGACTTCTTCGGTGGGCGAATTGATGTGCTGATCAACAATGCCGGCATAGCGAGGGCCCAGTTTAGCGAGGGGCGAAGCATGGCAGACCCCTCGGTATTGGACGAATGGCGAGCTTACATGGAGACCAACCTTACTGCACCCTTCGTCGTCAGTCAGGCCTGCATACCTTACATGAAAATCGAAGACGATGGGCGGAAGGAACATGTGGATTCTGTCATCAGACCGGAGGCGGCCCTTGCAGCCTCGGACATTCTCACAGAAAAGGACCGAAGCGTCTTCTCGGGACGCGCAAAGCAAGGCCCCTGTATCATCAACATCGCCTCGTTCCGTGCTCGCCAATCCGAGCCCAATTGCGAAGGATATGCGGCATCAAAGGGCGGGGTTCTGGGCCTCACACAGGCCATGGCCATCTCGGGCGCTCAGTGGGGGATCAGGTGCAACGCTATTCTCCCAGGTTACATCTTCGTCAAGCACGAATGCAAGGAGGCCGACGAGATTGAACGCCATGAGTGGTGGGCAAAGGGAGAGCCCGCTGAGCGGCACAGGAAGCATCCAACTGGTCGTATTGGATATGCTGATGATATCGCAGAGACCATCGAGTGGCTCATGGGCGCGGGGTTCGTGACAGGGCAGGAAATTGTCGTTGATGGAGGCATGAGTAAGATCAAGCATGTGGATGCTTGACTGGATTTCCTCGCCTTTCACGGGCATAACGAGCTCCCTTTACGGCTTTCTATCGATGGCGTTTCAAACGTGCTATATCCTCCTCTCCTCGTGTGCTGTCGCATTTCGACGATAGACGTGCCTATCTCACATTCAAAATGAATACTCTGTGAGGACAGGTGTCGATCTCTTGTGAACTCTTCTCGAAAATCGAGCCAAAGCTCCAGTCCAAGTAATCAGGAATCAGAATTCTTCACGTGGTCCTTTTGGTCTTTCCTCGGCAAAAAAAGCAGGGCTCCTTTGTTCAACATGATTAAATCCTAACAGATTTGTTTTAGCGAGCCACCCACCATTTTCCAGAAACCAACCCCTATGCTACGAAAGAACATGGCCACAACTGCACATACTTGCCTCACAAAACACCCGCCGTCACTGTGTTAACCGGAGAACCAGGCGTTAGCAGCTCTGCCCGAGTAGAAAATGTCAACAACGATACTGTTTTTCACATCCATCGTTCTAGTACTTTGTAAAGGCCGCCAGATATACACAAAACGGAACCCGACGGAAGCTATTGCTGGGATGGGAAAAATATGCATTCCTAAGTCCCAACGGACCACAATCACAGATGCTAATGATGCCCAGGGCAATCGTGGATAGGATGCATAGATCCATGGGACCGACAAAGAAGCTCGCCACAAGCACATCAAGTCGGCGGGCTGGGATCACGACAGCAGAAAGAATGATGGGCTGGGAACCTGAGTATTCCCGTTGAATCACATAAGTTGTGCCAGGCCGAATTACATACCAGACACTTTGCAGCCAAGAAATGAGGACTTTTCCTATTGCGTATAACAGGCAGAATGGTTCCTAACGCCTCTCATCTTCTCAAACCTTTCCGCTTTACTGAGCAAACACAATTACACACGCCATAAGAGAGGAATAATGACTTGAGAATAATGTATACTTGCATTAAGTGTAGTTGAGTGGGGATGTTAGGGTGGAGTACAATGGGCACAAGTGCCAGAAGGAGGGTGAAGCTGTCCATGGTTCTCGCTGATTATCCCGCTACCATCGTTTCGTCGCAGGTCCTCGCTGCCGCAGTGATCCAGGCTACCTAAATATAATACATCTTGTTTCTCACCCTTGGGTGAGGAGTGATAAGCTCCTGGAGACGGGCTCGGCGCTGGTCATCGTCGTCGTCGTCCAGATCGCTCATCAGGGATGCAGTGTCTGAATGTGCCGAAGGGTCGAAAAGGAAGCTCAGGTATCGGCAGGCGCGCTCACAGACAATGTCTGCGTAGTACGCTGGAGTGGCATATGATACAGCCCTTGTGCATCGTCCAAAGATATAATGCAAACTCTGCATGACGTCCTCAAACGTGTCAGCGACGTTGTGGCCCTGAGCAAGAGGAGCAGCGCGGAATATCTCGTCGTGTACGACGAAATAATGTGCAGGTCGCGCTGCTCCCTGGATAGCTGAGTGCGCCTCTGTGGATCCGAGTCAGTAATTACTTTATTTATGACCAGAAATCAAGTCCAGACGTACGTAGCCAAAGGTCCCACTGTTGAGCCTCGGTAATTCCACGATCAGTCACAGTACCAGCCAGACAATTACCGTTACCGTCAGCTGTTTCTGTTGTCGTCGGCCCGAAACGTGTATTATGGCGTTTGGTTACTATGACGATGGTGATTCGCGGGCGTTGCTGGCCCACAGGATCATACATCTCCTCACAGGCCTTTCGGAGAAGAGAAAGCTCCTGATCTTTGACAATTTGATACTGGCCTTCGGATACACCATCGCGGCAGATCAGTATGTTTTGAGGAAATGTGGTGTGTCTGCCCTCAGTCTTCCAGAGATTCAAATGATCTTTCAGCATTTGACCGTCAATCATCTCTTGCCTTCGCTTTTTCTGGATGCAGGACGTTGCTAGGAACTGGCCCAGCTTTCCATTGCTGTTGGAGACCATAGCAGCAACACTGGGGGCCAAACTGCTTGCGCCTGGGCCCGGCTGTGCAACGTCAATGCCCACAATCATGGTATTTCCTTGAGAGATGAAATGAAGTCGAGATGGATCCACGAGCTGATTATCGCCTCCAGCTTTGAGGTTGAACTTCAGCGATACGTTTCCGAAATACTGTGGCCGCCCGTTGGACTCCAAGAGCATTCTTCCAACGGAACAGATGTTGATAATCCCGAGCTTGACGTCACAGAGGTGTTTGATCCGGTTATATAGAGGCGTGTTCTTGGCTGGCAAAATTATATAGATCATTTGCAGTCTCTCTGAGGCCGGTTTGAGCACATCTTCCAGCGAGGGGTCTTCGACATTGTTCAGATGGAGTTGGCGGCTGCCTGGGCTGGGTTCGCCAATGTTGATACCTGCTCTTCGCAGCGATTCCCGAAATGCTTCCAAGGCGGTTTGGAGAGGATTTATGGATTGAAAAGGAGGGGGGTATCCGTTCATGGTAATGTACAACCAGCCCCATGTGTTCGCGGGTATCGTCGCAGGTCGACTCATTGCTAGACCACGAAGATTCCAGGAAGCCGACGGACTTACTGTAGCGGATCTATTGTTTCCATATGCAATTCGAGGTTTTGTCAGGATACGGCCTGGGGTACTGGTAAAAGTCGGATCAACTTTGATGTGGAAAGCATCCTATGTTGAGCGATTTTGATTAGTATATTGGCATCAGCTCTGTGTGTAATAGTCTGAGAATCTTACAAGCAAAAGGTTGGTCTGTTGCGACATTCCAACCATTGGAAGTCCATCCCGAGCAATGGATAGGGCATTGTGAGCCGGAGCTGGTCTTCGAACGGAATGACTGATCATTCTGCTCGTTTGATCCGCGTTGAGCTTGAACCCAACTTTCTGTCCAACCTCGACCTCGCACACTTCTGGCGGAAGGTAGACAGGTTTCTCTTTTGACCCGACATTCACCACAGGTAGGTTCGCTCTGTTCAGTCTAATACCGTAGGCTTAGAGGCGAACATGTTAGTCACGCCACATTTCGTTTAAACAGAGATTAGATCTTACATCTGTAGAAAAACTCCGATACGGTAACATATCGCCCCTGATCATGGAACCAAAACTGTACCTGATTCGGGCCGGATCCAAACTGCGGAACTTTTGGTCGTCGCTGATTTGATCCCCGTCCATCAGTTGGGGAAGCCAGAGCTTGTATTGTTCTGGCGCCAGGAATTTTCCCGTGTGTGACTTTGACTCTGACTCTCTTGAGAAACTGCTCCAGTCGATACATGTCCTGGAACCCGTGTGCTACTATAAGGTCGACTAAAGGGCCTGGCTGGTAAAAAGCACTGCAGCATACGTTTACGTTGACTAGGAGCCGACCTGTGGCGACTCGAACGCTAGAGAAGAACCCTCGTATAGCCAGCAGGCCACCGCCCAGGTCTTTACCCACCGCGTCCTTTGGGAAAGTCTTGCTACCGAGGGTCACCAGATTGCCTTGAGACTTGGCATAGTGGTTCAAAAAGACGTTGAAAGCTTGTATCATGACATGCTTTTCGTCAAAAGCAGTAGTCAGGTGGGTCGATGTTAGGTACTCGATGAGCTGTCGAACCCTGAGAATTTTGGTAAGTTGGAGGCGAAGATGATAAACCGGTGCGTTCTCTTGAGACACCTCCTCAAACTCGGACCGGTACACAATGTTGCAAGCGGTATAACCATCATCGAGAGGCACACGCGAGAACAGCAATGACTTGAAGTCACTGAAAATACTGTCCGAACGTTCAATCGACTCGGGCCGCTGCAGAAACAACTCGATAATGCGAGTTAGCTTTCTGCCGACAGCTGTAGGCTGCACCTCGATCTTGTACTGGTGCATTACGAGGCGTGGATCAACCAGTAATTCGAAGTAGTTGCTCCAAATGAGAATAGGCTTGCCCCTCTTGCCGAAATCCGGTCGATTAGGAAACGGCTCTGTTGACAGAGACAGACTGCTGAGATTTGGGGTTTTTTGGTACTCATCTTCCCAAGTCAGGACCTTGCGGTTTAATGTAGACTTGGGATCTTTCGGGTGTCTGATGGCCCACAAAATGATTAGCCAACGATAATTTTTCCAAAGCACTGCATAGTATCTTATACCTGTAGAGCTGCCCCTCTATTGTTCCTACAGGCAGCGGTCTCCGAGCACTCGTTTGTGATCCCGAGGATCCTGCATTAGGCTCCCCGTGGCTTCTTTGGGAACCGTCAAAGCCTCTCTGGGATCCCACACCACTTCTTTGCGACCCACGATGGCTTGACATAGTCACTGGATCGTAGATGCGCAACTCGTTCTGGCAGGCGTGCTGTTCTCCGTGTAACACTGATTTGTTTTGATGCTTCTTAATTGAGTGGTTCGGCACTGTAGGCTGTTGGCGAGAATTGAGCCTGTAATAATCAGGTCTGATGGGGCTTCTGACAGATGACTTATGGTGTGAGATATTGGTAAATGGGATGAGGGATCAAGTGGACGAAGTGGACAAATGTCTTGAAGGGGGAAAAGAAATTCCCGGCAAGGTGTTTGTTCTTGTACGAGGGAAGGTGCTTTAAGGGTACCTGGGTACTTCAGGCCGCAGTCTTTCGTATCACTCACGGAAGTGGCCACCTGTCGCGAACTGCAGGTGGAAATAGATGGGAAAGATGGTAAAAGAGTGGTGAAAGCGCAACGGGAAGGAAGTGTGTGCGATTCTGGGGTTGGAATGATGCTGAAGATGACGGAAGCAGACGGAAATCTGAGCTAAGCGACTCACGGTATAAGTTCCAAGACTGAATTTTTACGGATGGAAGCCGGCTGGTGTAAAGACTCGGCAGCATAGGTGGCCGTAGAAAACCTTCAAGAGCCAGTGGCTTTTGGGGCCTCTTGATCGTGATGAAGCTTCTCGATTCCGTTACTGTCGGGAGGGCAGCTGGCCACTCGAGCAGTCTTGTTGGGTCTGTTCTATCAGACACGAATGGCTGCAGTGGTTTCAACCTTAAGGAGGGATAAAGGGTTGCGCCGATAGATGAGGAAAGGAGGAGGTAAGACCGGGTCGATTATTGTGGGTAGTCGGGACCGGGGAAAAGCACCCATGTAGACAATCGACGAGAGGTCCAAGAGGGGTGTATTAGCCACTCAAGTAAGTCAGGGTCACTCGAAAGGGGAGCAGTAGAAGGTGGCTGCCTCGTTGTGGGAAACAAAGTGTTGAGAAATGAAACAATTCGAAGCCTTGCGAGGCAGGAGCGAGGTATCACTCAGGCAGGCCGAGATGTCCACCTGAGGCGTCTTCATTCAATTTATTTACGGTCCAATTGTCAGGTAGGGCTCCGGTACTGTACCCATGCAAGAGAAAATACAGTCACGAAAGCATGGTGCTCTGTGTGTGTTTCTTGGGGTGAAGACATATATTCACGGTCTGAAGTTTAGATCACGGCCAAACTCGTCATAGCCAGCACCATCTGATGCGTTATGCAGTACAGTACACGTCAAGTGCCCACTCATCATCTCATAGTGATTACTTCCACCAACTGAATCAAGTATTTTTTTATTGCTCATCCACTACGCCTTCCAATTATGTTCCATGTGCCTTAGCCCGGCAAAGGTGTCTTGATCAAACCTGTTCGCGACGCACATGGGCTGGTAAAGACTTGGTTCTCGGCTTGATCAGGCGACTGAGGTCTCCGACTGGTAGCTGAAAAGGGAAGTCGACAGACTCGAGAGCAATGGCGAAGAGTATCCACCAGCCTGCTGCGCAGCAAACGAAAGCACTGGCTCCACCCGCCTAGTACTTGTTAATGATCGCAAATTCATCGGGACCAAGTGCGCAACCGGGAGTCGACTTACGATGACAAAGTCGTTGGCCGTCGACGCATTCCCTGCAAAGTCTTCGGCGAGCAGCCAATACGCCACAGTCAGGAAGGAGAAGGTAAGAACCAAGGTCAGGAAGATGATGACGAAGCAGACATTCGTGCGGAATGCGCAGACGAAGAATATGAACGACACAACTCCCATGAAGACCAGGAAGAAGCCTACTCGGAAGCGAAGATGTGTCAGCACTGTTAACACGAGCACTTCGACAGCACCGGAGCTGGCGATAACAGTTGTAGTGGCGACTTACCGAACCCGGCATTGAATGCCTGTGTTGTCAGACCAACGGAGGCATCCTGTCCTGCTGGAGCGAACGACGAGAACGCCGCGAACGATGGATTGAGGGTGCCACCGAGTGACAAAAAGAATGCGCCAAATGTACAGAAGACGACGGAGGGGAAAGTGTTCCCAAGCACGAACTCCAGGAGCCCAGTGGTGAATTGGAGCAGGCCTCCGAAGAAGAAGAACTGTGGGCTGGAGGGAGTCAACATCACCAACTCTAGGACTCGTTCCGAATTAGCGGATACTTACATGCCGTTCGCGCCACTGCTAGCAGCGCCTCGCCATTGCATCAGATCGCATGATAAGGGCGTCAAGGCGAGCAAGAATCCTACAAGACCACTGTTGCATGGAGGGGATTAGCCCTACATAATATTTGGGAAGATGAGGAAGTGCTGTATTAGAGAATCATAGCAACTCACATAGGAGTCGGGTTTCCAAACGTTCTTCTCAGTTGACCGCTGACGTCCGTTTTGGGAGCAAGATACAGCTTCTCGAAGAGATCCGCAGAAATAGAGACGGCACCATTCGTCCTAGCCTCCTGAAGTGTGGCGCCTATATCATCGTGATAATCGAAACGAGACTCTTCGATGTCAGGCTTTGAAGTTTTGCGGCCAGGCATGGTTGTGTAAGTCCGAGACAAGATTTGGCTTGGGCGTGCTAGGTAAAGGCTTCATGCAAAATGGCAACATCGATCTGGCCTGGGGCGAAGGAAAGGGCGTACTCATGAGTTCCAAGCATCTATATGAACGAAGGCCCAGGAGCTCGGGATTCGGAAACTTCTAGGCTGGAGACCACCACCCTACCTCATGTCAGTCACGATCGGGTATCATTGCACACAGGAGGATCCAGGGCTCTCGTCATGCTCCTCCACACATTGAGTTCAACCAGAGGCGAAGCTTGCATGAGCTGGCTCGCATTGGGACATGTCATTGGTCACCTGCCAGCGGAGAGCCGTGAAAGCGAGTGTTCCGCGAGTCCGGTCAGGATCTTGCCCCCTTCACCGGTTGGCTCCTGGTTCTCTGCAGCAGTCAAAGTAGGCCAAGATAACTCTAACTACCGAATAAGCCCCCTCTTGAAACCGCTCCCAATGTCTACTAGTCGATGGCGGTTGAGAGCACAGGATGCGGGGATCGCTTTCAGGGGTTGGTCCTGAGCTCAGTCAGCTTGCTCCACAAGAGCAGCCGGACAAAAGCAGTCTGTTGCAATTGCTCCAGAATATACCAGAAAACTGCTCATCAATGTACGTATCAGGGCTTGTAAGATATCCAGTGATTTCTGCCAATCCACACAAATGTGAAGCTCTAAGCCAATCTGTCACACAAGCTCCTGAGACAATATGAAGTTGGAGAGACCATTTAGAACTGACGAAAACATGACTCCTGCTGCTGCATCTAGAGCATAGTTGACAAGGGCTTGCCAAGGCATTGGTCTGGGGTCAGAATCTGGGGTAAGTTCGTCCAATACAGGGTTAGTCCTCGGAGACATGGCACGCATGGCAATGGGGATCGGCCGGGCGGATAGGCCGGTTGTGGCTTTTTTAGTCGTACGATGACGGCGGGCTATAGCCTACTCTAGTGTCAAAATCTCAACGTTTTCGGGGCTAAGCAACCTGCGGATCCGCAGGTTCAATTTTCATCCCGACGCACGAGGCCATCGTTGGGTTCACGGACATTTCCGGGAGCCGGGGGCAGATCATTGCTTTGCTCACCGAGCTCATCCTATGCTAACCTGCTTAGCCATCTCAGTCGACTTAGAGCGTGAATATATAGACCGAAATGGATTGAACTAGTGATAATAGGTAATATTCATCTAAAAAAAATGCACAAAAAAGAAGAAGAAAAAGAAACAAAGACACGCTATCTAAACATGAACTCCCACGAATGCGTAGGGTATTTGAAATGAACCAGGCTCCTTATGCACATACCCGAGTACCAGAACGCCATTGAACAATGCACCACCTTCCCTACAACTTCTCATTGACCTGGATCAATCCAGGCGCAGCAAGCGTGGCCTTGACAACATCATCCGGCGATGAGAAGCCACTGCTTGTTGTCAGTACCGCAACAGACAAGCCCTCCATGACATTTGCTGAGAATGGGAACGATGCCTCAAGCTTGATCTTCTTGCCATCCCAGGAGACATTTGTCACTGGCTGGCTGAGAGGCAAGTTCTGTCCCGTCAGGTAAGTGATGTACAGCCCTTCACCTTGTCCACCAATGTACTTCTCGGCATCCTTCACGTTTGTCAAGTCCGCCTGAAACGCAAGCGACTGGTCTTTGGCCTCAACGTCCATTCCACCGGAGCCACTGAGGACATTCAAGGCCGGGAATATGGGGATGTTGATCTGGCTCACGTCGAAGGGGCAGCTGTCCACGAAGCCCTGCAGCACACTGAAGGCGAACGGAGCGACGGACGTGGTGAGGAAGGGCTTCTCGCTTGGCTTCTTGAAGCCCAGGAAGTTTCTGAAAAACCCATTCTGCTCGCCCTCCTGGCCGATCACGGACGCCACGCCACGGACCGGGCCGGCGTCTCCATTCTGAGCCAGCAGCTGCGAGGCGTCCTGCAGTACGCCAAGCACGAATGAGGTGAAGGTCTCGGCGAGGGCGATGGCGGAGTTGACGTCGGAGGTTGGGAACTTGTACGTGCATGGCGGAGGGGCGAAGGTGTTGAACTTTGTCAGGACGTTGTTGGCGTTGATGGCATGGAGCTCCTCTTGCTGTATAATAAGTTAGCGATGCAGATCAGCTTGGGAGGAAGGAAGGTGGACATACAGCTTTGACAGCCTCGAGTGCTGAGAGCAACTCGGCTCTCTTCTGGTGGTCATCCACCTGATACCCGGAGGCGTTGTTGGTGACGTTCTCCAAGAGCGATGAGAAGTAGGCCACTTCGAAGTTCTCGTTGAACAGAATAAGTTGGAACGCAGTAAGACTGCTACTTTCGAGTTTCGGTGGTGGAGGGCCGTTGGGCAACTGGCCACCTGCCTTTTGCTGGATAGTTGCCAGTTGATCTGGATTTGGGCTGGGAAAGCCATCGCTGGCGGGGATGTTGTAAGATCGGGGTATGGCCGGGGCAGCAATGGCTATTCCCGCCAAAGCGACCACGGAGTTTAGAATATAGGCGTAATACATCGTAAGATTGCTTTAGCTCGACACTAGATGATGGTATTGTAGATGGTTGTCGTGTAGAAGGGGAATGAAGATGTTTCATGGCCGAAAATCATCTGTAGAAACAGGACATGGGATGTCTTTTATCTACAAAACCTCGTCTTCGTTGTCATACTGAATTTGGTCTGTTGACCTTTACCTAGACATCACAGTGTCATCTCCGGAATGGCTGAACACCCTCATATTGCGGGTGGTGAGCACGGCACCTCGGGAGCAGGCCGCTCCTCAGCTCTGCCAACATGAAAATAAGCTTTTTTGGAAAGGAAGAATGACCATCCGGGGCTTCGCCCGAGGCCTTGGTCAGATGCGGGCCTGGCTGACAGAGGCGGAGCAAGTACCACTCACCTAATTGTGGTTGTGGACGGCCGCCAGAGAGCTGACATTACTAGCGAGCTTTGGTCTTGGGATCAATGAAACCCCATAGGTACACCTAAGCGCCGACGACCAACTCGGAGCGGTTTCTTACCGGATGGCTGGGTACTGTGGCTTGGCGCGGGACACTCTTCTTCCGGTCCTTAACGGCGGGTAAGCGCTAGGCGCTGAAGTCTAGGGCCACCTGCGCCTAAATCTGGCGGCGAGCATGGGACTAATACCATTTTGGGCTTTACAGCTTGCAAGGATTCCCGATTTGTTCACAGATGTTCAAATGCGTGAAGGGAGATCAACAAAGACCCGGTCGACCACAGGCGTTCATCCCAACAGATGCTGAGTTATCCCACGGGTCAATCACATAAAGCAAATTGCATAATAGCAATTGTATTCCTCACCGATTGTAGCCTTGCCTCTGGCCAAATTCATGAAACCTTGGTACCTTGCTGGTCAAAGGAATGAGAACAGCTTGCACATTTTGTCTCCTTGTTCTGCTAATGATGCTTGAAGTTTGAAGATTTCACCCTTCTTATACACATCTTGTCCCTTTGCTGTTGAGTTTCTGTTTTTTTTTCTTTCAAGGCAATTCAAAATTGAACAACCAAGGCTACAACTGCATTCAGCAAAGATTTATGTGGATATAATCAAATAGTTTGAATCATAGTCACATGCATGTACATCCTGGAGTTGCATGCCCCAGGTGACCTAGATTGCTATCACATCCTTACCAGAATATGAGTGGACAATGTGGGGAGCTGAGAACACCGTCATCTGGAGTATTTCCGTTTGTTTGTCCTGCAGTGATTCACAGTCAGGGAACCGGTGAGCACATGAGTTACATTCATGAGGGCAACCTGCATGACGTTCAACCCTTGATTGCCCAATACTATTGCTACACACAACCAAGCAGCTGCCCATTCCGAACTCAAATCTCCATCCACCCTCAAAATCGAGCTGTTACCCGCTCTACTTATCGGCCGCTATTTCGTCGGCCGCCCAGGAAAATTCCACACAGCTCATACCGAACCCAGTCACAGGACGTTATACAACAAGATGTTTCCCAGACCTCTTCTCACAGTGCTAGCCCTCATTCTTACCTCTCTTGCCTCCGCATCCGACATCGAACTCAACCCCGAAGACCGTCTCGTGGCTCGCGGTAGTCCGCCGAAGTACGTCGAGAACAAAATTTTATGGTCTAATGACGACGATGGGGACAAAGAGTTCTGCAAATCGCATGAACCTCCCCAAATTAACGAAGACGACCCTGACTGCGATCTGTCACCCACAGACTGCTTGTTCCTCAGCCTTGGATTTTGGACCGGTTTCCTCCACCCAAGGGGCACCTGGTTCCAGGTCTATCGCGAGAGGCCCCAAAGTACCTCCAACCTCACTCAGGTCGCCAGTTACAGGTCCTGCGCCGTCTCTGTCGCTTTGCTGAACGGCCCTTCCGCCTCGTAAGCCATGACCAGAGCAACAGCTTGAGTGTTGGCATCTGTGGCTAATAAGCTCCTTAGTGTCTCCATTTTGGACATCATGAGCAAATTCAGCCAAAATTCATCTGAACTGCGTTCAAGCTACGGCCAGATATGGTGTCCAGTCCTCCCGGACATCGGCAGCGCAAGTCGTATGGGGGTGGCGTGGCTAATTGGCTGCCCTAAGGCGGGTGCCCCTGTCACAATCCTTTCAGGTCTCACCAGCGGGTAGGCCAGAGTGTGGAGAGGGGGGTCGCAAGATTCGGAGCGGTATCGAGTCTGGCTGCGGTTTACGTTCATTGCTTTCGCTAGAACTTGAGATTATGCTGCAGCCCATGAATAGAGTCCAACGTGTGACGCCTTCGCTTGTGGTGACTATTTTCCCATGCTTTTCAACCCTTTTCCAATGCGCCGTGCTTCCCGTAGTATGCATAAGTATCTCCAGCACTTGATTCACTGCATCTCAAGATTATTATGTTCATTCAAGAACCAAGGCATTTCCTGTGAGTCACATTTCTGGAAGCCTGGCACAGACAGCCTCCGATTCAGGTCCTTGGTCGCCTCCCGGATGGAATCCTCAATGTCGAAAATCCAGATATGGCTCAAACGCTCACGCAGCTCCTTCGCCATCTTACCAATATCTCCTGCGACGTCTCTCGTCAGATACTCGACAAGATTTCCCGCTCTCCGGCTGCTTTGAACGTGCCACTGTGTCCGCTCGCGCCTATGCGCGTCATATACAGCAAATGCTTTCTCGAACATCTCGACCCCTTTGACTGCTGGGTTTGACAGGAGACAGGCCAACACCGCGGCATCTTCAATGCAGAGACCTGCCCCTGCTTCGTGGTGCGGGCTCGAGCCGTGCGCTGCTTCGCCGAGGAGGCATATTCGATCTTTGAAATATGAAGACAGTGTGTAGTCGCCAAGATCGAAGATGGCCCACTGCTCTCGGTGTCAGCGGCTGAGATCTACTCGTCTTTTGACAAGGCCGTCAAGCGAAATGGTCTGACCCACCCGTTCGAAATCTCCTGTGGCTAGCTTGATTATGTGCTTCACGTTTGGACCAAATGCACGAAAGTCATCCAAGGCTTCGGCTTTGGTAGTAGACAGGCATTGTTTGGTGTCGCTCGGCCAGTCTTCGCGATCGTTTGTCACGAAAGCCAAGAATCTCATGTTCTGGCCCTGGTCCACAGGAAACGTCATACAGTGTCGGTTCTTCCCTAGCTGTGGGTAGCCGATCAGCTTTCTGTCGTGCAGATTTACAGGGTAGCAGGTGGGCCTTTTGGTTCACGCACCCAGCATGTTGAGTTCATTGCCCTCTCCTCGCCCAGGACCAACGTCGCTTGTGACATGGGAACGTCCCCGCGATAGGCGTATTTGTGGGTATATGATGCCGTTGCAGCGGGATGATTCTCGCCCACTACCAAGGCTCTCGTTCGAGACTTGACACCATCACAGCCAATGATCGCGTCTGCTTCTGCCACGGAGCCGTCTTCAAACTTCATGAGCACTATTACACCATGATCAGCGTGGCCCAAGCTTGGGGACTTGGATGAAGTGAAACCATAGTGCACCAGACTCAGGGCAATATGGCCTCTCGACCTGGCACAGAATTACCAACGATTTCGGTGGTCTGCTTACTTTTACCTGAGCCAATCCTGTCATCCAATACATGCTTCAACTCCTTGTCGAATCTGACCATGTCCTTCGGTAAAAGCCTGACCAATTCGTCCAGAAAACGTGCGCAGGGAACGATATTATGACCAATATTTTCCGCACCGATGATGGAAAACAGTGGCTCGAGATGTGTCGCTGGTTGGGCCGACATGCCATCCACAAAGTCGGCCCAAACACCTTTCTTTGAGCTGGATCTATTGCGGGTTGAGACAAGGTTGAAAGCACCGAGGACACACCTGTCGATTTGCTCCATGGCGCGCATGGCATTGCGGCTGATTGGTATGCTCCCGCGGACCCCAGTCAGCTCTGAGGCAGCCTCATAAATGGTACAGTTGACTCCCCGTTTGTATAGGCCTATCGCCAAAGTAACTCCTGATATGCCGCCGCCGATGATAGCGATGTCAGGGGTTTTCGTTTGGCTCACATCGGCGGCCATGATGTTGAACCGAGATTCCGGAAGTTGAGCTCACAATGGGGTGCAGGGTCAGTTGATAACCTTCTACATGTGCCAATGGAAACTGCTTGCTATAAGCTGTGAGCTGTCTGCTGAAGCTGTGGCTACTTGGGGGCGGGAGATGTCAGTCAATGGGTGGCTCGATGCTGCTGGTGAGTACTGAAGCTCAGCTTCATCCCTTGCTTGCGCCCCCTTGATATTTATTGATCTTGTCGCAAACATACTGGACGTTGGCAAGTGGCACGGTCAATAGTTCTCAGTCGCCTTGCGCCTCAGACCATATGCCGCCATTCAGCACTGACTTGCCAGTTCGGTTCAAAATGAGAATGACGTCATCAGATGCTCTGGGAGAGCCTGCTCCGCCCACGCCGTTCATGATGCAACAGTTTAAGTCCAGATCCGCATCGCATTTGCCGACAACCGACATCTTTGATTACTGTTGAGAACGACGTCTGTTGTTCGGAAACCCACATCACTCTGTGGATTCGATCTAGTGGGCTGTATACAAGTTGGTCAAATGACGATCTCATTATTCGTTCCCTGCGCCAGAGAGCACCCCAACCTCACGTTTGGATGAAAAATATGGAAGCGATGTGGCTTTTAACGATGGTGGCTTGATGCAAGTTAGAGAGTGGCACGCCCTGGTCCCATCACCCATTCGATCACTCGTTCGATCACTGTCCGCCACATTCACCTTTCATTGGATCTTGGTTTCTATCAGAGACAATCCAAGTGCCCAGTGCCTGCTTCTTCGCCAACGATTTAACCCAGTACAGTAGTTTTGTGTCCTGTTGAGTCACGGAATTGCAACCAGTACCCAACAGCCACATCCGGGCATCTGAAGGAATCATGTCGACGTCCGATGCATGTGTGATAAGCCAACAACTTCGGCCTCCACCTGGGCATTTTACCAAGTAGTGGGTACGAATTGCGGTCACACATCATTATCGACATGTCTCTACATTAAGAGACGTCGGAGGCCAGAGTCCTCTGAGAACAATTCAGGGTACCAACAAAAACAGCTTCTCATTAGTTGGCAATGTAGTATCAGCCAGCGCCTAAGCCAAGACTGCGTGGGACGAAGAAATGCATACTTGTTTTGGGCTTGCAGCTCTTTCATAAGTCAACCAGGACAAATTTGTTTCGTCTTGCGCAATCAGCTTTATCGCTGTGAACTTTTCCTTGTCCGGCCGGACCGTCATGCGCTAGAGCAGATCGAATGCTAAAGTAGACCTTACATGTTGGAATATTTAACCTTACATTTTGGCAGAATACAAATGCGAGTCAGTTGATACCATACATTGGTAGATTCTGACTACCTCGTGACCTACACGATGTCCAAGCCGGCACCAAATTCATGCCGTTCGATCTACTACCACCCATTTTACGCCCAGAATTTGACGGATTTTCTGGCTCTGGATAAATTGAATCTGTAGTTTCGCTAGGAGACATCACAATGTCAAAATGCAGTAATGGTTGAACAGCCTCTGGAAACGAGAATTCGATAGGAGTATTTCTGTGAGGTAAGGCAGCTTCCAATACAGTTCAAACCATTCACTTTGAATCATTTGGGGCACATCTTGCAGTTTGCAGGAAGGCTTAGCAAATTGTGCGGTAAATGCCTAAGTAGTGACAAGCTACTGAAATCGGGCGAGTCGGTCAACAGTGATAAAACCGCTTGAGCCTTGTTAGACGCAGACATAGAGGTTCTTCCAAAGGCATCAATTGAGAGTAATTGGACGAGTCTTACGTCTTTCACAGAAGATTTCCCATCTCATTCTTTTTTTCCATTTCCTGGTGACTTGCCAGCAGTCTTCCAAAAGAGAAACACCTTGTCGAGCAACATCGTCTTGTTTTCTCCTCAGTGAAAAACAAACGAATCCCACCACAGTGCTTCCTATCTCCGGCCAATTCGGCACAACATGGATTCACAGCCACCACAACAATCTGCAGCACGCACAGATTTCCTCAAAGACGACATAACTAAGCACCTCCTCACTCTGAAATGGACGGCCAGATGCTTCGAAACACTGCGCGACGATCTGCACGCTGCTATCAATGAACTCAGCCAGTACGACATGAGACTTTACCTAAAGGTAGCCCAAGAGTGCGATCAGCTCAAATGCGACATGGAAACTGTAAGACAGAATTCCGAAGAGTTCACTCGTCGGGAGGCGACCCGTCCTGATCTCATACGGAAGCACATCAGCGAGTCGATGAAGCATGTTAGGGAGCTACGCCAACTTCGACAGGAAATTACAACCTACTACATGGCGCAAATGATCGGCGAAGAAAAGAAGTGGTCAAGTCTGGTAAGTATAAGCCTCATCCCTTTACGGTTGCCCATGCGGCTTGTATTACAATTTCCCAGAATGCATCGATTCGGGCTCCGTAGCAGGTGACTGATGACTAACAGGAGCTGAGCCTCGACATACACATGTCTCAACTTGGTGGAATCATGCGGAGGATTGTCCATGCCACAGAGACCAAGTTTCAGACGGAGCAAGACCTAGCTGTCGAGCAATCTCAGGCTGCGAAACCCACATCAGGGCCATCAGGGCTGGCGCCGCAGAAAGATTAAGCTTAGAGGCAGCTTTTCGTGCCAGCGTCCAGGGCTGTCAGGTCGAATTGGGATAGGGGTGTTACAGCAAAGCATTGTGAAGGAACCCCTCAGGTTGTTGTCAAGAAAGTGGCAGTAAAGGATCTCGCGGCTCATTTGCCCGGGTTTGTTCAGTTAGAGCAAGCGAACAGTCAAGAGCTCCGGAATGGTCAGGCATTTCAAAATCGAGGCACCCAGAAAGGAACGGAAAGATTTTTTTTCCTTTCGCATGGCATGCAACAGCGTACTTCATCTCAGGCATGGTGAAGATCGTTAATGGCTTTCGCATTATCGCCAGAGCTCTTCATGCGCAGAGCGGTAAACTTGACTGTTTGCGCTAAACTTCTGGAGAGTTAAGTTGCTTTTTGCTTCGAATTTGCTTGATTTGCTCCTGAAAATACAAAGTTTCGAGAGGTACCATAGAGAATGCATCGCGCAGACACAGGGAGGGAGTTTTGAGAAGCCTGCCTACCTAATTGCGGAAGTCCGTCCAACCATGTTTTACGGACTTCATAACAGGCAGGGTATAAGGGGCTGTGTATAGTATGTTAATGTCATATCTATCAAGGGGTGATCTCCCTGGTCGAGCTTTTCCATAGATGTCGTCTCTACGGCTTTCGCACGCGTAATCATAGGATTTCTAATGCACATGACTGCCAACATAGTGTCCAATCATTGATGCAGAACACAAAGCATTCGGCTGAAAGGCGGTATCGGGATCGTCATCATACGCACTTCGTCGACAGATCCTAGTGATCGAAATGATAAAACTGATAGAGCCGCACATCTTGGCTTCGACCGCAAGGGCAAATCGTGGACCTATTGAATGGCTGTATCGGAACTAGGTGTGACTCTCTGCACAGTGGTTAGGCTCTAGAAGATCATGGTCCAATCTAGGATAGATAGCCAGTCGTCTTCCTAACAGCTTTTTAATATGGTTTCATCCATTCCTGATCGGGAGTATCACTTTCGACTCGTTGTCACCAATAAAATGGCGACAGCGGCGGCTACAGCGGCGGCTACAGCGGCTCATGCGTCCAGCGACGACTTAGTCTAGCACATTCCTTGGTCGGAGATGAGCACCAGTTGATCGTGGCCTAGGGCCGTCTCAGCAGTAGCTGCGAACTGGTGATCAGTGGGGTAGGAAGGCTCGCTTAAGCCCAGTGTTGCTGCCCTCGACACGGCGCGGGCCTATTCAGGAAGTTAGAAACGTATTGTGGTTCCTGCAGACGATGCCGGTCATGTGTGGAGAGAGTTGAGGTGCATTGGCGCGTATAGCGACTCCATATCAGTTGTTAAGAACCATTTGATTTGACAATTCGGCGAAACGGCGGGCCTGCCTTCCCAACGTGATTGGGTCTCACTCTTTGTGGATGAAGCTTCGAAAATTTTCGGGCTGCAACTGTTGCTTGGGTGGAGCCAGGATCCGGAGGAAGTCAACGTGGCAGCGTCAGTTGGCGCCACATAGATTTTATGCCCAAGTTCATCATCTATGGATTCCATGATTTAAAGGAGGATCGCATAAAAATTATCTTTGTTGAGCTGTTCTCAACCGCAATGGGTCTCTCTGAAATCAAGGCCGGCGGCCTCCCTGAGAAGCCTATCAATTTTTTCCATGTCTGAAAGGTCATAAGGCATGGCTCATCACTAGTAAGGCAACTTTATTTTTATTTGCCACATCACTTAAGCCCATTATCTTGAGTCGGATGATCGATCCACAATTCTCTTATTCCGGACATCTGGACTGTTGCTATTAATATCTCACCTGTTGGTACACGGCTGGCCAGTATCGACAAAAGTCGGGGTATATGAAAAAAGGGGATTCGCAATATTCGAAAACTTGAAATCAGTGGTCTTTTGAGAAATCGGTCTCGGGAGTTTGTGAATTACGGACAAATCTTCAAACTGTGGAGTGAAAACAGTGCAATGTGCGTTCTGTATTTTACGTTTGGCAGAGTAGTCCGCGACACTTCATTCCTCAAATCTATTTGTCGTGGATTTGCTCGCCTCAAGTGTACCACAAGCTTGCTAATTATATTATCTCAGTGGGTTTTCTGTCTTCCCAGTAGACAAACCAGGCCCCACAACTCCACGCAAACTACACTTGAAACTCAACTCGGGAGTGTAGCCAATCGATTGCCGGCAATCTGTGACCTACGCAACAAGCTCAGTACGATTCGTGGAAAACCTGGAGGCCTCTTGAGAGCATCCCTGTCATCGAGTATACAATTCTCCAGAACTAGGTGAACTCTTGACCTGGAAGTAACTGCGTTACTCCGTCAAAATGACCCGTAGCGGGTACGACACAGTAGGTGACACGCCTTGCTTTTGCATCAGAGTGCGCGGTTGGGAGACCTGACACCTCCATCAAGGACTAGCACACGCTGAAAGCGTTGCTCAGTAGAAGTTCTAGATGGAGGACGTGCTGTTCATAATGTTCACTTTGTTCAGCACTGGTCTGCCACCGCGGACTCGGCGCACCAAGTTCGCTTTCGTTAAGATCTGTATGGCTGACTGAACTTCTTCAAGACCGGCACCAAAAAACCACCAGTGAAAGAATAAGTTGACACCTTTGTCAATTATGGGCGGTCCTACTGCAACTAGATTTCGTTGATTGCATTTGCGCTATGGAGTAATATTTCTTACGGAATGGACGGGTTATGGTGGGCTGGTTATAAAGGGAAAAAACTCGGACGGCATGATGTATTATGAATTCTCGGTGTTAAAGGTAATTAATTGTGTCGGTTTTTGGGTGGTGGGAGCGAAACCTTGGAATAGATATTTTGTGTGTTTGGTCACGTTTCTCGGAGCTCAATCATGCTGCCGGTACTCCATCAGCCGGAATTGTGGCTTGTGATCCGGTGTTCTTGATAGCATTGGTCTCATCGATTCTTTGGAAATCCTTGCCATTGGCCAAATCCCTCTCTGATCCTGGTTCGGCCTCGGCGAGCCCTTGTGCGGTGTTTGAACGCTTCTGACTACTTGTCTTGTCAGCCACTGATCATCACAGACGTGGAAAGAAGCAGGCATACCCGTCATTGCCAAAAAGGTGCGATATTATATGGGTCATTACGACCAGGCATACGACCATGGAAGCCGAATAGACATAGCCTTTTGGAAACCGCGGCGATTCAACTGTGGGATAAACAAACAGTGGGATCCAAGCATTGGTCGATGTTGCAATGGCAGTCATCAAAACAAGAGTCAATGCCCTTTCTTCGATGTTGTCCTTCAAGATGATGTTAGCCCAGCCATAGAGCACCGAAGACACAGCCACTGCCGAGTACGACACACTAAAAGCGAACCACTTCGCTGCCTCGGGCACGTTCCAGACCGCGAGGATAACGAGTCCGGTAAAGTTGAAGGCTGATGCAAGGGTAATAGCATTAGCCCGCGAGATCCATAGATCAGCACTGAAGTTGATGAACAGCACGAAAAATATCCCCAAAGCAGGACTTATCGCGGAAAAATTGTTCATAGTCGCAATGTCATAACGGTGTAGACTCTTGATCCACAGCAAGAAGGCTGCGGTATTTGCACTGGTGTTGAAGAAGAACACATCCCACAAGACCAAAACGTAGAATTTCCAATTTTTGAAAATCCGACTGAGCAGTGCAAAAGAGAAAGGGACACTCTTGACGACTGAGCCTTGACGTTCCAGCCGAGACCTAGCCAACTCCAAATCACGCTCACTGATCACGAGCTTGTTGGGCCTGGCTGGCGTACCAGGCCAGATGAAGTATCCCAGGAATGCAAGGGGAAGGGTGATTATTGCGTTAATGATGAATAACCATCGCCCTAGTATGTGTTAGTCATCTGCTACGGAATCCGAATGGATGAATTCTACAAGATTCTAATAAAAGACGGATGGGCCACCGTAGCGGGGGAATGGTTATACGTACAGCCTGGCAGTCCGTTATGCCCATCTAGGTATGTTGTCGCAGCCGCCTGGAGAAGACTGGCAGTCAAGGTGCCGAGGGTCAAACCGACGTAGAAAATTCCACCTCGCCTTCCAATCTCGTCACTTCTGTACCAGGAGCCTAGCACAAAATGGATACCTGCCAGTCATTAGCAAACCTGTACAATTAGGCGCAATGGGGTCACATCCTCTCCTTAGATAATTGTTCGCCATTCACTCACCGGGAAAATAAGAGGCCTCGAAGATGGAGACGAGGAAACGGTAGGCCATGATCTCCCCGTAACTCTGTGCTCGATACTGCAGGAGAGTAAAAATCCCCCAACCCAGGTCCAAAGTCGGTACCAAAAAGTGCATGGGTACTCGTGGAAAGAGGTAGATGAACGGGAGGAGGCCTAATACATTCCCAACAACGAATATTGTCTGGAATTGCACAAGTTCATTGCCGTTGAAGTTGAGGTCTTCGGACATCCCAGAAACGTAAGCATTGTCTACATAATCCTGCGTCAGCTTCGTTACTCTTTGCCGGGCGGTAAATAACATACTAATGTTTGTCTGGTCGATATATTTCACCCAGTACAAGATGAAGGCATATGGAACAATCAAGAGGTCTAACTTCAGAACCAATCTTCTTTCTTCTGGGGTTTGATCAGGAGAGTACCATTGGTACCAATTCCTATTGGAGGCTTGTTCGTTGCTGCTCCCCATACTGTTCTGATATCAAGATAGTTTCGAAATTGGTGATTATCAATTGCACCGCAGCATGTTCGTTCTCATCCAAGAATGTTTCAAATCTGTTCTGATATGGACCTTTGTGATGCAAAAAATCCTCACAGCGATTCCGGCACCTCGAAATTGATACTGGCAAAGTCGTCACGAATGAATTCAGTCACATCACCAACCCTGGAAGTTAGCCTACTTGTAACCAGTTCCACTCTGTACAAAATGGACACCAGATTGGCAGATGACGGGTTGAAATATGGATGCTAGTGATATGCTAGCATCTTATGGTAAAGCTCCTATGAGTCTCAGTGGTTTCCTTGGACACCCCACATGATGCCATTTGGTGGCAGATGGCGCAACGTGGAAGGTGACGTTCACCTAGGGCCGCAATCGCAGCAACCGGCAGACAATGTTGCGCAAATATGTGATTCTAGTCGACACGCGTTTCTTATACACAACTGGACATTGAAAACACTGTGTTCCTTCACATCATTCGTCAACACTTTCCCGGCTTTTCCGACCGGAACAAAAACCCGCATGGGCCAAATCTCTAGAAAATTGCAATTGTTGCATATGTACAAATCTGTTAAGCACTAGTCCTGTCATCTGTGATTTCGATTTGGTACATGTCTACATATTTTAAATGTGGTCGACTCTTCGAGCCCTGTGTCAGCCTCGTGCAGGAAATGCTTCACCAGGGCGACAGCCTTGGCCTGTTCATCTGCGCCTCATAGGACAAGGCTGACTAGAGACGAGTTGTACTGACGCTTGTGCGCATTTTCAAAGAATTCTAAATTTATTTTCTACAAAGCATGATCGTTTTTCGTCTCCCGCGTAATAAGAGACTGAGGGCTCACCAGTGTTTCTTACCATTCCAGCATGCTAGTAACAATTTCCTGATGCTTTCCGGAGGCTAATCTGATAACGCAACGAGCTGAATGCTCTATACCTCTCTGATTAAGGGGAAGAAGTAACACTTTTAGTTGATATAGAAGCGGTGGGAACGTATGCACAACATTACTATGTGAGCTTTATATGCTGCAGCAAAATCATGTCGGTGAATATTCCAACCAGTCAATACACCTAATTCGACGCTCTCTTTTCGGTCTAGAGACTCACAAGTTGGTGGCATTTCGCCGGACCCCTCCGTCGCCCCCAAAGCAAGGTTTTAACTGTTGGCTCGGGTGACCGATGGGCATCGGGCTGACAGCTGAAGGTTTCAGGCAAGGTGTCAATATTGATGTGCTAGAACTTGAAAAAAGGGTAAGAGGATTGGTTATCCCGAGTCCACATCGCATCTGAAGCCTCGCTCTGCCCGAATATCGATTTATCGAATAAGCCTAACGAGGACATGTGATATCTCGATTGGAATTTATGACTTGTTAGTTTGGGTGCTCACCCCCCGACTCCCCCTGCCTCGACTTGTGGGGTTCGGGTCTGCACAGCAGGGGTCAAGCTTCACGAAATCAACATCTACCAATACTGACTACAGCGCAACTGGTAACTACCACCAAAAAGCCTTGACCCGACCCTCCAGAAACTTCAGTCCGCCTCTTGATTTTCTACTACACCAATTTCCGCGATGTCGGCCCCACACGCAACACTCAGCGCCGCGGCAGACGACCGCAAAGCGCGTCTCGCAAAACTGAAGTCTCTCAAGCGCAAGCAACCCGAGGACGAGATCGCGCCTCCAGAGTCCGACCGCGTGGCATCGCCCGCGCCCCAAGCCGGCATCGCTCCCGGCCCAGATGCTCAGGAAGATGAGGGGGATGTCTCGAGGAAATACCTGTCTGGGCGCAACTACGACGCGGAGACCAAGGGCCCCAAGCTAGGCTTCGAGGCGCCGCCCACGCTGGGCCCAGACGACGAAACGCTGGAGGAGCAGGCGGCGCAGCTGGAGTTGGAGGTGAAGAGGAAGGCGGCCGAGGACGCGGGTGACGACAAGGGTATCGACCTGTTCAAGCTGCAGCCCAAGAAGCCGAATTGGGACCTGAAGAGGGAGCTGGACAAGAAGCTGGAGGTGTTGAACGTCAGGACAGACAATGCAATCGCAAGGCTCGTGAGGGAGCGACTACAAGAGAAAAAGGCCGAGGCACAGCACAAGGACGGGAGGCTGGCGGACGGGGAGGCTGTCGCTTCCACATTGGAAGGCCGGGAGTTGGAGGAAATTGTGAGGCTAAGGCAGCGGGAGGAAGAGGCAGAGGAGCAGAGGGAGCGGGAAGCTATCGAGGTAGAGTGACTGCGACAAGACTGGAAAGTTGAGAAACAAAAGCTGCAGCGAAACATCACTTCGGCACAAGGGGACTGGCCCCCATTGCTCTGGACGGATGTCGGTCAAGGGCATGCTTGCCACAAAATCGCAAGAAAGCCGTCACGAGGCAAGGGTGGAAACACATTATTTGGTTGGTCAAAAGTCATTTCTTGAGGGAGGGTACGCAAAATGATACCCATATCTATCTACCGGTTCATGGCTTGCGTCAATGCTAACCGCTTGCTGAAGGGACTCAAACTGCGCTCCCGAGGTGGCTCAGGCTCTGGAGGGGTTCTATGTCCCTGACGACCCCGAGGGCCCTCGTGTCGTTCCCTGTACTCCCTGTACTGACCTTCCTCTGCTCGACGTCGATCTCTGGGGTCTTGTCGACCCGGCGAACGCGAATCGTACCTCTGCTGTCGCCGAGGCGGTGGTCTTCCGTCGTCGGAAAGAGAAGAGCGACGCGTTTGCCGCACGTGTGGTCGTGGGTCTCTCTCAGAGGAGCTGTCACGAGCCCCCCGGCGGGAATCGGGATGTTCGCGAGGATCAGGCGATCCTTGATGCCGGCCTAGACGAGGACGGTACTGGGCATCCGGGCTTGGGGATCGCCCTCGACTGCCGTCACTGACAGAGTCGAAGGACCTGCTTCGCCTCGCCCGTCGTGCGGGTGGCGAATCATCGTGGGCGCGGCGCGGCGCGGGCGATGCCCGTGCTCGTGGGGGCGGTGACTTAGAAGACCTTGTCGAGATGGATGAGACCGAGTCCACGGAGCTGGATCGTTGGCGTTTGGATTCGTGCTCGCGTCCACGCGGTTCATTATCTTCATCTAGCTCCCGCTTGCGAGCCCTCTCGGCCTCCTTTCTTGCCAACTCCTCGTCGGCAACACCTTTCCTAATACACACTTAGCAGAGCCCATGAGCAAATGGAATCAAATGCAGGAGAAGTGAAGTGAAGGAAATTGAAGGGCGGCAGGGAGGCTCACTTTCGCGTAGCATCGTCAGGCGTGTCATTGGTGAGCTTGGGAACAAGCTTGGGGTTGAGCAGCTGCTGGGTGCGAGACGGCCTGGCGTTGTAGGGCCGTTCCTGGAGTTGGACCTTGCATTCGTAGGAATAGTGGCGTGCTAAGACAGTCAGCCTTACGAAGACAGGCAGAACTAGAAGGCAAGCCAGGCAGACATATCTCGTTTTAAACACTTTTGGCACTGGACGTTGGTCGGTGTAGGCTTCCTTGGGCCCCCACGGCCCCTGTATGAGTGCATTTCTGATGATCGATCAGGGGGGTTATGGTTGTGAAAAGGGTGAAGAAATTGCGGGTTGAGAAAAGCAATGCAAGCAGTTGATTGAGGCAGTGAAAGTAGTCAGTTGCCACTTCGTGTATGGCTGGTGAAAAGCCTCGTCGAGCTGCGGGAGGCCAAACTCCAGGTAACTAGATAGATACGCTGATCGATTGACAGACGCGATGAGCCTCAGGCCAGGCCTCGGTGGTCCCCTACCAATAGAGAAGGCTTACTCTCACTCTCACTCTCACGCATACATCTGTCTGTCTGCCTCTGGCCGTCAGATTGGACGGAAACGTCACGTGGAGAAGCCAGCTGACTAAATCCGACCGGGCTGGCAGCGTGGCAGGCTAGAAGTCCAGGAAGTCCTAGAGAGGGGCAGCACTGGGGCAGGAAGGAGACGGGCTCAGCGAGGACGACTCCCACGACTCCCTGCCAGGGCGGCGTGGACGGCCCTGGATCTGGCCCGTGCCCCCTGCCCCTGCCAGCTAGCTCCCTTTCCCCCCAATCCACGGTCGGGGGAGCGGTGGTACTCAGGTGCTCATCCTTAGCACCTGTCAAGTCAAGTCAAGGCCCAATCCAATCCATTCCAGCCAGGCCAGTCTAACTTTCTGCCGAGATTGGGAGCCTCTCACTGAAGCTATTCACAGTCCTTTCTTCTTTTTTCTTTCCCACGCGCGGATGACGAGAAAGGGGATGGGAGAATAGCCATTTTCCATCAGCTGCCCTTTTTTCTTCTGCCCCAGGCCTCATCAATCACCGAATCGGTCGGGGAACCGCGGCAGTGTCAGCACCGCTCCCGTCTGTCAGATTCTTGTGTTCTTCCAACTCGACCGACATCCACACCCGCACTGCTCCCGCCCATCACCACACAGTACCTGACCAACTGTGGAGGCGCGGTCGTCAGCTACCTCTCCCAGTCTGCACGGTACCTGCTTTGGCTGGTAGAGCTGGCCACATCGAGCCTGTGCTTCTCAGAGCGCCTCGTCCATCACTCCCCTACCTCTTTGGTGCGACCGAATTTACAAATTCTAGCCTCGCATCACTGCCCATCCTCTGCTCTGCCCATCTTTTCGGCAAGTCTGCAGCCTACTCTTCGGCCCCCGCCTCACAGCCTGTCTGTCGCCTTGCATTTACAGTCGCCTGCGCGACTGCGGCCTGTCCGTACTACCTCGACCACACGACAGATACAGACGTGCCCAAGGCTTCCCTCCCCTGATCGGCCGAGGATAAATTCTTGGGCAGGATAGTCCAACCGTCTATCCTACAGACAAAACCACCAAGGAACCAACCTCGACTCCCGACAATGAGCACCTGCACCTCCTTCTCGACTCGGACCGCTCTGATCCACTTTGTTTCCTAGATTTCTTCAACTGCCCATCTTTGGAGTTCATTTCTTGAGTGCGACTGAACTTTGCGCAACTGGTCTACACGCTCGCTTCCTGGGGGTACGCGCATTCTCTCCAACGTCCACGAACCGTTTCCAAGGAAAATCCTTCCGAGCGCATATGACAGCTGTACGGACGACCATGACTGACGTCAAGAAACTCTCGTTTGCCAAGGTCAGTTGCCACAACGCCGACGTCTTCTGCCCTCACCAAGCTGACAGTCAATTACCAAAGGTCCTTGCCTCGGCACCCACAGAAGAAAATTCGATATCATCTCCCACTAGAGACGCCGCCTCGAATACTGGGAGGGAGGATCAGTTGCCGACATCGCCCAAAATCTCAGGTCAGAGTGTGGCAGGAAACCCGGTCGTGGCTAATGGCGCCGATACGGTTGACAAGCTAGCGAAGATGGGTGCTGCCGAACCTCTTGAACAGGACAGACTTGTTGATGGACTGGAAAATCTGAAGATTGAGTCGTCTGCTCCGAGCCTCGTGGTCAACGGCATCAATTCCGGCTCAACTGGACCGTCCTCGAAGGCCCAAAGCCCTTCGGACGAAGCTTCGCAGAAGGCAGATTCCAGCTCGGAGCTGGGTACAAAGCCTCCTAGCCTCGATGGCAAGAGCATCACTTCAGGCACGACTTTCAACGCGTTGGACGAAAAGGAATCACTTCGACCTGACGACAGCGCAAGCGTGATGGCAGCTGAGCAAGATGATGATGTCTTCTCCATCAGGGGCTCTCTCATTGCCGGCTCTCGCATGGGCTCTGAGGTAGCTGCTCGTGTCTACCGGATCCAGCTCGGCGACATGCCTCCACGCAGCATTGCCCCCCAGCATGTCATTGTCGAGTCTGGCAACCGTGCAGCCACGGCACCGCAGACTGTATCTCTGGAGCAACAACCCGTTACTGATGCAAAAATTGCCCTTGTTGGTGCTACGTCTGCACCCAATGGGATGTATGGACAGAACCCCGACGAGAAGCTCCTTGAGGCAATGCAATCACCGAAGGACCGGTTTTTCCTGTTGAAGTTGGAAGAAATGGTGATAGAGTTTGTACAGGATTCGAAGTGAGTTGTAGTCCAGGATTCTCTTCTACTTCCGCTTTGCTAATGCTCTGAACAGAGAACCTTTCATGGACTTGCCTCCATCCAATTCTTTCTGCAGGATGTTGACCCACAAGCTGGCTGATTACTATCATATGACACATTCCTTCGAGGCTGGTGCTGGAGCAGTCCGCATCTTCAGAACCCCTTTCTGTAGGGTGCCTCCCTCACTGGCCAGCATAGCACAGAACGCCTCTGCTGCAAGCACTCCTCCGCCAATCGTGATGCCCAAGAAGATAATGCGACGTGGAGAAGAAGGGGAGTTCGGCTCAGGAAGTGCTGGACCCTCGAAGCCAACCTCGGAATCCGGAAGTGACTCCAAGGACAAGCAAGCTGCAAAAGAAAAGTAAGTATCGCAAGAAGAAGCTGCGCAGACGATTAGGAGCTAACACGGCACCCCAGGATGTCGAGAGAGGAGAGGGAAGAAGCTTACAACAAGGCACGGGAGAGAATCTTCGGTACAGCTTCCACAGATGTCTCCACTCCAGGTATGTAGAACCGCCCTCTGTTTGCAACTTCTTGACAATTCTGACGATTATGCAGAGAATGACGATAGCACTGGTGTATCTCGTGCTAGCTCTGTATCTGTGCGAGACAAAATTACCGGTGCAAAGAAGGCGAAGAAGAGGCGGGACTCGGATACCTTTGACACCCGGTCCAACTATATCGCTTATGCTCCAGCCTACGGACACCCTCACCAGGCCACTTGGGCTCAGCCGCACTACATGCCAGCAGGTGCGCAGCTCAATGGCTCAGTACAGCAACAGGCTTATCCCCCTGCGGTTCCAAACATGTACGGTGTTCCGAGTCAGCAATTCCCTCCCATGATGCCGGGCAATGGTTATGGCCCGCCGTACAACAACATGTCAAACGTAAGTCGTGGTGAACATCTATGGGCTTTCTTGCGTTTTTCCAGCGATGTACTAACAATTGTCTCGACAGTACGCCCAGCCGCCCGGCCCACCGCGTTATCAGCCTCCCGTCGTGAACCAGATGCCTCCGGCACCTTACGGACCGCCTATGCAGGGCCCACCTCAACCGCAGAACGGGTGGCAGCAGCCTCCCAGCTTCAACTCAAGCCCTTACCAATCTCGGGCCACGCCTGTGGCTCCAAATGGGATCCCCTACGCTTATGGCGCCCTCCCAGTCAACGCCAACCCCAGCGATCCAAAGAGCCAGCATCCTATCCCGGGCAGTTTCAACCGTCATGCCTTCAACCCCAAGACGCAGTCTTTTGTACCAGGCAACGGGATGGGGCCAATGCAGCCGCCCCCCGGCCCGTACAGTGGTTATGGGCCACCTCAACAGGGCAGCCCTCAGATCACGCCTCCTCACCTTCACTACTCTAACTACCAGGCTGGCCCGCCCATGGGCCAGCCTCCCTACGGCAACGCGAATGGCTACAACATGATGCGACAGGGATCTAACAACTCCCTCCCTCCGTATCATGCCCCGCCACCCAACGTGCAGCACCCGCCTCACGTCCCTCACGTCCCTCACCAGCTGCCCCCGCATCCACCTGCCCAGGGACCGCCTCACATACCCAGCAAGCCCTCTTTGCCACAGGGCCTGCCTATGGCCCACGGCCAACCATATAGCAACCTGCCAACCTATGGCAATCCTGCGACACTGCCGCAGAAACCCACTACCTAGGAGTTTGTAGCATCGGATGGTGTTTACGGATTACAATTATCATGACGGCGTCACGGAATTTTCTGGAAGCATACAGGCGTTCAAGGAGGGTCTTCTGGTCTTGACAGACCATCATCAACACCACCACCATCATCATCGTTTGACAAATTGCCAGCGTTCAGGAGCTCGTAGTTTTCTCGACCTCGCCGGACAAAAGTGTTGCACTTGCTAGAAAGACTGATGATGACTCTACTACTACTACTACTACACATAGACCCACCCTTAATGCGATACAGTTTTCATTTCCCTCACGCATAGGTTGCAATTATATGCATGATTCACTATTTTCTTCTCACGAAACCCCCAAATTGAAATAGTCGTGTCCATAAATTCGGTGCCCACAGAATTAGATTTTTTCCGCGATACCGACGATGATCTAATCCCGCCTCTGAACGCCAAATCTTGGGAGATATCACTTTTGGGTTGTAAACAAAGCCAGTGTTCTCTCTCAAATTCCGCCAGTTGTCCCATTTGCCCCGCTCTTCCCTTGATCCCTTTGTCGGGAATCGGTACGACCTGGGTCATCTACTCATGGCTCATCTTCTTGTCCACGCCTCTGCTCCCACCAAGCTTCCCCGGGAGGCGGAGCACTAGCACCTTGGTATATGCTGTGCACGTGTTCCGTGGCATTAGATCTACATTTCCCATTCGATCCGTTCAACTCATCCTTGGAGCAGACGCCGCCGCAGACGACGCCTACTCGCCGTTCTCGCGCGGCTCACGGGGCTCCCTGGGCTCCCTGGGCTGCCCACCTCCCCTGCCGCCGCGTCCGCCACGCTTGCCGCCCCTGCCTCCGCGCTCACCGCGCTCGCCCTTGCCGTCCTCGCCCTCCTTGGCGGGGGCGCCCTCCTTGTGCTCCATGGTCAGGGCGCTCGTCGCGAGGCGCTGCGACAGGTCGATCTGGGTGCGGATGGTGTTGGCCAGGTAGCTCACCATGAGAACGTCCTGGATGTGGTTGTTGAAGTCGTGCTCGATGGACTCGGGGGCGACCTTGGGGGCCAGCGACAGGTTGTTCATCATGAACTGGCCCAGGGCCTGGTTGGGGTCGCGCTCCTCGTCAAGAATCTCGCCCACGTAGCCGGAAGTGCGCTCCAGCAGGTCCTCAGTTTGGGCGATAGCGGTGGCAAGGGCTTCGATGTCCGGGACGAGCGGGGCCTGGCGCGAGTCGTTGTTGGCGGCGGAGGTGATGGCCTCGAGGGCGGCGCGGTCGGCGTCACCCTGGGACAGCTTATGGGGCACCTCGATGAACAGGCACGACTCGGCCGCGCGGTCTGGGTTGACGGCGGCCGGGGCGGAGATGTAGGCGTGGGTCTCGATGTCCTTGCCCGGCTCGGTGGAGATGGTCAGGTGCACGGCGGGGTGGGGGAAGGTGCCCGTCTCGGGGGAGGCGAAGAAGTTCTGGATGAGGGCGGAGAAGCTGTTGAGCTCGAGGCTGGTGGCGTACCAGCCCAGCAGCGTCTCGCGCGGGCTGGCCTTAAGGGACAGCTGCAGCATGGTGCGCTGGTACTCGACGTCGACCTCGACCTGCTCCTCATTCTCGACGTGGGGGATGGCGAAGCAGTTGCGCACCTCGACCTCGGTGCCGTCCTCGGACCGCACACCTATCAGGGCGCCGATAACGCGGGGCTGGGGTGCGTCTGGCGAGGCGTCTTCTGGGGCGACGTCGTCGCGGCGGATGGCATGGTCGAGAATAGAGAGGATTGCCTAGAGAGCGGAGTTGAGAGGTCAGAGGCTGGGCCGTGACGAAGAGTGAGAGACAAGTGAAGGGCAAAGCTTACTTGTGGCTGGATGTTGACTGTCATGGGGGAGATATTTGTGTTGAAGCCTGGGGCGGCGGGGGCAATAGGCCGGGCCAGGTGGAGGAACTCCTCTGAATCAATCGCCATGATGAAGATGTTCTTACGGGTCGCGTGGTGTTCTGCAAGAGTCGAGGGTTATGAGGAAGAGGTCGGGAGAATATCGGGATGCTAAGGCTGGAGGAGAGTTGGCTGCTGTGTCGGACCCCGCGGTGTTGTTGAGGGACCTTGATCTTGACCTTGCTCCTGCTCTTGGTGTTGCATTGCAAAATTCCGCCCGGTTTTGCTCTCACCTTTGATCCGTCGTGTCAAATTGTGGGGTCCTCGTTTGTTTGTGTGCGCTAACGGGAAGCCCAGACGGGGGGTACAGTACGGTACCTCGTCCAGGGGGTGTACAGTGCTGGGAATGAAAGTTCCTCCTAAGTGGCCGCCCGATAAGATAAGGATTTTATTTTATTTCAAAGACCCTCCAGTCTGCTCACCAAGCTTTCACCTGTTCATGAAGACATATTTCACAACAATTTAATTTCTAGTGGCTGTTCCTCCTAATTACTGGCCCATTTATCCCAGCTCAAATCTCACATCACTGCGCCCCCAAATCGATACCATGGCTCCAAGGGGTCGAGCTGGCTTCCGTGGAGGTTCAAGAGGCCGAGGGGCAGGCCGAGGGGCACCAAGAGGAGGTAGGGGAGGTGGTAGGGGAGGTGGCAGGGGGAGAGGCAGAGGCGGCCGAGGAGGTGCATCACAGCCACGAGGGCCAAGGTTTGACAGTGCGCGAGTAGAGTACAGGTGCGAGATTCGTGCTTCTGATTTATCATCCAGACTCATAGAAGAGCTAACGCCAGTCACAGTGATTCAGAGGATGAGTCTAGTCAGGAGGAGCAGGAGTCAGACATCGAGGAGGATGACGAGGAGGTGGAAGACGCTTCGGAGGACGAGGTCGAGAGCAAAGCAGCTGCTCGGCCTTACATGGCCCTCATCAAGAGCTTAACGGAAGACAATGCTGCCCCTTCTGCCAAGAGGAGGAAACTGGACCATGAAACAGCACAGCCAGAAAGGCCAAAGACTCTACCGGAAGACGACCAGGCTGACTCTCAAGGTGAGAAAGTTGAGGATGTGGACCACGTGGAAGAGCCCGAGGAATCTCCAGAGGAGGCTATCGCGGAAGACGCTTTCGACGAAGCCGACGAAGACGAAACAGCGGACAGCTCAGATCCCTTCCAGAGCCATTTCGCTGTTCCCGACGAGGAGAGCATAGCGAGGCGGCTGAGAGCCATCGAAGAAGCGAAATGGGCCACAAAAAAGGTCGCCGTCAAGGGTCTAAGAACAGTTCTCAGTGCACCAGATACAGGCGACAAGAACGACGAGCTTTCAGCACCGACTCCCATTTTGAGCGCCTCAGACCTGAATCTGAAACAAAAGCTGGCTGAATCCATGAAGGAGAAACGGAAATTCGATGGCCTCGAACAATCCCTTGCGCCGCACGTTTTCGGATACCGAGACTTGCTCTTCTGCCAGAGGTCACTTAATAATGGCAAGAGTCTTCGGCGATTGGCATGCCTCCACGCTCTCAACCACGTTTTTAAGACCCGAGACAGGGTTATCAAGAACAATGCCAAGCTTGCTCACCAAAAGGATGGCGAGGAGCTCGAGCTCCGGGATCAAGGCTTCACACGGCCAAAGGTCCTCATGATCCTCCCCACGCGAGAATCATGCTACAAAATGGTCGAGACGATGACAGCTATCTGCGAACCTGAGACGCAGGAGAACAAGAAGAGGTTTGAGGACTCCTTCCACGATAAAGAAGAACGATTCTCCGGGGAGAGGCCGCCTGACTTCAAAGACCTCTTTGCTGGCAATGACGATGACATGTTCCGCATCGGCCTCAAATTCACACGCAAGACAATAAAATTCTTTGCCCAGTTCTATAATTCAGACATCCTCTTCGCCAGCCCGCTGGGTTTGAGGATGGCCATCGGCTCTGAGGACGGCAAAAAGGTCGAGCACGATTTTTTGTCGTCGGTCGAGGTCGTCATCGTTGATCAGGCAGACGCTCTGCTCATGCAAAACTGGGAGCACGTCGAGTATATCTTCGAGCACCTCAACCTACAGCCCAAAGACGATCACGGGTTCGACGTCAGCCGGGTGCGCAGCTGGTACTTTGACGACCAGGCGCGGCACTTCCGGCAGACGCTCGTCTTCTCGCAGTTCAATACGCCGGAGCTGTCCAAACTGTTCCGGTTGCACTGCCGAAACTGGGCGGGCAAGGTGCGCGTCGAGCCCGAGCACGCGGGCGTCATCGGTGAGCTGGGCGTCAAGGCAAAGCAGACCTTCTCGCGCATCGACCCACCGTCGGTCGAGGCCGAGCCCGAGGCGCGCTTCAACTACTTCACCAAGGCGATCGTGCCCACCCTCGTCAAGCGGGCCAAGGACGCCACCGGCACCCTCATCTTCATCCCGTCGTACCTGGACTTTGTGCGCGTGCGCAACTACTTCGCGACAAACCCGGCGGTCGAGAGCCTCACGTTCGGCGCCATATCTGAGTATGCCACGGTGCCCGAGGCGTCCCGGGCGCGGTCGCACTTCTTCGCCGGCCGGCACAAGGTGCTGCTGTACACGGAGAGGGCGCACCACTTCCGGCGATACGTGCTCAAGGGCGTGCAGCGCATCGTCATGTACGGGCTGCCGGACAACCCCCTGTTCTACAAGGAAATTGCTGGTGCCAACTTGGCGAGGGCGGAGCAGGACATGGTGATCGAGCCAGGGCAGGGCAGCGTGCGGGTAGTGTTCTCGAAGTACGATGTGCTGAGGCTGGAAAGGGTAGCCGGGTCACAGAGGGTCGGCAAGATGATTCGTGAGAAGGGTGACACGTTTGACTTTGTATAAGGAGTCTGCTCGGGCTGTCTTTGGTCGATGTACATATATCTCGCTCTCGGGCGACATGAGTCCTATTATCTCACACAGGGGCAGCCCCCTTCGCGTGATCTGGTCTTCAGTCCACGAGTTCATGGTATCATTCCGACCATTATTTTACAGTCTATGTGCAGCATCATACACCCCTTTTAATCCAATTCACTCGCTTCTTCCGACTGTTGACCCCTGCCGCCCCGCCGGCCCTTCCCCTTCGGCAAGCGGATGTGGAACTTGTACAAGCCGTCCTGAACCTGGCGCTCCCTCTCAGCGGCGGCCTCGAAGGACGCACCCTCGCGCTCCTTGATCTCGTCGACGAGCGCGCGGAACTCGGCCTCGCCGCCCTGCCGGAACGCCGTGACCTTCTTGACGTTCATGTTGGTGATGTGCGTGCTGGCCTTGCCCAGCACCTCGTCGCGCGCCACCGTCGCGGCCGTCATGGCGAAGCGCATGTCGCGCTGCCCATCCACCAGCTCCAGGATCGCGCTGGGCGCCTGGTCGTCCCTGTTCTTGGGCTCGGTGCGCAGCACGCGCGTGTAGCCGCCCGGTCGGGTGAGGTAGCGCTCTCGCAGCTCGCCGAAGAGCTTGGGCAGGAGTGCGTCTGGTGTCTGTTGTGGGGGCGGGGCACTCCGGTCAGCTTGCAATGCTCGTTCATTGTGTCTCCTAACTTGTGCTCCTCCGATCATCTATCCAGCCTGTGACAGGCTGTTGGCAAAGAGTGGTAGCAACGTACGTAGAGAATGCTCTGTGCCTCCCGCCTCGACGTCTCGTTATTCCTCTTTGCCAGGGTGATGAGCTTGTCCGCCATACGCTGGGCCTCCTTGGCCTTCGGCCATGTTGTTTGTATGGACTCCTGCTTGACCAGGGCGGTGACTAGGTTGCGGAGGAGGGCTTGTCGGTGGGCTGAGTTGCGGCCGAGGGTCCGGAATTTCATGTGGCCGCCTGCCATCTTCGCGGGGTGGTTGGAGGGATTGCTCCCTCACGATCGCTTTGTGTGTTCCCTCGTGTGTCTCAATGCCTGCAGCTAGGATGAGAGCCGTATCTGCTGTGGTGAGAAGGCGATTCGACGTCGGCTTGGTGGTCGGGAGCGAGTTGTCTATGTCTGCGCCAGTCGATGATACTAACACGGAAGGCGGTCGCGAATTTTCTGGACGGCGCGGCGGGAGCTACAGGCTCTCTGGATCGACGGTCGGCGAGTACCACAGCAGAAAGTATATATCTCAATGACACGGAGCAGTATCGCCGTGATGAATGAACAAATATTATAATGGTCCAGTAAAGGTGTATTTGGAACAATATTACTATGAATCTATGCATTAAAATGCTTTCCCGAAGCCTTTGGGCCTACCAGCCAGCATGGTAATTGTTCTGATATACATGCAGATGGCGTACCTCCGCTGCAGCTTGACGGCCCGCGACTGACCTCATCCCCTGGAAGCGCTCTGTAGGGAATCCGACCTTCGGCGGAAACAAGACAGCTCTCGAACTAAGCATCACGACACAGCATTAGCTTGCCCAGTCTCTAATTCTTTCTTTCATAACCTAGTACTCTTCCTTTTCACTTGATTCTTCCAATTGACGGAGCAAATACACTCGCGACTGGGTCTCAACGCGGCAAGAGGATTACCCTCCCAACCATGGGCTTCACCACCGGATTCGTCAGTACACACTCCAGCCTCAACAGAGCCCACTCTACTGACCAAATAACTTATAGACGGGCGGTGTGACCGTCGTCCTCGGCCTCTCCTACCTCAGCCTCCAAGCACACAGGCGCACGCGCGAGCGCCAAGCCGAGACCCTGCGCGCCAACACCTACATCCTCAACTCCCTCACCTACATCCCCGCCACCGCCCCACCGCCAAAGACAGTGGCCGAGGAGCTGGCCCTGCTGGAGCAGCAGCAGGAGCTCCTGGCGCGCGCCGAGCAGCAGCGCAGGACACTCTCCGCGAGGGACGAGGGCTTCTTCGACAAGGCCAAGGACAGGTGGAACGCCGAGATCGAGGGCGCCGTGCGGTGGGCCGCCAACAAGGACTGGGTCGCCGCGCGCGAGGACACCGAGACCGCCGCCTCGAGACTGTGGGCGCGCGCGAGCGGCGGCGAGGCACCCGCCGACACGGCCCACCGGGCGGGCGCTACTGTGACAGACAAGGCCGCTGCCGCAGCGGCCACGGCGGGTGACAAGGCTGCCGAGGCCAAGGGGGCGGCTGCGAGTATCTGGGAGCGGGGCTTGAAGAAGGGCAAGGAGCTTGCTGGCCAGGCCAAGGCTGGCCTCGAGAAGGCAGAGGAGAAGGCGCAGGACGTGGTGAGGGGCGCGGCGAAGGAGACTGGCGAGACTGATATCGAGAAGGTTCTGCAGCAGCGGTATGAGCGGAAACCGGACGAGTCTATGAACAAGAGCCCTGAGGAGCTGCTCGAGGAGAGGTATAGGCCTATGGTCGAGCAGGATAACACCAAGTTGAGGGGTGTTTAGGTGGGCTGGATAAGACCGAGCATCATGCAAAACATTGCCCGCCTCATTCTTGAGAATATTCCATTTCGATTGTATCACTACGGTATAGAGACTCTCGGGTGTACCATATCTGTTAGCAAAAGCAGCTCATGGCCGATCATCTTCCCAGGTGAAAGGGCTGAGCCCTCAGCGTCGCCAAGAAGCACCAAGCACCACCACTAGACACGCCAATTGACTTTCAATGTTAAGAATTGAGATATGAGAGGGCTGTTTTGCGAGCAGTGAGCTGCGTGGCGCTGGTGTGGGTGGCGCTCAGTGGGTCAGGGGGCTCTTGAGGGTATCACAACCTTGGCAGCCGCGTAAGCTATGCGGCCGTCCTTCTTGGAGACAACCTCGAAACTGTACGCCCCGACCTTGAAAAGATAAAATATAACTGTTCATCCTCCAACTCCTCCGCACAGATCAACCCCTTCGGATACGTTCTCCCCATCATTCATTCTACCACGATGGTATTTACATGCTTCCCATCATGCTCAATTGGGATAACACAGGCAACACTTTGTCGTGCCTGAGGATAGTATCGGTTGATGCAATATTGATTTCGTTCTCATTCAAATACATAATGGCTACCTGATGGTATAGGTACCGCCAACTCCAAAGGATGCCCGGAACGCCCTCTACACTATTAACTATGCTGACTGATCGGGCCCAAGCAATATAGCGAGGCAGGCTCGACTATGGAACCTTTTAACATCCACCCTCCGATTATCCGGTATCGATAAAGACCGTGTATGCAAATTTACAAGAGGTGTCCTCGGAACTATATTGTGTCCCACATCATGATCATAATCACGACCGCCCGTGGGCCTGACCGTGCCCCTCGTCGGGGACAATACACCTGCTCTCGAGCCATTTGGCGAAGCGGACGACGGGGGCATCGACGGAGCGCCAGAACAGGTCGGCGGCCCAGATGACGCTGGGGACGACGAAGACGGCGGCGAGCGTGAAGCCGGCGTTGTAGCGGGCGCCCTCGATGCCGGTGACGCCCCAGGCCCAGCGCTCGGTGGCGTAGCCGATGGTGTGGATGACGGGCCCGTGCATGAGGTAGATGGCGTAGCTGATGCGGCCCAGGTACTGGACGAACGGCGTCATGAAGACGCGCTGCCACGCCGGCAGATGGCCCACGCACAGCACGAACAGCATGCTACCCACAACCTGCCAGTACCGGTACTTGTCCGAGAACCACTCCGGGATCAGCGACGACAGGTATACCCAACCCGGCGTCTGTTCGAAGTGCACATCCGGCTGCGACATGAAGTATAGCGACACTACGGAGAGCACCATCCAGGCTGTCTTCTTTAGCTTCGGGCTGACCAGCGGTGACGAGGGGCGGCCCCTGCCAACGAGGTCGAAAGGCTTCGGCTCTGTCACGGGGAGTTGCTGGTGGGAGGTGTTCGAAGCGGCGGCGGCGGCATTGGATACGGGGTCGCTGTGAGCGCCGCGGATGACGTCCAGCTCGGCAAGCACCGTTCCGGAGTAGAAGAGCACCATCTCCCAGCGGTCGTTGCGGTACGAGAACCACATCATCAGGGCGAGGAAGGCGAAGCGCAGCCACGAGCGCAGCCGCGCCAGCCCGACGACTGTCAGGAAGAGCATCATGCTCGCGCGGAACTCGACAGGGATCGTCCACAGGTGCACGTCGTAGTATGTGCTGCCGCCGAAAGGCTCCCAGCCCCAAACGTGGACAAAGTTGAACATGTTCCAGCCCCAGTCGGTGAGCTGCTCCGAGAGCGTATCCTTCAAGTCGGGCGCCGTCTCCTGCACGTTCTTCATGTACGTGCTGTCCCGCGAAAAGTCCCTCGTCCACTCATACGCGCCCAATCGCAGAAGGACAACGATCATGAAGGTTGAAATGGCCGTCGGGAGGAACAGACGGAACGCCCGCCTGAAGATAAAACTGGCCATCGTGGTGGCAAAGTTGTCCCACTTCTGCTGCCGCGCCAGCTTGATCGGCTTGAGCGACAGCGCATATCCCGAGACGACGAAGAAGATGGCGACCTGCGGTGGCCCGGCATACAGGAGCCGGACGAAGGGCAGCTTGAAGAAGTTGTAGTTGTGCTCCTCAAAGCCCCAGCCCTCGGCGATGATGAAGCATGTGTACAGATAATGGCACAGGAACACCGAGAATGCAGCCACCCCACGCATCCCGTCCAGGTAGGCAGTTGGGCCAAGTTTGTCGGACGCATGCTTCCTCTCATGACTTAACCTGCTCTGGACAAAGGAAGGGAGGAGGAAGAAGCCTGCGCGGCGCAAGAGTGCCAGGTATGCGGACATTGGTGGTGGTCGTTGCGGGACTGGTAGTGACGATAACGTGGACCTTGCTGTGTTTGCCCATGCCGCGGCGCTTGGGAACCGTGTCTCGTTGTCTGCCTTGCCAGCATCGCTGTCCACGTCTGACAGATTCTTCTCGTCCAGCAGATTCACACTCTCCTCGTATGAGAGGGAATGTTTGGAGAAGGCATGGCCATTCATTGTCCAGCAATGCGATGATGCAAATATTCACCTGCGAAACCACGAAACAAGAACGGCAAAGCGCTAAGTCTAACAAACGGTATAAGAGCGACAAGTGAATTGCTGCGTCTTGAAAAAAAGGTCCTGCCTAGTGAGAAAATATGGAAATCACAAACGGGACATGAAGAAACTGTGACTTTCGTCCTTGGCAGACGCAAGATCAACAGAGAAGAAAGATGGGTGGTGATCTCCAGAGAGGGAGAAAGTAAAACGTCCGAGATGGAATGAGTTGGACTCGACGGATGAGTAAAGAATGTTTCGCCTCTCTCGGGTCTGGGCCGACTTGCACGAAATAGTACCTCCTCGGATGATTGGTAGTCTCAAACGAGAAGAGCAGCGGCCAAGGGACGGGGGTTTGTGGACCGGGTGGGAGTCAGCGAGGCCCTTGCTAGGCGAGGTGTGGTGAGAGATGTTGCTTGTGAGAAGCTTGGCCACTGGGAGCCAGGACCCTTCGCAGATTGTTTCAAGTCGATGGGTGATAGATATAGCCGCACCAAATCGGAGGCCCAGCCAGGTTTCAATTCCGGCTTCTGAAGCAAGCGCTGGCGTTGTGGATCAGGTAATAAGCATAAACAGCCACAGTGCACGCAGGGCGAGTGTCAGCTTGAACGGCATCGACATAAACTGTGGGCGCCTACTATACTGATCAGCACCCTCCCTGTGGCTCAGGCTTTCCATGACGTTGGGATAAACCATTGCACAATCTGTCAGAAGTTGATCACCTTCTACAACTGCGGAATCCAGGATTCTAGTTTCGTGTTGAGCAGATGGTGGAGATGATCCGATGGTGAAGAAAATGGTACCGCGGCATGCATTGATTTTAGGCATATGACTGTTGACTCGTCAACAAGGAGTGTCCGTATGACAAGACTTTCGCTTCAGCAAGAGCTTCAGGCATCAGAAGTTACTCTCTTCATGATACGTGACCCCTCATCCTACATACAGGCGGACCTTGCAGTCAGCCTTCCCATCGTCAAAGTTCGGCATGACTGACTGGACCGCTGGATGGGCCAAAGTCGAGGCGCTGTCCCCTCGCGCACCTGGGTCGTTTGAGGCTCTCAGGCCGCTTGACAGGGCTGTGTCTTGGCTTTTCGGCTGTCGATCCCGCCCCTGCACCAATGGCGCGCCGTCGGCGGCCCCACCTCCTGACAGCAGACCTGTTCCAGATCTGGGGATCGCCCACTGTTGTCGGTCTTGGGCTGTTTTGAAAATCGAGCTAACCGGGCATAGGAAGGGATGAGAAGGCTAATGATCCGCACTCGCCGACTATGCAACAAAGCGAACACGAGGAGGTCCTTGAGTCGTGTCGGCCTAGGTTTCGCCTCATGTCGAGTGGTGTGTGCCCGGTACCATCAGCTGCGATATTTGTAAAGCACGTTGTCTGTCACGATCTTTCAAAAGCCAGGAACAGGCTGATAGACATCAGTTGATCCTATATGATTGCTCGCTCATACCAAATATATTCATTTTTTCCGATGTTGAGGTCCCGTCCATACATCGTAAACTTTTGCACCACGGGATCCCATCCTTGGGTCCGTAGACAGTAGAACGCCCGAACTCCAGCCAAAAAAAGCGCCTATCATCCCAAGTTCTACTAAAATTAGGTGGACAGCCAGTCCAAAAACTCCGGTGTGAAGTAGCTGATAACAATGGTCGCTCCTGCTCTCAAGATGCCCTCGGTCGATTCGAAAGCCATTGTTTTGAGGTCGAAAACACCAGCCTTTGCTGCTGCATGAATCATGGCGAACTCGCCGCTGACTTGGTAAGCGGCGATAGGCAGGTCTTTGCCGAGCTCCTTCGCATCGGAAATGATGTCCAGGTACTGGCTGGCAGGCTTGACCATAATCACATCGGCACCCTCGCCAATGTCACGCACGATGGCACGTCGGGCTAGGCCGCGGCCTCCAGGCGGCAGTTGGTAGCATTTCCGGTCGCCAAAGGAAGGGCATGACCCAGCCGCGTCACGGAAGGGACCGTATAGACAGCCAGAGAACTTGGCAGCGTAGGACATCAACAGTGTCTTGTGTGCAATTCCCTCTTCAATCAGCTTGAGCTTGATAGCGCGAATACGGCCGTCGTTCATATCGGAGGGCGCTACGCAATGGGCGCCTGCCTGGGCGTAAGCGATTGCGACGTCGGAGATGCGGTCCACAGAAAGTTGGTTGTTGAGACTGCCGTCATCCCGCAGGATGCCGCAGTGGCCATGAGAGGTGTACTCGCAGAGACAGACGTCTGCTGTAATGTATAATTGGGGAAATCGCTGTCGAAGAAGTCGAATGCTGCTGATGACGGGGCCCTTGGGGTCGTCTGCGGCGGTGCCAAGGGCGTCCTTGGTTCCGGGGTTGAGAGGAACACCGAACAGCATAACGGCACGGAGGCCCTTATGGACCAGTGGCTCAAGGAAAGGGATCAGCTTGTTGATACCGCGGCGGCACTGGTTTGGAAGAGATGGGATGAGGACTTCTTCGTCATCTTGGTCGGAAACGAAAAGCGGGTAGATGAGCATAGACTGTAGCACGCATTGTCAGCCTGGACCGGCGAGAAAGTGGAGGAAAGGTTAGATGAAGGCACCAACCTTTGTGAGCTGCCGCTCTGCTTGCCACGAGCGCGCAAGGGCATGGCTATAGCCGCCGTGAAGCTGGCTGGAAATGTCTCCGGAGATGCTGACGCTCGTCGCAGCGGTGCTGGTGTAGGACATGGCGCGAGAGATGTGGGATGTCCGGGAAGCCATGCCATCCATCGTAGAAGCGGCGGATGTCATCGAAGCGTCTTCGCGGTTGTTGCGGGCTTCGGCTGACCGGATTGAAAGGTCCTGTACGAGGCTGGAGAAGGACATGGTTTTGATTGGGTTGGGTGGACGTTGGACAGTTGTCGACTCGACAGCCGATTGCAGAGAGGAAACGACGATATGTCAAGAGATGAGTTTGCGCAGTAGATGGAGTGTGTGTGTAATCGAGCGTCTGAGGTTGTGTACGAGGCGATATATGTTCGGAGGGTGCACTGGTCGAGGGCGGAGATTTGAGAGTGGCGAAGGAGGAGCCGATGGGTATGTTCGGGAGCCGTCGCACAAAAATTGGGGTCAGCAAGCGACGCCGAGGATGTAATCGCAAATCCTTTTTGTTTCCGGCAGGTGTCAGAAAACCGGCGCATCCAATTGGATTGAACCGGAATGAATTGCACAATATCTGCAATGGGATCTCTCGCTTCTCGGTGCTCGGCTTGAGAAAGAAAGGATCCGTCGACTGGGGGAATGGACGGCGGGGACTGCAGCGGCAGGGCAGGGCTGGGCAGGGTGGTTCAGAGAGGTGGCTCTTATCTTCGTTTCGTTTCGTCAACAGACCGCAACGCAACGCAACGGAAGGGGCGGCCGCCCGACTCGACGGACTCGGGGTGCTGGTCGGCAAGTCTGGGAGGCGGTGGCCCACTGCCAAGGTGCCACGAGCCAATCACAGCCAAGTCATCTCCAATGCCTGCTCTTCCCAGGCCTACGCTTATGGCGGTCGGTCGGTCAAGTGCCATTTCAGCTGGCCGGCAGCGTATAGCCGGAGCGTATAGCTGGCAGGCAGGTCATTCAACGACATTCCCTTTCCTATGCTGTCTGTGTCACTTCAATTTGTCTTGTTCAACATCACGGGATTCGTCGATCAACCATGATTCTTCGATACGCCCTGTGTGGATAAACTGCTCAAGTAGGCTCACATTTCGATGGCCGACCAAGCTTCCTCCTGTGACTGGACAGATGCAGAGACTATCTGTCGAGCTGCGGATTTGATGAAGAGCTGTCCTTGAGGGCAGATGAATAGTATGCTATTCCAATTTTACTTGTAGAAGAGCTCGTAGAGCCTTTCTCATTCCGCGCTCTCCTCTTGCGTGACTCTGGCCTCTCCCCGTTATCGTCACATCGAGATTGTGCTGTGCAAGTCTTTGAAGGGTCGTTCTCTACTAGCAAGACTGGGAATTGATTCATGAGATGATGTCCTCACATTACCGACTTCCAAGTCGAGGACTTAAGGAGCCGTCTTCCGCATATTGCTGGCGTTGGCGGCCCTCTGGATCGCGGTTCAAACAGCTTCTCACCACAAGGTCATTCATCTGAGTTCGGTCGACTCTATTTGCGCCGTTGATGTAGCCTGTGGATTAGAAGAGTATCTTGAAGTGCTGATATTGGACAATTCCCAACATACACATGATCAACTCGATCAGGTTGCGCTGTCAAGCTGACAGTCGGTTGATGGGCTACTTGGAACCTGGCCAGCTGTCACTGAGACTCTCATTTTGGGAAGAAGTGCCTTGGTCCGGTGTTGTCTTGTCGATACATAGCATCGAAAGTCAATCACCTAATGTGGTGATCCATGATGTGTCACGGAAGCCAGCTGCGTCAAAACAGAAGCAGATTTGGTCGATTATGGCTGAGCATGGAATTCAGAGAGACACAGCTTGGGCTAATTCGTGGTCCAATCTGGGCATTTCTGAGGCGGGAAAGACTGCAGTGACATCTTTTTCAAGGAGAAGGAACACTGAGTCCCGTTCCTTCCATTGTTTACGAGCCCTCCGTTATCTTGATCGAACAGCCTGGATATTGGAGCACATGGCACGTTTGTCCACCCCTGAAGTGATTGGTTAGAGCTTTAGACGTTCCAAATTTCCAGGCCTATTTTCAACTCGCCAGCCTTAAGGTCTATCTTGTCTGTTTAGCCTGCCCTCTGGTCAAATACGACCAAGAAACACGGCTTTCCCAGGAGCTTCTGTTTTCGTTGCCCATCTTGGTGCCCAGCAAGCTCATGAGCTGCCTGCCTCCTTGGCACACCCCTCAACGAGACCACCACTCTCTCCCACCTAAGCACTTCACACTGGCTTTCTTGCGTCAAAGTCTGCAGATGATCTGATGAAGTTTTCCAACTCGACCAACTTCGGCCTCTCAAAAAGAGCCCCTCAAGCATCCTCGCTTGTCCATTGCCCAGAGGCTGCTTAAGCTGAGCATCCTCGCCTTGTAGACTTTTAGGTCTGCAAGCGCGCCGTCGCAGCAAGATCAGCTCACTCCTGCCAGGTTTCGCCTGGGCAACAACAAAAAAACACAAACTTCCGCCCCAAACATATTCATGTGCCCCACGAGGCCTGCCCCTCCTTCGATTTTTGGACCGACCTCGCATTTGCGCTCTCCTCTCCTCATCTAGGTAGTCACTCTTTCTTCAATTCCCCTGCACTCCATCCATCGTTGATTTGGCACTGGCTGCCATACTGCAAGCATGTCGTCCAACAGCAGCAAATGGAGGAAAGCTCTGCTTCCTGCCCTTGGAAACCGTGGCAGAGTGCATGACCCTACCAACCGCCTCCCCGCTTCTCGAACAGGTGCGTATTCGATGCGATCTAGATCTTTCCAGGTGACACGTACGGCTTCAAGGGTTGTCTAACAATTTACAAGCCTCCGATATCAGTGTCACAGTTGCAATTCTGCAGCACGATGACGGACCTCCTCCTGGCTCTATCGACGACGAGGTTGATGAGAGAATCATCAGCGATTTGTTGGAGACCACTGATGAGATCGAGAATGAGAACCAATCTGCCGACACCAGAAAGGTATGCCGGTGCAGGATTCCTGCTCATCAGGGGACAGAAGAGTCACAGCTAACTCGGAGACTATTTAGACCAAGGGGCTTGCTCACAGCCAAACTGTGGGCTTGATGCCGTGCACAGAAATCTCAAGTGTCGCTGGATCACCTGTCAAAGCCCACAACAAGGTCACCAAGCATGCCACACCACCCCGGATCTCATCGAAGCGCAACCTCCAAACCGTCACCCGTGACTTTTCTAGGTCATCGCCGAAGCGAAGCCCAGACGATATGGTTCGACCTTTGCCCAAATTCCGCTCATCAAATCTTCTTGGCCGCGAGACCCGTCGAGTCGCGCAGTCCCCATCGCTGTCTCCCGGAAAACTCCAGGCCCACTGTCGTGGCAAAACCACAGTCCGAAAGAGCGGAACTTATGTCGATAAGACCAACAGTCCGTTGGCATCTGTTTTGGCTGTCTCGGATGACCTGTATGGAAGCGTCGCGGACTCCGCCGACTTTGCCGCCCCCGCGAAAATGTCCCGTCTCAAGAAGAACAAGGTCTTTGCCAAATTTGCAAGTGCACTTTCGGAGCATTTCGGCAGACAGGGAATCCGAAAAGAGGAAAAGACTCGCGATGGTGCCACTAGATTGCTATCTGTGTCCAGCAACGAAGTCATCAAGCCGATCAAAGATGGTCTGCCTCTAGGTGGACTGACACTGGCCCGGCTGCCTCTGCCCGATCTTGAGGCTTCTTCCACATCCACCAATTGTCACTCGAACGAGGATTGCATTTCAGAAATGCAGAAAGGTAGTACCGCTGCGGAGAAACCCCCAACGGAGCTCTCGATGCCTCAAAAGCGGCTCACGATGGTAGAAGGCAGTCCGCATCTGGAAGACCCTTTCTCGGAGGAGTCTCCAAAGCAGTACTCAACCGAGTTTGAAGCTTGTCTAAAGACAGTCAAGACTGTCGGTACTGCTGGGGCACACAGCCTGGTCACTGCATTGACTGATCCTTTCTTGACAGAGGGAATCATGGATACGAGCGACAACTCAATTTTGAAGACGCCTCCGACTGGTTGCTCTACGCCCAGAGTTCGAAGTCAAGATTCGAATTCTATCCAATTTCCCTCGAAAGGCACCCAGATAGTTGCGGATTCTGCAACTGAGACGGTCGTGGTTTCTTCTGGAGGACCAGCGACAAGCCCTTGGAAACAACGCAAGTTTGCTATCATACGTGATAGCCCAACCAAACCCGGCACTTCAAATGGAGTTGATCAAAAGCAGATTGGTTCGGGATCGCCCACGAAGAGTATTGGTTCTTCCGATACAACGAGACTGAGTTCCTTTCCCCCGGGATCTACCATTCGACACGTGCCACGGTCAATGGGCCGTCTGGCTGGAGCCCCCGATTTGTCAATGTCAGCAGCGGCCCGGCGAAAATCGCCAAGGGTTGGACGGAAGAAGCACCCATCTCCCAGCAAGGGAGATCTTGACCTGTATGGCAAATTCATGGAGGAGAGCATTGGCCTCGGTGTGTTCAAGGACACTGACGAGCTTGCCATGAGCCCAATCTCTACCTCGACGACTAATAGCGGCGCTCTCACACCTCGCGATAAGAACAATCGGCTTCAAGGCTCGGCCGGCCGCAACACTGACTTTTGCAAGGATCATAACCACGACTCGGGCTCCGGTATGGTCGCAAGATCCCGGAGCCGTATTCCTCAGCCAGTAAGCCAGCGTGCTCGCTCTCGCGCGGAGAAGGCTTTTGCTCGAGACTTCTTGCCTGTCAACCACGGCGACTCTACCACGGAGGATGAGCTGCAGTGGAACTCTTCTGCCTATATTGTAGGCCGTGGGCGTGGTAGTCGTTGCGACCGTTGTGGCAGCGTGTCGGAGGGTTTGTAAAATAACTGTACTAACACTACCCGGATGTGCTGTCTCTTGCTGAGACTCGATGAAACGACCACGAGCAAGATCATGACAAAGCATCGTATTGAATGAAGAAACGATATGAAAACTTTGGCTTTCAGGGAATTTGGCTTGGTTGCTAGGAGAAATACGAAAGGCCAATCTCTTCTCTGTTTTCGAGTACGCCAGGCTCTTGTTTCTGGACAATCTGGGAGCAAGCTCTTCTGATGTGATGCAGAAGGGCGAGGGAGGACGAAGTGTGCAAACTCCCGTAACTATGACTAGTGCATTGGCACAATTTAATAGAGGCACCATAGAGGTCTCACATCACAGCAGCAGAGAAGAATATGGAACAACGATTGTAATGCAACGATGTCAGATTACAACCGCCAGTGGAACTGAATGAAAATGTCACAAGTACTGTGATGATATCTTCATTTACATATCTATCGAATGTGGGTATCGTATCGTAACTAGTGCTCGCTTTGTTCACCCTTCCTCCGCTTCGCCGGAAAAATTGCAAAAATATCCAGTTGTCAGACATATATCGTACAGCCGCTCCGAATTAATCTCAACACCGCTTCCTCACGTGCTGGGGAGTGCATGTGGATTTAGTGGCGGTGGCTACCACGGCCGTCAGTGCCGTGCATGCGGCGAGTGCCAGCAGCCTGTGTGGGAAGAAGTCATGTTAGCAGGTGGAAACGAAAGGGGGATCGAAAAGCACCTAAGAGCAACGTACCTTGACGGCGGGGTTCCTCGTCAGAGTACCCTTGAGCTTCTTGAGCCCGCCGGCGATCTTGTCGCCCAGGGTCGCGTGGCGCTTCTGGTGGTGGACCTTCCTGCGGAACAGGCCGCGGCGCTCGGTGGTGGTGTGGGAAGCGTACTTGCGGGCCATTTTGGAGTTGTTGGTGTCTTGTTTTGTTTTGGATTTTTTGGTGGTCAATGGGTTGATAGAGGTGAAGACTTCTGAGGTGGGAATTCTTCTTGGACTTGAACGTCTGTTATGGTTGATGTGCATTGGATTGGAGTGTGGGGGGATGAATAGGGTTTGTGGGGATGGGAAAGAGATGTTTATATACACGGATTACTCTGATACTGTTGACCTGTGTTTTGCCTGCTACTTGGATATTTCATCATCGGTCACCCAGGGTGTGAGCGTGTCTATTGTACACGTGCGGTGATGCCATTCAGGAGTGATGTCAGCGCAGTAGATCTGGCTGGGCCTAGAACAATACCCTTGCGCTGTGTTGTTGTTCCTCGTCACAACAAGGGTCATTTGTGAGACACTGCCTATTGGAGATTTCAGCTCATTCTCTACTTCGGTACTGAGATGATACTCTGACCTGCCCATACTACGTACGCACGGCAACGAAAGGAGCGCTAGGAAATTTCCCTTGACGGGTGAGAATCAGGTTTTCCCACTGTTGACTGTCAGCCACCCAAAAGGCGACCCTGTGGCTTGCGACGTCATCGGCAGGGTTGCTGGCAGACGGTGTAATACGTGATTGGGCAGAAGTTAGGATAATGTGGGGCACAAGACCCTTGATCTTCAAGGCTGGACTGCCTGAATGCCCATGGGTCAACAAGGTGTGGCTGTTGATGTCACCTTTCTCTCGGGTTCTATTATTCCCTGTTTGAGATGGGCGTTCACGCACACTCTTTCCGCTTCCAGAACCGCGAACGCATCGAGGAGATCGGTGACAGAGAGCGGTGGCCGGTCCGGGTTCCGCTCGCGAATGATGTCGTTGTTCTCGCCCGGGAGGCCTAAAGGGATCTGCATGCGCGCATGTTGTTCCTCTGTCGCAGTAGCGCGTTATGATGGAGGACAAGAAGCGCGTCAGCCGTCTGAGATGACGGAATGAAGCAACAAGCCTACCAGCGTGATGCCAATTGTGATCTGGACGAACAGGTAGGCCAAATACTTGCTTGTCTGCACAACGAAGTCCTTGGCGAGACATCAGAATGACTCGAGAGCTCTCTTGTCCCGGATGCCTCTCTTCTATTGTCTTGCCTGCTTTGGCCATCAAGTCGCACAGCTGCTTCTCTTGAAACTAGCAGGCGCTTCTCCTTGAAAATGTGTTGATGAAGCTTTTTGCACCATCAGGAACGGTCTGCTGTCGACTGCAATGCGCTGGGTTGAGTAATTTTCTTCGCGCTCACTATCTTCCCTACGTGCTTGGGCCATTGTTCCTTCCACATGGACGAAGCTCCTGTTCCTGTGTAGTTCCCAGGCTCGGCGCAAGCTTCTAGATGTCTGTGCCAAGTGGACAAAGGGCTGTTTGTCTGCCTCCGCGCTCTGGCTAGAACGACCAGCGGTCTTTGGGGACATTTGTCCTCAGGAAAGAGCGTATCCTATCATTCACTACAGCTTGTTCAGACAGTCAGGAAACCGTAGCCTAGCGGTTCCTCCAAGGCTGTGGTCCCGTGCCAGTAGTCTAGGTGAACTGGGCTGGCTAGTATGGTGGGATTGCTTGCTTGGCAGTGCTGAGGACAAAGCTTCGCCGGCGACGAGATCCGAAAGCTAGATCTGAGTGTTCGATCCGGAAAGTCTGTGCTCTTGTCAGGGACAAAACATTACGGACAAAAAATTACCGTATAAGTCCACGTACCGAAAGCTTCGGGTTGAGCAGTCGGTAAACTTCAGGGCATGTAGAAATCTTGAGGCTGACCATGTCGTATCGTTTATACTCTTTGACCACATCGAGAGGAGCTTCGGATTTGTCGGGCAAATTGTTTGTTGTCGCACGTTCTGACTTCTGTGTAATGAGTGCTCATCAAGATGCTCGTATCGACTGGAGCTGCTGTCCTCACAACGACCCGGGACGGCCCCACCTGCAAGGGGGACTGTTTCCAGATGCCTGGTAAGGAGCCAGGAACAGAATCTTTTCACCCCTGAGTCCACTCAAAGGCGGACAAGACGGCCACGCCTGGCATTAATTCCCTATCCTGTTGTCCAAGTCAGTCTGGCACCCAATGTGTCTCGCGTGCATCTTCAAATTTCTGGCCCCGACAAATCTGGAGCCCGCATGACTAGAGGCCCCTGCTCTGGTACAAAGACCTAAAGCACAGGCTTGAAACTGGCTTGCAGCTAGGTTCAACTCTGATTCAGCCCGTCGAATGTAGTCGTCAACCAAACCCAGAACGCTCACCTTCGTGCCAGCACGAGACCACTTAGGCAACCCGGCAGCCCGGTAGCCAGGGAATGCCGGCTCAGCACACTGGATGGCAGTCCTTCCCCAACCGTGGGTCGGGCGAACCATGGGTCATATAACTTGAGGAAGATCACCACAGGCACAGGGTGATAGTGACTTCGGGATCTGCAATTGTCAACCTCAAACCATCATCATGCCTTTTCTCAATACATCAAACAAGGCAGGCGGGGGCAACATGGACTCAGCCCTATGCAAGATCATGAGGCCCGCAGAACTGCCGTTGAATTCAGTGATGGCACTGCCACAGCGGTCGTGATCATCATTTCGTCTACAACGGGTGATTGGCCTGGGCAAATACATCCTGGAGGCACCGCATCAACATTGCCTCGTCAGCACCCACTTCCGGCAACGACACCGCGGGTTGGTTAGCCGTCCAGGCGTACTGGCTCACACCTCGTTCCCGGGAGATCATGGTGCCAAACTATATCTCTAACCCACGGACCCTCCTAATAAGCAGACAAGATATTCTAATGGCCGAAGCCCCGGACCCGAATTCCTGGAAGCATCATCCCGCAACCGCGGACCCGACAGCGATCCTGACTCGCTGCCCGCGCGGAGCAAGCCTGCTCGCCTGATGCTTGGCCGCGACGACCCCATCATGCGTGCCTGGATCCCACGGCTCTTTCGTCCCAAGTCGGCCTCTATTCCAAGCCCCGCCATGTGCCCCGTCATTTGGGCCGGTCGCTCTTGAGACCAATGGTTAGGGCGGGTGGGGCAGAGATATGTTTAGATGTTGCAGCAATCCTGGGCAATGGACGGTCAGGTTGCTGTTGCACCGGGTCGAGCCTTATGCCCAGCGGTGCGAAAGTCAATGTGGTGATCCCGCATACCCGGTCTTGGCTCGCCTTACTAGCTGAACTATGCGATGCAGCCCGGGATCTTGGTTGCGAATGCAGCGCGGTGTATATTGCCCGCCGGCCATTGCAACAGCGATGGCCCCTTTGCAGTGGGCTGGCCCCGTCGGATGCAAAGGGAGTCATGAACCATATCTTTTGGGGACGCCTTTGTACGGCCCAGTTCTCCGTTTATTCTTTCCAACAATTCGAGACCGTGGCCGAAGTCCCGCAATCTATCAGACATCGGGATATGTGTTCCAAAGAAAAGAAGACACCCGGGCCGAAGTTCATCATTCCGACAGCACAGACATACAGGCCGTCCCCGATGTCCTCCAGCTGGCTTGGGTGAGCCACAGGGTTGACGCAGTCTCCGAACCGACCGAACGATGTCGACAGCTACGGATGAAATCGTGCAAAAGGCGGCTCAAGCAAGATCGTTCACGCGTGATGGGTTCATATTTCTTGGGATCGCCATTGCTGTCACCCTCCTGCGGACGTACGCCAGGTGGGACATGGCTGGGTTCAAGAGATTTCAGGCCGATGATTATCTGGTTTGGGTTGCGCTTGTGAGTGGTGCCGAGCAAGAAGATTGTTTGCTGGGGTGTAGAGGATATAACTGACTGAAGCTCTCTCACAAAGATGCTGTATAGTGGAGAGACGGCCAGCAATTATCTTTTTGTCAAAGTGAGCCGCGGACTCGCGAATAACGACATGACAGATGAGGAACGTGCAGCTCTGGACCCGAACAGTGTGGAATTCAGCATGAGGTGAGTTTACAGAGAAGACCTGCCCTCCATAACGATGCACATGCTAAGAGATGGCGGCAGAGAAAGAGGGTCAAAGGCGAATTTTGCTGCTTGGCCACAGTACGCAGTAATTATGTGGTCACTCAAGGCTGCGATGTGCGTCTACTACCTACGTCTTATGGTGAGATCCTGCTGCACGCGTGTTACCCATTTCGGTACCCAGACCGTATGAGCAGAGTTCACGGCTGACATTCCCCCAGGAAAGGTCAAAATATCGCAACAGAATTTTCGTGGGCTTTGGCATGATTGGCGTCACCTTCGCAATCGTGATCATAGTTATCTTTGTCTCATGCACCCCAATCACCAAATGGTGGCAGATGTATCCGGACCCAGGACGTGAGTGAACCACAGTGGGCGAACGTCCAGACACCGATGAATTTAGGCCACTGACTGACCAGCTCTTACACATTTACAGCGCTCTGCTACTCTGTGTCCTCCCCGGCCATCCTGTGGACGTTCATGGCGTGCAACATTATTACCGATCTTTACATCATCTGGCTACCAATGCCAATGCTCTTCAAGTCGACGCTGCCCATGCCTACCAAGATAGCGCTGGCGACCTTATTCGGCTGCGGTATATTCGTCACAATCGCCGGCATACTGCGGGTAACATACATCATCTACGTAAGTCCCCCCCCCCCCCCCTTCGATCTTCACTTCAGTCTGGGTATGGCTGACACCCACGACTGACCACAGTCACCACACGATCTTCACCACATCAGCTTCTGGGCCGTGCGAGAAACATTCGTCGGCATCGTGACGACAAACCTGCCGTGCATCTTCGTGCTAGTGAGGCGATGGCTGTCGCCGTTCTTCAGCTTCCTCCGGACGGGCAGCTTCAACAGCAGCGGCAAGACGAAGCTTTCGCGGCCCAAGAGCATCTGGGCCGGCCAGGGCCAGGCGCACGCCGCGACGCACAAGTCCAAGTCCTCCTCGGGGGCAGCGAGGGGGTCCCATGCCTACGCGATGGGCACGTTCGCCATGGCTGAGGGGAGTAGCAGCCAGGAGCGCATAGTTTCGGACTGGCCCGACGGCGGCGAGGGCGGGTTTGGCGCTAGGTTGGGCCGCAAGGTCTCGATGAAGCGGTCTCGCAGTACCAAGGAACCTAAGGGGGGCGAGCATGTTGTCGAGCTTGAGGGCATACAGAAAATGGTTGACATTACGATTGTGGAGGAACACAGGCCCGTGGCGGTTTATAAGATTGCCGATGAAGAGGCGAGCAGGACCACCAAGTCGATTGACTTCCCCGAACCCCCTGATTCGGTGTATGACAGGCGGTGACGTGTTTTATGTGTCTTTATGTTTGATTCCTTGGGCCTTGGTTAGGACCAAACTGGCTATAGTGTAATGTACGAGATACCCCAAAGAGAGCATGTGTTTCAGCACTTGTATATTGCTGGAGTGTGAATATATACCTAGGCTACCGATAACTTAGCTCTGGAGTTCGTTATTTCACGTTATACTGCGTATATATTAAAAATGTTCTCCTAACCCATGTCCCAAAGACGAGTTGCTGCCCCTCAGATCAGTTGATTTAACAAATGCACCTTTATGCAGATCAAACGCCAGGCAGTGTGCAACTCACAAAGGTTAGGACAGATGTAAGCCACTGTTCCACATATTCAAGGTCGTTCGGTCAAGTTTTTCTTGATCGTTGCGAGGTCCTCCTCCGAAAACCCCAGCACATTGATCGCATACCCTTCGAAGCCTCCAAACTTCATGCCGACAGCCTCGACAAATGCATCCCAGCAAACCCCTCGCAAGCTGACCAGATTGAGGAACCCAGGGGCCTCGTCGAAGGATGTCGAGCTGTCGCCATTGCCGGCACTACCCTTACTGTACTTCCTGGCAAACCCGAGGAGGTGCTCCCGCGCCACCTCCGTGCCGATCCGCGACAGCAGGAAGTCCGTCCGCACAGTCTCGGCATCATACCCAGCCAGCGTCTCCAGCAAGCCCGCCAGCACACCTGTGCGATCTCTCCCCGCTGTCGACGCGCCAAGGCACGCGGGTCAACCAATATGACCCAGCATTCCGACCGCCCGTCCAAGGAAGGGCTAACTAAGAAACTCACTCACCTGTGCAATGGAACATGATCGCCTCGTCCGGCCGGTCCCTCACGCTGGCCAGGACTTCCCGGAAGGTCCCCCTGTACTTGTCGAGCACATCCATATACATGGCGATGTAGCCGCCCTCGCCCTGGCCGTCAACGAACAAGTCCAGGTCCAGCATCGGGTTCTCCTCCGCGGCGCCGTTGCCCTCGTCGCCGAGCCACACGCCCTCGATGCCCTCGAGCGCCGGGTCCGCGGCGCGGGCGTGCTCCTCGCGCGAGCGCATGTCGAAGATGCGCCGCACGTGCAGGGCCTCGCGCAGCGTGGCCTGCCCGTCCGCCGAGCGCGCCAGGGCCTCGAGCCCGCCGGTGCGGAAGATGAAGCCCGGGCGGATGCCCGTGCCTGGCTGGAGGAGGCCCAGGTCCCGCGTGTTGAAGGTGCCCGGGACCAGCACGAAGGGCGGGGTCTGCAGCGCCGCCAGGAGGGCTGTTGCCGGGATGGGCTCGCGGACGTCTGTCTCTGCTAGGTCACGGAGGGCGGCAGCCATATTTGTATATTCCCGGTGTTCGTTGTTGGTCTGTGACGGGTGTATGGATGGGAGGGGGAGGGGGGAGGGGGGAGGGGTCGGTAAAGTGGGACCTTGCTGTGCCGCAGAGATGCAGCGGTGGTGTTTTGGCGAGGTTCTCTTCCGCTGTGTTGGGTGTCTGACTGTGTGTTTACTTGTGTGTTCTCCGGTTGGGTGAGCCAATCTACCTGTCAGCCTGGGGGTTAGGATTAAGCCAGCTGGTCTCGGATGAATTGACCAACGGTGTTGACTTTAGTGAAGACGAATACGGTGAGGAGAGGAGAGGAGAGGGTGGTACTGGGCCTAGGTTGTTCGGTTGTCAGCAGCTCGACAAGGAGGCTAGTGGTGTTGTGCTTGTATCCCCGCTGATGGGACCTTGATGGACAGGCCTGCATATGATGGCTCAGAATCCTTATTTTAACCTCACCTCTTCCTCTCACTCTCCTCCCGTCATCTTCGCAGATGGTTGATTTCCAGTCATCTTCTTCCCTATAGTCGTCGACATTGTCATCAATTTCCAACTTGCGGATTGGTCTTCTCCGTGACATTCGCCACATGAGTTGCTTCAACCCCATTTTATGCTCCCCTCCCTCATCCGCTCGATCCTACCACGCATCCGTGTCACATGGCGGTCCAATGGAAGTTGTGAGAGATGGTTTCGGACTGTATTCTTGAATCCTTCATTTTCTTACCGCTGAAGCCTAATTTTGATCTACTGACAACTTCAATCTATTTGTTTTCCAACCGAGGTAGTACTCTCAGTGCTTCTCAAAGTTCTCATTGACCAGCACATACCTGTACCTCGCTTTACCCGCCTCCATATCAACTACAACCTGGTTGGCCTCCTTCAGCGGCCTGGCCTGCACCCATGGCTTGATCTTCTTGTCTGCCGCAAGCTGGAGCATCTCAGTAATATCGTTCGGGCTGCCGATGGCACTGCCGCCGATCTTGATTCCATTGCCGATGAGCGTGAACGCGTTGACGGGTGGGAGGTTGCCGCCATCTGGGGCGCCGACCTGAATGAAGGTGCCCTTGACCTTGAGGAGACCCAGGTACTCGGACAAGGGCATGTTGGCATTCGAGACCGTGGAGATGATGAGGTCCAGCGAGCGTCGGTTCTTGGGCGCCCAGTCCTTGTCGTCAGCGGTGGCGATGTAGGCGTCGGCCCCAAGCTTCAGCACGTCGTCCTTCTTGTCTGCTTTGCGGCTGATGCCGACAACCTTGTCAGCGCCGAGAGCCTTGGCGAACAGGACCGCGAAGTGGCCCAGACCGCCCACGCCGACCACGCCAACAGTCTTGCCCGGTCCGCAGCCGTTGTTTTTCAGAGGGCTGTAGACCGTGATACCACCACAAAGCATTGGTGCAGCATCAGCACTGTCGAGGCCATCTGGGATAGGAATCACGAAGTGGCCATTGGTTCTGTTATAATCGGCATAGCCACCATACGACTTGCCCTCGTCGTTGGGGTAGACTGAGCCGTACGTGTTGACTGATTCGTTGCCGCAGTAGCTCTCATGGTTGCTGGAGCACTCCGCGCAGTCGGGCTTGAGGCACGACCTGGCCTGGGCACCAACGCCCACGCGGTCGCCTTTCTTGACGTGCGAAACGTTCTTACCAACCCGGACAGCGGTGCCGACGATCTCATGGCCCACGACGCAGGCTAAGAAGGGGGTAAAGTCAGTAAAGCGCGGCAAGCGGGTGGCTTGATCAAGGTCTTGGCTCACGGTAAGGAGTTGGGAACCAGCCGGACTTGAGCGTGTGCAAGTCAGAGCCGCACACGCCGCAGTGGGAGATCTCGATGTCGACGTCGTCTTCTGTCCATTTCTTGGGCTCGAAGGCACCCCATTCCATCTTGCCATTGACAGACTCCTCGTCCTTTCCGAGCCATCCCTCGAACTTTGGTGCGGCCATGATGATATGTGTGTTATGAGATCAAGTGGGAAGAGAGTGGATACCCGGCGACGAGGCGAGTTGAGATGAGAATGCTATCAGGGTGAGTGGTGATGGAGGTCTATTGTGAGAGTTGAAGCGTGGGTTGACGATCGAGTGATGAGAATGAAGTCCGGTTTGCGCTGAATGGGAGAAGATGAGGGCGATTTGGCTTTTTATGTTCTCAGAACTGTCCTCTGTTGCCCTCGCTATCGTCCTGTCACCGTATCGACACCGACCTCCCGCTGTCCCTGTCAATGACGTACCGTGTCGAACGAGCTACAGTTTGTTAGCAAGCACCGCTCAGGCCGACAAACAAAGACTATTGCTAGGTCCTGCCCAGGCAAATTCCGGTGCTACTCCGGACTAGACGGCTGGGTAGAAGATTTGGAAGCGGCCGCTGTGGCCGTTGACGGGACGGCGTTTAGCACCAGGCCCGAACCCCCAACCTCCATTCCATACATGCATTGAACATGTCTCCATCCAGCTCTCCACCCTCGACCGCTCGATCTTTCCACCTCAGGTCGCATTAAGTTTCTCGAGTGCCGTCCCGACCCAGCCGCTAGAGCCGATTTTAGATAGTGCCGCCGTCGTGCCCCTGAGACCCCTCCTGGGGATTAGTAAACTATCCACAACGTTCGTGGTGGCACGGCTCAGGTCCGTGTTTGCAGTTGCGCAATTGGCTCGAATATCATTGTCGCTGATACCTGCAATGAGTCAAGGAAGGCCTTGGTCGTTATGCGGTGCCACAGAACCGCGCAGAACTATGATAAGGGGGCCTTAACCCCGATGCTTAAATCCTAACCCCAATTTTGGAAACCCACGGCGGCGATCTGCCTCGGCTGCATTGCTCTGGTCTCCGGGAAGTGCGGTTGGCTAAAAGCATAAACCAAAGCATTGTTGCTCAACGGAGCTTGATTGGGCAGCTCGTGCTCCGTCGGGTCAATGTTTTGCAATATTTTCACCGCTTGCCAGAAGTCCACCTGAGAGTAGGTAAATTGTGCTGAAAATTATCTACTCGAGTACCTACGTATGTAGCTGAGTAAGGCGTTGTCCAAGAAGTAGGGATCTCTTTTCCCCAACTGTCCAGCCACTGGACCCACCACTGCATCTCGTTACGACTTCAATGATAAAACAAGAGAAGAGAATTTGAAGTTGGATCAGACCACCTTACTGGAGTCTGGTATCAAAATCAAGAGGTAACAGCGAAGGCCCCGTCGAGAGGAGCCTTTTGTCACATGCAGTTCGTAACGGACAAAGTCTGTCACAACTATCAGGCCTTCCCCATCAAGCCAACAAGACCCATGATGATGTCTGTGACAGATGCCGGCGTCAAAGGTCCGGGGCTCTCTTCAAAAGAGACAACATCGTCAGCAAGGAGACAGACTTGAGTGGACAAATCAGGAGGGTGATACTGACTGGCCAGAACCTGCCTCACTTGCGTCGACTGCGTCCCGTTCGTCACGATTGACATGAGGGACGAGTAAAGACAGCCCAACACAGTAGTGGTTGAGCCGGTGACTCTGTTCAACACGAAATTGATGGGCGTGCAGAGTGTGTCGGTATCGTCCGGGTTGATATAGGACGGCTGCGGGTCACTCTCGTACGCGAGCCGCGCAAGGGTGTTGTCTGAAGATAGGGCACAGCTTAGCAACTATCATTTCGGATGATTGTTGGTGCCACTGCCTCCGTTGGAAGAGTCTGGGAAAGCGACGAAGACACAGGAGCGAGCATTCAACAGATGAACCATAGACTCACCATGTTCATTGTACTTGGGCCACCCCAGATTCGACAGGCCATTCTCTGGATCTCTGGCGAACTCAGCCCAGGCGTTCCTCATGAACGCTCCCATGGACGCCTGCGCAGGCGTGTCCTGAATCCCCGTCAGCCACGACGCCGTGCCAAACACAACGGGCAGCTCGGCGGTGTGGTAGCCGGACCCGACGTAATTGATGTAGAGGTTCGTGTAGTTGCCCCCGTAGAAGCGGTACCGGTACGTCGTAACGCCCTGGTCCGCCCTCAGGCCGGCCGCCTGGCGCGAACCGCAGGTGAAGCCGATGAGGTTGACGATGTCAAAGATAGGCCGGACCAAATTTGTCAGCGGCGCGAGCGTGTTCACCGTTGACTTGTCAAAATACGTATACGCGAGCAGGACTGGCCATACGAAGCTGGCTTCGTCGTCGACGTTACCGACCAGCATTGGTACCTTCGCGAAATTGCCAGCATTGAGGCGGTCAACCGCCGCTGTCGGGGCCGATATGTCGTCTGCAATGGGTGCGAAACCCGTGGCGACTGGGGCATTGTCAACAAATTGCATCAACGTTGAAAAATTTCTTGTTGGGTATTACTCTAGCAAGCTGTTGGCCTGGAAATCTGCTTGTTCAGGGAAACGCCAGGGCCCAAAACAGCTCATTGCGGAGGAAGATGGTCTTTCTATGATCACTTACTTGCAATGTAATCATTCTCGTTAACAGCACCCAGGATCTCAGCCGTGGTCTTCATACGCATACAGTCCACGGTCCGCATCCCAGCCTCCTCGCCACCACAACCGGCCGAGGCAGAGACGTTATACCACGCTGTAGCGCCGTTCTCGGGCGTCCCGGTCAGGCCCCCGACCGCGCCACTGGCCACCCCCGACTGCGGGATAAACCCGTGGGCGATGGGGTCATTCGGGTACATCATGTTGAGATAGTCAGTTGACGCCCCGCCGGCTGACTGGCCAAACACGGCGATGCGCGATGGGTCGCCGCCGAACGCGGCGATGTTGTCGCGCGTCCATTCGAGAGCCATTCGCTGGTCCAGCAGCCCGACGTTCTGCTGCAGGCCAGGGGCACCCGGGAAGCCGAAGATATTGACGCGATAGTTTGGCGAGACCACCACTACATCGTTCTCGTCGGCGAGCACCGAGCCGTCATATATTTCGCACGCCGTGTTGCCGATAGAGAAGCCTGCTCACCCGAACGATGGTAAACTATTTTGAACGGAATATTCTGATGACTCTGAGAAAGGGGATGCTATAGGTGGGAGGCTTACCTCCGCCAAAGATCCAGAACAACACTGCCTTGGGTGCACCCGTCCCCGACTGCGGTTTTGTCCACACGTTCAGTGACAGGCAGTCCTCGCTCAGCGGCCGTCCGGTCTGGGCTTCGGCGGTGAGAATCGCCTGCCCGGCTGGCCCGCCAATATAGGCCTCATCAGTCGGGACTAGAACTTGTCAGTGAATTGTCTTCTATCCTTATGTGCCAAGAAGAAGAGCGCCGTATCCGCAGGATGTGCAAGAAAAGGCCGAATTGCCATGCGTGAGAACAAATGTCATATTGAAGACACGCAGAATTGTAAGGCCTCTCCTTTCGAGCTTCCTGAATTTACTTACTATGATTGCTTGGGCAGTCAGGCCCAAAGTTTGAGGCATCGAATGTACTCGAGTTTCCGGAATTACTGAACGAGGTCACCGCCACAGGAGGCATGAAGCGCAGCTGACCGGTCGGAGGCTGGGCAAAGGGGATGCCCAGGTACGCAGAGACGTCCGGCCGCACGCGGGAGGGAGCGCCTCTCACAGCACCAGCTCTCACGGTTACAGGCTGGCCTACGGTCCATGATGTCTGCCGGGGTTTTGTCTCCGTGAAGCCCAGGCCGGTGAGGGCTGGGAGCAGGATGAGCAGTGAGCGGACGGCGTGCATGGCGGTTTGATTATGATAATGATTATAGAAGACAAAAGGTAGTATTATCTTTCGTTGCGTACCACAATCTCAAAACCTTCTTCGCTCGGGTTGCCAGAGAGCAGCAGCAGACCTCGTCCGTCAAAGCCCGGCGCCCGGGAGGCGTCGCTGACATTGTGGTGGATATATATGTATATACGCGAATACCTTAGTCCATACAATTTGTGATCCCATGCAGACTTCCATCCAACTTCGGTCATGCACATGCCATCTCAACGAGGGACTGCGTCATTGGACTCTGCACACCAGGCCAGACAAGCCCGTCTGAACAAGGGGAGAGATGAATGCTGCCGCCACCTACTCCGTACCGGGGAGAGGGAAGCCGTCTGAACATCAGACCAACGACCTGCCAGGCACCTACTCCGTGCCGGCCAATCTACACAATACAGTCTCCATTTACCGTATTCAGTCACAAGCAAAAAGGGAAAATCAAGGAAAATATCCATCAGAGAGGCAGGCGAGGGGAGTCATCCCAGCACACTTATCACTATTATTCGCATCAGTTCCCATTCTGGCGACAGATCAACACAAACCGTTTACAGCGGGAGCTGTCGCCCTCAGCGGCTAAAGCTCGAAGCCCAGGATGCCATGGACAGGAATGCGGGGGCACCAATCTGTCAAGCAATTCTGACGGGCCGCGGGACCATCGTCTGAACTTCTCAACTCAACAGTGAAGGCGGTTTTCCCGGGGCCGGGGTGTCGGCAGATTACACATTCTCATCCTTGTCACCCTGCTTGGCGCATACTAGGCGATGATGATGCCTTCTGTGTGGGAAGCCGATGCGAATGCCACGTCGGGCATATAAACGGTGTCATGTGATGGAATATACCTATTAAACAATCTGACCTAGGTTGTCCATCATTCGATGTATCGATGTAGTGATTTCCACGGCATTCGGAAAAGTGTGCGAATGACTGTTTGAGTTTTAAAATTCAATCCTATGAACATAACTCTGGGGGGAAACAGAGGCTAAGAAACTAGGTATCCCTGGGTCGTAACAATGCATTCCGCTGGTTCAAAGTGGCGCCTATCCATGCCATTCAACAAACGCCTATCCTATATCATACTCCAATACTTCTTTCCTTTCGGCCTAGTCCAAACATGACGGGCCGCCAAAAGATATGCCAGGGACAACAGCATATCATTCAAAAAATAGAATGACTTGAAGCCAATGACCCGACTTTACACCAGTGTCGATCCAACCTGATGCTTGTCACACCTCTTTCTGTGTATTTTCAAGGGGCCTCGTTACCAGAAAGCTCCACAAGCACCAGCAGGGTTCCAAAGTTCCTCAACCGGCGTTGTGAGTCCCATCTCCAACCAACTCTATCGTGAGGGAGCTGGTAATGGCAACGGAGTGGTAGTGGGTGCGCTAACAGGAGTTGGCGTTGACGTTGCAGGCGTCGCCGTAGTCGCCTGCTTGTTTCTGAGATACGTATCGATCCGGGGTCTGAGACTGTTGATGAGCGCGTCTTCGGCTTCCTTCAGGCCGAGCTTCGTGCTCACGGCAGTGCGTGGGATGATTGTATCATCTGTGAACTCTAGCACACGATTCACAGCACTCATAACCAGAATCTCAGCTTGGAGCTGACCAACTTTGGGTATAAGCACTTGCTGGCTGAGCCGTTTGTACTGCTGAATCACGTCAATGAGACTAGGGTCCAGTAGCTGAACGTCGGTCGAAGCGGGGACAGGAGTGCCTGGTGCTGGTGTCGGACTTGAGCGGGCTGGGGCTGGACTATTAATGGCTGGGACTCCAGCAGAGTGTACGCCAGTTGACGATCCAGAAGTGTTGCCAATGCCGACAGCCGTGCTAGTATGAGAAGCAGTCCCTGGATTCGTAGAAGTAGCTGCCGTGGGACCTGCAGAAGCAGGTCTGGGGATAGACGAATCAGCGCGACCAGACCCAGTATCTGTTCCCCCAGTGGTGCCATTTGAAGTGCTGGCGGTCGCAGCCAGAGATCCATTGACTTGACTGGCGCAGGTAGCAGGACCGTTGGGAGCAGAGTTTGGCAATGCATGTGTAAGAGAAGGTGTCGTCGCCGGGGCTGATCCAGCTGCGCCGGCGGCACTGTTTCCGTTCACAGTCGGCGTTGCTGTTGCCGATGGGGGCCTGAGTGGCGCTGGTGTGGCTGTCGATGCTGCGATGGCCTTCGGCTTCGAATAGGTTAACTTGTGTGTGTGAAATATGTTGATGATTGCTTTCTCGAAATTCTCGTACTCTGGCGTCAGGCTCGTGTCGGTGAGTCCTAGCCCGCGATTGATTACAGACACGGCAACAGCGTGAGGCCGGCTTACGCGGCCTTGGAGTTGCTTGACGACCTCGCTGGAAAATTTCCTGATGAACTCTCTCAGTGATGGCTCCACCACGGGCCCTAAAGCTGCGGGCGGTATGCTCTTCGACAACGGCTGCTGTGGGTGCGGTTGACTAGGGGCTCGTTGATTCTGTTGTACCGGACCAGTATGAACAGCCGCAGGGCCACCACCACGCTGAGTTATTAGTGGCGCGCCCTGGCCAGGCCGAGCCATGAGGGGCTGCTGAGCATGGGTCTGCACGGCGAGAGAGCCAACAGTTGCACTATGCCCCTGGGATAGGTTCGTTGGTCTTGCGCTGGGTGCCGTCGTATTGTAAGGATGCTGCTGATGGCTCGGATACGGTGGCCTCGACTGTGCGGTCGTAGCCGTATGAGTGCCTGGCTGGGGCACGGTAGTCGAAAGCGGCGGCGGCGGCTGCTGCTGCTGTGGCTGTTGCTGCGGTGGCGGATGCGGAAAATTCTGGCGAATGCCGGCCTGCTGGCTTGGTGTGTTGCCAGGAAGGGCGGGATTTTGGTATGCAGCTGGCTGCGCCTGACCGCCGGGATGATATCGTTGCATCCCATTCATCTGAGGGGTTACTCCAGCAGGGCCCATGTGTTGATTTGTATAATTCGGGGCTTGTACAGGTTGCTGATAGCCTTGGCCATGATTGAAGTTGGGTGCGAAGACCTGTGGAGGTCGCTGCTCCGAGGCAGTATCGCTTGGCTTCCGCTTCTTGCCTGACTCCAACGGAATCCCTGGGACACGCTTCCAGAGGTGTGTCTCATTGTTCTTCTGGAAGCAGAGACTCCCGATCAGGTTGTGTCGCACACTACTTTCCCAGCCCTTGGTATCCACGCAGAAACAAAAGTACGGATACAAGGTCGCGATCCTCTTGTAGATCTGCTTCAAGGTCAGCCCATCGGGAGCTGCACATAAGACCTCGTCGATCAGCATCTGGTAGTTCTTGTTGGGCTTTTGCAGCTTGTCTTCCGGCCAGTCCTCCTTCTTCCCCAAGTCTAGAGGAGGGGTCTTTGGCTTTTGAAGCCGCTTCTGCTTGTCAGCCTTGTCGCCCTCTGGATCTTCCTCGTCCTCTCCATCTTCATTCTTTGGCTTGCGTGGTTTGTATTTGCGCTTCTCCGGCTGGTCGCCCTCATCCTCAGGCCGAGGATGCTTTCTCGGCCGTCCGACCTTCCTCTTGACCGGGGGCTCGCCTGGTTCTTGAGGTGGATTATTCTTCTTGTCCTCTTCTTCGCGCTTCTTTTTGAGCTCTCGTTCTTCCCTCTTGGACATGACGCCATTCTTTGGAGGGCGCCCCGGGCCACGTTTCTTTGGAGGCGCCACAGTCTGTGACACGTCCGGCTCCACTGACGCCGTAGGGTTTTTGACTGAATCAGATTCGATCGTCTGTCGTATTGGCCCCTCCGGCTCAGTCTTGTCAACGCCATCATTGACAGTTGGCTTTGGACTGGCAGACTCATCCGGCTCGTCATCTTCATCATCTTCATCATCTGTATCGAGCATTGCCTTCGCAGAAGGAATCTCTCCGTCAGAGAGTGATCCTTCACTGGTGTCCCGCATGTCTTCCCGGGCACCGGGGTTCTGAAAGTCGAAGCTCATCGACTTGCCGCCTTCTGAGTAGGTCATCGGGGATTCATTGCCATACTTGCCTTCGTCAACGCCGCTGATGGTGAATATGAAGCCGACGGCTTGGATTTGAAGATGGTCACCAGATCGGAGGAAAACAGTCTCGTCCTTGTGATAGAGTACCTCCTCACAAAAGAAGCCATTCCTGCCGATGGCTGTTGCCTTCCAGACACGGCGGTCTTCATCGTACTCTATCTTGAGATGATCCCTTGAGATCCCCTTGGAGGTCTCAATGATATCGGGACCAGCACCATGGATGTCAACTCTGGCTACAATGTCAGAGGATGGGCGAAGAGCGTCTATGTCGACCGGTATAGCGCCAGGTGTGTGATCAATGTATTGCCGACTGCTAATGACGTTGTCCTGCGCCGATGGGTCATCCGCGGCTGCTGCCTCCTGCCGCGGCGAGAGCGCATATCGGCCACTGTGAGCCGTCTTACGCCGCTTCGAGGATCTTGACTTCCCCTCGCCGTCCGACTCGGGGCCCAGAGCACCACCCTCTTGACTAACGTAGGATCTGCTGTAGGCGAAACGTTTTACGGGCTCTCCCGATAGAGAAAAGCCTTCCTCGGCTCGCTTCTTATTTAACTGGGCCCTTTTGTAGACGCGTTGATCCCTTCCTATTATTGTCGTGTTTGTGGTGAGTGCTACAAAAGTATCGGCAAACTCTAAGCGTGCCATCCTGTCGAAACCGGTTTCATCGAGTACTGGCTCGTCAAGCGAGACTGCGTCGTCAGCGTCCGCAAGATGTGCAGGGAGGTTCAGGGAAAGTTTGGCGCTGGCGTCCGGTTGGGATGAATATTGTCCAGGAGCGATCGACCAAGGTAGAGACATCTCTTCTTGGGGCACGGCGAAGTGTGCGGCCGTCGAGAGGTTGAAGTCTGCGGGTAAGCCGTGTATGAAGTCCGGCGGGATGGGGTCCTGTAGCATTGCTATATCATGGCTCGCGATATCAATGGGAAGTCCAGCCTGTGCGGAGGCAATGAGTGCTGCAGCATCGGCAGCAGAGAGCGGGACATCTTCAGCGGACCCAGGTTGGTTGGACTGCGACGAGGGGTGCTGGGTCTTGTCGAGCCAGTCTTGAACAGCTTCGACGGGGCCATCTTCATTGCCGGTGGAGGATGGCAGCGGGGTCGTGTCGTCGTGGGGCACGGAGGGTTGAACGGGTTGGGCTGGTGAGTCGGATGACGGGGGCAGATTCCTTGACGGGGACGGAACTTGGTTCGTTGTGGCGGTTGTGTCGTGACTATTGTTCGTAGGAATGGGGTCTTGATCAGAGGGCCGGTCGCCCGCAGTCGCAGGCGGGGTGTGCGAGGGAGCTGGCTGGGCATCCGCGGGTTGCGATTGGGATTGCGACTGGGCCTGCGGTTGTTGTGATTGTGGTTGTGGTTGCGGTGTACTGTGGTGGCGGCTGGGGCCGTCCTGGGAATGGGACGAGTTCATCGCCGGTGGCTATCGACAGCTTGCCCGTCGGGTATACATGAGATGCGGTAGGGGGTGGTTGTTGTTATGGAGTACATGTGTATACGGTTGGGAATGCAAGTGGTGAACAGTGAGATTCGGGCGGTAGAAGTTGAAGTGCTCGCAAGGTAAATGCTAAATGCGATTAGATGCGATCGACGACGGGGAGGTGCACTTGGAGAGTCCAGTGGGGCACCTTCCTGCCGCAAAGACGCCGGCAATCGGGTGGCCAGTAATATGCGGCGATTCTGGGCTGGACCCACCAAAAAGTTTGGATCTTGGGTCAATTGATGGGCAGCCAGGTGCAGAGCTTGGGGCAGCAGAGCAGGAGCTAACGGCAGAAGGTGCAGGGTGAGGGCAGGCCAGGCCAAGACTATCCAGGCTAGACTGCCTCGAGACTGCCCATCAGGGTCGGCCTCTGGTCATTCGTCACTGCAGACCTTTGTCATTATTATCCTGTCCCATTCCTCTCATACATAAAAAGCTTTCACTCATCTTTTCCCTTCCTCGTCAAGTACGAGCTGCAGCGATGTTTGAGTTGCCAACTGTGACCGAGTGACTGTGCATGACTCTTTTTTTTCTTCTTTCTGAGTCCCTTCTCGGATGACCCTTCTGTTCGATCTGCTTCAATATGAGATCAGAGGCACTCTTGTTCTTGTTGTCTTAGGCAGCCATCTCCCACTGAGTCATACGATCTTGGAATGCCTTCATCATCATCACTTTTGCAGTCGATCTAGTCTCTCAAGGGCCGAGGGAGGGAGAAGAATGACTAAGTCCGCCTTCGATCTCTCAGTTCCATTTGGAAGAAGACGGAAGCATCCGAGTCACGCAGCAAGCATGAGGGGATTATGGAGTTGGTTGAACCAACAGCCCACTCGTTACTGATGCCGCTGAGGTAGCGTGTGGGGGCTGTTTTCTCTCTCCCCTACTGTGCCACAACGAGGACGAGCAACGCTTTGGAACCCACATTGACCAGACCAGTCCATCCAGTTGGCTCCCCTCAATCCAGCTCAGCCTGACTGACAGTTCAGCCTCAACTCAAGATAGGTCACCACTCTATATTAACACCAAAGTCTCACATCTATATGTTGATCTGTCTATCTCTGCTCTCTGCCCCTTGCCATCGCAGCTTACGCATCTTACACACCTGGAAGGCACACCTTAAAAGCTTAGGTGGTACACACGTGCTGTGTCTGGCCAGCCAGCCAGGTTGGCCCTCAGCCTCGCCCAAGGATCGGCCAGATCCATCCATGGCTACCCCCCCGCCCCCGACCTGCATACCACTATCTTTATTTATATACACCCTCAACCTGCACCTGCACCTCCGTCTTACATGAGGTCGCTCTGGTGGGACTCTGAGGGCACCCGCCGTATTCCTATTGTCGTCCTTGCTCTGCCAACGCCGCGCTATCCTGAGTGCAACTGTTGTTTCTTGTCCGGCCTGGCCTGGCCCGGGCCCCCAGCTCCTCCTTCGGGCGAAGAAATGGAGCTCACCACGCCTCCACCACCTGCCAACATGACGATTAGGATCAATATAGCACAATGCTACCAACACACCTGCGTTAAGTATTTCATCAGTCAGGGGCGCATGCCCGCTTTCTACATTTCTTTCTGTCGTTTCCTGCTGTTCTGTAACTGCTGTCGATTTCGCTCGACCCTTTCACTTCTTCTCTCTCCCCCAAGCTCAGTCAGCTCTTGAGTGGGCGTCTCGCATCGACTATCGTGTGTATCCCAAAGGATTCCTGCCACCAATCCTGCCCCTTCCATCCGAACCCCTCTTCTCGTCCTTCCCTTTCTTGCTCATGCTATGTTATGAGTCGCCCGTTTTCTTTTACTTGGTTCGCCTTCCTGGCTCTTCTTAGTCCCCTCGCACCCTTGACCGCAAAGTACGCCATCACATATCCAGGCGCTACTTGTCTTGCATAAGCCTCGCTGTTCCACTCGACAGACATCTTTGAGAGGGTTGGCTCGATACCAGTGGCCAACATGAATCGGCAGTCAGGTTCCCACTTGCCCATACCCGTAACGCCCAAGGAAAGCCCGTCTCAGGAGCCCCTTCTGCCTTCCCACAAGCAGAAGAGAAAGAGCAGGGAAAAGAGATCAAGCTTTGGGCTTTTCCCCAGGCAAAAGACATCGCCGATATGGAGGCCATCGACGGGGCACTCGCCACAAACACCACAGTGGCCCCTTCCGCGGATGCCGATTCGTATACGCGATGAGAACCCAGCTTTGACCAAGACTTACACACAGCCTCGCGAGGCACCACTTCCTCCACCTCCCAGCGCCAGCAGCCACCGGAGCAGCAGCAGCGCGAGCAGCACCACGACGTTGGGCAATGATCCCCATCGGAGTCCAAGGACACGAGAACAGCCAGCACCACCCTCATCACCAACGCCGACAAATCCACACCACCCGCGCTCTCCTCGATCCCCAAACAGCCCACAACGTCCGCCTTACTTTCCATCACTCCACCAGCGTGGCGGGAGCGGTTTCCAGACGAGATACCTCAACATGCTGCTTAATTTGGACAAGATCCCACGCGCACACAACATCTTTTCAAACATTTTTGCATGGATGGTCCTCGTTGCTTTCGTCATTGCCCCTGCCAACTTCACGGGCTTTCCAGCGGACAAGTCGTTGATGGTGAGCGGTAAGGATGATCTGTCATCCATACCTCTCACTACATCTGCTACTCTCAAGAAGATCCCCTCAATTCCCCTGCTGGCGATCTGCTGCGTTTCTTTTTTCCTCGGAGTACTAGGCATGCTCTGGCTCGCGGTCTACTGGAGGCGGAATTATATCTGGCTGATGAATCGCATCTACCTCCCTCTTATCCTCAACAGTCTGGCGGGTTTTATCGCGACCATGGTAATCGTCCACGTGCAGCACGGCTGGCACTGGAGCATCGCCGCCCTGGTGACGGTTTCATTCGAGGGTGCAAGTCTGGCCGTCGGTCTGAGCTTGTTCGCCCTGTACCAATACTGGCTCCTGGCGAAGCTGAAGAGCGAGCACTACCGCGAGACTAGCAGGAAGAGGACTGTAGACCTTGTGAAAGCGGGCAAGGCGCCGCCTTTTGCACCTGGGAGCGTTGTCTAATGTGTAAGATATGAAGTCATTGTGTTTTCTTTCTCTTCTGCGCAATGCGCCATGTATTCTTGAACCATCTGTTTAAAGCGGGGTGCTTTGGTGTCTATCGATTCCCTTTGTCGTATCATGCTTTTATGAGGGGAATTAGATACCATGATATTGTATACATATTTACATGTAATGTTCTTGATTCCGAGTGATCAAAGTGCTACAAACGAGAAGAGAATGCCTCGTGCTACTACTTGAGCGCACTGGGGTCATAAACAGGCCTGTCGAAGCTTTCCCCCACCACTATGGACTGACTGACAGGGAGACAGCGCCATCGACGAGTGTGTGTTCGCGGTGACGAGACACAAACTGTGGATGAGGCTATCCGGAATTGTATGCATCAGGCGTTCGATTCCTATGGCCAGCGGTTCCAAGCAAGAGCAACTAGAGCGTGTGCTTGAGCGCCTACGTATTTTGAACACCAGCGTAAATCGTCTTTTCTATATAATATTTCTCGGCGTAGACAGTAATGCTTTATAGTATGTATATTTTGTGCTTTCCGCTTAATGAGTGGCTACTGAAATTATCTAGTTTGCTCTCTATCGACCATATGTACTGACGCAGTTGGCCTAAGTGATGCTCACTGCATGCGTTGCGATACTCTCTGACGGAGAAGGGGCAATTTGTGCAGGATTCGCCGAATGAAGGGGCCTTGTGGTCCCTGTCAGCTGCAAGTGACCCAAATCCAACGTCCCAGTCCTTCTCTCTCAATTTTCGCTCACGTAGTCTAAGCGGCACCATTTCATTTTCCCAGCTGACGGACCTTCTCCGGAGAAACGCGAAGAAGCATCGAGAAATAATGATAGAAGTGGTCAGTCTGGCCGACGGCCCGAACAGCAGATAAAACTGGACATTGTTCCGGTGATCACCCTGCCCCAATCCTCTGACAGCTTTCGGGCTTTCCCCTCGGACAGCCGATTGCGGATGCGACGGAAGACCCCATAAGATCTTCCCAGGAAGAAAGGTCGCGCCATTTAGAAGACTCATCGTTACGACCTCAATGATCTTCATACCAGCTGCCCGTGTCCTTTTTTCCGGGAATTGGCAGGGTGTGAGCCGAGCTCGTAGGGAGGCCGAGGCTGGAAGGAAGATCTCAAGTACCTTCACGGTCTGGCCATATTGCACTGAGGTACCTCTAGAATGGTTTCGAGTCAGATTCCATGGCTATGCTACTAACGGCAAAAAAACGTGCTGGCCAGGATTCCCCGGCACACGCTATTTACCTTCTCGAGGCGCCGTCAGCTTCACTTCCTGCCTCAGCGTTGACTACCTCTGGATCGATAGCATATGCATTACTCAAAGCGACAAGTCAGGCTAGGAGAAAGAAGTAGGTAATATGTTCCGCATGAATAAGGACTCGTACCCGACCTTGGCAGCCCTGGATGGCGTGGACAGTAGCCGAGGCCTCCGAGCTTCGTTGAACAGACTCGAGTCGGTGCTGGTGTCGGAACTGCAAACTAAGAGAGCCGCTGGCCCGTTCATATATGCGTGGAGCACTACCTTGCCAGATTTCAGTGGGATAGGAGGCCTAGTGACAGGGACATCGAAGACGAGGATGAACGTCCACCTCTCTCCATGGCCTGGAACTAGTAGGAACGGATGGTAGGCCTCCCCTATCATGGAGCCTTAACTTTCGTGGAGAACCGTCTGTCATGTCCATGATCTTTTCAACGGCTTGCCTCGCAACCCTTTGTAAGGTTGCAGCTTTTGAGATAGGCAATGGGTATTTGGTAGCCTATTCCACCCCGCTAAAACCTTTTCCTCAGTAGTTTGTGAGCTGACTCCAATTTTTGTAGGTATCCTCGTTAGATATCGTCTTTATTAACTGCGAAATACAATTGCATTGCTTCTCGGCCGCTGAATGCGACTGTGGTGCAACACTTTAAGATTCTAAGTAGTTCAAGGATAGCAATTTGGGCTTGTACAACCACATCGAAATCTGGAGCGGCTTTTGAAGAGATGCGTTGACGCGTGAGTTCGTGTTTGGTGATCAGAGTGTATTAGGAAATATGGGTCCTGTTGAGCGTGATGCAGAATTTAGAGATTAGGAACGGGAGACAGTCCCTTCGTGAGAATTCAGAGACTATGTAGTCCTACGCATGGCTTGAATCCAGGCGGCACAAGTGAATTCGCACAAAGAGCGTATTTGAAACGTCATCTTGATACATTAATTTGCCAATACTCCTCGATTACAAGCCGCACATCATCAACTTCTGCAATTATTGGTTGGATAGATTCATCTGTGTTAGCTGCTATTATTAATTGTATGATCTTTTCGCTTTCTTTATTGATAGTCATTTGTCGACGTTTGGATTGTTTCCAAGATGAGTAAAATTTATGTGATACAATATTGAACTGTGGTTGTCGCCTATGACAGTCCATATCGTTGACGACGCGTATGGAAAGCCCCAAAGAGTTCAAAGCCAGACAATGACCCAAGTAAGATATATTGAGACGCGGAACTCAAGAGAAATCTCGGGGTCAAGAATATTGTTGTCTAACGGGCATACATTGTCTAACATCAATGGGCCTATCTGAAGACCCTCAATTACGGCCCGAAGATGTTGCAATCGTGAATCGCAATGGATATGCCACGCTTCGATCTTTTCATGACGCGTTCATGCCCGAACAGTCGTGGGTAAATTTGCATAAGGTGAACACAGCCGGAGAAAAAAAAAGGGACCTATCAACCGCGTCCACGCCGGAGACTTTGTGAACACCTTAACCGATTATAGCCACTGCAAGTAAGCCTTGGTAAGGCTTTGATAGTCGACCAAGGTTAGAAAGGTTAGAAGACGGAACGGTACAGACCGATTCCATGACTGCCGCAAATTTGAACGCCACCGCGTCCTGCGACCACTCATGATACGCAACAATCGATCGCAAATCTGTCCCAGTCGCATTACTGCGCAACACGTGTGGACATCTTGTGATCTACACTCCGGCGGCTCAAGTAACATTATCCCGGCCAGGGTACGTGCGGGAGATCGACAAATTGCTCTGATGGTGAATCTCAACAGATAGATAACCTCGCATTGCATTCGACTAGCTGCAGCTATCTACTCAAGGCGGGATTACATCGACCACCCACTTCAACAGGCGGCACAAAAGGCCAGCCCAGAACGAAAAAAAAAGCAAATCTAAGACAGGTTTCACTGCGCCCCGTGGAAAGAATTTCCGGGTTTCCCGTCCCACCTGATTCCCAAGAGCCCCAACCCGGCCTTACGGAACGTGATCGTCCGCAGCTCGGAGCGAATCGAGAAATACCAGGACAACTGCGCCATACCATAATCATCCAAAAACAAGAAATCAAACATATCAGAGAGATGACGATAGTGATGTCGGTCCGACGTCGAGAGCGAACATGGCCGCAGCCAAGGGGACCACACCTCTCTAGCCGACGCTCGAGAAGCGCCGCTCGGCTGGGCATATTCCACGGATGGCGCCATTCGGACCTATGAGGACCAGAGGGCGTGCAAGCAGGAGGGGCAGATCACCACCCGAACTGCTCACAGTGCAGCTCGACGCCTGGCCCGTCGCCGCTGATCAGGCTGGCCGTCGTGTCCCTGACGACGCGCATGAGCCCGTCGGGACCGCACGCCGCAACCAGCACGCGCTGATGCGCTGGCGTGGAGCGCACGGCGTCGCGGATCAGCGTGGCTGTGTCGGGCCGGCCGGCCTTGAGCACGTCGCGATGGACGTCGGCTGCGGATGCGGTGGAGCCTGCGACGCTGTAGGTCGTTGCCAGGCTGTCGTCGCTTGGCGTCCGCTGCTGGTGGGTGTGCATTTCGGGGGCCTTCTCAGTGTCGGTGGTGGTACTGCGACCACTGTTCTTGGTGGTGGTGGTGGTGGTGACGATGCCCCGCTCAAGGGCCTTCTCGTTGAGCTCGTGATGACCTGTTGGGCTTGCAGGACTGCTGTCAGAGGCTTCGTCCGAGGATGTGGTGGTGACGCGGTGCATTTGTCGGAGGTCAGTGATGAGCACCGAGCCACGGCGTTGTTCTACTACACCATGGGTTCTCGGAGCTGCTGTGACGTATAGCGAGACGTTGACCTTGGGCGAGTGCTCGTGAGTCCGAAGAGTGTTGAGGTGCTGGGAGAACCACGAGAGGTTATCTGTAGCGGAGGAAAGGTCAGCCTTGACTCGGTCCCTTTTTATTCTCGAAGAAAGAAGATAGAGTTCATAGTGCATCTAAAACACGGATAGGATTGAGGATAGGAGGGTCCTAGCTTACCATGTTTTCTAACCGCCCAGATGAATGTGATGTTCTTCAAGGACTCCGGGCCCATCCTTTCCAGCAGGTTGACAGCCAAGCCAAAGGTGAAGCTGGCACCACTGCCGCCCGCGATCAAGACAACCTTGTCGTACTCCAATGGGTCGGGGAATGTGCCATATGGACCATCAACTGACGCCCTGAGTCTTGCTCCAGGGTGGTCCAGAGCGTACTTGCGCAGGTCGCGCGTGAAGCCATCATAGGAGTTGACGACAAACTCCATAGGCTCGCTTGCGACGACAGTAAAGGGGTGGGCTTCGAGGAAGCGGATCTTGGGGATCCAAACGAAGCAGTGCTTGCCGGGGACCACACCGTGAGGTCTCTTTCTCAGCGTGATCTTCGTGCCGCCGTTGGGCAGCGGCTCGAGGGTGGCCTCGTTATTAATGGCGCGGTACCACATCCTCGACGCGCGAAGGAGGCGGTCAGTGCCCCACATGGCGGCGATGAGCGCGAAGATAATAATGAGTCCGTCCTCGAGCACGGGTTGATGGTAGGCCGAACAGATGAGGGCCACGATGAAGAACACAATGTGTGAGACATAAAAGGCCTCGTACCAGATCCGCCGGATGATGACAGCAGACACGAGCACGCCGAGAAAGGCAAAACCAGCAATGATGCCTGCAATGGAGGTGTGCGTCTTCAGCGTTTCAGCGCGGTTGTTGACGAGGAAGTAATGTGTGTACATAGCGGCGTGGAGTACCAGGTAGACGAAGGATGTGTACCCAGCAATCTGGTGGAGGCCGTTCAGACGCTCGTATGAGTACGCAGAAAGAAAAGCCAGCGGTGTGTTCTTCAGGGCCAGGAAGACCACGATGGCGAAGTTTGCTGAGAGAATCCTGGTAGTGTTGTTCTGTCAGCTTTGATCTTGCGAATGACCGAGGCAGACATCACTCACCATCCACATCTATTGGCGATGCTTGAATATACCAAGGTGACATTGGTAAAGGTAAGGGCAATGTTTACTGCTAGATATGCTGCGACTAGGAGAGCATGACCACTCGAGGTGAAGCCGGGAATCTTCCGGACGAGTAGCTTCCTCGCGTTCCTATATCAAATTAAATCAGAGAAAATTCTATTCAAAAAGTTGATCTGCCTACCTTGAGATCAATCTGAATGGGTAAGCGGTTCTAGAGAGAGACCCGTTCTTGGAATTTGCTCTGTTGAATATATATCGGATCCAGTGCAAGACGATGAAGAGGCCCATGAGGGCACAGATGCCAGCGGCGAAATATCGAAGCTGCTGCTGGTTCACGCGAAGCCTCGCAGCAAACATCGCAGGTGTCATAGAGCTTTTACCAGCCATGATGATCAGGTCTGAGTATATGTGAATCAAGCCAGTTCATGAGAGGGGAGAGTTCAATTGAGGAGAGGAAAACGGAGTACAGGATAGACTGGCAGATTCTTGGTTTTTGAAACGTGAATGTCAAATGGTCCTGCTTCGGTGCTGTACTTGTGTGCCCAAGGAGAAGCCTCAAAGCGTCTCTATTGGGGCGGACTGAAGTCCAATGGACTTAGGCGAACAAGTTTTATACTTTGGAAGTGGATGGCCCCGTTGGCTGGATGGCGGGTTAAACTCGTCTCAGATTAATAATGAGAAATAGGATTCCTTTCTTACTCAAATAGTCGACAACCGGAGACAGACTCAATAGTTAGTTGCAGTCAATCGCAGTCAGTCACACGGGCAGGCATAAAGTCTCGACGGTGCGGAGGTTGAGCTCAATATATCGGCAGTGGCAGGAAGCACATGATGTATTCAAGATGAGGTTGGGAGTCAATCTGTTATACGCAGCTACGCAGATGAATCCATCCAAGTTTCGTCGCGAGTGACCCCCGCGGCCAGCAAGCTAGGCAGTGTCAGGATAGATGGCATAATCCGAGGTGTCTTAGGTCCCACACCGAGGACGATGGGACCTTGTCCTAACTCCCGACTTGGGCCCCGTCCGGGCAGCGTCGTCCGTCCCTGTCAACATGTGGCAAGGCTTCCTTCGCGGCTAGAGCAAGTCTTCGGGACTTGCTAGGATTGGATGGGGTGATAGGAGACTTCCACGTCGACACAGCGGCTACAAGGGTACGGTTGCAGCGTCCGATCAGGGACCAGGGAGTGCCTACCGACGATATCGATGATAGACTTGCAGAAACATGTTTCTCGGCACCCACACTGGCAGGGTCCAATCTAGAAGGTATGAATTGTGTAAGCTTGACAAAGCACCAAAGAAGAAAAACACTGACCATGTCTGTCCGTCTCTGGGACGTGACTATCCGGTCTTGGTTGTGTCAAAAGAGCCATGGACGCAATGATTGGCGGAGACGCAAGGCGCAATATGGCTAAATCTACCCGAAGGACTGCAACCAGAGTCTAGGATATTCGGAGGTAGCACATGACCGGTCGGCCGCTGCAATGATAAAGGATATGTATACAGCGGTGCACAAGCAATATCAGTCCTGTGCGTCGGGTCGACCACATTGGCTACCCCCCCTGAACGTAAAGGATCGAATATACAATGTACCCCTCGGCTGTTCTGCCATTTGACACATGCAGTCGCAGCACATGCAGGCAGCGGCTGATCGGCGGCCTCGTCGGCTGCAGAGTGATGCGGGCATGTGTCAGGATGTTTAGACGTAAGGCAGAGCAATATAACAAGATGCAGCGGCGCGGTGCTGTGCGGTAACCAGCTCGGTTCCAGACTTCAGGCGCAGTGCATCGCCGTGGAGAGATTGCAGCACTGTAAATTGTGTGGGGTACTACGGTAATACGATCAGATCACAGCGTCGACGTGTGATCGAGATGTAATTTGACGGCTGTGGTGGAAACTCATTGCATGGCATATGCTTGATCGCTTGACGACACACTGCAGAAACAAAGGCGTAAGCAGAGGGCGTCCTGAGGGAGAGACAGCACTAGCAGGCAACGCCGTCTAGTACGTGCACTCGTCACCATTTGAATCGCCAAGACAGATTTGAAAAGGTTTGATCGCCATGAGGCGCAAGATGGGGAATTTCCGCGTTGCGACCTCGAAAATGTTGACGTTGACGTTGACGCGGAGATAGAGGGCTTAGCATGCAAGGATTCCCGAGCAGTAATGACGTGCCCGGCAGGGGAGGCAAGGCATATGCAAAGCCTGATAGGAAAGCAGTGCACGAGTTGAGGAGAGTGATAGTCGTTAGTAGTCAGTAAAGCCCGGTGTAGACAGTCTGTTGAATCTCGCAGGACCGGACTCCGGGCTCTTGGCGATGTGGTTATTCGTGGTCGGCCACGCCGCGGCCACGCCGCTGCCACGGCCAGGCACGCTCGAGGTTCGTCAGAGCCAGGGGCCAAGCACGTTTTGCTTCCGATAGGGCTTGGGGGGACGCGCAGGATCTGGGGAATTCCGTTTCTCAAGTAACACAGAATAGACAGGGACTCGAAACAACGGCGCTGAACACTGGAAGCCCCCCTGCAGAGCGGTGAAAAAGTCGTCCACCAAGGAGAGAATTGACCTTGTGAAAAAGTTCTACGGGAGCACATCAGCCAGGCGGGGAGCTGCAGATGGGCTGCGACAACATCGTCAGCGCGGTTGGTATTCCAGCAATGCCAACGCTCGCCTCTCGCCTGGGCGTTGGATTCAGCGTTTCGGGAGGCTGACTCACAGGCTAGTTGCGCCAGCCACGATGAGAGACTTCAGTTTCCTACCTAGGAAGCTGTCTCACAGGCTCGCTCTAGACGTCTAGATAGGGCCGGATGGGATGAACGGTGCGTGGGTGCGTGGGGCCGAACGGCGCTGACAAAAGCGACACGATCCGATCCAGGCTCCGCCGGGCGGGCAGGCATACCGGCGCCCAGTCGTGCCAAGGCGCTGTCGTGATAAGGTTAATTGTGCCGAGTGGGATGACAGCATGTGAGAGCTTGGAAAAGTGCGGATGGCTTGAAACCTTGAAGCCCTGGAGCTCTGGACCAGTCCTAGGCCACGAGAGGGGAGAATCAGGCAGGTCGCATTACTGGTGGAGAGGTTCTGAGGCATGGATTATCAATGAAACCATACCTGGGTACGTTTGGCGCCCAGTAACCGAATCGTATCAGCGCTGTAGAACATAGAAAAGGGGAAGGAGGAATGGCCCGGCATGATCTAAGTCATGCAGGCCATGCCTCTGCAGGGCAACCATGTGAATGCCGGGCCCACGCATCGCCATCTTGGGCCATGATATTGATGTGGTATCGACGATGGTGCAATGCAGAAGAGAGGTGTAGCAAGATAGAGAGAGCACACATCTAGCAGAGGCTGTCAGAGTATAGGAGGACAGATGTGCAAAACACCACACCAAGACAGGAAAGAGAACAAAACCACCCCCACCCGTTCCGGCCAGACCTTGGCAGGGCCAGGGGCGCGGGCAGTGGGGGACCCACGTTCAGGGGTCTGGCCTGGACACGGGCAGGGGGTGCGCCTGTCACCCCACGAGCTTATTCAGACGTCCAGGATTCTAGTGGTGTTTTGTTTGTGTTGTGTGTTGTTGTTCTGTACCAGGTGCTCTCTACTCCGCCCTTGTTTGGCCTCTTCACCTTTCATCCTTCATTTTAAAATGGATCAATCCCTCCCGATTCCGGCCTGTATTTGAATTTAGAGTCCGAATAGAGCCCGAACTTATCCAGACCTGTAGATTGGGCCGTACTTGTACCCGTTTTGTGGTGGCTAGAAAGGTGGGGCGGGAGATATATTTGAACAATGTTACCTGAGTACTCCCGCTTTCAGCCTTCCTTACTCTAGAACATCTCGATGAGCACACTCATGTTCTGAAGTAGACCACTTACAGTTCATAGTGTGGTTAACCAATGGCATGCAATAGTCATTTTTAGCGCTCGCACAGAGGCGTCGTAGGTCTCGTGTGCCACAGTCAGACGGCACCTTTACTCCAAGCCGCAATGTTACGACTTAGGCACTTTTTCCTAATGTTGCCCGAGCAGCATGATATCATAGCCACAGTTGAAATTTTGATTTGAACACCCAGCGCTCTCCTAGGGTCAAGCCCGGCCGGGCCTACTCAACAAGCCTGCGGACCCCGAAATTGAGCTGTCCGAGCTGACCCGAGTCGGTAAAGTTAAGCCAGCCACCCCACTGCTCTCCGCTGCTTTTCTACCACGTACATTGCAGGCTTTCACGCTGCCACATTCCTGATGAGACAGAGCGCGCGCGTGTCGACAGCCTGGGCCACATACATTGATTGCATGCAGTCTCCCACCGATAAGCTCGCGACTTGCCCAAGTCTCGATGTCTACCAACGCAAGGATCGCGGCAGTGTACGTAACGGCCTCTCATTTGCTGAGTTCCAGATTGGTCCTAGGGTTCAAACACCTTCCAACTTGACTACGCAAGAAAAATTGTAATCTACATTAAACCCATTAAAGCTTGTTTGAACTAGCCAAGAGAAGCTCGCGAGCGAATTCAGGTGGGTCCCGATGCTACCTTCTGGCAGAGACACCCCCATCTCAAAGTATGGTCCTCCTTATCGGGTCGAGATGAGTCGTACATGGCTTACGCTTCGCCTCCGATCAGTAGAAGCACAATTATTGCTCGTAGATACCAGCTGCAGCCTGTGTGTGCATTTCCAGATTTCCAAGATCAGCCCGAAGCCTTTTTTACCCCCCACCCTTGGGGCCCAATGAGGCTCAAGCTCCATTTGATGTTAGGAGCTGGTCGCACAAGATGGGTTTTGTCGATCAACAATCACACAAACAAGTACGGTCGACACAATAAAAAGCCGATTTCTGTCCTGGGGGCACGGCACCTCGTACTTTGTATTTTCCGGAAGCTCCTCCCACCGAGACATTTCCAACTAGAGCAAACGTCATAGATCCCGAGGATTTTGCCACGAGATCCTGAGGGATCGGTTGCCATGTCTCTCTATCTCTTGTACTACTTATGAAATATTGCTGAATATCTACAAAAAAGAATTGAAGCCACACGATTGTCGAGCTCCTAGGTGTACCAACCGTTGTATGTGAATGGTAAGCCCAATTTGATCTGTGAAGACCGTCATTTTAGCAGCTGGAATTACACCTCGTTGCGGCCGCTGCAAAGGGGGCAAGCTTACGTATGAGGCATTTATATCATGAATGTCCGAGAGACCAATGTTTGCCGCGTCGTGAGCAATCTGTCCTAGCATAAGCAGACTGATTCATTCCACATGTTGTCTCGGGAATCCAGTCCATCTCACCTCATGCTTCAGAAGATCTGCAGCCCTTGCCACACCGTCTTCAGAGTACTGGTTTGCGAAGTAGAACGGCCGTCCGAGGCCAACGGCTCGGACCCCGAGGGCCAACAGCTTGAGGACGTCGGTCCCGTAGCGAATCCCACCCTCGGCCAGGACTTCTATCTGGTCAAAGAGCTCGGGCTCTTCATCATAGATTTCTAGGGCGACCTCGAGGGGCGAGGGCGCAGTGTCTACTCCACGACCACCGTGCTGCATTTGCCAGTCAGCAAAGATATTGTAAGCTTAGGGAATGGCTCCTTTGTATTGGAGGACTGGATATAGCTCTTTGTCAACAGGAATGAAAAGGTTCAAGTTCGAGTGCTATGACACAAGATACCTACGTTTGATAGGATGACTGCGGGCACACCGTGCGCTGCGGCCTCTCTAACATCCTCAACCGTCTGGACACCCTTCAATATGATGGGGAGGTCAGTCATATTGGTGAAGGTCGCATAAGTGTCCCAGTCCAAGAAGGCAGTCGCCGAGTCCCGGTCATTAAGCCCCCATCTCCAAGATCGGATGCGGTTCGAAATCGCGGGTGAGTCAACCGTCAGCGCGATTGCCGACGATCCAGCCGCCTTGGCACGATCAAAGTCCGCCTGCACCTTGGTGAGGTTGCTGCTCATGTACCACTGTTGGAACGTGACCTGGCCCTCGGTTCTGTTCGCGTCGACGCTCTCCCAGTTGGTGCTCGCCGCACCGATGTAGAGGATGCCTGCACGGGCGGCGCCGCGTAGCAGGCCGAGCTCTGCATCCGGGTGTGTCAGCTGCGCGCGTCCGCATGCGGTGATGTAGAAGGGCGCTGAGAAATTATGGCCTAGGATGCTGGTGCCTAGCGTCTCGTTGGGGGTCCTGACGCCTCTGACGCTGCCAGTCATCATATCAGTAGAAGTATCACACGTGGTGTCAATCAGAGTCTTAAGAAATCGGTGTGGATTAGGCTTTTGCAAGAATGGGGCTCTCACACACGGGGTCGCATCTTCACACGCCCAAATGCCTCGAGGTTGTTCCGATACGACCACTCGCCCGCAGCACCGGCCGTAAAGAATTGATAGGTCGTCAGGTTCATGACATGTCTGGCGGCCCACTGGAAGTCATTGAGGCCCCAAATGTCGTCCAGTGCTGGCAACTCGCCATCTGCCAGGTCGGACCAGAAAAAGTCCGCACCTGAATCAGGAAAGTCGACAAAAGGCCGGACGGCGGCTACGACAGCCGCAAATGAGGTGTTGAGAAAATATGAATAGCGCATGCTGAGTGAGTTTCCAAGGATGTAGAGAGCCCCTAATGCATTACAAATTCAGAAACGGATTGAACGAAGTCTTCTGTAGAAACGACTAGATGGCCGAGCAAATCATCTTCAAGGGCCTTTGCCAAGCAGCAAGTTCACGGACTATATATTAGTCTGGTGTCCCTATTTGAGGCGAAGAATTGCAAGCTATATGGGCTCATGCTGATAAATCTTGAATACATTGGTGGAGTAATTTCTTGAAGCATTGTCGTGCAACTTGATATTATTAAACTCTGCACTATTTGCGTAACCCATCAAAGCTTGGCTACCCCATAACTTCTTGGCTAACCTTATTGATCGTAGGATCCCTCCTCCATCCAATTCGACAATTCCTGGTGGGGTGCCAAATTGCAGTATGACCTGCTCGACTCGATGCGTACATTCGTGATCTAAGACTATTCGTCTTTTAGTAAAGGCACTGAATAGGATCCGGGCCCGCGTCACTTGGCTTTACCGGCTGGGCCACCGTATACCGAGTTGAGAAAAATGGACTCTGTAGATGAACTTTTCAAAGATATTCGCCGTAGACACAGATTCACTCGATGGTCAATCATCTTGCGAGGCCGATATGCCAGGGACCTTCTCCTTTTTCGTTTCTCTGCGCCCACAGCTGTCTTTAGAAATGAACAATCAAGCCTTGCTTCTGCAACTACAGCATTTATTTCCACGAATATGTCAATAATTATTCATCCTTTACAAGCAGCCTAAAATAAGTCGTTCGCAAGCCGTTGACGATACCCCCTCCCCTTACGAAGGGTAGTTAGTGGAGGGCCGGATACAACGTATGCGAAAGAACACCCGTGATGGGCTTCTGTCTGGAATACACAGCATTGCTTTCCGAACATCGCATGGGGACAATTAGAAGCGCTAATATTTCACTGCAACCCAACTGACTGAGACAGCTTTGGTCTCTTGATCGTTCGGATCGTCAAAACAAATGTCGGGCGTGATTTCAGCCGCAGTTTGGCCGGATTGTGCGAATCAAAATAAAAAAGGTCCAATCCTCTCATTCCATTGTTTCGTATCTGCCTTTGCATACTAATGATGAGGCGCTCTTTGAGAAGCGACTGACCTCACCAGCCGTTTTCCTTCGCCGACAGAGCCCAATCGTTCTTGGATTCCACAACGCAATCCACTGCCCTATCGACATTCTTTTCTAAGAATTCATTCATTTCTGCCACGGCAACCCTGAACGCGTCGACAAGCCGCTTGTCCTCATCGCTGGTCCAAGAACCTCTCCCATCTGCGTAATTGGCTGTGGCGAGCACCGCCTCGTACAACTGGCTGTTCTTGTCCAGGAGGTACTCGTGCTCAGCCAGGAGGAATCGGGCACTTCCAGGCCTAAGACCATTCCTGGGGCTCGGCAGGCCTCCCATGGATGCATCGAGCTCCCTCTGGAGTGCTCCACGCAGCGTATACTGCTCGTTCTCATCCCCACGGTCACCCCTGTGCTCGCCGGCGCCGGCATCATCACCGGCTAGCGACTTCTGACACTCCTCCAGGGCAGTAGTTAACTTCTGCACATTGTCGGTATGCTTCTGTATCTGCTCCTGGAATTCCTGAATCTTACCGTCTTTGTCGTCGAACTTCGACTCATACTTTAACTTTTCGCCTTCCTTCTCCTGCTGCAGCCTCCGTATTCTTCGCTCAAAATCTGCCCTTTCAGCCTTTGCATCGTCCTCATACCTCTTTCGATCAGCCTCGGCCTCAGCTTGAAGCTTTGAAACTGTCTCTTCGGCGGCGAATCTTTTGCTCAGTTCCTCTTGATACTCTACCTCAGAGCGCCCCGGTCTCACGCTATTTGAGTCCGGAGCCTCGCCATCCTCCTTATTTTGAGTGGGCTGTTGTCCTGGCCCAGTACCACGAGGCTCTTCGTTTTGTCCTTCTACTCCAGATCGTTGGGATCCCGAGATTTCTTCGGATACATTGTCGACGTGAGGCGCTGAGCTAGGTTGGCTTTCCTGCGTCCCATATACTTTGCTGTCTTCATCGGAGCTGTCCAAGCCTGCGGCCTCGAGCTCATCCGCCAGGTTGATGTGCGAGGGTTCCTCGTTACCATCTGTCGGATCGACCTGCGCCTGCTCGCTCGAAGCCTCAGTGGCAGGTGTAGAAGAGGGAGAAGGTGAGGAATCTTGGATGGCTGAATCCGTTGACACTGCTCTGGAGGCAGACTCGAGCTTGCCAGATGGCTTTCGCGATCGACTTCTCTTATCTTTTGCCATGTTCAAAATTAATAGATACGCTGCGAGTATCAAATGACTCAATGATTTGGTAGGCAAGGTGCTGCAGCTGTGTCACAAGGGGCATTGAGGGTATATGACGTGGCTTATAATAAGGAATCTCACAATTCCGAATGCAAGCAGCGTTTCAGTTGAATATAGGCATGTTTTCGTGAACAAAGACTATGCGACGGCGTATCTTTGCCGGAAAACTCAGATGTTGACCCAATGCGGCGATGTGGGCTAACAAAGCCGAGTATGTTTCACACTGCCACAAAATGCTACAGAACCAAGGAGCAAGAAGTTGCAATGCTGCTCGAAAATGATAGATTACAGATTGAGCTGTGCACATGGTGCCTAGTTTTGATGTCAGAAAAATGCGAACGTTCACGTAGCCATTATTGAAACATGCCGGTAGAACAGAACACTAGATAATCTTTGATTTGAGCGCCTCACATCATTCTCCGAGACACACAAAGACCTCAGTTAGTTTTCAAACCTAGGTTTGCGCCGCAACTTCGGCGCATCGGTCACGACGGTGGCCAATCTCCCCTGGAGGTCCCTGATCTGATGACCTTCAAAGGCGATCTTTGGAAGCAGTTCTTGCTTCTGAATTTCATAAGCAGCCGCCGCGTAGGCTTGATCGGGCCTGACGACTCCTGCTGCAGCGGAAGCCTGCCTCCGACTGAAAGATGATGGATGACTGTCATGCTGGTCATCCCCCAATAGTTGAATGACTTCATCGATGGGAATACCACCTACAGAGACCAGCCGTGCGCCACCTTCCTTCGTATCAGACTGCGGAGCGAGCTCAAGCTCCATTTTCTCTGCCATGGCGGCGGCAACGATCCGAGCCTCCATGGCTTCCCGCCTCCGACCTACCATCTCCAGGAAATCGACAGTGGCTAGCTGCGTTTTCTCTTGGAGGTCGTGACGTTGGGCCTTTCTTGCGAGACTGCGGGCGGCTTTCGCATGCGACAGGCACTGTGCGAAGATGGAGGGCGAGTCTTGGTCTCTGGCTGCTTCTGCTGCGGAGTGGGCGAGATTTAGGTGAAACATAACTTGAGACTCGATGCAACCCATTTCGAAGCCTTGGACTGAACTGCCTGGTGGCTCCTGATGTTGATGGATTTCGGGCATAGTGGATTGAATGGTAAGCTTCTTGGACTTGTTGTTCTTGTTGGGACACTGGGGTCAATGTGGGAATACCGAGAAGATAGGGCGATGCGATGAAAGTCAAACGTGTCTATCATGAAGGAAGTGAGAGACCAGAGTATACATGAAGTGCTTCTAGAATCATATGTAGACAAGCCGAATAAGTCCTGGGAAACGCCAGTGTTGCGGCTGGAAGGTGTTAAATTTTCATTTCCAATGCCGTTGTCTCAATAGGCACATAGCCAGCCGTGCCATAAAAGCGTCTTTGTACAAAGAAAATTGTTCAAATATCTTTGATCAACCTCGGTTGGTCAAAGAGGAAAAGGCATGGGTGAAGGCACGGCTCTGCGAGTGCACATTCATGGATAAATATCTTCAAAATCAACATAGACATGACCTTGATCTGCCATGCCCGGGTAGAAATACAGCTCAAACGTAAATGAGTATTACATCATGCACCCTAAGCTTTGGCTAAGGAAAACAGAAACAAGATAATTTGGTTGAACCACAAAAGGAAGTCAAGCTTTGCTGGTAAGTATGGAGTTGACTGCAGAAAAGTAGATTGCTTCGTTAATATGTACAAATTCGTCTTTGATAAACATTTGAGAGCTAGACACAAAAAATGAAATCCGTTCGCTGCAGCCACTGCAAGGTAAGTAAGTGAGTGGCTGATTATAACAGAGTTGAGCCTTGTCACTTTCCTAAACCAGCGAACCATGAGATCTCGCGATCCCGTACCAGAAAATCTAAATCCAAATAGTATCCTTAAAAACAAGTTTTCTAAATAAATGAAATGTAAAAATTGGTCGATAAGACGCCTTCGTATACTTAAAAATAAAGAGCTTGTAGTGTAGCTTAATTGCCATTCAAAATGTCGCCAACGATCTTCTCCGCGAGGGCATCTGTTTCTCGACCGCGGTTAGCAATAGCTACAGCAGCAAATTTGGTCTAGCAGGGCTGGTGGAAATAGGCCGAGAGACTTACAGATAACAGACATTGGATGGCCAGGAGGCAGGATGGGCAAGCTCGAGGCGTCCACAACGCGGAGGCCCACGACACCGCGCACCCTGGCCTCAGCATCAAGCACGGCCATACTGTCGCCCTCGGGTCCCATACGACAAGTGCAGGCGGGGTGAAAGATGGTGGAAAAGCTGGCCTGGATGTGGCGCCAGATGTCTTCGTCGGTTGATAAGGAGGAACCCGGGAAGTACTCCTCACCGACCAGTAGAGGTTGCATAGCCGGCGATGCCCAGACATCGCGCGTGCGCTTGAAAGCCGCGATGGCGACCTCCTTGTCGGCAGGGTGGCTGAGCCAGTTGGGATTGATGATGGGCGCGTCTGCCATATCGTTGGACTTAATTGTGACGTTCCCGGTCGACAGTGTGGCAACTAGGCCGGCGATGATAGATGCGTACTGATATTCGTCATTGGGCTGGTTGGTCTGGAAGTTGGTCGCGTTGCCGAAGTAGCCGCCGTTGGGAAGATACTCGACCTCAGGCCAGTCGGCCGAGAAGGTCGAGTCCAGCAGCGAAATAGTGGAGTTGGTGAGGCTGTTTCGGGGGAGACGCTCCCAGCCTGGAAACAGATTAGTGAATGCCCTGCACAAACCATTCAACCTGATGGCACCGGTCTCTTACCAAGAATATCGAAACCCGTGTTGGTCATGGGACCCTGGCCATGTGCGTACTGCTCCTCATATAGGGCCCGCTTCTCAGGGTTGCGAAAGGCAGAACCAGTGGGGACGTTGACTCTGTAAGTGCTACCGAAAAGGACGTGGTCTTTCATGTTCTGGCCCACACCAGGGCTGTCCTGGATCACCTCGATTCCCTGCGCCTCCAATGCAGCCTTGGGCCCGATACCAGACACCATCAGAAGCTGTGGGCTGTGGAAGGCACCGGCAGAAACAATCACCTCCCTGCGCGCGCGAATTTTGTACTGAAGACCTTGCGTGTCGACCAGCACGCCAGTGGCCCGTCGGCTCTCATCGAACAACACGCGCTTGGCCATCGTGGACACAAAAGTAATCAGATTGGGGCCGTGCACGTTCAGGTGTGGCCGCAGGAAGGCTGTCTCGGATGAGTCACGGGTGTTGTCGTCGGGACGAATTGTCATGAGAGTGTAGGAGAATGCTCCTGACAATTCGCCACTTTCCATTCCACTCTGGGACTTCAGCCCGATTGCCTCGAGTCCCTTGGCCGCCCAGCTAGCGAAAGGATGTGCGTACTTGGGGTATAGCACTGACAGGGGGCCGTCAGTACCAAGTTTCGCCGAATCATATTCAGGTGTTGAGTTCGCAAACCGGTCCCAAGTACCGCCAACCGGGGGTGTAAAATTCTGGCTTTTGGTGAAGTATGGGAAAAAATTGTCGAATTTATAGGCTTCCGAGTCGGTCGCTTCGGCCATCTGGTCAATGGATCCACGAGTGGGAAGGTGGTAGGTCATGTAGTTGCGCGCACTGCATCCTCCCAGCATACGGCCTCGTGGATAATGAGCACGCACGTTGAGTAGCGCCTCCTGAGGCTCGGTCACGAGGCCCCAATCAGCACCCGGCTGCCAGTTATGCTCGAGATCTTTGCCGCTGAACCAGGCACCGTTGGACGGGATCACACTAAGATTGCCGTTGGTGATCTCGTAGAAGCTGCCGGCTTCGATCACGCCCACGCTCAGGGACCTATTCTCAGCTAGTCGACTTGCCACCGCGAGACCAGCTTGGCCGCCGCCCACGATGATATAGTCGAATTCGTAGTCCTGGCCGGGAATACCAAAACTTGAGCTCGGGAGGCTAGAGTCGGGCCTCGAGGAATTCTGCGCAGGGGGTTTAGGAACAGCCTGCACAAGGAGGCCAGCCAGCATAGCTGCTGCTATTGCTGAGAGCTGAAAGGAATGCATTTTTGATAACAAGAGTTTGAAAATGGAGTAGAGAGTGTGATGGTGGATTCGGTTCGCTAGATGTAAGTGAACATGGGGATGAAAAATTTCAATGGTTCTAGATGTCGACGGCAGACGCCCTCTATATACATGTTCTCGAGGAGCTGCCTTCGTGAGGTGCAGGGACTTCCCTCCGCCCCCTTTCTACTTCCCTTCCTTCGCAAGGTGTGATTCTCCGTAGACACCCTCGTGACGAGCGAAGGTTAGCCACGGCGATGCTGTGGCCTTTTTCACAGCGACTTGCGCCATGCCTAACCAAACCCAAAGAGTTCATGAATGGGATTGTTTCTCTCCATGGGCAGTGAGCTTGGCGGGCTTCTCATCAGCTGACAGCGATCCATCCCATTCTTTTCTCCCACCATCTTGTTGACCACCCGTGCGGACCCGTGCGGGCGGCCAGGACCCCGACGAACCCTTCATCTAAGCCATGTAGACGCCACTTCATCCTTTCCAGTATCTACTAGACCGCCCGTAGGGGTGCCATGATCCTCAAGAGCTACTTTCCCCAAAAGAGTGAACCATCAGCATGCGATTTCGAGTTCATGCTCTGTTAAAGCGTGGAAATAAGCAAAGAGCTGTGACGCCCTAGGAATATGACCAGCGACAAACTATGCTGGCTGTGTCCCAGATGGTCGCCCCAATTTGAACCGCAATAATTCAGATTGCTAGTCTGCCTGACGCAGTGCACTAGTAGCCGCATCTTGTACTAAGGGAAACGAATGGAAAGTAAATAGTAATCAAACGCGTAGTAGCTTCTGTAGGGCTGAGGCTGATAGTTGCCCGACTATCTAAGCGCGCCCCGGGAGGGCCGACTGGCCGCAGCATCCAGTCAGATCCTTTGCCCAGGAACAAGGAGTTCATAGCCCACGTGGGATTCCAACACTCCGGGTTCTTTTAGGCTCTCACACTTTGTGCTGCCTCAGCTGGCCTTGACGACGATCATTAGCAGGCTGAGAGCAGTCTGCGCTGGTCAAGATCCTTATTGGCTTCCTTTCTGGAAGCCTGCTGAAAAGCACGTGTGCCATGTGTACCAAGCGTCTTCAAACATGCTCTTAGCTTGAGAATATGTAATTTCGGACTCATGTCTCTATAAAGACGTTTAAAACGTGAGAAAGAAGGACACCTCCGCAGGACAGCTTAGCTTTACAGCCGGCCGGTACAAACCAGATTCAGATCGTGATCACAATAATGTGGAATGTGGCGGCGAGGAATCTGCCTTCGATGACCAATCCGGAAAGCTCGAGGCATTTGCACATGCTGTAGGGTTGACGAAAAGCCTATCAAGCCACCTTGTCTCAAGTGGCCATGCTTCAAAGTGTTGGGTGTGCCTCTCATAGCCCCCAAGGATGTCTACCAGCATCAAGTTAGGTAAGTCTAAATCAAGACTCAGAAATGAATTTTCAAGTCAAGATATGTTCCACGGCAGCCTAAATGCCGAATAAGCTGGACAACATGGAACGATAGCGAAAAAAGCTTAACATTGCGTGCGAACAACGTTGCTGCAATGGTCCAGGTCTCAACAAAAGTGGAATCACTTTACATGCTACCAAAAACCGAGATGCAAGCTCCTCCGCCCCTATACATTTGTTAAATGTATAAGCTGTGTCGCCATGTTCGCTAGGTTCAAGTGACCATGTGGGTCCTCTTTCATGAATAAGGCGTAATGACTTTGGCAGGTAGACACACCGCGTGATTTAGCTCCTCCCCGAAATAACAGACGTCCAATGGTGACACTGCCTGATTAGAAGGAACACAACTTGGAATGAGGAGGCAGCCATTTCAAATTGAAGCCTTCGGAAGATATTCGCAAGCGAGTAGTTGGTGATCAAGGATTCGGAGTTCAAATCAGCCAATTAATCGAGTACGGTCTCGAAACCTGGTTTCCTTTGTCAGCACGGATCCGGAATCATTCGAGATTTACGAGGGGTGTGTGCTCGGCTCAGCCCACACCGAAAAAGACGTCGATGACAGGAGCATTTCAGGAACAAAGCTCATTGGCATTTGAAGTTTTTCAAGCTAAAGTCACGTCGCACAAGGCGGGAAGTGACGGGCACACGCGGACATAATGCGTATGCACACGCATGGCGTATGCGGCAAAATACACATACAAATTGGCTGCCTGTTTCACAATGTCCGTCGCGGTCGGAGTACAGGACAATTGCCTATTGCGGTCCCGGAGTTATCTTGCCTCTGTGGCTGAGGCTTACCAGTTTCCAAAAGGACATCCGGACATCAAAGACCCAATTGCAGTGCAAGTTGAGCCCCTGTTCGTGTTTGGGCACTCCAATCCTTGTTTCCTTTCCAAGTCGGGTCATCTGAAGCTGCAAGTGAGTCAACGCTCGCAATCATAGCCAATGAGGCAACCTTTGTTCGGAGTCTCACGCCTCATCAAATGAAGCAACTCTGCTCTACCATATCAAGTGTCAATTTCTGTTTTAGTTACACGATCTTACGCCATCAAATCCATCATGACTGCCGTTTCCTCCTCCGCTTGTTCTTTCACCTCCCTTGCCCAAGCCGTATCGCAAGCGGCGATGAGGGTGTAGGCAAGATGTCAGCCATCGTGCTCACGTGCCCACGTGCCACTGTGGTCATTGACTATCCCTTTGACGACTAGGCCTCGCGGGTGACGGATGTCTCATGACTGCCAATGCTAAAGCAGTGAATGCGGCGCAGTTGCTTGTCAAGCAGACAGTCCACGCCTACTTCTAAGTGCTAATGCTTGAAGCGGGCGTCTTTCCCACGAAAGACCTGAAACAGACCATCGAGACCGACCTTGAATGAATTACGATCGGAAGCAGGATCATTCTACTTTCTCACTCCTGTAAACAATTTTTAAACCGTTTGCGACTTGGTGTGGCATAGCATGGCCTGACTGTGGGCTGCTTGCTACACTCGCAGGCTACGCAGCACACTGACAGTCGCCTCTCTCCTTCGCCGACTTGTGCACTCCAGGAAAAATGAAGAATTCGTTCGAGCAGAATGATATGCGCTATCAACAAGGATTATTGACGATACGGGGTGTCAACAGGCACCAAACTCTTCTTCCGCAGCAAGAGCGACGAGTCACTCAATACCATCACCAGCTTCAACCCCCAGTGCAGCATTGGCACCTCTCAGGAGATCACAGAGGCTGTGTATAATGGTCCCGTCCCGCCATACCTGTGTCTTGGGTCACGCTCTCCTGGCTGAGTCAGTACACCCCGTTTGGGGCAAACCTTCCTGCGTGCCTCCTCCCTTCGGGTACTCTCGCTGTGTTACACCCCATATGAACACCGTCGGTAGAATAAAGTCGCCATTAGCACTAATTCCGGCCTCTTGAAGCCACGCTGCGCCAGAATCCGAGACAGTATCTCGTGTTCGTAGTCCGCCTGTACCAGATCGCCGGCAGCTCACTCAACGGCTACTAGAATTCAACCGAGCACGTCACCTTCTCTGGTCTGGTTGAAGGAGGCACTTCGTACGCTGCCTGACTTCGAGAACATCATCGGCTAGATGACTTTCAATGACTTTGCTTACACGTACAATTTGTCGATGCGAGCCTGCACTCTATCTCCTATGTCAGGAACGCAGTTTGTAAAAGATAGACCGATATTGTTGTTACATAGATTTATAATCAAGTCTTGATGGGGAATGAGAGATGCGCAGTGTGTCTAGTAGCCATCTACTTCTGGACAGGAGATAAGAACAGAAACAGTCATGGCTTCTAGTGTCGGTGTTTAATGTACCCCTGCCTTAATATACGGCTACCTTGTTTCAATTTCTGAAAACACGCACACTGAGGGGCTCAAAATTGCATTAGAGGCTGAAGACAGGTACACTCTAAGCTTAAATCAACAGCCAGAAGACGTCAGCGACCGGGTAACCATGCGGGCTATGTCAGTGTGCCGGCTTATAATCACTAAATGCATCAGGAATTGTCGCATACAACCAGTCACCATTCAAAACTTTAGTCTAGGATCTGAGTGATGAAACTGGATCTGGATTGGTCTTTTGGTCCTCATACGTGACTGACAGGGCTTTGTGCGGCACCGTCAGCGTTACACCTTCTGCAGACACTGTCAGCACCCCGCTTTCGCACATGCCTCTCTCCGTCCTCTTCGTTCTATCACCTCTGGTCAACGCACATCAAATAAATTCGGGTTCCTGACAAGTCAGTTGAAAATATGGGGCACGTAAACAAAGTCGACGTTGCCGTAGTGGCCGACGGAGAGATGCCCGCCTGCGTCGAGGTCCTCTCAAAAGCGTTCGGCCACGATGCGCCGTTCGTGGATATTTACTTGCCCAACCACGATACACCGTCCGGGCAAGCGCAGGCTTCGAAACGCCTAGCAGCGTGGCAGCAGAGCTCCGAGAACTCTACTTTTCTCAAAGCAGTCATGCGAGCTGACCAGGGTGATCAAGAGCACATCATCGGCCTCGCCGTGTGGACGCTTATGAAGGAAGCCCCGCCTGCAGAGCTGTCCAAGATAGAGAACGTTGAGGAGGTGTGGCCCGATAAAGACGACCGCGAATTTATGACTCGCTTGTGGAGGGAGTACGTAATACCACGAACCCAGGCTGTCAAGGATTCTGAGGGTAAAGGAGTCTACGGTATGTAGGAACCAGTGACACGAAACAGGACATGGTTTATTAATATCTCGAAACAGTGCTCGAGTTGCTAGGTGTTCATCCAGAGTATCAGCGACTAGGCGCAGGCAAAGCTCTTGTCAAGTGGGGCACCAAAGCCGCGGATGAACAGAATATCAAAGTTCGTAACAACTCTGTCGTCTTTCCATTTTCTCTCTCAAAGTTTTCTTAAAGTCGTGATACCACTCTTTTGTATTGAATAAGTAGCTGACACCCCGAGTGTTTAGGCTGTTGTAGAGGGGACACCAATCGGTCGACGATGTTATGAACAATGTGGCCTTTCTGTTGAGATTGAAGAAATGAGGTTTGATGTCGGAGAGGAATATGCTGCAAGAAGGATTCCAAAACTCGCATATATGACGAGAGAGCCCCAAACTTAAGCATCATTATTTGAAAGGTTTGACTTCGTCGGCAGGAAGATTGACAGCCCTCTACTAGCAGGACTTGGCATATAGGCAAGAAAAACAACACAGCCTTATGCAGATTCTTTTAAGCTCCACTTGAGACTACCAACCATTCAAACAGTCGTTTTTACTAAGATTCAAAAACCTGGGCTTGTTCTTCTGAATATGTTTAAAACATGGAATTATAATCCTCAAGTGTTGTGGCCATAATCTGTTTCTAACTATCTTCGCTTGCTTAAGCATTGCTATAGAATGTCGTAAACAGGAACGCCGCGAGATTTTTCACCTATTGGCAAACAGCTTAAATAAATGATTGTATTATTGAAGAGAAAGGAACTTGAACTGTTCTCTCCGGCTTCTTAGCCTCTCTTGGCGTTCCTCCACTCCTCGATCCAGGTTCCTACAAACTGAACAATATCGGCTTGAGCCTCCGCAATGGCTGTTGGGGGCTGCTGCTTCTGGGTCTGGTTTGCGAATACTCCATTAGCTTCCCAATGGTGGCCAGCACCTCGAAGACCATCCCAGACATCTTCTGGTGGATCATCAATCACGATCCACGGTTCTGAAATTGTGGACTCGCGAGGACGAGCTGCATCAGCGGCGGGGGTTGCCTCGCGCCACACGTCGGCGAGACCGTTGATTATGGCAAGGCGAGGGTATGAGATGTCGAAGCCGCCGTATTTGTTTATTGCTGTGATGTTGGGTGGCGTGACAATGCCGAATTCAGATTCACAGTACGAATTTTCATACTCGAGATCCAGAATTCTTGACAACAACGGCTTGCCGAGCGATAAGTCGAAACCAGAACCTGTGACCCAATATCCCCACTCCGTGCAAGTTTGATATCCCCATGAGTCAAATTGCTCAGCAGGAACAGCTGTGGCCAAGGATGCCGAGCTGGAGGCGGAGGCAGATCCGTCCAGGGGGCCCGCGTCCGCAAGAGAGAATCGGTTGAGGTATCCAGCATAATTGAGTAAGCGCAAAGTTAGCGTGTCGTTGCCGCCGTAACCTGTGGCTTCCAGGATCGAAGCAGCCGAGGCGTTAGCTGCGGCCGTTGAAGGATATTCTAGTTTGGAGCTTGTGATGAGGCGACACCAATTGCTGAAGGTACCAGAACCAATCGTGGGGTCCCAGTTCCGACTTTGCCAAGAATATAAACCCTCGTAGAGATTGTTGACGAAATTTTGGTCCAACGCAGTTGTGGCGTAGTTGAAGAAAAGCTTGAATTGACCCTTTAGAGTCTCATTTTTGCTATCGATGAACACTTTGTCGACGACATCGGTGATGAACTGCTGTGTCCAAATGCAGTCAGCTGGTCCATATTGTCGGACAGGCTCAAAGTATCGCCAGTAATCGATGATGGCTTCAGTCACCCCTGAAGACGAGATTCCGCCCCAGAAAACGTCCGGGTACAGCTTTCTGAGAAATGCCGACTGTCCGCCAGAGTAGGAGACTCCATACACGATCCAGGGAGTGCCTGAGGATGTGAGATTTTCATTTTCGAGTCCAGGGAAGACAACGTTCTTGGCGAAGTATGCCGCATCGGCAAGCGACTGTTCTGTCGTCAGGAATCTTGCGTCCTCAACCGTAATGTCCTCAAAGGGGAAGCTAGTTCCATAGAAACGATGCTCCAAGATTACACCAATACCGCCGTGAGCCGAGGCAAGTTGGTAGACGATACCCTTCTCAAGAAGTGGAAAACGATAATCTCCTGATGCTTCGCCTGCAACGAAAAGGATGACAGGGCCGCCAGGCTTGTAGTGGCTGGCATCGAACCAGTAACGATTATTGAAAGTACCATCGCTGTGGGGCTCGTATTGGCTGGAATTTTGGAAGTGATCAATGGGAATAGACAGGTTGTATGCTGGATAGGACGGAGCCAGTTCTGCGCTCGCAGCTCGTAGTGAAGCTTCCCCGTCAGCGTCGATAAATCGCCGTGCTCCGCCAACTGCAGCACTCGCAGCGGTTGCCAAAAGTGACAAGGATGCCAACGATAGCATGGTCGCTATCGTCTCTGACGCTGCAGATCTACGGCACAATGCAATGGAATTGATGTGTTTGGAGCGACAGACAGATCAGTTGGCGACGAGGTAAGGTACACAGCAATAATGAGGAAAACCAAGTAGAGTTTTCCTTTTACACGGTTTATTTCTAAGCAGTTGAGTCGTGATTGCGACATGGAATCCCATCAGGAAGGTGGAAATACCTAGACATGCATTGACGATCATTAACGGTGGATAAACCGTATTACAGCATTGTCAGGCCAATACGAGATAATTTGCATGGAAAGGGTTACATTGAGAGGAAGGAGAAAAGCTTTTGGCTAACTAGGATTAGAAGGTGACTTTTCAGGTTGGACCCACTCCAACTGAGAAGCAACTACAAACTTCGAGTGGAACAACTCAAGCAGCTGACACGGTTGTGCAAGATGCGTTAGCATCTACTCTGGATAGCTTCTCAGAAACTGGCATTGAAATAGGACACATACAAGCAGGAACTTACTCCATATTACTTGGTGTGCTCCTGGCTATTCTTCAAATAGTACCGTGGTTTCTGACATGGAAGGACGCGGTGGACTACGCCTAGACAAATCACTGACCTAAACCCGCTCCAGATAACCAGAGTAATTCCTCTAAACCTCCGATACTCGCGGATGCTGTTGCGCACACATGTCTACTCTACTAGATATACTGTAAGTGCGTCCCCAGGAGAGTCTATCCAGGGCGACCAATAATGGGAAGATGAAAGCGGAGGTGGACCCGGGCTTCTGACCCCGCATCGGCCCGGCACCGAGAGGGAGTACCGGGATTTCGCGGCACCGAGAGGGAGTACCGGGATTTCGAGGCACCTACGTCGGCAGGGCCCATGGCAAGTCACTGGGCATATGTTCGATCGGGCCGAGATCTGTACCAAACTTCATCCTTTTGAGATTGTTCCAGGCACTTATCTTGCAACGAACGACAGAATGATTGCCGTCGTTCTCGCCTACGCGGGACGCAAGTCTGTACCTTTCACTGCTTCAATTGATATGAGACAGGGGTTTTCTTTGACAACGCGCTCATCAAACCAGCGATTTCCAGATACTAGCTCGTTGCAATTGGTCTAAAAGGAGCTCAGAGCTCGGTAGCCTCTTGTCCAAGTATATTTCCCATTTGTTTCTGCTACATTGAACCTCCTCCTTTGTCCGAGAGTCAACGGTATCAAAGGAAATAAACGCATAGAAACGGGAAGCACCTATGCTCGCTCCTCGTGTCCGTCTAGAGTGCACACACTGTGAACATTCCTACGAGCCCACAAAGACTTCAGGAAACTTGGAATCGACCAACTGGTCAAGTCTCCCTGCGTCTTGGCCTTTCATACAAAATCCAAAGAACGCGTCCATGAAGTCAGTTTCGATCTGTAGGAGTCTCTCTCCAGCAATTGACCCATACAGGTCTGCTTCTTCCATGGGAAATTTGTCCCCAAGTAAATCACGGTAGATGGTGAGGTCCGAGAAAGACACGTGTACCGTTCCGTTCACATTAAATTGGCGCTTGAAGCTGTCAAGATGCTCCCAAAATTCGGCCCAGGTTTCGTCATTTTCTCGAGTGTGGTTCTGAGCCGCGATCTGCACAAAGGGCTTTTCAAGACCTAGGTCGACCACAGGTCCAAACATGCTTCCGTCAAAATTTGCCCCACATGTGAAGGTGCTGTAATTCGCCATGGCTTGTGCAGCTGTGGCTCCGCCGAGCGAGTGGCCGAAGATGCCTGCAGTGTCGGTCTTGAGTTTGGTGTTGCAATTTTCAAGTCCAGGGATCTTTCCGAGCGTGGTGGAATTCTTCAGCGAATCCAAAACAAATTTGACATCTGCAACGCGAGTTTCCAGCACCAGCTCTACGTAATTAAGATCTGGATCAGCAGGAACATTTGACGGCACGAGCCGTCCGTCCGGAAACTCGACGATGATGGCATCGTAAGTATGGTCAACCGCCGCAACAATCCACCCCTGACTCGCCAGGTTCTCTACCTGTGCCGTATAGATGAGATGTGTACCGCCCAATCCGTGACCGAAAATGAGTATCGGTAGCTCGCTGTCCACCAATGGGGCATTGAGGTATGACCGCGAGATGATGGAAGCCGCTGTGCCTGTAGGGACACCGGCATAATTGTCGAAAATTTCCGCGGTCTGGGGGGAGAATACGGGTGCAAAAGAAATGTTTTTGTCATGAACTGCGGTAACGCTCGTTGGATAAAATAAAGATATCATGAGTTCTCGATTCTGGGGACTTGGTGCTAGCGGATCGATGCGCGAGTCGTCGACTAGCTCAAGAGAAACGGTGCCTACTGGAAATGGGCCAGGTGTTGGTGGAAGTTGATAGGTGGAAGCCAACGCTCCTACAACCAGCGAGGCAGAGGTGATCGAGTAAATGTGCATGATGGCGGGTCGATTTCCGAGGTCAATTCTCATACTCCCTTGATTGTGCGAAAGATTGTATTGGATCATATGATTTTTCGAGCAACTAAATGGGCCATTTATATTGATGATTGGGTGATCGCGACCTCGTTGGGTCAGTTCGCTGACACTGCAACTAGATGCACTAGAACTGCGCAAGCACCTCGTGTCCGTCCCGGTATGTCGTGGCTGAGTCCGAAGGAATGTTATTCAACCGGAATGAAGCAGGGGCTGGATTGGCCCAAACTGGCTTTCCACCGATGGCCCAGGCGAAGGATTCCACTAAAAGTGAGACCGTGGCTCTGGCTAAGGTACTGCAGTACTCTCAGTTTCATGAATAGGCAACCAAAGTCAAGCCCCACACGTCGTCAATATCTGAGCCGACTCTTCCACTGTCTTGTTAGTTTGATTCAATCTTCGTAATATGATTCTTTCTTCGTGGGCTGAATCTTCCTTCGTGGGATCGATTCATTCTTGGTGGGTTGATTCTTGCTTGGCAGGTTGATTCTTCCAAGGCAGGTTGACTTTCTTGTAGTAGTTGAATTCTACTATGTTGCCCTTAGCGGATCTTACAATCGTCTCGTCCGCGAAGTTTTCGACCCCCGCTAAGGCTGTAGTTAATCACGCAAAACTATCTTTTGACCCTGTCTCCCCCTTGAGCCTCATTCATACCAGAAACGAGGAGAGCACGTTAGCTGTAAATTGTAGGTGATTTTGATCTGATGTGTGACTTGCCAATCTAAAGAAGCAACTGTGTCCTAGGCCTCTAAGGATGCATGGAATCATCGGACACCTTGCATACCTATGTATGAATTTGCAGCGGCTCCTTATTATCAGTGGGAAGTCACTGAAGCTGCGCATATCGGTTCCAGATTGTCTGAAAACATCCAAAGAACTGTCTCGAGCACTGTGCTCTACGAGTGATGAATTTGCATTGATACAGGTATCAAGATGGCTTGGGCTATAGATCGGACTTATATGTACAGGCCTGAAGCAGCTTCAAACGAGCGCACTAGCCGAAGAGCCTGCGACCCATTCTGCCACCAGATCCAGCCTACCCCTGACAAACCCAGAGCCAACACAGCCACCTTCAGAGCATTCGCTGCAGCTTCTCTGACCCACAATTTCCTCCTTTGCTCAACCATGTCTCTTGCTTGGTTTGTGTGTGGGAACGGCTCCTTGGGGACCTCTTTATTCAGGAATGTACACAGTTCTTCCCATCCGTGCTTGCCCAGGTCGAACTCAAGGATCCTGTCAGCTGCCACCAAGCTTCGCACGCGTGGGTAGTGGGTTTCATAGGTTTTCCGATACTGCTCTTCTGTCCAGTATTCGGGATGAGGAGTGGTGACGTATGGCCCTGAGCCTCCAATCATGGTAAGAAAGCAACAGGCGTATTGATACCATGCGTTTGTTTCTGTGCTGAGAAAGGGCCGCAGAAATGGCCACCATTTCCACGAAATCAAGGGCATTCCTGTATTGCTAACAGAACCGTACCAGCCCTGGAATGATCGTTTGTTGAGTATGACTTTCGCGTCCGGATTCTGCGCGAACCATTCCTCCATGAAGAATATGGCAGGCGCATCGATTATCCCTTCATATCTCCAAAGGATCTTTGACCAATCGTCAGCATCATAGGGTGCCTTGGTACCTGCATACTTTGCTGCCAATGCCTCATTCCAAAGTGGGAGCTCGCCGTTCTGCATAGCATCTGTCGTATGGTACGTTGGTATGCCGAGTATATTCAATGCGGCCCGAATAGCTATTCATTATGTCGGTAGTCAGCATCCCATACGTCAAGTCATGTGAAGGTACCGCACATTTCGTTCCTGAGCGAGGCAGTCCCAGTCCCAGGACAGCCAGGCGGCTAGGCCTTGGGGCTGTTGGTAGTCTGTCGATGAGCCTCTTGCCGTCGGGAGCCATGGTGGGAGTCTTTGGTTGAGGTGTTCAATCTGTGGAAAGACCGGTCAAAATTAAGTGGAAAGAGGCCTTTTTGTTGAATAGGCAAACCAAGTAGTGCTGAGGTGAGATCTCGGCAGGTTAGCGCAAAGCCCCGACCACGGACAAGGGGCAATTTGGATACCGTCCAAAACAGTCTTTTATTTGACTAATGCTTCCATGTTATAATCTTATCGCCTGGGATCATTTGAACCGAGAAGAATCCTACGGACAAACTCGAGCCTTTCAACATGAGAGCAGTGCAGAGGTGATGCTCAGATGGATGTTGGATGACCTCCTAAATTAAGCTGCGGTAGTCATTTGGTCATTTACTGCCATTTGATTATTTAATACAATGCGTATACTGTGGAATCTGCCTGAAGGACTTTGTACATGAGGTTGATGAGCTCATATGGCTTTATTGTTGATTCTAGGCTCGACGACTAAGTTCTGATATCGACTTCTGCTACATCTCCAAACTACACAACGATAACATGAAGTTCGACTGGGAAGTACTTAAGCAGAGACATCTGCCAAGAACTTCTCCAGCACAGGGAGAAAGTCGTCAGGCTTTTCCCACAGCGGGCAATGCTCACCGCCGGCGATCTCCACAACCTTGCCATTCCACAGGTTGCCGTACTTGAGCCCCTTGATCATGTTATTGTCGAGATGTGGCTCATCAGTTCCGATGACAACCGCAGTCGGCACCTTAGTCTCGGCAATTAGCTGCTGCTGGTTGGAACAGTCCCCGAAGCCAAGGTTTTGGAACAGCACCCGACGCGCCTTGCCGTCCGTCCTGATAGCCGCATCCGCCATCCACTGCTCGAATGGTCCGCCTGTGCCAAGCTTGGCGAACATGGTCAGGTCATCAGCGGTAAGGTCCTCACGCATGTTCCACCTAGTGCGGTCGTCGTCGAGGGGTGCGTCGTAGAGCCCGACCAAGAGCGATCCCACCATCATCAGTCCCTTGGTGCCCGGGAACAGAGGCAACATCTCGGTCCCGATATGTCCGCCCAGCGACCAGCCGACTACAACAACTTCCTTGATCTCGAGCTTCTCTAAAACCTCGACTGCTGCCTTGGCGTAGCCCGGCATCGTATAGGTGCGCTTAGGGTCGGCGGCGTCGCTGGACTGGCCATGCCCCGGAAGGTCGAGCGAGAGCACCCGGCGTGTCGATGGAATCTTACTCTGCAGTACATGGCGGAAGATATCGGAACTTGAGGAGTTTCCGTGGATGCAAAGAACCGGAGGCAGACTACCGGAGCCAGCCGAGCGAAGAGCCAGTCGGCCGTAGCTTGTCTCAACAAAAATGGGTTCGGGTAGACCAGCCATAGTGGTGTTATAAGAAATTGAGCGTTGAAAGTGTTTCTATTTTCCTTTTGCGTTGTGAGTGTTTGGTCTTCAGGGAACTGTGGTAGTCTGTCGTGACTGTGACTATATTGATGAGAAGTCTTTTTCTGACAAAGGAAAAATACGAACTATATATTGCTCGAGACTGTCGGAGTTCGGCACCATTGTTGATGCAACGTCTCATAGCGAGGTTTGATTGTTCGCATAGCGCTGGAGTTTTCCTTTCGTCTCAACAACGGATCGGACACCGAATTATCTGATATTGCCCACTCATGGAATCATGGAATTTAAATACCGATCACATATGGCAAGTAATAAACAATAATATCCTGGAAATGCCATCTACAACGAGAATGGCTCTCAGCATGAAAATAAGGCGAACTCTTATGAGTTGATTTGGCACTTGGAAAATTAGAATACGCGACATGAGGTGCTAGCATGGGATTATTATCAAATGCCCAGAATAAACACAAGCGTCGTCATCCGCTTTCGGGTCTTCAGAAACTGACTTTTGGCTGCACCTTTGTGTCTATATCGCCTGGAGCTGCTGAAACCAAACAATGCCCCGCGCCGGAGTGATTTGGGAAATAAGCTTTTGGAAAAGTCGGCAATTATTATCTCCACCGCTTACCGAGCATTGCTCCGCGTTTGATTCTCCGGAGTCGTCTCTTGTCCGGGTGCCGCGAAAAACTTCGTTTCTAGCCTACAAGTGCGGAGGGCAAATATGCAAACGTGGTACGGGAATTGTGTTAAAGTCCTTCGGTGCCTACCCCCCTTCGACAAAGATCTGACATGGTGTTGAGTGGCATATTCGCTCAGCTTCTCACTCAGATTTATTTTATAATCCCACATATAAGCAACAAGGGAAATCAAATGGCCACCTACGCTGTTTTTGGCGCCACTGGCAACTGCGGCAGCTCGCTCGTCGAAGTGCTGCTTCCTCTGCAAGATATCACAATACACGCGTACTGCCGAAATGAGTCCAAACTCCGGGCCATGTTCCCTGAGGCGGTCGAGTCGGGCCGGATCAAGATCTTTTCAGGGAACATCGACAACGTCGCGGTATTCAAGGAATGCTTGCGCGGCTGCCGTGCTGTCATGCTGGCCGTGACCATGAACGACAACGTCCCGCGCGTGCGAGTAGCACAGGACACTACGCGCACGCTACTGACGGCTCTCAAGGAAATACGGGCGGAAGATCCCCAGGCTAAGATGCCCAAGATCACCGTATTGTCCTCGGCCAGTCTCGAACCGAGCATGTGTACAAACCTGGCCGCGCCAATGCACTGGATCGTGACACACGCCAACTCCAACACCTATGCCGACCTCCGTGTACAGGAAAGTTTGCTGCGCGCCGAGGAATCATGGCTGACCAGCATCTTTGTCAAGCCGGGTGGCCTGGTGAAGGACAAACAACGCGGCCACCGCCTGAACCTCACGACGCAGGAAACCTTCGTGTCCTACCTCGACTTGGCGGCAGCAATGGTTGAAGCCACCGATGACCCCGAAAATCGCTACGACATGAGAGATGTAAGCGTTAACAATGTTGACGGTAGTGCCAAGTTCCCAAAGAAGCTCCCCCTACTGGCTTTCTATGGAATTTTGAGGCATTACTTCCCTTGGCTACACCCTTATCTTCCCATGCTAGGGTGAAATGATGTATAGGACTCAAAGGTATCGATTTAAAGGGGAGGATCAAATAGAGTTTCATCAGAGGTTAAGATTGAGCTGTCGTTTGGGGGCCTACATTTGGGCTGCTCGCTTCGTATATAAGAGGTGCCACCCACACAGCCTTCAGCAGTGTGCGGTGTTCTCTCTTCTATCTCTTCAGGAATATAAATATTATGTAAGGCAATGATTTCATTCTTTTAATCAGTACTGTATAAAGTCTGAGTTCAAATATCTCGTACTGTTGGTTTGTTTAAATTCGGCCAATGTCGGTGAAGGTGAGCGTACAACCTCGTGAACTGAATGACACCTGAGATAGTCTACCGAAACAGCACCTGCATTTCCTGGAACGCGCCACGAAGAAAAGCTCGGATCGGGTGATGGGGATAATGACCAATTTGTCCAAGATCTGTGTATCTAAAGACGAATTTTACCAAAATGTAAACACATACTTGAGCCATGAGTATAGATCGATGAGGAGAGGTATAGGCAAGGTTACCATCACTATAGTCAGGACTTCCCCAAGCACATTGATCGCCACGCAATTACAGCTACCTGAAACGCTGGACGGGAGGAATATGCACAGAGTTTGCGGGCTGTATAGTTGTGAAACACTAGTATCTCTGCGCACTCAACACGAGAGTAGCAATCCAGAAATCCTGGGACACAGACAGGTGATAGGTGAGGCGTCTTCTACCATGGAAGTATACCACCATCAAGATCAAGAATGCCGGATTGCGCACCGAACTTGTCAATATCGGCGTCCCTCTTCCCAGTAATGGTGTCCACAAGAGCATACGCCGCGTCCTTGGCGTCCCTCGCGCCGTGATCGATGCGCACTTGGCGACCGGCCTCTCCCGTCAAGTTCGTCACGCACAATCCCGGATTGAAGACGCAAACCTTGCAGCCCCACTCCTCGTAGTTCGCCTTATGGCACGCCGCCAGCATGTTCAAGGCGGCCTTGCTTACACGGTAGCCGTCAGCTTGGATCTTGTACCACTTACCATTCTTGTCCAGCCTCATAGAGATCGAGCCCTGATCCGATGAGACATGGATCAATCGCGGGCTGGAGGACTTCTTTAGTAGCGGTTCAAAGGTCTCGGTGGTGATAGCGGTGCCAACCGTATTCGTCCCGAGATGCTCGCGCAGGCTGGTGAGCGTGTCGACGTCGGGACGATGCACGATTATGCCCGCGTTGTTGACCAGCACGTCCAACTTGCCAAATTTGGCCTGGACTTGCTCCCTGGCAGCCTCAATGGACCTCTTGTCGATAACGTCAATCTGGATAATTTCGATGCGGCCCTGCAGCGAGCTGTCCGCAGCGATGGCTTCATTCAGCGCCTTCTGACCCTTCTCAAGGGATCGAGCCCCGAGCAAAATATGATAGTTTGGCGACGCCTTTGCCAAGGCAACCACCGTCTCGTAGCCAATTCCACTGTTGGCACCTAAGGCATGGGTTACTATCTTATTCCATGGTTTGAATATTTCAAGACAATCACAATATAAAATGACCCACCAGTGATCAGGACGATGGTTTTGCTAGAGGCCATAATGAGAGGTGATTATTCTGTTTCTCTGATATATTGTGATATATTGTTGACAAGACACGAGATTTGGGGGTTTGTAGGGGATTTCGATGCTCAGGTAGATTTTAAGGTGGATAGGTGTGTCTTTTTGGCGTCTGGGAATTCAATTCAGCTGATATATATATTGAACCGCTACGGGCATAACAGTCCGGTGCTTGATCTCAGTCTGCCTTGCAAATATAAACTCCGTCCCATTATAGACTCATGTCTGACTCATTTCTGACGCATGTATACGTACAAATGTCACAGCTAATAGCGGTCAGTCATCGGCATTTGGGTCCAGTTACTCCGAAATCAAATACGGGAAGTGATAGCAATCCTCCCCGAGCTGCTGTTCAGATCATAATACAATAGTATGAGAGACTATCGCTTGAAGATTTCGCTAAAACCTGATCAAATTCAGAGCCAGAGAGCGAAGTAGGACTGAAGTATTGCTTTTGAAATATAGATCCGCGCTATCTCCGAGACGCTGACATGCGAGTCTCAACTAATTAATGGCTAGCGATCTTTACGGTCACTCTTTCAAGTCGGGGACATTTTCCCATTGTACATCAAACCCAACGAAAGCCGGCCACTTCTTCTCTTGAGGCACATCGAGGGTGATATCATACGCCATTCGGGACAAATTGAGCCACATGTCCCCCTTGACTGGGAACGCGGATGCATCCGGCCCATTTTCGAACGGCTGTGACACCTCTTCGCCATTTTTGAGAGCCCGAGCAAATTTGGCTACATGGCCGTCGTCATGGAGGCCTTTTACGACATCGAACAGTTTCTCCCAGGTCCACCCTGCGCTGACCCCGGCCTTATAGCCCTCGAGCTCGGCGAGGCGGAGCTCGGGTGTACCGCAGGTGGCGTACCAGACCAAGTCAAGCCGAGCCTTCCACTCGACCATTCGTATGCGATCCTCGATTCGAATCCAAGGCTGACGCGCAAGTATGGTGAGGAAGATGGAGCTGGTTACGTCGTGCATGTAGAAGAAGTCAATTCGGCGTTCCTTGCCCGGGCGCTGCGCAGCGCCCGCAAGGTAGGCACAGCAGCTGATCATCTCCGCCGTGCGGCGCTCTAGCGTGGCTGGCTCAACACGGAATTGCGCCGCCAGTGCTGCGATCTCATGGCCTGCACGACCCAGGACGCCGTTCTTCATTTTCCACTGGAAATCATCCCAGCGTGCTGCATGATGGATTTTCTCATTGCTGTGGGCCTCGTGGTAGAGTTCAACAAGTGGCCTTGGCTTTGAGGGTGGCGTGCCGGCCTTGCGTGCATACTCCTCCGCGTTGAGGAAAAAGACATCGACCTCGAAGCTGATGTCAGTAGCAGCCTGCGCAAGCGCTTCGGCCACGATGCTTGGCTGCTCGAACTCGACTCCGAGGCCTAGGTGGATAATAGGGTGGAACGCGCCATCAAACATGCGCGCGAGCAGGACGTCAGCGTTGCGGGTGCGCCCAAAGCAATACTCGTTAACAACTTCCTTCCAGCCCTTGCGCTCTATTTCGCGCTCGAAAAAGACCATGTAATTAGTGTAATCAGAGAGCTGGCCGAGGTGGCGGTAGAAGCCGTCATCGCTCTCCAGCTCACGGATAACGCTCTCATCGAGTGGTGGCATAGGGCGCCGATCACGTTCGTTGTCAACATATCCCGACTCTAAATCCGCAGCATCCGCGCCAATGGCCAGGCGCGTAAGCACATTATGTACCGTATGATTGTGCCCGGCAAAATCCCTCCAGAAAATGTGAGATTCATCATGATTCTTCTGCAGCAGTCGGTTCGCAGCCTCGATTGTGCCAGGGGTGGTTGATTTAATACCGGGACACATGCCCAGGTGCTGGGGCCCCAGGTGAACCTGAGAGGAAGCTGTAATTGTCTGCGTACTCATGTTGGATGAGGAGATGATTGTGAATCCTCCTGAAAAGCAAAGATAGTCGAGAAGAATGGCAAGACGTATTCGAAGATACGAGTATGATGGACTTGGATCTCTCTATGCTGATGAGCCGAGGGTATTCTTTATTATCCCAATGCGTCTATGTATTTATATATCCACCTTCGACATTCATGTCAAGCGGCTGTGGCCATAAAAGCAGCTAGAATCCTGAATCCAGGGTCATGGGAACATACGATGTTATAAAAGAATAAGGCGATCTAAGAGACCAAGGCTCGGCGAAAGGAGTTTCTACTTTCATCCTATGTTATTCGGGAACCGGCAACAGTTGTGAACATCTAATTTGCATCAAAGTACTGTTACCAGGCTCTCGGGCGTGCAAATAATAGCGGACGTGTAAGGTGTTGCACTCAGGGCCTATGGATGTTTTGCAACAATTGATTCATAGTGACCTTAGACCTCCATCAGTGGTGGAATTCGAGGAATACGCGCGACTACAGGGAAACCTAGTTGGGGACCCTACTACAGCGACGACGAAAATGAAAGGTGAGCAGAACCCTTCAGTCCTACATACTTTCCAAGCAGCAAAGTCCCACGTTTCGAGGAGGAGTAGTTTATTGTAACCTAATCAGAGTATCTGGCACAATAATCTACTAGCCTACTTTAGCAAAATGATCCCAGTGCGTTCGATCAAATTGACTCTCTGCTCTGAAAAAGAGATTGATCAAAGTTGGTTTGTCACCACACTAATCTGCGCATCATACCATCACTCGAATGCTTTCGAACTCTTCTTGAAACAAAAGTCACGATCAAAGATGCTGAAACAGCCATTGCGCAAAATTATGCAGACTGAGGGACATGCGATTCAAACTTTGTGATCAAGTCACATTTACTCCGAGGCTTGAACAAAACTCCGCACTTGAAAACTTTATTCCGAATCGCTGTAAGATGAGTGCGATGGAGTGGCAGGCTGCTATTGATTAGGTGTCAGGCACAATTGCACAAAAGTTCTCTCATAATCTGGAGACTCAGAAGCACTGTCATCAGAGGAGGCCATTCAAAAATGGCTGGGTCCGTTGACTATGTGACTTTATATGTAGGCATTTTTCTGCTATGGTGTGTTCATCAATCATTTTGAGAGAAACATAATTGCATTGAAGACGTCTTTGACATAGGAGGTTGCATTTAAATAGTCTGTAGTACCACAGATGTGGACCAGCCGATTTGAATGTAAGTTGCCTAGTAGTAGCGGAGAAGTTTACCACAACCAGACGCTCACACAAACAGTCTCCAGGTCCTCTGTTATACACGTACATGACAACCAAAACTAGAGTGATATTGCAAGGCTATTTAAGTACCGTAGTATTAGATTCTAATCTGTGATCTTGGTTCGAAGACACCACAGAGCAGAATGATTGCAACTTTGGAGACCAGTGTCGAAGTATTGCCACATTCAAAGTAGAATAAGTTGGTCAAGCTCGGTACCATTCGTGCCATTGTAACAGTTGAATTTCTCCTTGACGACACATGCACTTATCTAACCGAGACGAAGACAACTTTCGTTTAATCCTCGCCGCTTGGGAAGCTCCCAGCCCCACCGTCGGGTCGCAAAATCTTGCCGTTGATCCACTCGCCCTCGCTGCTCGCTAGAAAGACAGCACAACGCGCAACATCCACTGGTAGGCCAACGCGGTTGAGAGGAGATACTGATGCAACGATCTTCACATGAACGACTGATTAGCAACAAAGAAATTTTCATACTATCTGGCATGAACTGACCTTCAAGATCTGCTCCTCGCTCAGGTTCTCACCATGCGGAAGGTAGTCTCTCGCAGTGGCATGGAACATATCTGTCACGATACCGCCGGGCGCAATGGCATTTACCGTGATCCTCTTCTTTCCGCAGTCAACTGCCAAACACGGCACAAAAGACTCAATGGCTCCCTTCGAGGCGGAGTATAGCGAGTGCTTGGGTACGACGAACCCTTCAGCGGTGTTCGAGCTGGTAAGAATAATGCGACCACCTCGACTCAGATGCTTGTACGCTTCTCGAGCTACGAAGAACTGTCCCCGCGTGTTGAGGCTGAAGACACGGTCAAATTCTTCCTATAATGCACATTCATGTCAGCGTCATCTCTGCTCCGCAGGTCACTTTCTGAACTGCTTACCTCTGTGACGTCTCCGAAGTGTCCGAAAGAGACGACTCCGGCATTAGAGACAACAATATCGAGTTGTCCATAATGCGACTTGGCAGCTTCAAATAGTCGCACTGTCTCTTTAACATCCCTGACATTTGCTTGGATCGCGACGGCATCTGACCCCAGGCTTTTGATCTCGGCCACGACCTTTTCGGCCGGTCCGCTTGAACTGGCATAGTTGACAATTACCTTTGCTCCAGCACGGGCCAGTTCGACCGCGATAGACGCCCCAATACCTCGGCCGGCACCTGTGACAAGGGCGACCTTGCCATCCAGACGGAACGGAGATGCCATAATGCCTGCTGGGGATGAAGTGTTCGAAGCAAGGTGCTGAATTATTTCCGAAAAAGAAGGCTGAAGGTAGTCAAGGACTTATAGAAATGCTAGATGAGTGGATATTCTAGCCCAGAAACAGATTCGAGATCGTCTGCAACATGGAGCGACCCGAACTGCTATACAACTGCTGGGCTTCCGTATTTATTATACTGCTACAGTCTGCGCATGCTCTCATGTCTGTCCGCGGAACGGTGGCATTTTGAATGCCGGCCTTTGAGCACTAGGGATGCAAATTACAGATGTCCGGGGTTTATTACTCGGTTTCCGGAGCTCAATAGACGAGATGGTTCCTACGATGCATTCCGCTAAGGTGGACAGCAGGGATTGGGCCTTCCGCCTTCGCCTTGTGTGTATCAGACGACGGAGTAACCTCTACAGCGCAATCATCAGCTGAAAACTTTTGGTGTTTCGTTCGGCTCGATAGCAGCCCGGCAGCTGGGTGGCTGCACATGAATCGCGAGTTCAGCTCCATCCACCTAGTCTCTATCAACAGTCCTGGTATGTTTCTAGTCGAGGTCACTCGACAATCTCAACTGTTTAGTTTCATTCTACAAGTTTGACCCAACAACAATCAGGTACACCAAGCTGCTCTTGATATTCTAGTCAACTGATTGGATTAAGAAAAATGCTAGAATGTCTTTATTTCGTGGCGGTCTCTTAAACATGATCCGTTCTGCTATGAAGTCATTAAGACTCCATCTCTATAGGTAACTTCGGCGAATAATCAGATTCTACTCTTTGAATTCGTTCGTTGCGTCTCCAAAGATCTTGTCATAATCATACTCAAACCACCTTTCGATTGGCTTGAGTCCAGCAAATTTCCAAACCCCGTCGACTTTCTTATACCACATGGTCGCGCTCCCGTGTGAGTGTCCCTTGATAGCCACAGTCTTCATAGTAGAATCCGTATACCTCTGATGGGCCACTCGCATCTGATGGTGCCCCACGATCTCATCATTCGAGACCTTTTCCCAGGATGACAAGCCTACAAAATGCTGGGTCTTCAGCAGCGGATTGCCCAAGAAGTGTGGGTTGGAAGCCATGCCCACGAACTCATCAGCCGGCATGTCTTCCCACAACTTGTTGAGGAACGAGCGGTAGTCCACCCTCAACGCTGGAGCGGCGCACTTTCGAAGACGTGTCCAGTCCTGCACGTGGATCAGCAATGTATACCCCTGGAATGATGAGCAACTAAATATCTACCTTCGAATCGAAGCTCTCTGCCCATTCGAACAAAGCAGTCTCACACCCCAAGACATCTATCTAGGCTGTTAGTAATTGCATGTGGGCTGTATCGCGTTGTCAACTGACCCTCAAGAGTGTGTTGTGTAGACATTTGTCACTATTTGTCAGCTGACAGCGATTTGAGTGTTGCTTGGGTGTTTCTTTTCTTCTTCTTTTCTTAATATGACGAGATTGTGAGGTGCACATGAACGTGATGACAATGGGTAATTGTAAAGTGACGAAATTCATTGATGCTCTATTTACGGCGCATGATGATGTTTATGACCTGCAAATCTCAGGGAACCACCGGGATCCGGATCGGTTACAGTCTATGCGGTTCAAAGCGTTCATGCATACTTTCGGGATCCAGCGCTACGGGACCACAGCCGAGCCGAAATAGATTATCAAATGTCCCAGCTTCGGTCATCGACCTTTCCTAGCCTTCCCCGGACTTTATTGAGCTAACCACTGGCCTGATGCGGAGTTGGTTGCGGCTGGGCAGCATATTTTCAAGGTTGCAAAACTTGAGCCACCTTCTGCCATGACTTGAATTTGAAGAGCACAGTCTTGTCGCGGGCCGCCTATAGTAGAGGAAGATGTAGACGATGCTTCGCGACTGTACTAGCTTCACCAAGGCTATGTGACTTATGCTTCTCTCGGCCATTACCGAGAGTATTTTCATGTCTGTTCGTGCCATAATTTGTCTCTAAGAGAAGGGTATACCTCCGATCATCAAGTACAGCTGAAATAGAATCCCTGTCGTTGCACGACGCGCAGAGGGAAAAGAACAAGGAGCATCACCAGTCATCGGGAGACCCAGTGAACATGATCAGAGGTTTTAAAGGAAAAATGTTGTCGAAATACAAAGCCTGGCAGAATTGCTCCTTCAGGCTCGAGCTGGCAATAGATTTGGGAGGGTGCCGAACTGGGACCATTAGATCCTCAGTGACTAACAGTGTCGTCCATCACTCGGTAAAGTAGTCTGCGGAGATGGCAGAATCATTCTAATTTACTCATCCGTTGCATGAAACTGCACAAGTAAATCTGAATGGGGTTCATTTGGCCTTCGTTGCCCAATGTCTTTGCGTGATGCGGATTGCTGGAGCTGTGGAAGAAGGATGCGAGACCAACCAGATGGGAAGAGAAAAAGGAACCCAGGTTCGAGGACGTATGTTGCATCACTTCAAGGGCAGTGAGTTGGTCGCCTGACGTGGAGCTACTGGGAGAAGGTAGTGGATGGCATTTTTTCCGATACAGCAAGCTCGATTGCATGGCATATGTTAGGGCATTACAGTCAGTGTACATTGTCCTCGCTCCGTTGCGCCCGGTTTGGGCGCTTCTGATCGATTTTGAACAGGTTTCGAGTTCTGGATAATTCGAACTACGATTCACTAAAATTACGGCTGTTCTGGTGTCTATGAATACATGCTAGATAATATTCAACCATCTTGAACTAGCTTGAGAGAATTAGCGTACTGATTCAATCAACAAAGCTCCTCGAGTAGTAAACGGCAATGCATCACGGAAATGCAGGCGGGGCAAATGTTTCAGGTTCTATTATCTGCAGCGTCGAAATTTCATTTGTTCGCGCTCAGTCCTGGATCCACGTATTAGGAATTAAATTGCCTGAAGAGCTTACACAAGAACTGCATCCACCAGAATCAAGGTTCGGAGTACCAGAAACGGATGCGCAAGCGCATAATTGCGAACAACTAATCAAGTTCGTGTTGTAAGCGGCTGTGCCCTACATGAACTATGCCGCACGTGTTTCGCCCGGCAACCGTGTACTAATTTATTAACGAACGACTCTCGGCCTTCACCAAAACTCAATTTCCGCCTCGATGTCCGTAGAAATAGGAAGCAATTGCTATGGTCTGATTCGGGGCTCATGTACGACCGTCCCGAGCTACCAAATTTGAAGAGACTGAAAATCTGTGAGGATATTAATACCTATACGCTTGGCTGACCATTCACCTACTGTCTCACATCAGAGCTTGGTGTTCCTACTAGAGATGATCGGTTCACTGTCGTCTTTTGTCTAGCAGATATTGGTGACATACACTTCGGTGCAGTCATTGACTCCAAATCAAATTTCCACGGTATTTGCTCGTCACAATGGCGTCCAGGCTTGACTCACATTGCAGTTTGTTGGGTGTCGTGGCTCTGCTATTCGCAGGAACTACGCAAGTGCTTGCTCAAACACATTATCTGGTCGTGGGTGGCGGTCCTGCTGGCTACGTGGTCGCGGAGCAACTATCACGGAATCCCCAAGTCAATGTCACTCTTCTTGAGGCGGGACCGGACCCTCAAAACAATGATAATATCAACAGTAAGCTACATACTTGATTATCAATCCTTGGATGATTGGCAGCCTTGCTAATACCGATGCAGCACCTGGCTATCTTATGAATGTCGCGGACTTCATGTTTCAGTACAATTCGCAGCCGGATGACAACCTCGGCGGCTTGACGCCAAACCTCTGGCAGGGGCGGGCGTTGGGTGGTGGCTCAGCCGTGAATGCGATGGGATACTGCCGTGGTTCAGCTTCAGTCTTCGACGAATGGGCAGCCATCTCTGGTAATCCAGGTCTTGCGTGGAGCTCTATTCTAGACGACTACAGAGCCACCACTCATTACACTCAACAGCCGGCTAACTATGAGGAACCCATTGACAATATGAGCGTTTTCGGTGATGGTCCAGTGGAGTTGAGCCGCCAAAGCGGTCTGGCTGGTACAGAGCTTCCTTTTGCACACGCCTGGCAGAACCAGGCCAATCTTTCCATGATGGACGCCCAAAACGGCCAGGGAATCGGGGTTTATCTGGGCCTGCAATCTATTCGGGTCAGCAACCGCACCCGATCTTATCCGCCGAGCACGTATGGCATGCAAATGGCCGACCGCCCGAATGCGCGAGTCCTTGCGAACCATTGGGTACAGAGCATCGGATTCTCAAACACGAGGGCGACCAGTGTAAAATTCACAAACATGCTGACGGGTATGGAAGATACTATGACTGCGGACGAGATTGTTCTCGCAGCAGGCGCCGTCAACAGCCCCAAGCTGCTCTTGCAGTCTGGTGTAGGACCGGCCGAAACCCTCGAAAACCTTGACATCCCTGTAGTGGCCGACATCCCCGGCATTGGCGCTCAGATTTGGGATCACCATTATTCTTATATCCAGTGGCAAGTGACTGATGACGTTATGACGAATTGGAGATGGCAAAGCGACGCGACACTCACTGCTGAGGTGGAGAGACAGTACCAAGCGAACTACTCCGGGCCATTAGGCTGGAATCTTGCAGCCCCATCCTACGCCGCACTACGTCTTCCCGATGAAGCGCTTGCAGGTGTCAATAGTAGCTTCTATCAACAGCTCGACGCGGACAGACCACATGCTCTCTTTCAGTGTGGCGCGTACGCGTTCAATGCATCATTGGCGCCGAACTCAAATGTTAGCATGGCATCGACGTGGGCGTCTTTGATGCAGCCTGAGGCCGCCGGGTACTTGACTATCAACTCATCCGACTATCGCGATCCTCCGCTGATCTACAGTAATTACTACGGATCTCCGGCTGATAAAGCAGCCATCTTGTATGCATACAAGATGATGCGCTCTGTGCTTACGTCTGATCAGGAGTTTTCAGATAAGGTGGTCATGGAGGTCTTCCCGGGCTCGAATTCAACGTCCGACGACCAGCTTTGGCGGGCCATTCAGAGGAGTGCTTCTTCGTTTCATCATGCTGTAGGGACTGTGCCACTGGGCAGGGTCGTCGACACCAACTGGCGCATAAAGGGACTGGACGGCATCCGGGTAGTAGATTCCAGCGCCATACCGACGTTGCCCACGTGCCATCCCATGTCCCATGTGTACGCTGTGGCTCACCGAGCTGCGATGGACATCATGCATGCGGACGGGATGTGAAGCAATATGGAAAAGGGCATACATTTAACAGCACTAGCCAGTAAGACGGGTCGTGGTATTTCTCCCCTTCAAATGATCAGCGAATAGAAATTTAGGATTTTAACTTGACTTTGTGTATATGCGATAACAGATCAATACAAACTCGTTTACATCAATGCAACTGTGGGGATTTCAATTTAAGGATGTTCTGACATCCCAATTCATCATGCAGTAATTTGAACGTCCGGAGACAAATCGAATGAAGCCCTAGTACGTGTCTTGGGCCTCTTAGTGCCATGTTACGCATCTGCAAATATTTAATGTTCAGTGGACCAAGGACCCACGGTCGTTGTTACTTGAAACGTGTGGCGATGTGTCAATACCGACAGCTCCTGATCCGGTCTTGCGCAGTTCGTGATGACGTCCATGTGCAGAGCATTTCAGATGATCGACGGAAAATGGAACGGTGTATCAAGGCCGGACTCGGATATTGATCTGTCCAGACGCTGCAGAATATTTGCGCGCGCGCTCGCTAGAGGGGAGCTGTACCTGTGCGTTACTCTGACCAGGGGAAATACCTTCTTTGTGACGAACCAGGGGTTTCTCTGGAGTGACGGCGTCCTTGAAGTCGAGTCAGGGAAACGCCGCCGCAATCAAGACGGCCTATAAGCCGTCTGTGCCAACGAAGTTGAACTGGGAATGCACATTTGTCGGAGCGGAGTTGAGCAGAATCTCGGAGTTAGTATTGTTTTGGGTCCGATTCGCTTCCGATCCACCGCGAACAAAGTGATCGCGATCATGGATACCTACACTTTGACAAACACACTTACACGCACCTTGCTCTTTGCACGTCTGCTTCTATTAACCCTGCGCACTACTAGGCTTCGATTCCTAGGCAGTAGAGGACAAGTTGACCATGCATTCCGACTTCTGTGGCACTGCGATTCACGTGGCCCAAAATTCCCGAAGCCTGCAATCTGTAGCCTCTTAGTCTACTGAACTTAATTCTCTCCATTCCTCCGAGATGTACAGCTGATACCCGATGTCACGACAACAAGCTGTTCTGATTTCTCAAATCCTTCAGGGCTCATTATATCAATTTTGTCCGTTGACAGGTTTCAATTGTTTCCAAACTTTATCGTAGTGCCTCTTGAGAAAGAATATCTCTATTAGGGTCATGCTGGGCGTAATTTGTACTACAGGAGGAGTCATTCAATATTGAACAACCACGGATTCGCTCAACAGGTTGACTTGGTAACACAAAAAAGGTTTATTCTGACCTCGAGTCAAATAAAATCAGACTTTGACAGATCCTTTCACACCAATACGAGAAATGATCAATGAGGTGGCACCCAATGAAGAGTTGCTCAAGTGTGCTCTTCTCGGAACCCGCAAGGTTTCAATCCTGAAAAGGCGTTCCTCTTTTGCTCACGAAGATTTCATCCCAAAGTGTATATTTTGCGCGACATGAAGAACTACGAAAAAGACATCTTTGTAAGCTATAAAGTCTAGCCTCATCAAGCTGAGTGGTTGATTTAGGTTGAAATTTCAGCATTAAAGGCTCTATTTCTCGTGTTCGGGCTTGTTTGCTATAAGGCACTTACTCAAGTACAAGTTTATATAATTAGAAGAATGTCCAAGCTGCTCAAGAAGATCCCTGAGCACTCGCCATTTCAATTAGATAATGTACTATGCCATAAGTCTCATTAATAGCCTCGCTACGAGAATTCAGGTGTTTCTTCCGATGTAGTGCACCGGGCTGATTCTGAAACTCTGTTAAGTACCGTGCAGTGCCGTCGGGTCGGGCATCGTAATTTCATCGATGTCCGAGTCGGAGCATCTGCCTTTATTGATTAACGGAACGGCATTTGGACATCTATTCTTATAAAATGACACTTCAGTCACTACTTCAATCTTCATTGCATGCTAATTAAATCATCCTCCAGCTAATAATGAAAATGGAAACCCCGCCAGTTACTGAATCGGTCGTCTTGGACAACCCAGCTGGAAAATTGCTATGTTTGACCATACTGGGATACAGAAAACCCGGCATGACGGAAGGAGAGTACCGCCACCACATGACTAAGATTTCAGCGCCCATGACACAGGATCTGATGGTGAAATATGGGATTGTCAGATGGACTCAGGTAGGTCAATGACAAGGAAATCACGGTCTTCTCGCAGCATCGTCAGGACCAATGCGACGGAGGTTCTTGGGCTAACTCCACCGTCTGTCAAGGTTCACAATCAGAGCTCGACACGCGCTCTGATGAGCGAAATTGTCGACCCCCAGATGGTCAACACTGCAGACTTTGACTGCTTCAGCCAGGTCGTGTTCAAAGACATCGAGGATTATAAGAGCTTCAAAAAAGATCCGTATTACAAGAAACATCTCTATGGTGACCACGTCCATTTTGCAGATACGCAGAGGAGCCAGTAAGCTCATGCTTTCACCTAGGCACATTTCCCAAGAGGCTAACTTAGAAGGATGACAATCGGGTGGATTGAGCAATTCATAGACGAAGGGAAGATTGTCGACGGGTTCCCGCAGACGGTGCAGAAGAAACGTCGATGCTCAGAAAACTCTGTTCATGAAAACCCCGAACCGGCAGAGGACTGTCCTTTGGAGTCCGAATCGAAGCGTCGGAGAGCGAGCAAGGATTAGTCAGACTCGGTGTCCGTAACTGAATCTATCATGTGTTGGTTGTATTTAATGCATGTTTGATCTCACTGAATCGTCTCTTTGCATCTGTTGGACCACCTTGAAAGCTCTGGGCAATTGACCGTCTTCGACTAGACACTTAAGCCACTTAGATCAAATCATCGAGCCCGGAAGTCCGCTCTCTGTTGTTTATAAGTGACCACAGCGCCTCGTTCGTGTTTTAATCCCCCTCGATCCTTCGTCATGGAGTCCAAACAAGATGCTCTTGCCGGAGTAAGGACCACTGCTCTGATTGCAGGGTCTTTTCTATCAGGTACGCAATGGTGCTCCCAAATCTTACCTATCATAACAAGGTCCTTATCTGCAGTCCAGGATGCATGATGAGTATCAGCGCCGTCGCTGTCCCAGTCTTTCTCGACACCACTCCGGAGCCAGCACTCTTGTTCCAACAGTGGGCTCGCACATACCACTATGGTCATCAGATCCTCCCGGCAATCTCCGTAGCCACGTGTTCTCTTTATGCCTATTTGGCTATGAAAAGGCGAGCCGCTCAGAAGTCCTGGCTTACCTATGCTTATGCTGCCATCGTGACCGTGATCATGGTGCCATTCACCTGGATCGTTATGGTTCCTACAAATAATCTACTGTTTAGACTAATGGCGGAGAGCAAGACACAGCCTCTCATTTCGAGTCTGCCGGCCGGCAGGGAACTCGTTCTCAAGTGGAGCTTGATGCACGCCACGAGGTCCCTGACTCCCCTGGCCGGAGCAATCATTGGAGCTACAGCCACCACTTAAGGCGATGTGTCAGGGCACTTGGACATGGCAGAGCAATTCCAGCCACTATTTCACTCTGTGGTTCAAACCGCTATTTGGTTCGCAAGGCGGCCCGGGAACGAACTTTTATTATCTTTGCCAAGTCGGACTTACTCCAGACTTGATTTTGCAGCTCTACGACAGAGCTCGGACGACATCTGGGTCTTATGATCTCATGTTACCTTAGTGTCATGGGTTGCGCAGGTACTCTGACGACGAGATTGGACGTAATCATACCACCTCTATAACAAAAGGCTTAGAGCAGGGACACAAGTAGCAATTCATTCTAAAATTTCATCCCACATTACCAGAGAAGGAAAATCTAAGAAAGCTATGGATGACGTGATTAGCGAACTTTGTTATAGCCCGGGTGCGAGGCTTTGGCGGCCAGACCATGAAACTGTTGTTAATGGAGATGTAGTCTCATACCTCATACCTTACTCTCATTATTCCCACAGAAAAAAGGAGATGAACAGCTTGTCATTGATACATTCATCTCATATATACAATCAATCCTTTATCGTATCAGTGCGTAAGTCGCTTGGTATTTCGGTGCTAAGAGAGATGAGTATCCTATCAGGGGATTGCATGTTATGGCCTTGCAATCCAAGACCCAGAGGCCTTCCATTCTCTGAGCTACGAAAGTAGACAGCTCATGTGCGATCTTATTATCCAGCCTTCACTGCGCATTTCAAGCCACACTTCACCACTGAGCGAGGCAACATGCAGCAGACTAGTTTAGTTACAATTGATATTAATTAGACTTAGGCTTATTGCGTCTAACTTTCATGCCCTATTTCGCAGCATACTCACTATCTCCGTAAATAGAGTACGCAAACCCTTGCGAAGATCTGCTTCAAGCTGATTGAGCATGGCTGGCGAGAATGGAACCCACACATGCGAGTCACTCTTATGTGTGGAGCTGTCCACATCAGATAGAAGCTGTCCCATACTAGATCGGACTGAATCGGCCTTCAGGCGGTGGGAAAGTTGATTGACCAATCTTTGAACACAGTGTAGCTCGCTAAGAATCAACTGACCGGCTATTCGTCCATGGTCCTCTCCCATGTCATCCATAGTCCCGCCTACCGAGTGTCTCCGCTCCGGTGGCTGCTCGCTGCTATGACTGTCCCGCGCGATGGCCGAGTACCAATTTATGACCTTGAAGACTATCAGGGTCATGATAGTAAGTAAATATGCATCCTGGGAGCATTGACAACTGAGTATGTTGTTGACGGCCTCAATAGTCTGCTTGTTCTTGGAGATTATAGCTTCTAGATTGGAGTGATTGGGAACAAAGCTATTGTTGTTCTCCGTGGGACTCAGGGTCGGAGAACGAGAACAGTTGGCAGAAAGATTTGCGAAAAGCTGCTTCAGCAGTGCAATGGCCTGAAGCAGACAACCTTCAGAGCAAGGCGAGGCCCTGTTTACAGGGGATGACCCTGCAGACGTCGACGATGCTGCCACTGTCTCGCTACCCTGAGTGGTCTTCTCCTCTGCTCGGTCAAGTGCGAAATTTCCGAGCCCTGAGAACGGATCGTCCAGACCGAGACGGAGATCCACGGATTCTGGTTCGCTGCTCGGCACAAAATCGATCTTGCCGGAATGGTCAATGCCATAATCGTTCTTGTCCATTGCAAGTTCAAAGTGCGCCGGTCCGAATTGGTCATATTCCATTTTGTCAAGCCCAGGGAAAGAGCTCATGTGTGACCCGAAGAATTCCGGCGCACTAAGGGCGGTCATTGGAGACATATCCGAAGGCTCTGCACATGAAGAGCTGAGCTGGGTGTTCAGATCCAGGGGCGATGGTGTAGTCCACTTGGTGCTATATTCAGTAGACCCATCAGGATATGACGTTGTAGGTGTTGACCAGACAGGACTGAATATGAAGTTTGATGATGGTACCTTGGGCTCGCTGTGCCGCTGCTTCACCCGGCCAGCTCTTTTGGTGACTAGGTATTCGCACTTGAGGTGGCGTGTCGCGCACCGCTCGCAAGTTGGCTTTTTGCGACTGCACTTGACTTTGGAAGCTGAACATGCCTGGCAACTGTCCCGAAGTTTTGGTGCCGTTCGAGTCATGGTTCTTGCCGGAGAGCGAGTTGGGCTTCGATCTGGCCTCATCTCTGCAGGATCTAATGTGACTGCTATGGTGCGGCCTCAGCCTTCTTATGACTTAAAGCCGGTGCCATTGGAGGACGAGACACAATAGGTGGATGAATCTCATCCTTTAATCACAAATGATACATAGATCTTGATTCTCCAAGCGCCATGGTTCCTGTTCGTCTGTTAAAAGACTCCAGGGCTGTTGCCACACGCCCGATGCTCTGAAGTGCTCCGAACTCCGCTTACGTCTGATGTTGTGCGATGGAAAATGAAAAATGGCCGAAACGGAGAATAGTATTTACCATCCCTCGGTCTGCTTTTCTTCAATGAGGCCAAATGCATGGCTTAAGGTCGTAGCGCGCGCTGACGTGTAACTGACAATAGGCCTTGCATCGATGGTTGTATGGAGGTGCATGATCCCGAGCTCTTCAGTACTGCATAATGCCATACCCTGCGGTGTATGGTGTATCTCCGGGGCCCGTTCCTGTTCTCAAAAAGCTTGATTCAAGGATAGGATCGGCAAATTTGGTTTCAAATATCCTCAAAGCAATGGACTCGTGCATGCACAGACACCCTTTTCGGTAGCATTTTCCCCTAACATGAAATCATTACGATGGGCCTCGGTCTAAGACGGTTCACCATTACTTGCCCTACAACCACCAGAATACCGCAGTGACCGAAGCTGGCATAGATCTGTGCTTCATTTATGTCCGCGTCCCATAAAATGTTAGGCTGCATGCCGGGATCAAATTATGGTGACCAACGGATCGACGCCACTGCGATATCTTCACAATTAGGCATCTGATGCCAAGACAGCGTTGACGAAATGTCGGGACCGATACATCTCGAGGGATACAACACACAATTAGCCGCAATTGTTCAGAGCTTACTTGCTTTACGTGAACATAGTTACAATGATGGCGCAGGCGCAGGGCCCACGGGACCTTGGCTGCAGAACAGCTCGCCTTGGAGCACTCAACACGATCCCGCCGAGGCCCACCGTCTACGAGAGTCTCTGCTAGCTCATCTTTCGCAGCTTCAGACCTTACTTTTCCTCGACGAACCCAGCGTATTTCTACAGTCCTTGGCCAAGAAGGTATGTGACTCTCGAGCTCCTTTGGGCCCTAAACAGTCTCATTACCCTACATGACAGACCGTCACTGACTCAAGAATAATCACCACAAAATAGACACAACTTTTGGCCTGCCTCGGGTGGCTCGCGGAGTTCCAGATACTTGCTTGCATACCCAGAGAAGGCAGTGTAGCTACCAGAGACATATGCGAGCTGGTTTCTGTGCCAGAGAGCCAATTACTGCTCGTGGTACAGACAATGGCCACCGTCCGATTCCTGCAGATGCCTGAACCGGGACGCGTTGCCCATACCGCGTTATCTGCAGCATTTGTCACCAAACCTAGTCTGCTAGATGCCGCTCTCTTCATGACTGAAGTTGGGGCGCCGGCTGCTTTCCACATGGCTGATGCAACGAAAAGAGCTAGCGATGGCGAGGCAGTATCTGCATATAGCCTCGCTAGTCCAGCATTTACATCTTTTGCTAATGATTGCAAAGAGCGCCCTCGTCTGCAGCGCCAGTGGCTCGCTCATCTTCGCTACACGGTATGCGAAGATGAGGCAAGCGTCTTGGACGTAGTCATGCAGCTCGACTGGTCTCAATTGAGGGATACCTCTGTGATTATGTTTGAAGTAAGTGGAGTTCTGTGAGACTATACACGCTTTGACTGACAGCGATGCGTGATAGGCAGGATCAGCATCGAGCATGACCGTAATGGCGTTGGCCGATTTATATCCAGCTCTAGATTTCACTGTCCAGGTCTCCGAGCCTCCAGAAAATCGAAGGGGTTCCATTGCAAATCATGGCTATCAGCAGAGCTCTCATCCCCGCGTGAGTATCCAGCATCGCCCCTGCGGGACGTGTCAGACGGCGCTCAACGGCGCTATGTACATTCTCTCATTTCCCGCCACGTCGCCCCTGCTACCACGTGTAGAGCTTGGTCCTTGCATACTCGCCGAGCTACAATTACACTTGACAGTTTTGGCTAGTTCACAGGCGAGGTTGATCCTTGTCGTTCGGAACGTCAGGCTCGTATCGGCCGAGGAGACGTGTCTGACCAAAGACATGAATTTGGAGTTGGAGAGCCGCGCTCGTCTGCGAGATTTGTCACGCTGGCAATTAGACAGCGATCGCGATATGGACATAAATGAGCTCCTTGAGATTGTTGATCAGGTATGGGACAGCAATGGGAGCCTTGCGGTTGTGAGCCGGAAGTCATCGCAGGATGGGTCAGCCGTCGCATTAGAGTTACAGTATCAACCCTTCGCGGAAAGGAACCAGCTCAGTCTACAATTCTGACACTCTGAGGGAGAGTTGCTGAGATATATGCCAATCATCTGTCCAAATTGGTCGAATGAGCAACTCGATGTCTTCCTTATTATGGTCAATTGACGCATACGCGCGAACGCTGCAGACCGACTTCAAGACCAACGCCGAGGGGATGTTATGGCGCATAAGTTGCAACTGCCAGGTGGCGGAAGTTCTTGTAGATTCAAGCCATTTCGAATAAATTTGTCAGGTCACAGAACTCAACGCTACTCATGTAGACAGAACCGCTTCGACTGATGCAAGCTGGCATTTTTGAGGTGGAAAGGTCAAAACATAAATCGTTTCAGTAGATAGCGAGTTTCGGTGGTCTTTTTGGTGTCCCTCACAACTCTGTGAGTATCGAAGGCCATGTCATGATTTTCAACTCCGTAATTTATAGAATCATCACCATTCATATAGAGTCCACCCGCACCATTTTCGTGGACGTCAGCACGGTTCCACGCGTAAAGAAGACTTACATTTACTGTCCAAATGGCTAGGAGAACTGAAATTGTCAGATGCTTGGACTATATTTCTCATCCTAGGCAGCCGTTCTAAAATAAGAAAAAGGTTTCAAAATAAGCTAGGAGTTTGTTTTCCCGCTCGATCTGCTAGGTATTTTATATTCTTCGAGCGGATCCTGACGGTAGTCCAAAGCACATTTATTAAGTTTTGTAACAAAGCGTGCTTAGAACCCCCGTGCCTGGTGGGTTATCGGAGATGCATGAAAATTGCAAGTCCGATTCGCCACCCTATCCACTCTTATCACTCTATCTCGGGCCGAAGCCAGTGTACATACTCCGCGGTGATAGTACCCCTTCAGTATGAGCCGCAATAGCAGACATATGGTGATGGACTTAGATTATCGGTTCTGCGGTTGTTCGCTGCGCATTAGGCATGATTTTCATCAGCCTCGACCTAAAGGATGTGCTTGGCTGATGCACATGAGGTCAGCAATATATTTTGTCGATATCCGGTGCGAACAGACCTTTTGAACCCCGAGGTAGGCCAATACACAGCCTCAGTATCGACGTCCGAATTTACCGATGGCATGATCTCAGAATTAGGATCGCTTTTGCCTGATATTCTGCTGATGGCCACTCTTGTTCACTGAGCCAATGTTTCTCTCCTCTCCCTGTACGCCTGCATCATGTTGATGGTACCACGATACTTTAGTTACCCCAGCATCTGGCATGGTGATGTCGGGTATGTCAGAGTTCCACTGCCTACATACGACCGTCGAGGCAGTCGAAGAAAAGTGGAACCGACGGCTACGAGGGCTACATGGCTTTCTGCGCTCTTCGCAGATTTTGGCGAGGTGGATCTGGCATTAAGGGACTTCTCTGACGACGAAGACAAAAAGGACGTGGAGGAGTTGGAAACGACCAGCCTCGTGAGGAGTGAGCACGGAGACGAGCCAGAATGGGTCACCGGTTTCAGACTCTTCACCTTGATGACGGCAACCAGCATAGTCATGTTTCTAGCCCTCCTTGACAGCTCGATTATTGGAACGGTATGTCGATCTCGACTTCTGCTTAGCGTCGTGGGACTAGACTGACATGGACGCAAACGACAGGCAACTCCAGTCATCACAGCGCAATTCCATTCCTTGGCGGACATGGGATGGTATGAGTCTGCTTATCAACTTGCCAGGTAGGTTCTCGACCACGTCTCCTCGGACAAGCCGACTTTTGTTGAAATTTGTGTTGATAAATCTCTAGTGCTGTGTGCCAACCGTTGACAGGGCAAATGTATGCCTCGATGAATAAAAAGGTATGCACGAATCATGTCTATCTCGTGTATCAACCAAAGAAGAAGGCTGACTTGTGAAACTACTCACAGTGGGTATATATGATGTTCTTCGCAATTTTCGAGGTCGGCTCTCTGGTTTGTGCTGTTTCAAGAAACTCGATTACTCTCATCATTGGGCGCGTGATAGCTGGCGCAGGTGTTTCTGGATTGCAGAACGGCAGCTTAACGATTGTTGCCTGCTCGACACCTCCTCATCTGCGGGGCTGTAAGTATACCTGACCCGTGAGAACATGCTCGTGGAAAGTAGTGATTGCTGATAATAGGTTTGTCGCAGCTTTGAATGGTGCTCTGGTGGGACGTAAGTTACCTTATGCATTCGGTCGCTCCTTCAATCGACTCCGAAATCTACGCTTTCACTGCGAATTCCGCTGACGTTCTCTAGTCAGTCAATTTGGAACCGTCTTGGGTCCTCTCCTTGGAGGCGTCTTTACAACTCTCGTTTCTTGGCGATGGTGTACGTATCAACAATGACTTCCTTCTCATTCTGCTCGCGCTTTTCTTTTACTCACATAGAACACGTCAATGCAGGCTTCTACATCAATCTTCCGTTGGGCGCACCGGTTGTGGCCATCTTGTTGTTCATGCGTCTGCCAGATCCCGAATCCACAGCCGACGGGGGTTTAAGGGGATTGCTTACCTCCTTCAGATTTCTAGCTCAAACAGTCGATTATCTAGGCCTACTCCTGATCGCCGCGTTTGCCATTCTGCTCCTGCTTCCACTCCAATGGGGTGGTAACTCTTATGCATGGAATAGTTCCGTCATCATTGGAATGCTTTGCGGCGCCGTCGTTTCTCTGGCCATTTTCATCGTATGGGAACGCTACATGGGCGAACGCGCCATGATTCCGTTCAGTGTGATCGGCCAGACAGTTGTCTGGTGCAGTTGCGTCTTTTTTGCATCTTTGCTCGCTGCAATCGTATTTCGAACATTCTATTTGCCGATCTTCTTCCAGTCAGTTCAGGGTGATTCGGCTCTCATGAGTGGTGTCAAGATGCTGCCGAGCATCGTTGCACAAATAAGTGCGACGATGGCCTCGGGCGTGCTAGGTAAGTCAAATACATGACTCATCTTGTATTTGGGCCAGAAGATGATATAGCGCAAAGAAAGTATTGACAGCTATTAGTGGATAGAGTGGGTTACTATCTGCCCTTTGCTATTGCAAGTCTCGTGTTCTCGGCGGTCGGTACCGGCCTTGTTTCCACATTTGCAGTAGACACTACGACCGACAGGTGGGTTGGATATCAGATTTTACTCGGTTTTGGCACTGGTTTGGGAATACAAATGGTGAGTACTACTTAAGGAGTAGAATCTTAGCTTGGCAAGCTTGCAGAAACTGACAACGGTAATGTCATTGCTGCAGCCGATTCTCGCGATTCAAAATACTCTAGGAGCCACTGACATAGCCGTTGGCATGTCAACGCTCATTTTCGCCCAGAACATGATTACTTCTGTTTTGAACTCGGTTGCAAGTACAGTTTTCAACAGTGGCTTGCGAACCCAGATCCCTCGCTATGCTCCCTCTATCGACCCAGAGACAGTCATAGAGGCCGGAGCCTCAAGGATAAGAGACGTGGTTCCGGCAAGTGAGCTGAGGCACGTCTTGATGGGATATGTCAGAGCGGTTGATCAGGTATATTACATTACCTTGGCATCCTTCGGATTGTCCTGCGCAGTTGTCTGGGGCTTGGGATGGAGAGACATCCGGGGCAATCCACGAGGGAGCGCGATGGTCGCAATATAAATTATGGAATGAGGATTTCCAATGCCTTCGATATAATCTTTCCTATTGTTCAAATGTGTAAGCATCTCTTGGAGTTTATAGTGATCTTAGTGGAATAGAGTTCAAAGTTTGGATCCGACTAGTTGCTCATTATGCTACTTACTCTGTGTCAGATAGCCAAGGCTAAAAGTTGTTACTGGCTATGACTACGTCGTTAGAAGAGAACAGAATATTCTCACTCTCTGGTGGAGATTTAAACCCGGTTAATAATGAAGAACCCTAGCCATGATTCTCCAAATGACAATACTACTTTATAAAAGGCTAGCAGATGTAGTCTAGCGCAGCATACCTGGAAAGCTGTGCTCACAATTATTGGACCCATTCCATTAACCATAATAAAACAGAGGATCTTTTATTGTGAATTCTTTATCAAATTCGCAAAATTGATGATTACAACTATCGATATAAGCTCCTATGATTTCTCCTCTATAATATTTAAAATAACTTCCGTTGGATCATTATTGAATCCCAAATAAAGTCCATGATGCAGAGTTCTATATTTAAAGTTGGAAGCTAAATGCTACCGGTTAAGGAGCTAATGGTGACGAAAATTGAACTTGTTCTAATTACTTGTGATCTATCATTTCTCTAACGGCCTTTTCAACATCGTTTTTGACAACTTTATGCGTGGCGTTGACAGGAAACTCTTTCAATCCAACCTGTGCAAGCGATGCAACGCCCAAAAGTGCGTATTCTCTTCCCAAGCATTGTTTCACATGGTGTACAATATCCTCTGCGGCAAACCCCTCTAGGCTGCGAAGCACCGCAAATGGCTCATATCCATAGATTTGGCTGGATACAGCGACGACGCTGGCCTTTTGTAGATTCTATCAGACTCGAATTCGAATGAGAGGGCGGGATTGTTTTCGGACTCACCTGTGCACCTGTAAGCTTCTCAATACAGCTCTCAACCACCGCAGGTATTATGGCAAACCCTGCACGATGGATTGCGTGCTTGCTTCGGCCCAAGACGTAAAATAGTCCGTCTGCATTCATGAGAGCCATATCACCCGTCTTCATCCAATGGCGGCCCTGTTTATCCTGGTAAAACACCTGGTTATCATGTTCGTCGCCCCCAACATATCCTCGAATGAGGCTGGGTGAACAGACCAGCATTTCACCAGGCTGCCCGTAAGGCGCAGCGGCGCCTCTTTTAGAATCCCAGATCAGGACGCGCGCCCCCCGAGACACGACACCTACAGGGCTTATAGTGTCGGCAAAGAAAGGAACCTTGTCGATGGGACGGTCGTTGAAGGGCCAGGTGAATACCCCTGCTCCCTCACTCATCCCATGGTTGACAAGTACCTCCGCCCGTGGAAACAGAGTCGAGCATTTCACCAGAACCTCCCGGGTGACGGCATCGCCACCTACCTGGATCGTCCGCACGTGATCCCAGTCTCCTGGTTTTGCTCCTCGGGACAAGAATGATTCTTCAATGGTATGGACCAGTGCTGGTGAAAGAGCCACAAAAGTCACTTTATGGTACAGAATAGCGTCAACTGTGTGATCGAGTGAGAAGCTGGATCCGGTCGGCATTACAAGAGCACCGCCAGCCTGCCATGTGAGCAGTGTGTGGAGCAGTGCAATGGCCTTTGAGTTATGCGCCTGCTGTAGAACAAGGGTAGAGTTGTCCTTGTTGATAAGCCATGATTGTGACTCGAGTGCGTGCGTCTGGGATGCCACACTTAAAGGACATCCTTTAGGACGACCAGCTGATGTACCAGATGTAAACATGATGGAATTTATGCGGCTTGGATCATCGCATTTCGCCTTCTTCAGAAGCTCCTGGTCGCCAGAGACTTTGTGTATCGCACCGCGGTCCATGATCTTGCGCAAAGAGTTCCAATGACTGGGTATGTGTATTTTCTCCTCGTGTTCGAGATAGACTCCAAGCTCGATGCTGAATCCTAGTTGATTGGCAGCATGCTCAACTGCCTTTATGTGACGTGAACTGGGAACGACCACCGCTGTGGGCTTCAAGATCTCCAAATAGCTTTGTAGTTCGTCCCCTTTGCCAGGTTCAAGCACGGCGGGATCGACAGCTGAGTGTGTCAGCCTTGCAATGGCGCCTGCCCACATCAACGACGCGTATTCACCGCTGTTATGAAGCATGCATAACAAATTCGCGCCGGATTGGGCTCCAAGGCCAATCAGGCCCTTCGCAAGCTTAAGCCCCGCAACATGAAGCTGCATGTACGTAAGTGTCAGAGAGCCCGTCACGTCACCGTAGCCGACGGCACCGCATTTGATGCCGTCGACTCCAGGATCGGAACCTATGTATTGATCAAAATGACCGTAAGGCTGGTGCATACATATGACAGCAGGATGGTGAGGCTTCTTCAAAAGGCCACGCTCGATGTGCTCAAAGACAGATTGTTGACGATTGGCCAAGAAGCCGCCATCAATGTCCGCAATCTGTTTGTGGCCCCTCATTTTCGTTCTGGTCGCTTTCGTTCCTTCCACCATGATGAGTCTGGGAAGTCCTTGAAAAGGAGCGCGGCTTGGACGAGCAACGCAACTTTGTGACTTGGAGGAAAGGCCTGGACTTAAGGGCGCGTGCGGATCGGCTGTTTCCTCTTTAATTTCACCTCAAATTCTCGATGATTCTTTCAACTATAAGTCCTCAGCTCTCTTCACGTTCGTTTTGCAGCCTTGGGTGGGATGCGGTGCAACAAACCAAGTGAACTTGTTGGTTAAAGCAGGAAGAGGGAGACGACAGGTGCCAAAGACCGTTGTGTATTACCATACTACGTCCCCTGCCGCGATACTCCGGAATGAAGCCCATTTTCTTGTAATCGAAGGTTCATTTACTTGCACATGTATCCCGTCATTATTGCACTATGACTGTGGATTTCGGATACTGGGCTCTTGGGACGGTGCGGCAAAGCATCGTTGTCCGATGTGTGCGACCGAGCCCCAGAAACCGAGTGTTTCGCTTCATTCATCTCAGCATTAACAGTACGTTGACCGAAATTTGCACGCATTACTCCCGGATCGTCGGAAATCGTGATGCAAGTCTGTTTCCGCAATGATTTACTCTTGTGGAATGCCGATGACTAGCCCCAGACTTTGGAACTGTGAATAAACTTTGGCAGCCTTGATTTAAAGTTTGCCTGATTAAACAGAATTCCCCGAACCCCGGTCGGTGCAATTGGGGCTTTGTGACTGCCTTGGATTCGAGCCACCTGACCCCCGGAAAACTTCATAGGGATATACCTTGTAAAATTAGAAATATCCATGGGCTTCCCAATAGTAGCGCCACTCAATTTTGAGGTACTTGAGATATCAGATTAAGTTGACATATGAGAGTAGACTCGCACGAAAGAGCTTACATTGTTCACAATGCCATCGGCGCAACTCTGGTGCTCGCATGGCTTCACCAAATCCTGAGGCTACAATAAGGATAGCATTACTACTCCTAGGTTGGTTCGACTTTTGAAGTGCTAAACAAGACTATCTTGCGCCTGCCATACGGGCCTGGTTCACCTTGGCCTTTGCGGAAGGAGATATTGCATGGAAAAAGTGTGATGGAATAGCATAGCCTAGCGTGAGGGAACTCGCTACTGTGAAATTTGGACCTCAACACGATGACATTGTGGAAGCGAGACAGATAGAAACAGGGGAATTGTCACGAGGCAGATTCTCGACTGGAGCTCGCTCAGATCGCTGGGCCAAATTCGTACAGCGATTATTGTAGAACCTATATGGTATGCCATTGTGGCGAGTAAAACGATCGCTTTTGCTTGACAATGATGCTCTGAGATGTGGATAAAAATTTTGGCCAAATTCATTTGGTTTGGGCATCAGTGCTTGCATTGGAGCCAAAAGATGCGAGAAAAGGGGACTATGCTTTTTCATATTGAAATGGACTGTTTCTTACCATTTCACAGTTACTTAAGGCTCAATTCGGAACAATGTGTTAGCCAGACTTGGTGCTTCTTAGTAATTTAATCAGCACCACTGTGAATATGAGGGCGTTGCTTCATGGTCAGCCTTTCCGACACTTTTAACGCCACATCACGCATTGTGCCATTTCTCGACCCAATTGATTATTTCATGTCTAATTTGATCCAGGACCATAAAATTCATAGCCACACTGTCCAGTTTGAGCGTCGTTGGGCTTGAAAGGTGGATGCAAGGAACAACATTTAGCTTCTGTTGGTAACACTTCTCACGGGGCGTAGTGGTCTAGATTATTGCAAAAGGACCTTCAACCACGCCTCTTGGGACTCAAAGTTCAAACCATTTCAGAGTACACAGAAGAATTGCTGCCTATTCCTGGCAAAAGTCTGGCGACAAGTGTGGCCTCAGCGAGAATGAGTGGAATGCTCAAAAAGCACAAAACAACTAATTGCTTGGTCGGGTTCACTCAAACAACATTTTTCCCTCTTGCAAGACCAAAACCCCTCATATTATCTGCTCCGAAAACCTTGGGGATTTATGCGCTATTTTTGGATCACTGTTTTTGTTCGCGTACGTTTAAATCTAAGTCTGAATCAATTTCCAAGCTTACAACACTAAAGCTCAGGACGGACCACAAGGAATCTAGTCTAAAAGATGATCGATTTCGAAGAAAGAGAGAGTACAGAGATATAAAAGACAAAGAAATATACGGAAAACTGTCTATGTGACTAACTGTAATTCTCCACCAGCCAGCCGCGCAAATCACCAATAGTTGGGTACTCCAGAAACAATCCACCACTGACCTGCACTCCCAGCTCATCACGAAACTTCTCAGCGATAACCAGACTCATCAGACTGTCGACACCTAGGCTCGCAAAACTCGCCTCGTTGACAAGGTCTGCTTCATCTATCGCCGTCTCATCGGCGATGAGTCTCATGGCCTTGTCAGCAAGGTCACTGCCCTCGCCAGCATCGGCTTCAGCATTCGCGGCAAGGGGTGCGGGGATTTTCTGTGCAGAAGGCTCTATGGGAGTAGCTGGCTCAGTCATTTCGCTCTTTTCGATACTGGGCGTCCACATTGGCTCCAGTGGTGTAGATGCGCCTGAAGATGTACTCCAAGCCGCCTGCGCTGGCTCCGGCGCTCCCTTGCTTTTCACAGGCTCTGTCGCCGCCTTGGGCTTAGGAGCAGGCAAAGGCTTGGCTGGCGCAGCCGCTTTGGAAGCGGTCTTAGCCTGGTCGGCGTCAGGTGGCGAGAAGAAACGGTTGAGAAGGACTCGTGGATATTTTCGGAACGTGATTCCTCCGACCATGCCAACGATGGCATCATTCTGCAAGATATACACATCACCCATGAAGACTGAAGGATCCTCCGCTGTAGGTATCATCTTCACGTAGGACCTATATTTGGCACCAGCCTCGAACTTGGTGGCAAAGCGCATGGATTTCCAGCCTGGAGTAACACAGAAGTTGTTCTGAGTATCCATAGCATCAGAGCAATTCATGATGAAACCTGCCAGATGGGCGACACTGTCGATGTACTGCGGTGGTATCGTCCAGGACCCGGCTTTCTCATGTGACAGGGTCACTTCGGCGAATGCCTCGAGCTCGTGAAGAACAACTGACTGCATGCCACGGTATTTGGAGGCATAGTCGACAAGGTTGTTGGCAAAAAGGCGATATGCCATATTGTGCGAGAAACGCGTTGCCTCGCCCCGGACAGACATCTGCTCCAAAGCCTCGATTCTGCTCTGAATCAGATGTGTCATCGGGCTCCAAGAATCGAGCCATGCTTTGGCCTGACCAAAGCGCAGCTCAGCGCTTGCAAATGGATCCTCGACATCTCCCGTAGGTGTGACATTGTACCATTTGAGCTGTGCAACGCCTGAATCGATGTCGGTGATCTCGGCGGACACGCGGACAAGCTGTGGTGTTTTGATGTACTTTTGTGACACAAGGCCCTTGAGAACATTCAATCCACGCACATCCATGTCAACCTTTCCTGCATCGGGCCTGATCTTTTTGTAGAGATAGTCGCCAAGGGTGTACGCAATATCAGCGTGGATGGACTGATGCTGTGTTAGCTGATTCAACGCGAGTCGACTAAACTAATCAAAGGCTTACCGAAGTGACAACACCACACCCATTCATACTATGGCCATGTGCAGCATCAAAGAAATCTTTCTGCATCAAATCTGACTGCATCACAACTTTTCCTGAGTCGGCATAAATGCTCTCTTCCAAGATCTGGTGGACAGAAGAGGTTCTGAGACTCGACTCAGGCAACGGCGCAGTGAGCGCCTGGTTCTGAGTCTTATCAGCACCAACATAAAATGTGTTTCCCTTTGTCAGACACCAGTCTCCCTTGTACTGCATCCAGTAATTCTTGTCATTCCAAGCGTAGGTTGGCAAGTCTAGCAGACGAAGTTTGTTCTCAAATGGGCCGTGGAATTCGTTCCAATTGACCTCGACTCCGGCTGAATGCAATGCAGACATTGTTTCCGCGAGAGTTGTCCAGTTGCTCTGACCTCTTCGAATAGACGGTACTGCAACAGTAGTGGATGGAATATTGGCCTTGACAAAGCCCATGCAGACCGGGTGTGGTCCTATCTCAATCCATGCCATCGAGTCCTCGATCATACCCTGCTTCTGAGCAGTATCAAGAGCTCCAACGAAGTCCACAGTTTCGCGGGTTGCGCGCCGCACGTAGTTGGCATTCAGGGTCTTGCTATCGCAAACGACTTTAGACAGAAGTGACGAGACAAAGGGAATCTGGGGCTCCTTGAAGTCGACAGATGTCTTTGCAATGGCCTCAAACTCGTCCAGAATTGCGTCTGTCTGTGCTGAGTGGAACGCGAAAGCCACCTCAAGGACCTGGCATCGATGGCCGTTGTCCTTCAGAACCTTCTCCAGTGAATCGATCTCTCCACATGGCCCGCTCAGCACGACTTGCTTTGGCCCGTTGATGCAAGCAACTTCGTAGGGTGCACCGCCAGCGCTCTTTTCGATCTCATCCAGTGTGGCTGTCACAGCCATCATTTTGTGACTTCCAATGTGGCACTTCTTCTCAAGGAGTTGGGCCCTCTTTCCAACTAGATAAATGGCATCGCTCGCTGATAGAACTCCAGCGACGTGCATCGCTGCGTATTCTCCTAGGCTGTGCCCAATGACCACGCTGGGTTGGATTCCCAGCAAGTTCCAATACCTGGCAAGTGCGATCTCGATGCTCACCAAAGCCAGCTGCGTTACGACGGGGCTGTGAGCGTGATCTTGTGGGAAGCTCCCGTCCACTGCTGGTATGAATGATGGGAATCCTTGTGACTGCGCAAGAGAGTCGAGGTTCTGAATTTGAGACCGGAAGAACGGACAGTCGTGATAAAGCTCCAAGTTCATTGATCGATAAGATGCGCCTTGGCCAGTGAAAGCAAATGCAATCGGGTTTGAACCAGGTGCGGCGATTGGCTTCTGTGAATCAACAGCGGCCAGCTTCGACTCAAGATGCTTCTTGACCAGCGCTGTCTCTGTGGCACAGACCGTGACACGGTAGCTATGGTGATGCCGGCGAGCAGTTGTGGTGTACGAGAGACTGGCCAATGAAACATCAGGGTATGCATCCAAGTATGCGATGAGCTTCTTCAGGTTCCCTTCAAGCGACTTCTTGCTCTTGGCAGACACAGTAACAACGTGAGCAGCACGGGGATCGCTGAGCTCAGGCTCTGGTCTGACTGGAGGCTCTTCAATGGCGATGGACGTGTTTCCACCAGCGGCGCTGAAATTGTTGACAACTGCTATCCTCTTTTTGCCTGGGATACGAGGCCACGGGACTTGCTCGAACGGGATATGAACATTGCGTTTGCCAATGTCCTTGGGGAATTTAGGCGTGAGGCTGTTCTTGATACCAACGTGTCGTGGAATAAAGCCTTTCTGGAACATGAGTAACACCTTGATCAAGGCCGTTATGCCAGCTGCTGACTCGGAATGGCCAACATTAGACTTGACAGCGCCGATGTAGAGTGGTTGCTTGGGGCTGCGACGCCGAGCCGCACCGCCGATGGGAGCGAACACGTCCGTAACAGACTTGATTTCTTCCATATCGCCGGCTTGAGTTCCAGTGCCATGCATCTCTACAAAGCCAACATCAAGAGGGTCCACGCCGGCTCGATTCATGACCATCCGAGTGAGCTCTGATTGTGCCTCAGCGAGTGGATGAGTAATGGAAATGGCTTCCGCTGAGTGATTAGTAGCGGCGGACAGTATGACTCCCATGATATTATCGTTATCGGCCTCGGCATCTTCCAGCCTCTTCATAACAATAGACCCGACAGCGTCAGCTCTGCAGTAGCCATCTGCCTCAGAATCCCACGTCTTGCAAGCGTTAGGACCAGTTGTGAGGAAGTGGCCTTGACCCAGACCTGCAAAACCGTCACAGTTAGTCAAGACATTGACTCCGCCTGCAACAACTGTATCGCAATCCCCAGCCCAGAGAGATGTGCAAGCAGCCTATTCCACATAAGGTCAGTGACAATCCACTCAAGTAGAAATAATGCGACATTGATCAAGATGGAGGTACACACCTGAATTGTTGCCAAGCTTGAGGAGCAGGCAGTATCAATGCTGAAACTGGGCCCCCAGAAATTAAAGAAGTAGTTGATTCGGCCAGGCACAAAGGCTCGACATCCTCCTGGAATATAGTAAGTGGAGACTTCCTGGCCCTGATTAACTTCTCGATAATCATCGGCAGCCTGGCCATAAAACGTTCCCACACGGTGTGTATGAGTCGAAGCTGTACGATTTGGAACGTATCCAGCTCGTTCGAGAGCCTCATAAGCCGTGACCAAAGCGAGTCGTCCCTGTGGGTCAGTTTGCTGGGCTTCCTTCGGGGAAATATTGAAGAATGGCGCATCGAACAGACCAGGCTCGTCGATGAAACAGCCGTATTCGGTCGGAGTCTTGTTCATCGATTTTCCGGTGGGATCAAAGTGGGTTTCAAGATCAAATCGATCGGCTGGTATCCTTCGATGCACATCCAGTCCCTTTTCAAGAAGCTCCCAGAACTTCTCGGTGTTAGTCGCCCCACCGGGTAGTCTGCACGACATACCCACGATGGCGATTTTGGACTGTGCGGGACCTCGTGGCCCCTTGAAGTCGGCATCTGGGCTCCTGGAAACCCATTCATTCAGATTTTGAGGAGTAACCTCCAGACCAGGTACCCCTTTCAGAGCTGTCAAAAGGTCCTTGGTTGCCTGCGATTTGCCGAAGACCGCTACTTGAATAGCTGGGTCAGAGGACTCATCGATCTTCTCGACAATGCCATCGACGACCTTGTCCCATTGAATGGCTTGGGTGAGCAATTCAGAGACGATCGCTTCAAACAGTCCTGCTGCACTGTCGACCTTGTATGGCTCTCCAGTTGACGTTGAGAAAACAGGAACTCGAGGTTTCAGCCTAGAGTCAACTAGCTCCATTTGCTTTGTGCGGACTACGGTTCGCACATTGCTTTGGCCAAAGACATGTCCTGCATGGCAGAGACCACCATATACTGGCAAATTAATATATTGCCTATCCCGGAAGAAGTCGTGGTCACGGAACAGAACCTTGAGTCTTGATGGTGGTCCGCTGATAGTCACTGATGTTCTGCTGAGGGCACTAATGAAGATTTTGCCCGATTCCGGTATATGCTGCACGATTGGTCAGTATTCTAATGAGAAATCTATGTAAGAGCACAATGTGAACTTACCTCTTTCTGGCGATAAGCCTCTAGCTCTCGCTGAACATCGTCGGGCGAAATGCCGGGGATGACAGCGGCCCACGTATCGGGTGTCCCGCCAGACAGATCGCGGGGCTCAAGATTCTCCGAAACGCCATCCACATGAACGCCGAGTCGGAACGCAACTCTCACGACTTCCGCGGCAACCCAAGGGAGTTCCGCCAAGGTAGGAGCAATCGAAACAGCTGCAGTGGCCAAGAGTCCGGTGCCCAAACCGGTGAGATTGGTGTCGGCCGGATCTAGGGCAAATTCCTCTGGGTGGTCCTCGAAGTACCTAGATGTGTCTAAGCGCTCATTCTACGAAAAACTTCACATGAACCTTTGACGCATCATTACGTACCCTATGAGAATTGCGAGTTGGAGGACGCAGAGCAGAACGCCCTCTACTGAACCACAAAGTGGCCCTTTGCGAAGCTGAGGGTGGTCGGAGAAATCAAACACACTCTCAAAAGGAGGGAACAAGGCCCTCTGCGCAGAAGACAGGAGCCGCAACTCTTCTCGTACGGCAGAAGTTGCATTATCAATAAATCGTGCTAAGAGTGGATGTCCTCTGTCCTTGCTCCGAACAGCAAGTCCACGGTAGAGCTCCTGTAGATCTTCATTAGGAAACTGGTTGTCGAAGTATAGGAGCTTCATGTTGCAAAGTTCCTGAGTAGGACCAAGTCAGACAGGACTGTCGGATAGTGGTCTGCCTGATGTCTCGGAGGGAGGCTTGGACAAAATTCTCTAGGAAACTTGGTTGCGTGGGATACAGAGGAAGCCAACTCAATTGTTGAAAGAGGGATAGCCGTGAAGGTCTTCTCCCGCGAAAAATCCGAGGAAGCTTGCGTTATATCCTGAAGAAACAACAAGTGAAGCACGAAACGAACCTTTCATATGAGGATCAGAATTCGCGCGCCTACGTCTGATCAATCTACATAGGTATGTTCGGTAATCCCAACAGTACGGTAGGGTGTTATAGCACGGCCCCCTTGCACGGTCCTTTGCCTGAATATTCCCAGTGACTACCGGGCTTCATGACCCATTTACCGGAGTATACATATTTCATGCCTTGCACAAGTCGGAACGCGAACATGTCCGGTCCCCGATCAGTCAGTCCGGAGCATGCGGCCCCACATGCCTAATCCAGCAACGCACGCGCAAGTGACAGGTTGACTTTCATTCTCTGATGGGCTGAAACAAACAGCTACGTAGAATCGCAAATCACTAAATATACGACCCATGTATTCCATTTCAGAATACATTCCTTGCGGGGCCGGTGAGCAGCAAAGGAAAACGATCAGTGTTTGCTTGCTATTGCCGATGAGAAGCCAGGGAATGGGTGTCAACCACTAGCTCGTCATTGTCAAGAATATTCTTTGTGCACAAGTGAGAAATTTGTAGTTCAATTCAAGATTGTGCCCGCAAGACGGAATGTTCGCGCTTCAACGCAAAAAAGTAGCATGTAGTCCTCCCTATAGTAGTTCGGTGATGAGCTGAATCTCGGCAAAAGAATCTTTGAAGCAAAGCTTATTACTATACTCGAAAGTCTTCACATGTTCGCATTTTAGACGCTATCTTATTGTATCTTGAGAAAGCACAAGTTTCTTTATGGTGAATTCGTGCTGACACATTTCGGAAAATCAATCACTTTTGTGGAAACAATCATGGGCTTCCTGGAACCGGAAATCCTAAGCTTGCCACTCACTATAGAATCGAGCCGTACATATCTATGAACAGAGAATTTTCGTTTGTAGCATAATGAAATCCGGAAATCGGGGATCAAGATCCACGCCAGTGGGGAGGGCTAGGGGCTTACAAGTTAACAGAAGTTGCCCACCACCGAGCACAAGCCCGGCCGTCCTTGTCAAAGCGGATGGGTCTTACATGCAACCTACCGCACCGTTTCACCGAAAGAAAGAACTCCTTGATCGTATCTATTTAGTAGATTAAACCTTAATCTTCGTATGATGAGAAGGATGAACCTCAAGCTGGTGTCTACATTCAATAGGATGAGTCAGCCTTGTCCTTCGCTCGGAATGAATTTTAGATTCCCCGTGCTGTGTAATATTGAGTACTCCAAGAAGAGAAAAGCAAACGTTTGAATACGTCTCCTCCTCTGTGATTGGCTGTAAAATCATCGCACTATTGTCCATGAATCCATCTAGCGCCTTACATGCATGACTGTGAGCTTCTTCGCCACGTTTTGTGGATACATCCTTTGGCCTCTGTGCTGTACGGGGTGGCGTTCTATCAAAGCCCTGGCTTGAAACACAAGCCTTTATTGCTACTGTGATGAATACTATCACTCTGTAACCGGCGTAAAGTTGTCCCCTATTCAACCTGTGTGGTCTTGTGGCGACGTATGGTCTCGAGGATCCCAGGGCTTTTGCGGTGGCGCTTCGCAGATGGAGAACACCTATCGGCTTCCGAGCAACGCACAAAGGTCTTTGCAGATCTTGAGAGCCACACAATTATGGAGAACACTGCTGATTTTGTATGCATTGACGGGGCGATACAGTCCAAGTGTATCATGAGGGGCACCTCGCGGGCTTCCGAGCACGCCGATCACCATCCTCAATTGGACAAGGCTGTGAGCATTGTTCGGAATTGATTCTGGCTCTTTCGGGTTGTTTTGAGCCAATGAGACTGATCGAGCGACGCTATATCGGTGGTTGAGCTCGGAGTGGCGTGAAGTGATCCCCATCTGCGTTTCCATGTGCCCTGTTGTTCCCACGCAGAGCACGTACACAGTTCTATGTGCAAGCCAAGCTATGGTACAGAGACAAGCCCATCATACTCAAAGCGCCGAATGGTATTTAGAACCAACCGGATATGACAGCTCTAAGGTGAAAGGGCCGTTCTACATAAATACAGGCCACACCTCTCCATCTCTCTCTCATGCTCCATTCGTATCAATCACAGATCTCTACAACTATTTCGATATCACGAAACCAAAGAGAACGGTTTCACCTTTGGAACTTCCAAAATCTATTAGCCGTCCTCTTCCCAAGCTTCCTCAACTACTTCATTTCTAATCAAATATCATGTCTAAAATAGGAGAAGGCGGCTACCGCCAAATCAACAAATCTCTCAATATCTGTGCTTTTGAGGACTATCTTACCAGCCAGATGTCCAATCTTCCTTTCATTCCAGATGTAGAGCAAATCAGTCCACGTGTGATCCGGGTGCTTGGACAGAACCCGGGAAAGGTAAACTCCCCAACTATCTACTGGCCAAACGATACTTGAGCTTGGCTAACAGTACCAAATGACAGTTTACACTCCAAGGAACAAATACATACATCATAGGCACAGGGTCAGAAAGATTGATCGTTGATACGAGTCAAGGAATTCAAGGCTGGGCTGATTTGATCGAGTCCACTCTTTCTGAGATGGGTTTCTCCTTGTCGCATGTGCTCCTCACGCATTGGCACGGAGACCACAGCCTCGGCGTCCCACAACTAATCGAACTCTACCCCGACTTGGTGGACAGGATATACAAACACTCTCCCGACCGGGATCAGCAGCCCATTGTTAACGGTCAAATATTCCGCGTTGAGGGCGCCACAGTCCGTGCTTTACACACTCCGGGCCACTCCCATGACCATATGTGTTTCATCGTGGAGGAGGATAACGCCATGCTGACAGGAGATAACATCCTGGGTCACGGAAGTACGGCTGTTGAGGAGATGAGCACATACATGAAGACTTTAAGGAAAATGCAGGCTCAGAATTGCCAGATTGGGTATCCCGCGCATGGAACGGTGATCAAGGATTTGCCAACAAAGCTGACGGGAGAATTGGCGCAAAAGATTCGCCGAGAACGACAAGTACTGCGAGCTCTGGACCAGTCCAAGGCTCGGGACCTAATGGCGGGAAAGCACAAGCCACAAGGTCTCACCGTCACTGAGCTCGTCACGGCTATCCATGGCCGTGCTTTGGATGAGGAGGTCAGGAAACTGGCAGTGGAGCCCTTCATCGATGAAGTACTTCGAAAGCTTGCGGAAGATGGATCTGTGGCCTTCAAGTTGAAGGGAGGAAAGAAGAAGTGGACTACATTGTAAAGCGATTTCTAGTTCTTGATATGCAGCATAGGCTATTATACCAACGCCCTTTTTTCATTTATTGAACCGACCTGAGTGATGCCTTACGATTTCTACAACAGCACATAGCTTGCCTTGAATCTATCTCGAGAAATTTCATCTAGATTTGATAGGCAAACAAAGTTGGTTGGTTCAAAGTGGATGTTCTTGCACGCGGAATCTTTTACAGTCACGTACGTAAAACTCAGGTTTCCCAGACTACACGAGCTTGTGAAGTTAAACAGCGGTAATCAACATCGATGCATGTCTGAAGCATTTATATGGTAATTGTTCCTTCTGGTTTGAGTCCACAAAGACGTGTACAGAGCTTGCGGAAAGAATCGCACAATGTCATTACAGAGAGCCTCTAAAGCTCGTGGCAGCTAACAGTAATTATTACATTAGTGGTTAGTTGATGCCATGGACTTGAGCTGTGAAACACGGGGTTTAGCCCTCTTCTGCCAAAACCGGAGTGGACTTTAGTGATCTAGTCAATCATTTCAGACGAACCAACTGGAGGCAATTCCAATCACGGCTTCTGGCCTCCGTGAATCGACGCGGCAAATTTACCTGGCTACTCAAGTTACGCGGAAGCAACTGGGTACTCTCAATCAGACAGCACGATCTACATCACGCACAAGCATATTTGAAAAACACTTTCGGAGTTCAGTCGCTCAGAAAAGTTTCGAGCTAGCTTTCGGTGCTTGCGACTCTCGATATCCGAACGGAAGTCAAATAACATCGGCAGATGCATAACATGGTCAGTTGTCGTATTATGAAGCTAGCTTTTGTCGACTTTTGGTGCAAAACGGAAGCACATGCTTGGTTCCCAGCGAATTCTAGCTGTCCGAGCAAGTTCGGGTCGGTGTATTTATTCTGAACTCAACCGTGAGCCGGATGGTCTGAACGGAGTAATGTATTGCTTTGAAAGGTGGTCGTAGCGTCGTCTAAGCTCCGTGCGCAACCCACGATGTTTGACACCAAGAGTTTAATGATTCCGGGTCAGCTATTTCAGTTCCCTTGACCATATATACCTTAGCGATAATCTTGACTGCCTGATAATCTTGCACAGCAATCCCTTCTGAGCCAATAACTTTCCAAAGCTCTGCAAAAAATGGCCGTTGATAGCAGCCCCTCGATCTCTATCCACATAACAATAACTATTGACCCCTCCAAGAGTGAAGCGTTTCTGGAGGCTTTGAGACCAACATTTGAGGAAGTGATAAAAGAGCCTCTCAATGCATCCATTGAGGTATTCCAAGATGCCATGACGCCCGGCGTCTTCCGAATAATCGAGAATTGGAATACGAGTATCGAGTATATGACAAATGTGAGAAGTCCCGCTGTAAATATCAAGAATTTGGGAAGGAAAAGCTGAATCTAATTTTTGCTCATTGACAGGTGCAACGGAAGAAGGATTACTACAAGCCGTATTTTGCGGCAATTGAGCCCATGTATCTGAAACCGCTTGAGGCAACAGTCTACAATCGATTCCAAGGAAAAGAATGGAAGAGCAACAAGGAAAGGTGGTAATTCGCTAATTACGCATTATACATACGGGCCAACCCCAGAGCAAACAATATTGTGTCGTTCAATAGCCTACATAAGCACTATCTATCGGGACTCGGATGCTCAACTTCCTTGCTACTATCAATGACGCAACAACGGATTGGAAAATAGGCTGCTTAAGATAAGATTCTATCTTCCGCAGCTTATGGATGAAGTGACAATTGTATTGTGCCACCGATTTTGATGTGGTATCTTGCTAAATCCCTGTCTCTGATCTGATCCACAAAGACAACCCATACTAGTATATGCGACCATTAACGACCCAAACTCGTATATACTATTTTTATATAGACTCCAAATTTCAGTCCGTACGATAATTTACAGAAAGGATTGAAATTTGGGTGACAGAAAGCTTTTGTGCTACTGTTGCCATTTCTAGGACCTGCTGGGCTTGTCCAGAGACACTATCGGAAACAGATATTGCTCTACGCTGACCTGACAACAATAAGCTTTGGGTCAATCTTCGCTTTGATCATCCATGACTGCATTCTTCGGCGAGCATATGTACTAGAATCTCAAGAATAGAGCGCTTATGGGCTGACAATTGAATTACGGCAACGTCGTATATCTGGTATTAAAATGCGATGACGGATTCGTGCTCTAATAAGATTTGACCGAGAGTCATGAAGTCTCAAAGTTGTCTAAATATGATCTAATACATTTCTTATAAGGGCGTTTGAAGTCTTCCCCGAGTCTTACGGGAGGCTGTTCTCGTTTAAATTCCGATTGCCTTTCTAGATCATTCATCAAGTTCATACCGCCACGAGACAAGTCATCGCTCAGATGATAGATAGTGATAGGGTGGTCGGGGACTGCTAAGGTGGTCATTGAACTAACCAGTTTATTTTCGAGATGCGCTCAGCTTGAAAGCACAGGCTTGATCGAGTGGCTAATTCATCATTTTATCTTTACCATAAGCATTTCATGTGTTGCTGATTTATATGCTCAAGAAACGCTCCGTTGAAATTCAAATCTAATGTGATCAATCTCGCCCAACGCGGGCAAGGAAATCCTATCAAATCAGCGTTGAACATTGTTATCACCGTTGTTATGACTCTGAATTGACAATTTTGTATGTTGAGTTTCTATCCAGGCGAATTCAATCCAGCATTCTTCCTGCCGGGATAATCAACTTTCCCAACGATGGCAAAAGTATGAGTAGCAAAGACACAAATTCAGTCTTGGGCGAGGCACATTGGAAAAGTGACCTGCAGTGCATCCTGCGTGGTGGCATTTTCGGAATTGGTCAATGAGCACGGTTCAAAAGCTGCTGACCTCACAACAAGAGTCTAAGAGGTGACGAAAGATCTGTGTGGAACTTTTTCTTTCCTATTTCTTTTTGGGTGAAGTGAATTGCGTGGAGCTCTTTCGGGCCACGACTGGGGCTGCTAATTCAGAAGTGTCAGTCAGAACTCATTTACAAAGTTTCCTGTATATTTCTAGACCATGACGATGCTGTCCTGGCTGAAAGTCAGGCAATTATGATTTCTTGGGCCGTTATTTTTTCGGAACAAGATGCTTCTTTTGCTGACTTTCTTGAATCAGATCAGCATATACGCAAGTCTAAGAATGATATGATTGTGCTTTTGTTTGTGGAACATACCCGCTTCTAGCCCTGCCTGTTTGACAAGCAATTCGATGGCTTCCTAGGAGTGGGTTTAAATGAACGCGTAGAAATCGAGATGGACACCAAAGTCATCAAATTGATACAATTTGATGATTCTAGGAACATGATCTGCCTCTTGACACCGGCTCCCGGGGGGGAGGGGGCGCAGCCATCAAATAGATTCAACAGGATCGAATCCAACAGAGAATGGCAGGTGGCGACTGGAATCCACTGCTTTTTGTTTTCTTCTGTACTATTTTCCGCTGACCGCACCTCTTTTGACCATCTAGTTTTCGTCTAGCCAAGCGTTTCGACTTCATGAATCTTGGAGAATAAGTCTTTTACTTTCTGAAAGTTGAATATTCACCAGCCATCAGCTAACTTTCACCAAAGTCAGAAGTCTATGAAGACACGGACTGTTTAATCCACTTTAGCCAGCTGAGCAAAACGGTGAGCGCCGGAATGCTGCTGGACTTTTAATCGACCCTCCGCCTGTACTGTATTTCAAGAAGGTGATTAGGACAGATTGTGCTGCGGCCTTTTTAGGGTTGCGCGCACATGGTGCAACAGGTATGGGGCTTCCATGAGTCGAGTCGAGATGACGGGTTGGGCAGAGCGGATTGAAGAACCAGGTCTTCGACACATATAACTAGTCACATGTTGGACAGGCTGCTAGATGAGGCCCAATAAGCTGGTGGCCGCTGTTGAAGAGCATATGCACATTTCTCAATGGTTGAGCAAAATTGTACACTTTCTTGTGACGTCCTTGGGCATTATATCTAGCTAATGCCTTATTTCAAACGCTCCAAGAGGGGCAAAACGTCACTGCGTTTGACTTCCTCAAAACTCCTTGTTTCGGGCCGCAATTGGAAGATGAGACGTGGAAGCAGTCAGAACGCCAGAAAACGACTGGCGATTGAAACCCTCAGAGTACATCTGTATCACTATACCATAGTCAGAGCTTATTGGAATGCGAAAAAACTTAAACCTTATGCTGTGCGTGGATATATAGAGGCTACATGCCACTCTGGGTGCTTGTAGCACCCAGCCACTATATCAGGCCGTGGAGTCCTACTCGAGTGATACGTATAACAGCAGTGACGACCCTTGTTCGTGTCACAGCTATATGACCCCGACGGAGCTCAGGTACTCGTCGTCCAGCCCATGCTGGTCAACCGGTGGTGGCGCTCGGATGACCCCACAAAGGTAAACGCACGGCCTTGGAGCTGCGAAGCTGTCCCTTACGCACACGTGTACTCGGGCCCCGGCCAAGGAAGGTGTCGATGGAAGGATTCCCGTCTTGAGGTGGTGGTAGTGGTGTTGGTGGTGGTGTGCACGCCCCTGAACTTAGCTCGCTTTGGATGTTTTCTGTCTTGTCGGCACTGGATCCGGATCCACGGGGGCCAAAAAATACCCATCTTCCCACTGGCTATTCAGATGGGCCGGGGCTCATTTGCTGGATATAAGATGACATCGAACGACCTCAAATCTGGTGCCGGCGAATTTGACAACGGGGGCAGCAGCGTTGATCTCCGACGCAACCAAACAACCAAGGGCAGCCAAGGTGGAAGGAAGGGTGGTTTGCTGTCGAGCATTGTGATAGATCGCGTGGGGCGCCACAGTAGTGTCGCTTTTCGCGCTTATTGCCACTGATATCGCATGTGGGTGTCCCCTGGCGCACGCCTCGCCCGGAGCATTGGATCCTTATTCCCGTTCCTTGCAGATGACACCCTGCAGCAGCGAACTGGTACCTGCACCTCCAGACAGCATCTAGTCTGCACAATCGGACTTGCATCTGCATCCGCGTCTGCGTCTGCATCTGCGTCTGCACCTGCATATACATCTGCATCTTGCGCCCGCTCGGACACCCGGATTATGCCCGGAAACCTTCCTGCTCTTGGAACATTGGAAGGAGCGGAATATACGGGGCACGGAGAGAACATCTGAGGCGGTGGATAGATGTGCTACAAGCGTATGAGTCCACTTGGGACCAGGAGCGGGACCTGCAAGTCGCAAACAAGATTGGCCCGTCTCGTGCCTTATGTCCCTGACCTTGCTGATGATGTTCGGCCGCGTTTCCTGAGTCGGAGATGGCTTGGCTAGGTCTTACCATAGCTGATGCTAAGCTGGGAGATAGTCAGTGGACTTGCTCGATATATACATGGGCAGAGAGATATACTGGCAGGCAAGTTGAGTGAGTGCAAAAGCCTGTCCACTTGCGGAAGTCTGCTCCGGGCCGAGGAGAGCTCGAATCTATTCGCAACAAGAAAGATATCCATTACCGCCAAGACCGGGCTCTTTCAACAGCAAGATGAATACGGGTTACAGAGCAATCCAGGGCACCGGGCAGGCAACAAGGTCCGCAGGCAAGTAGATAGTCAGCGGGATTAGATGGCCATGCCCTGGTATGCGAGGTTGTTTCCAGTTTCCAGTCTTCAGCCATCCGCCACCAGCCCCATGCATCAGCCGGGCCAGGACAGGACAAGAGGTCTCAACTGCCGGCTGACGGCCGGTGAGGGTCAACTTCGGTAGAATTGCATGCATCGTGCGTGTGCAACCCCCCTTGAGGGAGATGTGATGAGTTTGACAACAACAACAACAAGCTTCTGTCCCTGGCCTAGGCCTGGGACCCGTCAGCCGGCGAGAGTCGAGACAAGACAAGACGAGACAACACAATAGAATACAGCACAATAAGGTACAAAGCCCGGCGGCTTCATTAGCCAAGCCGTCCGGAAGGATGCAACGCTGGGAGACAAGGTTTTGGGCCATGTCGCAGACGGGGTCTTATTGCCGTAATACACGTCGTAGTCTAGCAGCAACAGCTCGCCATCAGCTTACTGTGAGTGGTAAAACAGAAATTGCGAGTGGGTGAGCAGGGCATGATGCGTGACAGAAGGCGATCTGATCGCGGCACTGGGGTCGCAGGAGTCAAACATGGAATGGAAATCAACAGCGCTTGGCGAGATTTCTGCGGGCCTTGCCAATCAACCGAGCGAGTCGACCCTGAGCATTGTTGCGCTGCGTCGGAGGTTTGTTCCTGTCCTGCATGTACCTGTGGTAGACGACATGTATGCACTGCACTGCGCTGCACTGCGCTGCACTGCTGCTGTTACTGTCGTCTTGCTCGGGTGGATCGTTGCTTGGACAGCATGTAGACCGACTACGCAATGCAAATTCAGACAAATACAGTAAGTAGTATTTTCCGGAATCTTTGAATTGACCGTCCGTCTCCGTCTCCGTCTCCCACGTCCGTCCTGATGCCAGTTGTTTGTGAATCTACCTGGTAAACAGCGTCCAGTCCAGTCCAGACGAGACAAAGCATTAGCTGCAGGCCCTCAAGGACAGCACAGCAAGACACAGGCACGTCCAGCATCCAGAAGCCCCCCCCCCTGCCGCAACCTTGGAAAAGTCCCCCCAAGCCCCAAGCCCCAGGACCCAGCCCCATGTCGCTTCGCTCGGCTTCGCTTCGCCTGCTCCATTCCCATTTCCACCAGCACCGAGCACTCATTCTTCCGTTGCATCCCATCCCAAGCCGCCATCCCCGCTCGCCAAAAGGCCGCCACACAGACAAGAAACGCTCCGTGCCGATCGGACCAGGACAGGCCAGGACCAGGCCAGGCCGTATTCCTGGGAGGGCGTGCTCTTGGACCTCACGTCGAACTCACCAGCACACCCTTAGAAACCTTGATCTCCCACCACTCTGCTCGCCACTGCTCAACTGCTCGTCCATCTGCCTGCCCAGCCCCAGCCTGCCTGACCCCGCTCTGTCAATGCCAATGTCTATGTCGACGAGGCCAGCCTGCCAAGCCGGGCTAAGCTGCTGCTGCTACTGCTGACCACCTAGACCTAGAGCTAGAGCTGTCCTGTCTTGGCCTGTACATACTAAACTAGCACCTACCTACTCTTGTCCATTCATCGCAGCCTTCTCCCTCTCTCTCCATTTGACCTCCTCCTTCTGTGCCAGTACCGTACGGTATTGCGACCCGCCCCTGTGTCCAACGTTAGAGACTACAGCCTGGATCATGCTGAGCCTCGGGGGACGACCGACCCACATATCTCGACTCCATCCCGACGACACGATAACGAGCAAGACCCCATCGCTTGTGCCCTTCGTCTGCCCTCTTCTGGCAGAGCCGAGACGACGCATATAGACAGCTCCAGCTCCAGCTCCAGCTCCAGCTACATTTCCAGCTCCCAAGTCCAAGTCCAACTCGAACTCTGTCCTTGACCTCTCGCGCATGAGGCCTGCCCCAAGGCTCACTTGGGCCCCGGCACGAACCAGAACACCAATAAGGATCCAGCGCGACTCCAGACCGTTGCCCAGCTGTCCTGCAAATCCACTCGAGAGCCTCGCCCGCACCCACTGGAAGCCGGAGAAGCCAGCAGAACCCAATTGCGCCGGCCTATGATTCGCAATCTGCTCTCCACCGCGCCGATCGTGACTCAAGAGCTGCAGAAAATCGCACGCGTGGTAGCGACTGCATCCTACTTGCGGCCCGAGAGTGGGTACGGACGCATTCATCTGGAGCTTTCGGACAGTCTAGAGCCAGCCCGCCTTCTAGAATAATTGGCACTTCTCTTTCACCTACTGTTTACTGTTACTGTTACGGTGGACGCCAGCTGGTCGCCTCCGCTCCAATGCGCATCCTCACCACCTCCGTGAATGTGGCCCGGTCTGTCGAGCATTCATCCTTCCGGCATGGATGCCCGCCGAAAATCTCCAGACGGTTCGTCTCGTCCACCTCCACGGCCACGCCGGCCGTCGGCCTCACTTAGTTCTGTCCCCTTGCAACGAACATTCGACCCGGCCTCTGCCCAAGTTCCAGGCGGAGCACCGGTACTAGGTTGGACACACCCCTTGCTTAGCTCCTTTCCTCTCGATTCTGTCCCCAGCCCAGAGGCAGCCAGTCTCCGGTGAACCACGGCGGTCTCGCAGCTGGGCCCTGGGGCTTTCAGTCACCTTGCCTTTCCGGTGCCAAGAGAGAATTGGCTAACTTCCTTCAGGGGGCGTTGCACGCAGGACATCTGCGGGTAATCTACGCAGCACGACATATCGCCCGGCAAACCCCACGAGCGCCCAAGCCACCGTACGGGCCGTCACACCAGAGCCCACCGAACACGGCGCACAAGAGGCCACAGGCACAAACAGCCACGGTGAGCCCGGCACGCCCGTCGTGCCAGGTGCTGCCGTCAACCACGCCTTCGGGCCAATGTCACCACAGAGCTCTTCCCCAAGATCAATACCAAATGTTCCAGGCAGCGCCATGTCCAACTCATCGAGTACTGCCCGAAGACAGGGCATCGTCTTCAACGACCACTTCCCCAGCTCCCTCGACAGCACCTCCTCGAGCCCCCCCTCGAGACCTCCCATCCGCCCTCGCGGCCACACAATGGACAGCCCATACCGCCAGCCCTCCGCTGCCCCAGCACCAGAAAGCTCAAGACATAGGGTGGGATCGGTGTCATCTTCTGGATCGATGGGGTCGATGCCACCTCATGAGGACGCTTTACGCGGGCCTCCTGTGCCGCGGCATTCTCCAGCGATCGAAACCGCCGGGTACCCTTCCGTCTATCCTGCACGACCCACTGATCTGCATATCCATACCGGGGGGACCACGAAGGAAAAGAAAGGGCTCACCCGAGCGAAGCTAATGAAGCGCATCTCCCGACCAACCTCTCCGATGATGTCGCCCCCGCCCTCTGTTGACTCATTACCTCTACCCGTACCGACCGACGATGCGAATAAAGTCCTACTCTTGATGAAAACCCTATGTGGGCGGATGAGAGGCGAGGCTGCGTATCAGAACGAGGCCAATGGACACTGGTACTCGGGGCTATGCTATGTGGAGGAAGAAAAGGGCAGTCTCATGTTCGATTCCGGCGAGCATGGCCCGTTCCACACCTCGGTTATCTCCGACTTACGGGGCTGTCGGGTGCTTCCCGTACAGAGGCCAGGCATGGACCGGCCTTGTCTTGAGATTGTCAATTCCAATAGCGGCGTGGAGGTTCTATTGTGGCCTCACGTTGCAGAAGAGCTGGACCTGTGGCTAGCTGCTCTGCTTTGCTGGCAGCAAGTACGGCCAAGCACTATGCGAGTTAACAGCCAGTCGACCACGCCGACATCACAGTACAGGCCGGAGTTGATGCGCCGAGGCTCATCAACGACATCAAATTCGGGCGCAATCATCAAAGTCAGCAGGGTGTCGATATGGGATAAAGGCGCTGCTCATTCCCCTCGTGCAATCGTCAAAAGGACTTCAACGCGGGACTTGCGATCCCCACAGACTGGCTGGAGGAAGGTTTCATGCATTCTTTCAGACAATGGGGAATTGAAACTCATCACGGAGAACGATGTCACGGTCCTCTGTATCATCTCACTGTCGCAATTATCGCGATGTGCTATACAGCAGTTGGACAAGTCAGTCTTGGATGAGGAGTACTGCATAGCGATCTTCCCGATGTACTCGTCAACATCTACTCAGCTCTCGATCTTCAGACCCGTGTACATTTCTTTGGACCATAGGGTGCTCTTCGAGGTCTGGTTTGTGTTGCTACGGTCGTTCACAGTCCCTGAGATCTACGCCTTGGACAGGGAAAACGACGACCAGATCCTTGAGGTTACGGACTTTGATGCGGACTTACCCTTTCAGATGTTCAGGGTCGAGAAGACCATAAATTTGCGTGTGATAGAAGCAAAAGTGGGTGGCCCGACCTCACCGCACACTGCTTCGCGAGATCGAAACGCCAGGCCTCAAGACGATGCTTTCGTTGGAAACTACTTCGCGGAGGTCATGCTCGACGGGGAAGTTCGTGCGCGGACGATTACGAAAACCGAGACCCGAAACCCTTTCTGGCGAGACGATTGTGAGTTTGCAGATCTGCCGGCGAACCTACCGTATCTTTCAGTGATTTTAAAACGCATTGATGGAAATTTGGAAAGTATGGCCCACCAATTACAAGCGTCCTTGGGCCTACCCAGAACCGGCAATTTGACGGAGGTTTCCTGTGGTGCTGTGGATCTCCCGTTACCGCAACTCGAACGGGGCAGGGACCATGAGCAATGGCTTCAGATCTGCGACGAGCGGCAACAATCTATTGGCACGATGCTCTGCAAAGTTCGCCACGAGGAGGTCGTGGTGTTCATGGCAAGGGACTACCAGCCGCTGTCCGAGATGCTTCATAAATTCAGTTCTGGGTTGACTGCACAGATCTCAGAAGCCCTTCCCGGACAGCTGCGACGGTTGGCCGAGATCTTCCTGAACGTCTTCCAGGTGTCGACTACTGCGAGTGATTGGCTGATGGCATTAGTGGAAGATGAAATCGATGGCATCGGTCAGCAGTCTCAAATGAGGAAAATGAGGTTCAGCCGGCGTCTTAAATCAAGCGAGGATTTGAACGTCTCCAACCCTCATGAGCGAGAGGCACTCCGCGACATGGGGAAATCATTGGCTGGCGAGGCCAATCTGCTGTTCAGAGGCAACTCTCTACTGACACAAGCTCTCGAGTTCCACATGAGACGTCTGGGGACCGAGTACATCGAAGAGATCCTGGGTGACAAGATCTTTGAGATCAACGAGATCAACCCAAACTGCGAAGTTGATCCTGGAAAGCTGCAACAGGGCGAAGACATTAGCCAGCATTGGGATCAGTTGTTACAATTCACGAACGAGATATGGGATTGCATTGCCAAATCAGCAAACAGGTTCCCTCCGGAACTGAGACACATTCTGAAGTACATCCGCGCCGTGGCCGAAGACAGATACGGCGATTTTCTCCGGACGGTGGCTTTCACTAGTGTCTCGGGCTTCCTTTTCCTGCGATTCATCTGCCCAGCTATTCTCAACCCGAAGCTCTTCGGCCTTCTGCGAGACTACCCACGACCTCGAGCTCAAAGAACACTCACTCTCATTGCGAAAGCATTGCAGGCGCTTGCTAATCTTTCCAATATTGGCAAGAAGGAAGTATGGATGGACCCGATGAACCGTTTTCTTACTTCGCGTCGTCAGGCTCTAAAAGACTTCATCGACGAGATATGCGCAATACCAGCAGAGCGCTCGAGCTGCATCCTGCCCGCATCTTATTCGACCCCAATCACCATCCTAGGTCGCCTCTCACCTCTAGCTCGGGAAGGCTTCCCCTCCCTACCATACCTGATCGATCACGCTCGGAGCTTCGCCCTTCTCGTCAGACTCTGGGTCGACAATCAACCTCTCAGCGGTGACGCCGAAAACCATTACGACGGCGATCTTCTAAAATTCCATAGATGTTGTGTCAGCCTCCAACAACGAGCTGATCTCTGCATGGCGCGCATCGACAGTGTTCGCGCAGCGGATAACGAGATTTCTAGTCAGCGCACAGACTCGGATGGTGCCCTTGCTGATGCTATGGAGCATGTCAGCTTTGCTGAGTCGGGCAATACAGCTTCGCACAAATCCGGAACCAGCGCTTCGTGGATGGACCGTGACCGGCCACCTGGCTCATCTGATGGTAGCTCGTTGGATGATGGCCGAGGGCCCGGACTGCGTTCTCATCGCTCGTCTGAGAGGTGGACCAGCGGATTGCGGCAAGCCGTAGCCGGTAGCGGCGAACTGTCCGACCGAAAGTACCATCACGGTTCTCTTAAATCTCTTCGCAATAGCAAAAACGCGAGGAAGTTTTTGTCTGGCTTCCTGCGAAAGGTCGACCGTACAGACAGCCCAGAAGCCTCCGGCTCAAGCGGGAGCCCCTCAGGATCGCCATGGCAAAACGGCAATGGTGACAACAACATTGGCGCTTCATTCAAGTCTGGATCGGGCTCGACGACGCCCACAGGCACACTGAAGGGTAGAGACAAGGAAAAAGGGCGGAGTACCTTTGGCGGCCTGGCGGAGGCCTGGAAAGAATTCGACCCGTCTAACAGGCATTAACGGATATTGCAAGACATTGCAGAGGACGAAATCACTGTACCATCATCAGGGCGAAATTCGGCACCTCTTTCTTCTTCTACAACCATTACTACTATTATAACGAAAGTCAACGGCCAGGAGATCTGAAAGGAGTTCACAGCGAGGCGCGAGACGAAAAAGACAGGAGGCGCGTTTTATGCATTCCAAAAGGGGCGGCACCATTAGCATATTTTTTAACTCCATTCACCACCGCCGCAGCCGCCAACCACACATCACCCATTCACCCATCCATCAAAGGTCTTCACCTTGATACTACCGACCAAACGGCTGGCTAGGCAGTGCGAAGAGTTCTTCTTTTCTATTCTTCTTTTATCACTCATGTTTCCGTCATCGGGTCGGCCTTGAAAGATCTTGAATCACGATACCTATATTGCAACTTTTTATATCTTCTGGGATGAAATGATAGATTGGGGTTTCTGTCTTGGATAGAGAGATACCACCATAGCCGACCTTTTATGTTTAGTCTTCACAGAAACTTCCTGTCCAAGCCTGAATCTTTCGGGCGGCACTAGGGGTCCAGCTAAGTGGCACGCTGGGACCAGTCATCTCGAGTTGTACGGATCTTGTTGTCCAGGCGTTGAAGTGCCTGACACGATAGCCTCCGACTGTGTCTTCCGCGATTCGTGTCCTGGCGAGAACTGCCGCTTTGGAGGGAGGAGATAGTGCGCCATGGCAAGGTGCTGAAGTCGAGACTTACGCCACTACATTGCAGTGGGACAGTCATAGTCAACAAATTATCAAGTGCTAAAGACTTCAATATCCCCACATTTTTCACCAGTGACTTGCGCGTGGTTCACGGGTCAGCTCAATTCTTTCATGGCTCATTACGCAGACGTGGATAGTCTGCGGTGGTATCTGTGCCTTCTTCCCTGTGAAACGCCCACCCCATGTACCAAACAATCCACAAAATGCCCCTTCCAAAAATGTAGAAAAGAAAAAGATGATAGGCTTTTCTATGGAGCTCTTTTTGAGAACATCACAAGTGCCCCCCTCCACGTTCGCCTAGTTGAAGAACTTCTTGTAGGCGGCCTTCTCCTTAGCCACCCGCGCGGCAACGCTCTTCTTCACATCGGCCAGCTCCTTGGCGATCGCCGCGTCGCCTGGCACCAGCTTGTTAGCCGCTGTCAAGTCCGCCACTGCGTTGTCCTCGTCCCTCAGGCGCACGTGGGCGACACCACGGCGGTACAGCGCCTTGGCCTTCTCCGCGTCCTTCAGGCCTCCGACGGCCAGGGCCGAGGTCGCGAGGGCCGCGGCGCTCTCCCAGTTGCTCAGCTTGATGTTCATCAGCGCGGCGTTGCTGTTGAGCGTGAAGCGCACCGCGTCCATCTTCTCCTTGATGTCCTTGGACGCGGCGGCGTCGCCCGCGCTGTCCAGGTCCGGGTCCTCGTTAAGGTACCGCAGCCCCTTCTCGTACTTGTCCAGCGCCGTGGCCACGTCACCCGCCTTGAAGGCCTTGTTGCCGAACTCCTTGCACTCGGTCGCGATCTGCAGCACCTTCTGCGCCGACAGCTCCCCCTCCTTGCCCTCGCCCTCCTTGCCCTGCTGCTTGGACAGCTCGTCCTCGGGGAAGTCCTCGTATGGGTCGCCCAGCGCGTCGGGCTTGTTGCTCGCGGCAGTGGCGAGCTCCGCGTCCTCGCCCAGGAGCTCGCCGCAGTCGGCGATGACTGCGGCCTGCCTGGGCTTGTCTGAGTCGGTGGGGAGGTTCTCGATCTGGCGAATTATGGACTTTCCCGTAAGAACTTCGCCGAAGACGACGTGCTTGCCGTCTAGGTGAGGTGTGGGGACGGTCGTGACGAAGAATTGCGAGCCATTGGTGCCTGCCAACGCATCTGTTAGCTACGAATCTTGTGCCGACCTTCTCACGCAAGACAGGCAAGGGGACCTCCTCAACTTACCAGGGCCAGCATTTGCCATGGACAACAGGAAGGGCTTCTCGTGCTTCAGCTCGAAGTTCTCGTCCTCAAACTTCTCGCCATAGATCGACTCGCCGCCTGTGCCATTGCCAGCGGTGAAGTCACCACCCTGGATCATAAACTGCTTGATAACTCGATGGAACCCGGAGCCCTTGTAGTGCAGGGGCTTGCCGCTCTTCCCGATGCCATTCTCGCCGGTGCAAAGTGCGCGAAAGTTCTCTGCGGTCTTGGGCACAACGTCGTTGTAAAGCTCCAGCACGACACGACCGGCAGCACGCGGGCCGATGGTGATGTCAAAGAAGACACGGCTGCGGGCTGCGGGCTTGGAGTCCTCGGTAGCCATTATGTGAAAGGGTGGGAGGTGTGCTGTAGTCGGTATTATTCGCAGATGGCAGCCTGGTACAAGCTGTAGAAGGTGTCCTGCTCTCTGTATGTAGAAGTCTGGAGATCAATGTGCTTGAGGAACCTTGGAAGGACCCTGTTGAAGATTTAAAGAGCTGAAAAGAAGCCAATTGCAAACGTCAATGTGTATGCTGACCAGGAGAAACTTTAGGATAGGTTGGAGCTTTATGCAGTTCGAGCAGGAATGCTGTGGCTTTCATCTGACAGGAACGAGGCTGCTTGCTCTTCGTGAACCTTCTATGCAGCCTTCAAGCGGGGCCGCCGCTGAGCAGCATCCCTGTCAAGAGCTCAAGGCCCGAGGTGGGGTTGCTTAAGTCTGGGAGTCCAGAGCTCCCTGCCGCGCCGGCTTTGCTATACCAGAGAGCTACCTAGGTACCTAGGTCCTGATGCTTTCTTCGCCATAGCAACTGGCAAACCTTCTCTGCCAAATAAACACATCGATAGCAAACTTTACCACGACCCTTTATGCTCATAGCTTTTTGCAGGCATCTTACGGATTGAGAGTTGCCTGTTCCAACGGTCTCATCTTTGCTTTGGTATGGAAGAGAGATTGACCGACTACAAACCAGCAGCATGCCCCTTGGCCATCCACTCAGCATGTATGGTATCCAATAGGTCCGGGTATATGTGATCATGCAAAGCTCCATCAATAATTGAATATCTCTTCAAGCCTTGTTCTCCTGCATTATGGGCCATCAGGTGATCCTGGAGCCTGGAGCCGTTCCTTAGAAATGGACACAGCATCCAGCCCAGCCTTTCATCATTGGCTCTGTGGTTGGGTGTGGTCAGCCTGGCTTGATTCTCCCAAGTTCAGTCTTCAAAATCTGCCTACTCTTGATACTCATTTTACGTAACATCACTGGAAACACGGGTTTTGGAGATGCAAGAACTCAATCATAACCAAACCATACTGTCTTACAGAGCTGGTTTGTACTCGTGATAATGTGCAATTACAAGTAGGACTGCATCATCTTCACCCCGTCCCTATGCTAGGAATGGCAGTAGTAAGAACATCGGCGCTAGGACTCGAACCATATCACAACATAGCGTCGTAGCCCTCATTGCAATCTATGCTACATGAAAGATGAACCAAGGGATCTAGATTAGTCATCGAGCTAGACTACATTTCTTGTGCAGGTTTGCTGGAGCAAAGTATGAACTTCAAAAATCAAAAATCACTTGGAAAGGTATGGGCCACAAGGGCCCTTACAATCTCGAGAACTAAACTTGGAGACTGTAGAAATCCTATATATAGATGTTGCTGGGGCACGCATCAGGTTGTCGACTCTGGCTATACGACTAGACTTGGCTCCCGGCCGGGGGGGGGGGGGAGTATATCTATTCTCCTCTATAATTCGATTCTAACATAGGCTCTTGCCCACCAAATAGCAGCCAGGCGCTCAAGAGAAGTCAACGTTATCAACCTGCTTCCAAGCATACTGATGAGCTGGATGATATGTCCCTCGGGGGTTCTTTGGCTTGGACTGGTGACGCGAGTAGATAGAGCGCTTGCCCAGGCCATTGCAACGGAACCAAACACCTCAGCATGGAGTGAGACAGAGCCATCAAAGGATGGTGCCTGATTCTTGAACAGAAAATCCTGTGGCCATCGGCCTCAAGTATCTCGGTTATTTAGTGATCCCTGGCTTGGCCAGATCCTCGGCCTCTTGTTGCCTCCCGGCGGTGAGCTCCAACGTGACCTGGAATCAGCGTTAGTGAGTCTGTCCTTCTGCGCCAGCATCGGAAGAGGGAAAGGTTGGTTACCGGCCCATCATTTACGAGAGCGACCTCCATCATTGCCTGGAAGACGCCATCTTTTACCTTGTCCGCTGCATATCCTTCCTTTACCTTGCTCAGGAAGTAGTGGTACAGCCGTTTCGCCTCGTCCGGTGCCAGGGCCTGGTGGAAGCTCGGTTTATTGCCTTTCTTCGTCGAGGCGAGCAGGGTGAATTGAGAAACGCAGAGGACCTCTCCACCGATGTCTTGAACGTTTTTCTTCCACTATGCAAATGTCAGGCAACAGCACGGCACAGCGTGTGACAAGAGCGGCCCGAGGGTGAAACTGAGGAGGAACATAGGCGAAGAGGGAGGGGGGGCCAAATACCCTTCCACCATTCTCATCATCCCACAACTTCAACTTGATGACCTTGGCCGCCAGGCTCTCGGCCTCCTTTTCTGTATCCCCCGGGGCAACAGCAGCGAAGACCAGAACGCCCTTGCCGATGGAGGAGACCAGTTCCTTTTCCACAGTAACAGATGCAGAAAGCACTCGCTGGAGTATGGCTGCGAGCGGCTGATGAGAAAGGCTGGGAACACGAACACATATATTGAGCTGCAGGAAGACAACTCACCCTTCATCTTGAGACTCACAGGCTGCCTGTAGCTGTGCTGTCTGTCCAATATGCCTTTGTTTGAGTTTGAGTGTGCTAATTACGTCCCGCCCCCTACAGATGTTGGCTGAATCCCCTGTGTATCGTCCCGTTGTGCAGATGCAGATGCAGCTGCAGAGACCCCGTAACTGGAGCCAACTTTAGACACTTCGAATATGGCATCTGTCTAAGGTGAGGCCGTGAGACAGTTCACTGGCACATGGGGTCCAATGGATCCATTCCAGGCTTGCGAGGCCTAATTCAAAGTTGGTATAGGGTGGGTCTTGACTCGGCCTGGCTGCTGGCTGGCAAGTGGGCAGCTGAGATCCGCCTTGGGAGCCTGGCCTGTGCGCCGCCTGCGTAACTCCATGGAGCGGCTGACGTCTGCTGAGCTTACTGTTGTACACAAGCATCAGGCGGCACGTAACTTGGAAGGGTTGCAGATAAGACACAACAAAGTCTGAAGCCTGTCAATCCCCCAACACAGCAGAAAATTCTGATTTGAGAATTCCAGAACACCCTGATCACTAGCATTGACCTGACTATGGGCTTGTAGCTGCCTTGCATCCTATCCACTGGCTCAAGACCGGACCCCAATTTGCCGCAACGTTAACAGCCTGTACCTGTCTAGAGTGTGGGCCATCGTGTCAGCCAGCCCTGCCAGCGTTTGGTCATCTCAGTCGTTGGCTGGATTGGCGCACCTCTAGCATTGGCAGCCTTGCCGACGTGACCTCTTCCTCGCATCTCCCCACCACCAACCTCCTCAGACACCAACAAGACCCGACAGCGCCCTGCCTCGAGCCCTTTTCTACTCGAAGACGTACATACCGACTACGCACGTTGGGTATCGAGCCCACCGCGACAAACACTAACAGGCGGCCCGAGCGAGCTCGTCGATAGCTCCTCGGAAGCTTCACGACAACTTGGATCCCCCCACCGCGCCGAGCAACGGTTGCGGACATCCCTCGGTCACATACCTCCCTAAATTACTACCTTCTTTCCTGGACGCCCTTCACGGCGCCACGGCGTTGATATGGCAGCACGGAAACTGGCGCAGGAGGTCGACAAGACCTTCAAAAAGGTGTCCGAAGGCATCGAAGAGTTTGACGAGATCTACGACAAGATCGAGCAGTCAAATAACCCTGCCCAAAAGGAAAAGCTCGAAGACAGTCTGAAGCGGGAAATAAAGAAATTGCAGAGACTACGAGATCAGATCAAGACATGGGCAGCCAGCAACGACATCAAGGACAAGGGTCCTTTGATCGAGCACAGGAGGCTGATTGAGACGGTTGGTCTGGCGGTCAACCCCTGGGTTTCGAGACACTAACTGCGCTGCAGCGAATGGAAAAGTTCAAGGCCGTGGAGAAGACCATGAAGACAAAGGCGTTCTCGAAAGAAGGACTTTCTGCTGCTGCGAAGCTGGACCCTAAGGAGAAAGCCAAGCTCGAAGCCAGCGATTTCCTCGGCTCGCAGATCGATGTACTGGAGGAACAGATCGAAAAAATGGAGGCCGACATGGAACTATTACAAGCCGGCATGAAGAAAGGGAAGAAGGCCAAGAAAGACGACGCGGAATCGATAGCCAATATCGAGACCATCATCGAGAAGCACAAGTGGCACCAGGGAAAGTTGGAGCTGATCCGGAGATCCCTGATGAACGGCGGCGTCGAGGCAGATCAGGTGTTTGACCTCAAGGATTCGATTCGGTACTATGTCGAGGAGGGAACGTCTCAGGAATACATGGACGATGAGGAGATGTATGACGACCTGAATCTCGAAGAGGAGGAAGATGTATTTGGCATGAACCAGGACAACGACAAAATCTCAAGCCAGGACACGCAGTCGGTACAGGACGACGTTACGGAGACGGAAGGCAGGTCCTCGAGCGCAGCAGCAAAAGGGAAGGAGAAGACATCAGCAGATGCAGGAAGCTCAGCAACGAGCAGAAAACCGTCCTCGCAACTTAAGTCACCCCTGCCGACACTCGCAACACTCTCGACTCCCTCGTTACCAACCATGACAGGCCCCATACCGGGCAGTAATGGCATGAAACCGGCATCCGTACCAACAAGACCGCCTGGGGAGGGCCTGAAATATGCGTCTGCGGCGGCCGCAGCAGCAGACAAGAACAACGTGGGAATAGCACCGCTACCGCCCCCACCAAGCGCACACCCGGCAGTTGGCATCTCTTCATTAGCAAACCAGTCTAAGACGAGTTCAACAAGTTCACCGAGCATATCATCAGCACAGATAGCAGCGCCTGTGCCACAACAAGCGGAAGCAAAACATCCACCGGCTGCGCCTGTAGCTCCCGCAACTGCTCCTGCACCGCCGGCTTCCACGCCGAAAATCGAGGCCGCAAAGACAGCGCCCTCCCGTGCAACAGCCAAAGCTTCGGCGGTCCCCGAACCATCTGAGGCAACAAAAGGTAGTGTCTGCGGTGGAAACTTGTCAATCCCGCTCCATGCTAATCTTCTCGCAGCTCCTCATACAAACGGCGTGACCAACGGTGTCAAGTCTGTCGAGCCAGAGCCGGAAGAGGAGTCGATATACCACCTCCCGTCTTCTCTGGATGATCTCGTCGAGTCATGGGAAGCGACGAAAGCGAACCCTACTGCACCTGCCACGTCGCCCTCGGCGCAACGATTGCTTGCGGCTTCTAGTAAAATGGCCCCAGACGTTGCGGACGCGGAGCCACCTCGCAATTACTACCCCGAGAGCTACTGGAACACGAATAAGACATGGCCGAAGGAGCCACTCCAGATAATGGACAACCCGCAGTTGTACCAGCCAACAAAAGTGGACAACGACACTTTATTTTATGCCTTTTACTACAAGCAGGGGACGTACCAGCAGTACTTGGCTGCCAAGGCGCTCAAGGACCAAGCATGGCGGTTCCACAAGCAGTACCAGACGTGGTTCCAGAGGCATGAGGAGCCTAAGAACATCACTGAGGAGTTCGAGCAAGGCACATACCGATTCTTTGACTATGAATCGACGTGGTCAGTATTCCAGCGGTGTCACTACATGAGACTGTGTCGTCATTTTGCGTCGCGCTTTCAGCTAACACCATGCCTCACAGGATGAACCGTAGGAAGGCCGATTTCAAATTCGCCTACAAATTCCTCGAGGACGAAGTTTAGAAGATATTCGGGGATGGGATACAGGCGTTTGCCTGGTCCCGCACGGTGTTTTGCAGGCTCATGTTTTCTTTGATCTCCCGGAGACGATCAGGATGGATGATTTTTGCACTCCCGAGGATTTTCGGGGATCACTGCGGCGTCCTTTCTTGCTCTCAAGGGGTTTTCTGGAAGGCAGAGAATTTCGGCCCGGGGAGTCCGGTATGAATGGGGAAGATGGCAACCGCTCGCCTCTCCACTGAGGTGGGTGGGAGTCCGTTGGACGGCCATTTTCAGGTTTTGTTCGAGTGTGTACTGGCAACAATTTGTCCACATTGAATGGAAACAGAGGCACTAATGTCTCAGGAGCACACGCTCTACGACGTCAATAACAACCATGCAGCTAGACGGGCCAGAAGCGCATCGACGGAAATAGCTCAGAGTCCACGGTTCAAAAAATGACTAATGATACTTGCTGCCAGCAAACCAATCTCTATTCTCATATCTTGGTTTTATGCTGTCGAGAACGAAATGTGTTAATGGCATGTGCACAGATGCATATAGGGATGTACTGAAACGACGTAGCTTCGCGGCGAATCAGGTACACGAGGCTGACAGAAGGCGCACATATGCATGACCAGCCTATGATTAACGCCTCACCAACAAATGCTGCCACTTCACCCCGCCGAGCCCACACCATCAAATTCACCTCGATGCAGAAAGCCTGGTGGAATGCCTCCAAACTTGTCAAGTGCAGATGACCCAAGTGGTGTCCTCGCCAGCCCTGCTCCATTGCCCGCGTTTGAATACATGCCGTGGATCCTCAAGTGCTTCAATTTTTGACATCCACTGGCTGCAAATTTGACACACACAACAATGGTATTCCGACGGACGCATGTATTGCTGCCCAACTCGCACCCCTTGATCTCAATGGTGAGCTTTCAGGTATCAATACAACCAGGGGGTTTATAGGTATATGAAGTTCTACTGTTCCAGTTGCCTTCTCGTTGCCCTGTTGCTTCAGCCGCCTGCCTGCTCGATCTGCAGTGTTCACTTTCATACTCAGGATTTTGCATTTGATCTTCTTTCCACCCCTTCCCTTCCGACCCTATTTCTTCCCGACTATGGGCATCAGGCTTCGACCCGCTGCTGGTGGCTGTGCCCACTGGTTGAGCACCCCAGGTGAGCCTGTACTGCCCCAACGCCAGCTGCTGCCTGGAGATGACGTGCAGCAATCAATGTTGGCACTGCCAGAATCGCGGCACCTACGAGCTTGCTCACGAAACAGAGAAGCCCGCCAGATAAGCAAATCCTTGTCACCGCAGCCGGCTTGCTAGCTTCCACATGCGGTTTCTCGGGCCAGTAAGCATCGTGCGCGCTTTCTTCAACGCCATGTTAATCAATCTTTGCCCAGACCATGCCACGATGGACTGCGGCGTCATATCCTGCAGGTCCGGGTGCTGTGCCGTGCTCGGGTGACCACGCCGATTTGGGGGCCATCGCAGCTGCGTCGGCAGCTTCCCCGGATCCTGTCATAGGCCCACACAGACGCGACGTTGATGCAAGCAAGCGGTCGGTGAGAAAGCTTCAGCAGCCATGGCCTAGGCTGCCACGATCACCAAACGCTGATACAGGGGTTTGGATTCTGGAAGGATTCTAAATTGGTTCCAAGATCGAGGCATTTTGTGCCCTGGAGGGTCCTGCTGACCAGTCGATGGGGAAACCCTTTGTCGGTCCCGGCGGATGGTCATCGTCATGGCCAGATTTGGAAGCTCAAAAACCCCCCAGCCCGGCTTTCGCCGCAGAGGAACGCACGTCAAGCACCATGGATACCTGTCGATCCTCTGCTGAGAGCCCTGTTCTGCTCTGCTTCCCCCAAGAAGCTGCACCTTGATGATGCTGCGCGGTGCGACCAAACAGGATCAAGCAAACGGCGCCAGTGCACCAACACCCTTTCCTCGATGAGGCAGCTCAGGCAGACTGTCGGGCGAACCGCTACTTTGCTGCGATGCTTGGCAGGCGAACCACTCGCAATCCGACCAGTTAAGGCCGCATTCTTGAACGAATGGCAGCAGCACTGGCTAACTGGCTAGCCGAGAGTTGAGGCTGACCAGTTCTTGTCTAACGCTATGCGGCGGAATCCACGCCGGCCGGCATTAGAGGACTACATGTGTTACTCACTCGGCTCCGCATCTAGATCTGCAGGTCCCTGGCGCAGACGACATGTATGTCTTTCTTTCTCCCTCAGCCCCCAATACGCCTCAATGTTCGGCTTGTACCTCAACTTGACCTGGCACCCCGGGGCAGGGACTACATCATCGCCTCTGTCAGGTTTGAACCAGAGCTCTCAATGTCCTTGTCCCCGGTCTGTCCGTGTCCTCATGACCAGCTGCGCGTGCCACTTGACCCCGATCCGGGGAGCCAAGTTCATCCATCCGGTCTTGACGGCCTCGCTACGAACAAACAAAATGGCTCATACGTGCCGAGAGGATTGCGTCGATACCTTCGTCGGTGTGCAGTTACCAGATGGCCAAGCGGTCACCATGGGTCCTCGTCCCAAAGGGTGAAATGCCGTGCAAACATACACACGTTGGCACACCACACCCTCTTCTTCCTATACACGCCGCAAGCCTTGCCCACCCTGCATCGCGGCTCATGCCTATGTGGAGCCGTCGCTCTCCCTCCTACACCACCCCGCCATGTTTTCACCCTTGTTCGACGGCTATGAGCATCACATCGTCCACTTGCGTTGCTTCTATTCGACGGCACGTTAGTGCTTGTCAGCCCCATCGAGGCGACCGCCATCTGCAGGTTATCAGGCCTCGGTCAGGGGACACAGACTGATAGGTTGTTTCGACCGTTGTTTCTCACTCAAGCGTATCCCTCCTCCAGCATGCTTGATGTCACCGCCCCGTTTCCACCGTTTCTACCGTTGTTTGGGTCCTTTGCTACACGCCTCTACTTCGACTCGGCTCCCCGGCCGTCGTACTTGGGACTCGATATCACTTTCCTTGCTCACCGAGTTTTGATCTGATAGGACACACCACCCCTGACAGGTCACCAGCGCCAGCTTTTCCTACATGGGTCCCTCTGCGCTTTTATTTCCCTCTAATACTGCGGTCCTGCATATTCGCGAATGGCAGTGTTTCAAGTTATGTGGCTGTATCGACTTCTAGAAGGCCAGGGTGAGTCAACCTGCAGTTGAGCCTCTTCTCCCTGCCGAATCTCCTTGCGCGTCAGCGACGCTCCATCGCGTCTTGGTAGGGTAGGGCTCGGGAGGAAAGGACAGTGTATTTTGTTCCGATAGTCCTGCACATTTATGCCTCATCGCCTATGTCGGCATCGTCCATCGTGGCCGTGAGAGCAAACGCCCAAGCATGCGGACCAATAAAGCGCCTGTCCCCATCATCCCATCTCTTGTCCCCGGTGTTGTTTGCTCGCCTCGTATGCCAAAAGTGCCAATTCTGTCAAGCCTTGCTGGAACAGACTTACTTGAGCCGTGACGAACAGCAATCGCTCAATGCTCTACTTAGACAATTACATATATCAGCCGTGGTCGAGGACCTAACCTCACTCCAAGGGTTCTCATCATCCACTCTCTGGGTACGACATCCACATTAGAGAATTGCCTCTCCTCTCCCTTCAGCAAGATATTGTCTTGAGCCTCGTTGTGAATTTTGTTTGCGATCATTTCCCACCACATCATTTTGTGTTAGTTCTCTTCACGCGTCTTGTCGACGGTGGCCCTTCTGTGCACGCCAGGATGTCTGGCGCTCAATACAACTACATAAGGGTGCCCACCGCTTCCAACGACATCGGCTTCGGAGCCAACGACTTACCGGACTACGGCGACTATAACGGGAGCCTGCAAAGAAGCCTGTCTGGGTATTCTGACGACACGACATCCTTTGGGTCTCCAACGTATGAGGTGTCCCCAAGCCTCGACAATTTTGATTTCGAGTTCAGCTCGCCTCACTACGGCCATCATCAAGTCTCAGCACCAAGATCTACTGCTACCACTACGAGTAGACCTCACACGACCCGTTGGACAGACACAACTATCCCCGGTTACAAAAATACACTCAGTTCTCCGCAAGTTGTTACCGGCTCTTTCAACATCCAACCAAGCAGGTAAGTTCACGAACCTCTCAGGGATTCAAAATCTCTGACCACATCCACTGCCTGCCGTGCGACTCCGTTGTCACACATTCGAAATCAAAGAGCTAACATTACAAAGCATAATGTCAACCCCATCGCCAGAATACGTCTGCCTCTACGATGGCTGTCGGCAAAAGGCCTTCCGGCGGTCGGCAGACCTAGACCGACACATCAAGCACGTGCACCTCAAGCCGCCGGACACGTACTTCTGCGACTACAACAGGTGCCCGCGGAGCGAGAAGGCCGTGGCGGCGGCGACGAACTCGACATCACAGCCCCTCGAGACAATCGCCACCGCCTCGTCCTCCAGCGGCGCCGGGATCGGCGCCTTCGGCCGCAAGGACCACTGCCGCGCCCACTACCGCGACTACCACCGCGAGGACCTGTGCCGGCGCAACGGCAAGGAGGCGGCGGGCTGGTTCGACGACCGCAACATCTCCAGCAGCTGGTGGCGGTGCACAAAGTGCCTGCGCAAGGTGTCGTACTCGCGCTGCGGCTGGGAGTGCCGCGACTGCGGGCAGACGCTGGAGCCGGAGCGGATCAACGCGCGCAAGAGGCGGATGGGCAAGGGCTCGTCACTGTCGTCGTCGTCTTCGTCGAGGGCTTACTGAGACGGGACTTCCCGTCGGTGGTTTGCTTGGGGGCTGTGCCCGCTTGGGGATTTTGGTTCTTGTCTGGCTGAAGAGGTGTGGGGGGACTTGTGACACAAGGACCTTTCCCCAACGAATCTTGTTGACAGGCACACATGTGGTGACGACTATCCGAAGACGAGCAGGACAGCGTGCAGCCCCAAAGACAGGCACCACGTTTGAGTGTCGCCAGGCTGTCCTATCAATCTTCGTCTCGGCGTTCTGCCTCGTTGCCTACTCCCTTGCATATCTTTTTCACCCCTTCTACTTTCCTCTACGCACACGCACACAAGAGACAAAAATACGTGGCAAGCGGCAGCGAGACTTGTGGTGTTGTGGCTTATTCTATTCTTGTACGCTCCAAGTTTTCAAGACGCGTTTCCTTTTCCCTTTCGCTACTTTCACCATCATACCTGGCGTTGGCCTCCGGGCGTCTGGAGTTTTTAGGGCACCGAATGTTTTGTGGCTTGTCTTGCTTGCTGTCCGCGCCCCCGCCCCTTTTCCTTCTCGCTGCTGCCTACAGATTCTCGCCAGCTGTGGCGTCGTTCCAAGATTTCCTGTGACCAAGATTCGTCATTCCAGAGCCTGCTTCTCTTTCTTATTTGCTTGTTTTTCTGCATGTTCAAACCTTCTGCTACGGAGTTTTCCTAGGTGGCGTTGCTTATTCTGCTGCATACGGGATGCGGCATGGCGCGATATGTGGCTTCAAGGCAGACTGGCAGGCGTAACGGTGTTATTTTGAGGCTGACGCATGTATGGACTATTCAGAGAGGCAGACTGGCGTTGTATGAGGCGCAGGCTTGGGGCAGAGTAGTGGTGGGGGAGGGTGTGTTGGCTTCAATGTTGTTGGTGCGTCATACGTTGGTGTGGTTACACAGCATGAGGACAAGAGATGTCAGGCTTCACTGAGGCAGTGTAGAAACCATACAAAATACCATTTTTATGTCACTTCCCTTAGACCCATCTCGCATCCTCATTGTCTTAGAAAAGCCAGCTTGCTCTTGTGATATTTCTTTCTTATCTTTGTGTTTTATTGCTTGCAAGTACTATCTATCAAAACAGGCCCAATCGTACTGCATAACATTTTGCACAGCACCAGTTGCCGCGCTAAGAAAACATACATGAAGCCTAGATTAGCTTTTGTATTGTAAGATATGGAGCTGAATGTTCCTGGGTTGGCAATGAACAATTTGAATGATTATTTCCAAAATAGGATACATGGCTCAAATCCGACTGGCAGTCAATTTGCTGTTCATTAGAGACTGCCGTAGCTTCGAGGCTTGTTGAGAGCTCACGCGTGGTCAATAGGAGAGGGGCCAACCCCTATATCAATCGTGTAAACATGCAACGGCTTCACAATCTTGCTCTGGCCATCCGTTTGGAACGGCACTCCCCGGTTCAGCTGTGCAGCCGGGAGCCATAGCCTCTTCTGATTGTCGACCCACATGGCATCAATCCAGAGCAGCCTCTCATCTTGCACCAGCGTCGTCCTCGTGCCGTTGGGGTAGACCTTCTCGATAGCCTGACGGTCCGTGTCGCTCACGTAGATGTTTCCCTCAGCATCGATGGCAGTGCCGCCTGTCGACGGGGTGAGGGCGTACGGCTCGACATATTGGGACAAGACGCTCAGGCTCGCCATGGACGAATTGTAGAAAGCCTGGTCAAGGAATTGCGTTTCGATACGTGACATGCCCCCTGACGCGGGCTGATAGTAGAACCACTTCCCGTCCGGGCTGACCTCGAGCTGATCCGCGTATATATACTGGGCCTCCCCGGTAGAAGAGTACATAAGCTTCCCCTCCCCGCTCGTGGGTGTAAACGCCCCAACTGACAGGTCCCCCTCGAGCAGCCGCACAGCTCGCCCGCTGTCCAGGTCCAGGACAATCAACGCGCCGCCCGCGCCCGCATCGGTGAGGTAGGCTCTGGAACCGGTGGCATCGAAACGGATGTCGTCCAAGAGACTTTTTGACAGGGTCACGTTGCCCATGGGATAGACGCGTTTGACCTCATCAGTGTGCGTGTCGACCACGACCAGCTTCGGACCCTCGGGGAGGATGACGGGGGTCCCGAAGCCGGGGGATCCCGTGTCAACCAGCCAGAGGTTGCCGTCCCGGTCGACACGCTGGCTGTTGACGCGTACGAGTGTGGTGGCCGGGTCGCTGTCACTGTCCGGGCCCGCATATGAGTTCCAACTGGCGTCCGGGTAGGGGACGCCGGTCCCATTGACCCACTCGACCACCTCGGGGAGGCCCTGGGCCTGCGTGCCGTCGACGCGGGCGTAGAGGACAAACAGCCGGCCGTCTTCGGTTGTGCTGACGCCATTGCAGGGCGTGTCGAGGGTCAGGGCGACCTGAATGCGGGGATCCTGGGCTGCCAGGCTTGAGGTGACCAACAGGGCGGCCGGCGCGAGGGAGTGAACACGCATTTTGTGGTTGGATGATGGTTGCGCCTGATCCTGTTCGCAGCAATTTGGGACAGAAGGTTGCGATCACCCGCTCCAATGTCACAAGGGATCTATCAGAAGGTGCATTGGACAATCATTCTGTAACCCATTCCGCATACCAACCCAGATAGTATTTATACCACGTCTGTGAGGAGAAAATGATAGTACCGTGGTGTAGTCGTGACGTGCCGAGCCCCGCCGCGAGGTGTGAATGGGCATCAGTCAAGCTGCACGGTGGTAGCGATGCAGCCTACCGCGTTACACCTGCCGCACATGGTCTACCGAATGAATAGATGCGGAGATGGCCGGATGGAGAAGTAGTCGGCTCTTTCGCGTCATAGAAAGCAAAGTGATAACCCGTTTACGACGTTGACACGATGCTAGGAACTGCCGGATACCTACCACTAGCAACAAGTGTGAACCCACGAGACGGGCCGCACATAGCTGGATTCATGGCGCATCCCAGTATTGAGTGCCCGGGTTCCAGAATTATTTGGAGAGCAGGTGAGGTCGGCACGTATCTATTCGCTGAACATACCGCGGCGAGTATCTCTGGTCGCTGGCGGTAGGATGGAGAGAAAACAGGCTCTGATGCTTTGTAGGTGGAGTCAACATATAACCGTCTCTTTGAAAATTATCGTCTCAGGCAAGGTTCTGATGGATGTTCGTAGTAAAGTGATGATAGAGAGATGGCGACCGGGACGTCAGCACCAATCGACCACGGAATATCATCATCGGCAGGTCTCACCTGTGAGACCTGTTCATCTGGTGTCTGGTAGAAGCTGTGATGAGTGGCCTCGTAGTATGCAGTCGTCGAGTCTAATTGCTGCCAATGGAACCAAAAACAGCCAAGGGGTTCCTTGACGGGAAGCTGTATTGTGGCCGTTTCGAGTTAAAGTCCCAGACGATGGTGGCTCGATTGCAACACCAAATCAGACGGAACCTGCGACGATCTGTCTTTGGTTTCCCCAGGTTTGCCCCCACCATCTGACCATGTCAATCAAGGGTCCTGATTAGCGACTGCGGGGAAGTAAGGACGGGAAAGACGTGCAGGAGTACCTGGGTACATGGGCACTTGGGTGTGTACCTCTTGTGTCTGAAGAAGAAAAAAAGGCAGACTGATACTGCCAGGCATTAGGACTGACCTCGACCATCTGGATGAAATGCCAATTTCATGCATGTCTATTTGCAATCGAGAACAGACCAGGCGTGTCTCCTCTCGAAAAGGTAGGTGTACTGCTGGGTCGTATTGAAGATTGCAGCAGAGTCGCAACACTATGGAAGAAGCTGTACATTTTCTTTTTTGGAGGTACATTCTGTACTACAGTAGACCACAGGGTACAGTTATTGTGCCGCGGCATCTCTGGCCGAATCTCCAACAGATTTGATGGCTCGCATGCAGCAAGGCTCCTCCTTCTTTCTCCTCCACTCCTGTCCTGCAGTGTGTGTCAGTGTGTCTCCAAACAACACCCAAATGGGTTCCTTCCGTGCGCCCGCCCGCTCATACCACCCAAGAACAGGCGACCAGGCGCACACTTAATACTGAGCCCAAACCTGACAACTGTCGCGAAACCCCCCTCCCTCAAAATCGCGCCCTCCCCTTCATCTTCACCTTCATCCCCTCTCCTCACCTCCCGTGTCTCCCATTCTCATCCCACACGACATTCGATTGCATACTAGCTACTAGCCAACCGACCACGCCGAAAGTGGGCTTTCCTCCGTTCTGCGGCTATAAACCATCCGGGCATCGGAGCCAGATCCCAGCCAACCTCACGGCCGGCCCACTTCTTTTTTGCGACGATAGTGCCGAGATCTGCGAGACGGAGAAATCGTCGGCTGCGACCCTCGGCGCCTTGCTGCTATTATTACTGTCGACTGTCGCTGGGCCGAGCTGTGCTGCTGGACGCCGGTGCTAGACCTGCATCCTCTGCTTCTCTCCCAGTCCCAGACCTTCAACCTCGGCTCTGAGCTGCTGTACCACGAATCCCGTGCTGCTAGGCCTGCTTGTGTAACGGCCCGGTTCGACGCCATCTGCGCCTTTGCACCTTGCTCCCTGCTGCACCCTTCTCTGATACTGATACTGGGTCCCCCACCCTTCAAGCCGCCCATCATGCGTCCCGCCGCCGCTGCAGCGACTCTTCGTCGCACTGCATTCGCCTCTGCTCGCCCTAGCTTCAGGCTCTCTCCCGTCACACAAGCAGCTCCTGCGCTCAGAGTCGCAGGCATAGTGCGAACCATGGCGACCGCTAACAAGATCAAGGTCAAGAACCCCGTCGTCGAGCTGGACGGCGACGAGATGACCCGCATTATCTGGGAGGATATCAAGAACAAGTTCATCCACCCTTACCTCGACATCGACCTCAAGTACTATGATCTGGGCCTGGAATACCGTGACAAGACCGATGACAAGGTCACCGTTGACGCCGCCGAGGCCATCCAGAAATACAGCGTGGGTGTCAAGTGTGCCACCATTACCCCTGACGAGCAGCGTGTGGAGGAGTTCAAGCTTAAGAAGAGTGAGTCTATTCGCCTCTAGGCCCGGAAAGCTGCCGTGGAATTGGGTGACTGATCAGCGCTCAGTGTGGCTCTCGCCCAACGGCACAATCCGCAACATTCTCGGCGGCACCGTCTTCCGCGAGTCGATCATCATCCCCCGCATTCCGCGCCTCATTCCTGGCTGGGAGAAGCCCATTGTCATCGGCCGTCACGCATTCGGCGACCAGTACCGCGCAAAGGACCGCGTTATCCCCGGCCCTGGAAAGCTCTCCATGGTCTACACCCCTGCCAACGGCGGTGCGCCCGAGGAGATCGAGGTTTACGACTTCAAGTCTGGTGGTGGCGTTGCCCAGACCCAGTACAACACGGATGAGAGCATCACTGGCTTTGCGCACTCGAGCTTCAAGATCGCGCTCGACCAGGGCTTGCCGCTTTACATGAGCACCAAGAACACCATCCTGAAGAAGTACGACGGCCGCTTCAAGGACATCTTCCAGGAGCTGTATGACACGCAGTACAAGCCCGAATTTGAGAAGAAGGGCATCTGGTACGAGCACCGCCTGATCGACGATATGGTGGCTCAGATGATCAAGAGCAAGGGCGGATACGTCATGGCTCTGAAGAGTGAGTAAAATGCCCTGAACCTCCATGGGAACGACCGCCATGGGCTGTTTGAGCAACAAACATAGACTCACATTTTGAACACAGACTATGACGGTGACGTGCAGTCTGATATTGTCGCCCAAGGTTTCGGCTCTCTGGGCCTCATGACCTCCGTGCTCATCACTCCCGACGGCAAGACCTTCGAGTCCGAGGCCGCCCACGGTACAGTGACCCGCCACTACCGCGAGCACCAGAAGGGCAACCCGACATCGACCAACCCAATTGCTTCCATCTTTGCGTGGACGCGCGGTCTCGCCAAGCGAGGCCAGCTGGACAACACGCCCGAGCTGGTCGCCTTCGCCGAGAGCCTCGAACAAGCCTGTATTGACACCGTTGACAAGGACGGTATCATGACCAAGGACTTGGCGCTGGCCTGTGGCAAGGGCCAGGACCATGTCACCACCACCGAGTACCTCAACGCTGTAGAGAGGAGGATGAAGGGCCTGCTGAAGGAGAAGCTGTAATGAAAAGAAATTACAGAAACTGCCAAGCGAATGAAATTGTACTCAAGTTTCAGATGGGCTTGCTGGTGCAATTGGTTGGGAAAAGAATTGTGAATTGGGTCTTGCCGGACTCCACTGGCCTAAGCGGACGCCGCGTGAGAAGGCGTGAGCTCGGTTATGTTTCCTTCTGGACCGGGGCGGCCACGTTGCTGGGTATTGGGAAGGTGCACATTTTCCTGTTTCATTGTTCTTGCATAGTCGGCCATCTATCTATCCGTTTTTGGATTTCATCCCATTTCATATCCTCCTGTATGCGAGTGCTGCATTTGCTACCGAGTTGCTCTGCGTTGCGAACCCTACAAAGCGAAGACAGAGATGGCTGGAGACAGGATAAAGGGAAATAAAGGAGACATCTGAGGATAAAGTTGTTGCAAATGTGTTGCTGTACATACGGAGAGCATTTACATAAGCAGCTAGAAATTTGGCCTTGATGGTGTATTTTTTCTGGCGATATGACCTTTTGGGCTCGTGCTCTCAGATACCTCGCAGCTATTCCCTGGAGTCTAGTCACGCGCATGCGGGCGGTCACTCGGAATCGTTGAGAACAATTCGATCCAAGCCCATGTAGGCGATGGCATGCTCCCAGAAAAAGTTCCTTTCCCCTCGCACCCTACGAGGTCTCAGTGGATGTGGGTGAGTCCGAAGGGTCTACGCTGAGTCCTGGACGGATACCGATGGTCATACGGGACTGGGCCTCATCTCGCAGGTCTAATGAGATCTACAATCACGATAGTGGGTTGGAATTAGGAGACGATGTTTATCCGGCCAAAACATACTCTTGAATGGACCACAACTCCTGTGCGAAATAGTCTGACGGGATGCATTTGTAAAATACAGTCTAAATCCTCTGATGAATTGTCCAGCGAACTTGCCGGCACAGTACCGCTCACACCCGTGCTGGGTACTGAATGCTTCGTGCAGACGCCTCCCCATCTCGATGCACCTACCTTAGCCACTAGTCATCGAGCTGCGCATCTGCATATGCCGATGCGGACTGTGCATCCTCCTGCTCCTGCTCCCTCGCCGCCTTTTTCGCTGCAGATATTTCGGCTTTTCCGGCAGCCTCGATGCTGTCGTCGGGGCCGGCGCCGCCCGCCGAGGGCAAGCTGACAGAGTTGTTCTTATTCCGTCTCTTAGTCGGCCTGCGGCTTGACCCTCCCTTAGGGCGGTAGCCCGAGTCGTCGTCCACGGCAACGCGCTTGCGCTTGCCCTTGCTGGCGGATGCCTTCGCACCTACACCAAGATCTTCGTCCAGATCATACATGGTCTCATCCATCGACTGCCGCTTGGCCTTACCGGACACGGCCTTGGATCTCTTGGATACTCGCTCCGTCTTGGATGCCCGCTCGCCCTTAACGCGGCCTGCCCCTGTGCTCGGCCGTCCACCTTCGCCGCTCGCTTTGCGGCCGCCGCCTCCCACCTTCCGAGCGGGTGTACGAGTCTCCTCGTCGTCATCTTCGTCATCCGCCGCACGATGGGCCTTGCGCGACTGCTTGTCACCGCTGTGGCCCTTCTCTTTCTTCTCCTCGCCAACTTCGTTGTCTTGGAGGAATGTCTTGGGTGCGTTCTTTCTTAGCCAATTGTACACGCTCACCGGGTTCCGCAGGGCAAAATCTCGACTCGTCGTGCTGATGCTGCTGGCACCGGCAGCAGACGTGTCTTTGTGATTGGGTGGCGCTGAGGAGGGCGTGGCGCCTCTTGTCGATGCGCCGTAGCCGCCAACGCCGCTCTCTCGGGCTAGGGGAGCAAGTGTGGGAAGCATTTCGACGTCCTCGCCGCGCTCGTCGGCCTCTGCCTTGGCTTGCATATCGACCTCCCACAGGTAGTTGTCAATGTCGTCGGCAGTCAGGAACGAAGGAGGGTGTTGCTGGTGGGTGGCCTCGGCAGCAGGCGAGTCGATACCAGTAAGAAGGTCGGCTGCGAGCTCGGGAAGGCGCTCAGCGGTGGCAGCGAAATCCAGGTGTGGTGTGTCCTTGATAAGTTCTTTCAGGGACTTGGCAGGTCGAGGGCCAGGTCGCGGCTCCCTGTCGATGTCCAAGATGAAACCTTCCTCGGCATCGGAAGGAATATCGAGACTAACATCGATGCGTCTTTCTAGGGGGACCTGTGGCCGATTGTTGATGTCTGTGAGCAAATCAAGAAGACGGCTGCGCGGGCTGTTAGCAAGGCAAACTGTAAGTAATGGGACAGGTCCAGGGACTAGACGGACTCGTTGTAGATAGCCAATTGCTTGATTTTCCTCATGGCTTTGACTTCCTGTTGATAGAGATCCTCGCCCTGTGACATTTTCTGGTCGAATTTGATGCGCATTTTGCGGTACTTCTTCTTCCACGATTTGTACGTAGGCTTCGCATCGGCCATCCTGACATCAGGACCGCCATCCTCGTGCTTCAAGTCGTCATCGGCAAGGGCCGAGGCACTCCGGACGCGACCGTTGGCGTCGGCGGGCATTGTGCGGTGACTGTCCGTGTTGAGAAGGCTCTCCTTTGTGATGGACGACATGGGATGCAGCCGAAAGGTGCAGGAATCCGTGCTGTCGGATCCCGGGCAAGGCTGTTGGGGGCAAGGCGTCAAATGTATTTGGTGTAGGGATTTTGATGGGATGCGATGACTTGTTGGTGTTTTCCTAAAACCGAAGTCGAGGTGATAGGTGTATTGACAACCGCGATGAACGTGTCTGCAAACGGAGCATGAGAAGCGGAAGGAATGTCGGGTAGGGAGGGCAATGAGAAGCTGGCTTGACTGACTTGACGCTTCGGTTGGTGTCGCGAGCTCCCAGGATTACTGTACGTGCTGTACTATTAGAACAGGCGCAGCGCGGCAGGCACCTCGCAGCCAGCCAACTCAGGCTAGATCTGAACCTTGCTGGACCCTGTCCGTACCAATAATCGCTATGTACTTGCTGCCCAGGCCTGTGGTCCAAGCTCCCCCGGTGGACAGCGAGAAGCTCCACGTTCTGCGTCCCACCTACCGCGGGGGAACGAATGAGCAGCGATTCAATTTTGCTTGCTCATTGTATTGGATTTCAATATTTCAGTTTCCCATCCTGGATTCCTGTGTTTCTCCCGTAGCGAGTAAAACCACCACATCCTAATCTACGACCTCCGTCACCAACTCGCCTTCCTGGTGCATGCTGAGGCGCCTTCCCATCCTCAAAATGGCCACCGAATCCGCCTCCAAGCGTCTCAAGACCAACGACTCCTCGTCCGCCGTCACCATTGGCACCCACAATGGCCACTTCCACGCTGACGAGGCCCTGGCCGTCCACATGCTGCGTACACACATCCCCCGCTACCACGGTGCCCGCCTGATCCGCACCCGCGACCCCAAGGTGCTCGAGACCTGCGACACCGTCGTTGACGTCGGCGGCGAGTACGACGCCGACCGCCGCCGCTTCGACCACCACCAGCGCGGCTTCACAACAGTCTTCCCCGGCCGCAACACCAAGCTCAGCTCCGCCGGGCTTGTCTACATGCACTTCGGCAAAGAGATCATCGCCAACAGGAGCGCCGCCGAGGGCAGCAGCGATGCCGACCCCAGCACCGTCGACCTGATCTACAACAAGATCTACGAGTCCTTCGTCGAGGCCGTCGACGCCAATGACAACGGCGTCAGCGCGTACGACCCAGAGGGCATCGCCGCCGCCGGTCTGGAGAAGAGGTTCAGCGACGGCGGCTTCACTCTGGGCGCCATGGTGGGCCGCCTGAACCCCAACTGGAACGACCCCGTGCCCAGCGACCCGGTAGAGGCGCAGGCTGCCGAGGACGAGAGGTTCGTCACCGCGAGTCAGAGGATCGGGGAGGAGTTCGACCGGGGGCTGGACTACTACGTAAAGGCCTGGGTGCCGGCACGCGCCCTGGTGGAGAAGGCCTTCAACGAGAGGCCGCAGTATGACGCGCAGGGCAGGATAATGGTGCTGAGCGGTCAAAGCTGTCCTTGGAAGGACCACTTGTATGCGCTGGAGGAGGAGAACAAGGAGGCTGGCAGGGTGCTGTACGTCCTGTACCCCGAGAAGCCGACGCCCGACGCCAAGTGGAGGGTGCAGACGGTGCCCGTGACCAAGGACTCGTTCGAGAGCCGCAAGGCGCTGCCCAAGGAATGGCGGGGCGTCAGAGACGAGGAGTTGGACAAGGTGTCTGGCGTGCCGGGCTGCGTCTTTGTCCACGCGGCTGGCTTCATTGGCGGGAACAAGACGTTCGAGGGTGCGCTCGAGCTCGCTAAGAAGGCGCTGAACTAGGAACTATAGCGCCATCATGGTCAAGATGTAGGTACTTAACACCACCGGGATGGGACACCTGGGCAGTGGTTCCATTGGCGTTCGGAGGCATTCATCAAAAAAGGAGACAGGTTTGACTACAGCTAAATAGACAAAAGTGGAAGGCACATGATTTCGTACACCATACCCATCCTCGATGCCGAGCCTTCTTTCTTTTGTGACATATTTTTTTCTCTTTTGCGCCTGCTTTCCCTGGCCTCGGTGACCTATGATGCCTTCACATTTCCGCCGATCAATCTGGGAGGTTTGTTTCTGGGCAGACTTCGTCTGCATTGGAAGATTCAAGACGCCGCGCCAGTACACGCGAACATGGACAGACAAAATGAAAATAGACAATGCTGTAGCGAATGCAATATGCGTGGGGACGCACAAAAGGACCAAGAACGAAGCGATAAAAACATTCGGGCCAATACACCTAGTATGTCTGTCATCCATTTCTCAGCAATTTGCCCTGGTCCCGGTATTCCTTCAACGCCTTACACCACGATTCTGTCATCACAAAACAAAACACTCTGCCCCGCGTGACGATGGAATCAAATTTCGAGCAACGTTGCCGTGCAAAAGAACAAGCCTCGGCGAGGCCGCAAGAGAGTTCGTAGAACAGCCCATCAAATGACGAACGATCGAAGTAGTATGAACCGAGCAGGCGGCGGTGGCTGCCCTCGTGAGTGGTGACCCGGGGGCCCATTCCCCCACCGTCAACTCCGCCCATACTCATGACCGGATGGGAATGCCCTGCTGGGCGCCCTCGCCGGCGTTCTCCTTGTTGTCCCCGTCGACGACGGCCTCCTCCTCGGCGCTCGTCTCGCGGACCAGGCCGCTGGAGCCCTCCTTGGCGGGGCTGCCGGCGAGGATGCCGGCGACGCCCGAGGCGCTAGAGATGCTGCCGCTCTTGTTGAGGCCGGCCGGGGTGCCGTTGGTGCCGGCGCCGCCGCTGTTGTGGGGAATGTTCTCGGGCACGGGGTGCTGGCTGCCGACGGTGCCCGTGTCGACGCCGTCGCCCTTGCCGGCCTTGGACATGGCGTAGTCGCCGCTGTCAAAGTACTTGCGCTCCTTGAGGTGCTTGGCGAAGTGGTCGGAGCGCGAGGGGAGCTTGCCGTACAGGCGGAACAGGCGCTGCTCCTCGGGGGTGAGGGACTGTGACGTGAAGGCCGAGGTCAGCCGTGCCATTGCGATATATCTTGGGAAATCATGCGTTTCCTTCTTTTGGAATTCGGAAAGGGGAGGGGAGAGGACTTACGCTCACGTCGATCTTGTTCTTCTGGAGGGGGTTCATGGCGGGCAGGTGATGGTGAGAGAGTATGTGTGTGTGGTTGGTGGTTCGAGTCCCAATTGTGGTCTGCACGAAGGCAAGCCGGGTGCTTTGTTCCACTGTGTGGTCGGGTATCAAATGCGAAGTTCTCACTCGAGGGAAAGAGGTCGATTGTATGGTCGCAAAAGTTGAAGGTGTCGGAGGTTTGGTTGAGGTGGATGTGAAAGAAGTAAACGGGGGGATTCCTCTTCTGGACCCAGAGCAAGTGCAAGCCACACACTCTCTCTGAAGTGGGATGGGTTGGGGGCGTGGGTGTGGGTGCGGTCCCCCTCACTTGGCCTAGGCTAGGGATAGTGAAAGCGGGCGCGGGCCAGTCTGGCGTTGGCACTGCTCTCTGCTGCACCCACTTCCGCTTGGGCACGTCAAACTCGACCTTGCTTTGTTGGAGCTGTGACCAGGTGGGGGGAGGGGTGGCTCCTCTCGGCCTGTGCAGTAGTAGCCTTCCAAGGCCAAGGTTGGGTTTCAAGTACCAAGGTGGGCTTTTCTTCTTGGGCTGGAATGCTGCTGAGGAATCTTGTGCTGTGAGACAACAGAACGTGGATAATTTTTCCAATCTTCAAAAGTCCCAGATGTCAGCTCTTAAAGAAAAATCCCTGTTTGTGAACAAAAAAGGCAGCCCGGATCTTTTCTCTTATAAGCCTTATTATATGGCCGTTCCATGCAATTGCCTGCTAGAGACGTCGTTGCTGCGGTACCTGCTTGGCTGCTCAAGGGCGTGTCGTGCCATGCGCTATCGGGGACGGGTATTATCGATACCCTGCCCAATGGCCAGCTGGCAAGAGACCCACTGGGCCCACTCTTATTCATGCCTTCAGTCGAGAGACACTCGTCGTCACCAGCTTGGGCATCTCGCACCCACTCGATGGCTGTTGTTGTGAAGAAGTGCCATGGAAACACGCCCGAGTCTACTCTGACTCATCGACGTAACCCACGAAACGCGATCGGCAGTGACACGGTACGGTGATAGTACAGCAGGGCGACTGGGTGAGCAGGCCACGAGACCCATTCTGCTATAGGTCACCACCAGGAACCAGGGGCAGCCTCCCTTTGCGCTATTGCCCTGCATCCCGTACGCAGTCAGATTCGATCTGCTCCGTCACATGAGATGAGGGATCATCACCGTGTGTGAGAGCTCCCACGGCTGCTGCACCCGAGACCAAAGGTCATTTGCATGGACTTGGCTCCTCCCGCGCAGCACGCATTCATGATTTGCAGCGTGCAGATACCTCCAGCCCATCGAAGGTGCGGAATTGGCCTGGGGCAGCGTCCTCCCTGCCGCCTCGGTGATATCCCTCCAATAACCGTGGATCATCTACGACTATCCTGCCTCTCAATCTCATTGGCCTCGTTGACTGTCGAGATGGTCTTGATTCGACTGTTCAGACGAGGTCAAAAGAAGTCCACTTACAGAAAACCAACCATATCCTTAGGACTGCCGCCCGGACAAGGCCATAGGACGACTCTGGCGATGGGTTCTCATCACGTGACTAGACCAATATATCTCGTAACACCTCGGAACACAGGGCCTTGTTCCACTGTATTAACTAAGATCGCTGGAGAACGCGTGGAAGTTTGGGCGCAGCCACCGTCGGATTGTGCATACAGCACCCTACTTCCGGTTGTCTTCCAGAGATGACAGACTCGCGCTCTTGCTACAAGCTCACGCCTGAATGCCACATTCAGGCTGTTTTCACGGCCTCCGAAAGACTGAGTCGTCATGGCCTCAACTTGCAGTCCCTCAAGTGCATACTTAAAATCCCATCGAGCACCCCGTATATTGTCTCGATATACTCTACATTATACCTCGACGGAGTGAGCCTCAAACACACAAGTCTTCCATCAAGCAGCAATGATTTTATGGGACATTAATCGCTGCTGGAATCTCTTCGAAAGTTTGTTCTTTGTTCTCAATTTGCAATGCACCTATCCGCGCAGATACAGTCCCTATACGCAGTGTAGAGCAAGACAGCGAAATCCTGTGCCTCAGGGCTGGGGCCATCATACGCCGTGTTCTGCGTATAGCTGTATGGGTTCACGACTGGGGCCAGCTGACCGTTTGACGAAACCGTCTTCACGACGGCCTTTCGCCACGCGTCTGCTGCCCCGATGTAATTGGACGTGGCAAACGTCTCGGGCGCGAGCACAGCGAGGCGATACACGGATGCGGCCAGCGCCGCTGTCCCAGCAGTCTCAGGGAAGCTGCTGCTCATTGTGATGTCTGATCAAGACTCAGTCAGTCGACATAGCAACGTGTATACCTCTTCAAAGCATAGGGGACCTTTTTGATCCATGTAACGGGACTTCTTCAGCAGGGGTGGATTTGGGGCGGAAGAACGTACAGTTGCGGAACAGCCCGCTGCCGGCATCCGGGCCGACAGAGATAGTCCCGTCGATGATCTCTTTGGCCCATTGGACCAGGCTCTGCGTCTCCGCGGTCCAACCAGTGCTCGTCGGCCAGTGCTTGACCGTGGCGAGGACCCGCGTGATGCCGTTGGTCGTCCAGCCGTTGCCCGTGCTCCACGTCCCGGCATCGGTACGCGACCCGGCGATATGCTTCCATAAGCCCGTGGACTTGTCCTGTAGGATGTCGCGGTACAGGCCGATCTGGTTGATTGCCGTCCGCAGCAGGTCCTGGTCGCTCGTTGCGACAGCCTGATATGCCAGGGTAGGCGGTACCATGTAGATGAAGTCGGACCACAGCATGGTGGCGTCGTAGCGATGGCTGATGGCTCCGTTGGAGTACCTTGGAACGTTGTTCAGAAGCTCGTTGACTTGTCGCGTTGCAGCCTGTGAGTAGGTGGACGAGTCGGATTGGCCGAGCATGATTGCGAAAACACCGAGCGAGGCGGGATCGCCCGCGCTGACTGCTTTGGTATCAGCCTTGTCCCACTTTATCTTTCTTGTGCTCATCGCAAGGCGGGGAAGGTGGTTATCGTACCTCCTTTTGCAGTCAAAGTATTTCCAGACGTCACGATCTTGCCCTTGGCGTAAATTGTCGCCGTGGTCTTCCTGTCAGGAATGTTGCCTCCTGGGAAGGCATTATCGCTATACACTGACAAATCAGGGTCATAGAGTTCTAAGAGTGCCTGCGAGTTCGTCCCCCACTCCCAATTAGACTTGGCCTTGGACGTGGCGATTGCCTGGACGGCTGTTGGACTGAAACCGATGTTGACCGTGCTGGTGCAAACCGACTGGCCCAAGGCACCAGCTGCTAAAAATGAGGATGTAACGAGCCGTAAGTGCATCGTATCAATTTTGATTTCACAATGTCAGTTGAGACTTCGGAACTGCGAGGCTGGCCCACATAGAATAAATATCCTCGAGAACCCGTTCGATAATTCATGATGTACCCATCGCACGATCATATAAGGAAAAAGGTCTATGATCGCCACAAAGATCATTTCGTGATGATATAACCCCTTTGCCCTCATGATACAACTGTCCAGAAGTAGCAGGTGACGTTCTGGACTTGGTTTGGCTGTGCAAGTAATTTACAACGGCAGCTCAACTCCGTCCGCTACCTCCTTAGGTTCAGCCATGATGTGTTGCCAATTGCTGAACCAGTGTTTGGCATCTTGGCCGGGCTGATAGTGTCGTACTCCCTGCTCTGATATCAACATCTTTCCTAGAATAGCAAGCCTCCGGCCCGAGCCATGGGGTTGGTTGTATTAATCAAGCTAGACAGCCAGAGGTAACATTAGTCTCGGTCAAAGCCAAACCGAGAGAGTCGAGCGAATGTGGTACAGTTTGTCAGTTAGCTATTTCAAACGAGCCTCCACTAAATCGAAGGAAGTTGAAGTCGCCTTATTCATGTGCGCGTCTTTATTCGTGGCACCGTCATGGACGATATGAACCTGCTCATGAATTGCTTGAGCGATTTACATCCATGAAATGAGTATGTACCACTCGCTGGAGCGAGGGCCGAATACATGTACCTGATCTCGGCACTATTCAAGAATTGTCGCCGAGCCGTAAGAGGATTAGAGCGAGCCTGAAACGATTCGGTCCCAAAGAAAATCAATTCAGGTCCTTGGCCACCAAATCAGAAAGCAGTTTCTAGCCAGAATGATTGGTTGTGGCTTTTTCTTGGTCACTAATGGCTTTCCAAGCACGAGGCTGAGGCCAAAGTCATTGGGAAGATATCTCGAATGATTCCCGAAGCGAAGACGAATTCCTTTCAACGGGTCTTCACTTCAGACCGCGTGGACTATGGAGATCACACTTCTGATCAATAGCAATCATCACTCTTGATAATGAGTAGGACGCAGTCTTTGCTGTTTAGGCCAATCGATCTAGACGTCGTTCTTCTGCAAGTTATAAAAAGAACTTCTAGCCTACGAGCTACGGAGAGAAGACTAGTTAGTTCGCAATGGTAGAAGGCTACACATGTTGGGAACGTGCTGTGCAAGTATAGTCCTCGGACCTATGCCAACCCGAGGCCCGAGACCATTATGTTATAGCAAGTCCTACTGGATAATCACAACGATGAATTCCACGATCTGTTACATTCGATTGAATGAGAATGGCGGGGTGGTTCCTCTTGCTCTCGGAACCTGTTTCCGACCGTAAAGTGCATGGCCCTTCGAATAGAACATCCCGATTCGGGTTGTAAAGTCGATCCTCACAGGATTTGTCATGGTCTTGGGGTGGCTTCTAGAGCTACCAGAAGGGGAGGATCAGCTTCTCCACCCGTGCACTGAAGGACCGAGATATTCAAGTTCTAGAAGGGTACCTAGGTAGGCTTAAACATTCCTCCACCAGTAGCCAAGCATTCAAATTTCAGTCTCGGCGTATCCTGCCGCATTGTCAGGCAGCTTCTAACTACATAGGCATTAGTCGTCTTCATGTAAAAAGTGTTCATGTCAGTAATCTGCATGTTTTATATGTGCTAAGTGTGTCAAAATGACACTTCACAGAAGTTGGTGATACCTCAAACTCACTTGCCGTTCCAATTCAATTTAAGTTTTTGGGGTTTGATTACCACAATTCCCCATCTGCATTGTGATTCAGCCGCGGTTCACCGCAACCAGGCAAGTCGGTGGAAACGATCCAATCCCAGGTTCGAAAAACCTAGACATGAAAGACCCACACTACGGAGCGTAGGGGTCCGCTTAACGATACGGTTTTCGAGAGGGAAGGTGGCCAGGCAAGCTGGTTGTGTATAAATACGGACAAGCAGGTAAGGCCAAATGACGAAAATGTCTAAATGACGATTCCAGACGTCAGCCTTGCCTCCTTTGTCCAACTACGCTGGGAATCACCGGACGAAGAAAATTCATCATGATTACAATACCCTTTGTTGTTGCGGTGGTGGCAGCTTTTAGCCATGGTGCGCTTGCAGCTTTCGGGCTCACTTCTAGTAGCAGCTCGTACACCGTCGACACAGGAGGCGATCTTGTCTACGTAGTTTCCAAGTAGGGCACCATTACGTTCCGCGTATGAAATGAATTTTTGACAATCCATAGGTCTACTGGGGATATCACCAGCTTGAAGTACAAGGGAGTCGAGTATCAAGGCACCGCTAAGAATACCGCGATCAACTCCGGACTGGGCTCCTCTACCGTGACTGGAGAGACCATCAACGGGTACATCAAAATCACAGTTGCGTCTAGCGGTAATCCCGTCACACAGTACTTCGTCGCGAAAAATGGTGATCCAACAATCTACATGGGAACCTATATCACCGGAGAGGTTGACCCGGGCGAGCTTCGCTGGCTTGCCCGTCTGCGGACAAATCTGTTGCCAACTGGCGTCCACGGTAACGTTGGTGACACGCGAGGCTGCACGGCTTTCGAGGGAAAGGACACCTTCAAGTGCTCCAGCGGCGAGACCCGCTGCAAGATGTACACTTCCGACAGGTTTATCGACGATCAAGTCCACTGCGTCACCGGAAGTGTGGGTTCCTCCTCATCCAAGTAATTGTGAATGCCTCCTTAGTATACTGACAAGCAGCCATAGAACGTCGCTCTTTGCATGATCATGCCTGGTGTGGCTTACGAGACGTCATCGGGCGGCCCGTTCATGAGAGATATCAACGGCCAGACATCTGATGACGAACAAGAGCTCTATTGGTATATGAACAGCGGACATGTTCGTACCGAAGCCTGGCGATTCGGTCTCATGGGCCCTTATGCAAGTAAGCGACTTTCGGATACAATTTCAACTCCTTCCTCAATGCTTTGATGGCTAACTCTAAATGATGCAGTGACATTTACGTGAGTGCATTCCGATCAACTCCTAACTAGTATTTACTGATTATCAGCACATCAAGCAACGGCGGCACGCCTTCTGCAAACTTGGACACTTCATTCTTTGAAAGCTTGAATATCAAGGGCTACGTCCCCTCCAGCCAACGTGGTTCCGTTTCAGGTACTGCCTCTGGTGTGCCGTCGAACTTCAAAAGTGTTGTCCACTGGTATAATAGTCAGGCCCAGTACTGGACCTACGCCGACTCAACCACCGGTGCATATAAATCTCCTTCGATGAAGCCCGGAGCTTATACCATGAAGCTCTACAAGGGTGAGTATGAGGTCTCCTCAGACTCAGTCACAGTCACTGCTGGTGGAGCCGCGACGAAGAACATTGCCTCCAAAGAGGCCCAACGCACACCAATCTTCCGTATCGGCGAGTTTGATGGCGAACCTTTCGAGCTGAAGAACGGCGACAAGATTACTCGCATGCACCCCTCTGACACGCGGATGTCGTCGTGGAGTGGAACGTACACTGTTGGATCCTCATCTGCCAATGCGTTCCCCATGGCTATCTGGTCAAAGCAAGGCAGCCCTGCTACTATAAACTTTGACTTGGCGTCATCCCAGGTTAAGGAGCTGACATTGCACATCGGGACAACGTTGTCGTTCAAGGGTGGGCGCCCCATTCCCAAGATTGGCAGCTGGACTGGAAGTGATCCAGGTGCACCGGTAAGAACCTAAATGGCTACATCCTATGGCCTAAGAAACACCTTGATTGACTGACCCTGTGCTTAGAAACTCATTGACTCTCGTGGAGTCACCCGTGGAGCTTATCACGGCTATAACGAGCAGTACACTTGGAGTGTTCCCGCCAGTGCTCTGAAGGCAGGAGCAAATACGTTGACTATCAGTGTTGGCGGCTCTGGAGATGCAACTTGGTTGAGTGCCAACTTCATCTTTGACGCTGTAGAGCTTTACTGAATATCTCGTAATGCATTGACGGAACGGAATAACCTAGCGATACCATTTCATGGACTGCGCGAGAAGACTTGTACGGAAGGTGGAAAATTAACTCAAGCTGGAGCTGTACTGTTCTTGCTTCAGTTACATCTTATTTACCACCAGAAACATTCAAATGTTTCTCCCCATCAGCCGCGCACAAGAAACGGTGAAGCTTCTTAGAACAGGGTCGCTGATACATATATCACCTTCTGCGTCTGCCGGATCAATGTGTCGCCCGTTGCACTGGTCCTCGGGAACTGGCTGAGGAATGAAGCTCAAGAATTTTAAGGAGCTGCGAAACTCGCAGTGCCTTAAAAGAGGCAGACATTTGGATCGGATTCAACCGGCAGGCTTGCGGAACATGGTGTGCTCCTAGGGATGGCTGTGTTGATGCCTTGAAGATTATTGTAGGCACATAAATACGAACCGCGGACGTTTACATGCATGCATGCATGCAAGCTGAGCTTACTTGTGATACCCTAAGATATTCACCTAGATGTAGGCACCCGGATGATTCCGACGATTCTTGCAGAGCTGTCGAAGATCGCACAACGTGATGTCCGAGACTACATCTAGCAGGGACCCTGGGCATCGCCAAGGCACCCAAGAGTACACAGAAAGGGATCAGAACGACGGACAAGACCTATCAAGTAGGTTCTATTCAACACGTGATGATCGTATCGAAAGTCATCTTGTAAGTCTTAATTCCAAGAGGTTATCTCACTGGGAGTCACCCCACAGAAAGTTACTCCAAAGGACGTAGGAGGTTCTCCCAGAAGAGGCTATCCCGTAGGAAGGAATGCTATGTACCACTGGTCAAGTCATGCCCGAACATTTGGGATTCCTGTCGGCTGTACCTATTGGAATGACGGTCTAGGTCAACATCCCAGCAATTGGAAATCGCCACCGTTGAGATTAATTTATGTGCATTCAAGCTCCGCGGGTTGCCTGCCAGCAGGTTGGCGTGGACCAGGCCGACGGGAGCGAACATCTCCAATCTCGGAATATCTCTTCCGCAAAGGCAATCCTCCGAGCCCCGGACCAAGCCCTGCCAGGATCAGCATGCCGCCACGGCCCCGGGACGACCCTGAGGCTGAGCTATTCTTGGCCGCATCTCCTAATCCTGCAGACTTCATGCCCCTGGCAGAAAGGGGGGTGGGGGTGATCAATCTATGTCACTACGACGCTCAACCCCTTACTTTCCTCCACACATGCTTACGGTTCTCAAGTGGTCGCAAGGTCTTTCCAGCAGCAATAGCAGCACGACGCCGGCAGATCTGACAAAGTTAGGTGGTGCAGCAGTAATATACCAAGGTTCGCAAAAGCGAGGAGCCTGGAGCGAAATCGAGGAGCTGAAAGCTTACTGCAGCACGCTTCGAAACGCCCGCCGCATGCTGGCGGAAATGAGAAAGTCCTCTTGCAGCCCTACATCCAAAAATAAACTACACCACTGCTATCGCTCACGAACCTACACCACAGACAGAGTTAAATTGCGCGGATGCTGTGTGAGCTTACGAGAGCTGTACCACTATGGCCGGAGGCAAGTTGTGCATCACTGTCGTGTAATCCATGCCTCCTTAGTCGTTTAGTTTCACGACAAGAGGACCAAGTTCTGTGCAATCCGTGCTATCCGCTGCCCATGTTACTGTGCCTATACAAGATTTCCCGGCGAGGCGCCTGCGTAGGTCACATCGGCAAGCCAACACGAGTTCTGGTCACCAAATGCGTGATACCACAGTAAGAGTTCGCTGGGGGGGGGGGGGGGGGGGGGTGTGGGGGGGGGGGGGGGGGGGGGGTGGGTGGGGGGGGGTGGGGGGGGTGGGGGGGGTCTGGGGGGGGGTGGTGTGGTTGCGGGAGTAGGAGCTTGAGC